TAATCAAATGTAATCTAAGTGAATTTGGAACTTAATTGCTCAATATTTTTTTTTCCTAATGATAAATATGTATTTTTTTGTGCAAGCACCTATTTTTAATTTAAAGTAATTGGAACCTCAATTAAATGTATGTAATTTCAATTTTGAATGAGATTCAATCTATATATATCATAATATATTTACTCTTCATTTTAGCATGGTTAATTATTCCAATCTTGAAATACTTCTCAGATTTTAATGGGCTTTGTCCAACCCTAAACAAACAAAAAAGGTATTAGGAATACATTTACCTTGTTAGAAATACCTAAAAATGTTATTTCTTAAGTTAAGAATAATTTTAAAGGTTAATTTTTCAAATGGTAGTGAATTTTTCCTTTAAATGAATGAAAATTTAACATTTTCCTTTAGATTTTGGAAATTTTCAAATTCACCAATATCGGTGCAGTATCACCTGGATAATAAAAAGCCAAATTAGATGGTCATTCATCAACTGTTTTTTCAATTAGTTATTCTCCTGATGGTACTACATTAGCATCTGGCAGTTTTGATACATCTATCCGTTTATGGGATGTTAAGACAGGATAATTAAAAGCCAAATTAGATGGTCATTCTAATACAGTTTCTTCAGTCAATTTCTCCCCTGATGGAAATACATTAGCATCTGGTAGTGATGATAACTCTATCCGACTTTGGAATGTACAAACATCAAAAGAAATACTTCAATCAGATAGTAACTATAAAGATTTGCTTGCCTAGTTTAACATACCTCTTCAAAATAGCTTCTTATTGCCAAATGGTATTTATTATTAATTATTATTTAGTTAATCCTGATCTTACAATACTTAGAATATGTTAGAATCCTTTATTTGAAGCATCAGGAACACTTATCCTATAAGGATAGTTCATTAATCATTAAGGGAAAGATTTAAAACCATTGTTTAAATCCAAAGGAAGTTTCTTTTTAGAAGACTTAAAGCAAAAGTGAATTTGAATATTCATTAAAAACATTACAATTATAATTTTAATCATTTTTTTATAGCTTTTTCAATTAATTGGTATTTTTGTTACTTTTAAATATTTGCTTAATATTGAGATGTTAGAAACAAAGGTTATTAATACAATACACTATTAAATTTATAATATAAACAGAATATTAAAGATTAATTAATAGTTTAGTATAATTTAAATTTTTTACAATTAACAACAAAGATAAGAAGAAAGATGCATTTAAAGAATTTAAAAATAAAATTAATCTCACTAATAATCTTAAGTGATAACAAAAGTTAAAGGATGTGGTAAGAAGTTTGCTAACTAAAACGATTATTCTAATTATGTGGGGCAATTTCTATTGAATTATACATTTTCTGAATAAAGTTGATATGAAAATTTAGCCATTACTTCTAAATACAGGTTATAATCATAATGATTGTAATGACTGATTAATTTAACGGGTTCCATAAAATCGATTTACCCTTGTTTGTATTTCAGATTTCAAATACAGTCTGGTATGCATATCAAATTTGGGATTCGCCAGAGCAAATCCCCTATTCTATGTCTCATCATCTTGCCACTTTTCTAGTCCTTTCTCCATTTCGAGGCTTACAAGGTTAGAGAAAGTGTCCCCCAAGTCGTAGGTAAACGTTGACTTTAAACTGGTTTAATTTTAACTCCTCCTTTTCTGGTTGGAGGAATAATTTATGAATAAAGATTATTAAAAATCTTTCTATGAAATATATGCCAAAAACAGTACAACAAGATGCTAAAACAGCATTAATTAAATTAACAAGGAATGTGTAATGAACAATTTGAGGTTATAATTAATCTTTGAGAATTTAGTGGATTTTTTACATTGATTGATAAGCTTCTAAAAAGTTTGTATGAAAAGTAGCACTCTCTGAATAAAATCACTTAAATACTGTTTAGAAATATATATTAAGTTTATATTGATCCATATTTAGAGTTTCTAGTAGTTTTTTAGATTCAGAGGAGTAGTTTGCACAATAATTCATTTACTCAAGCATAAAATATATGATTAAATAATTTTTCCTTCTTCCTCCTCCACTAGACCGGATCTAGCGATTGATCTATCGCATGCTCAGTTATTGGGTATTATTGTTTGAATAATTTAATGAAAATAATTTTCCTTTATCAACAATCTTTCTTATTTTTAATTATTTTTTTCTAAAGATTATTTTAATCTTTCCTTTGAGAAAGCTGAGGCGATGGAAACCAAAGCAGCAATAGGGTTAATCTTACCCATATTGTGTAATTCTAAGAAAACAGACTTTGGGTCTTATTCTGGTTGAATGCCGATAATTTGGCAGCAACAACATTCAAAGCTTCAACTACATCAGCTGTGGATTTGATTCTTTAAGCAAATTCTTCAGCATCTTTTGCTCTTTGTGTTCTCAAGGTTTCTTCTTAATCGTTTAGGATTCCCAATTGCAATTGGATGTTTTCAATTTTGCTTTCCAATTATTAGACTTAGGCAGATAATGCTGTAATTTCAGTTTTTGATTCGTCAATTCTTCTATTATAACCGGCGATTTCAGCAGCGCAATCAGCCTCAGCTGCGTGTTTCAATCAGCTTATTTTTATTACATTAATTAGTTTTCCCTCAATTCTTAAAGCATTCTAGCAATATTAGCTAAAGGAGCTAAGTTTTTCATTTAAAGAGAAATTGTGTCAAGCAATTTTCTTCCTAATGCATATTCTTCAATCTATTTACCTAAATCAAATTGGATACCTCTTCCAAATCCAAGTCAGCAAAGACTCCTGAATTTGGGTCAGATGGCTTTTTGATATGATTTATTCTATTTTTCTTTGCAATTTTTCTTCTTTAATGATGAAATTTCTCTGTAAAATCAAATTTATGATGGGAATCCCTTTCTTATCTAACTGTATATGCTTTATTTGCTTTAATTCTTTTCAACTAGAATTAATAGACCTTAATTTGCATTCATTTATCGTTGTACTATGCTATATTCTTTTACATCTAATGATAGATCCACTTTTGGTTGGAAACTATAAGGTATAAAAACATTTATTATTCTTCATTTCTTCTTTTTTTTATGTGTTTGAACATTTCTTCTTAAGATAAGGAAATCATTAAATTTTAATTTGCAATTTTCATAAGCACCTGTTTGGCCTCTTTTAAATAATTTTTAATTTTTAATCTATCTTCTAAACTTCTTAGATATTAATTCGCATCCTTTGATAATTTTCTTTGCTTAAGTTTATTAAATAACTGTTTATTGCCACATTATTTATAATTGTTGCTAATTTAATTTGCAAGCCAATTACGAAAGTATCGTGTTAAGAACTTACCATGTTGCGGTGTCAGATAATTAGTTTTCAATTTAGAATAGGATTTAAAGATGAAACAAAAATAATGAAACATTGAGTTATATATTTAATTCAAGACTTCAAAGAATACCAACTAGTTTTAAATCCTATTTAATCTTAACTTGATGAATTTGTAATATTTTTTTTTGGAACATCTTCCAATTATACAGGAGTTAAAGGAGTAGATGTAGTCATGTAATTCATTATCTAAATTGAATCATTATTTTTAGGCGAGGACACAGTAGTCGATTGTTCAATTGAATTGGATTATATAACTGATAGATTTAGTTGAGCTATTATTCTCTAAAAATAAAATAATATATTTCTACTTAATATATTCTCTAACATAAATCGATAGATTGTGATGAAAATTCATCATCGCAAATTTCAGAGTTTTATAACGAATACGTGTCTAAAAAATGTTAGGGCTCTTTAATGTCTTAAATATATTGCTCAATATAATCATTTAATTTCTATTATAAGTCTTCAAACGAATTTGATCTATTTCGACCTGTTGGAGAGTGCAATTATAATTATTCTTATTGCTACAATTTTTCTTATGATTTATCTATTAGTAATTATAGATTAAACTCTTGAATCTCAAACGATTATGCACAAGAACTTTACTAATCATTTATCTAAATTTATTTCTAAATTATTGACCTATTCATCCTTCTCAATTATTTTCCCTTTTAACACTTATGATGATGTTATTTCCAATTTATTATAAGCTTCGTTCTGATAGGTCAAGCATCTCTGTGAATTTTTCATAATGAGATTAATAAATTATTTATAAGTCTAAGTTCAGCATCCGAAAGAATAGTATTTTAAACTGTAAAAAAACAGGAAATGAAACGAAGTTATCAAATCCCTTTGAAAACAATTGAAGATTTTACTGTTAGAATTAATTTGATCATCTATATAAAATAAGTTCAAATCATTTTTATAAACAAATTTTAACCATATTATAATAAACGCTTTAAATCCATAAGTTATACTACCCTATAGCACCAATTAATTTTATTAACTGATTATTTATCCTGCACTAATTTTATGCTCTATTAATTTTGATTAATTTATATAATATTACAAGAAATAATTAAATTATAATAAATAAGTATTCACGATACGAATTAAGTTAATATTTAATTTCAATAGAATTATTCAGAAATTTACTAACAATTTAAAATGAAGGCTCAAGATTGAAAATTAATAATGATTGCAAATTGTATCAATAAATAAGACAAAAATAAATATAAACTTTTCAAGTCATATATGATGCTGAAAATGTGAAATCAGCATCATTAAAGCATAAGTAATAAACTATTACTAGCGTTGAGATAATTGATTATACAATATATTGAGTATGCTAAACTGAATAACCATTAATATCAAGAGTGAAAATAAAAATAGGCAAAATAGGTAAAGCTACTTCTTTTTATAATAAGCTTTCATCTGGAATATTTAAAATCTTTTCTTATTTTGCATTATGATAGAAGATGTAATCAATACAGCCATTAAACTATTTTATTTAAGTAAGTTTACATTTTTAGTATAATTAGTAAACTTAGGAAATGGATGATATGCACTTTCCCAATTTAGTTTAGGAGGACCATAATGTTAAAATATATCATTTTAAAGCTATATTTAATTTGTAGACATTTCTATTCTTCAACAATTGGATAATTTTTTTAAATGTATTGAATTGGATTCAATTTGGGTAGACTATTTAAATCTCCACAAAATATTATTATTTGATCGTCAAATTCTTTTTATGCTTCCATGAATTGAACAAGTTTAACAACCTAAGTCGTTTTTTTTTTGAATTCCAAAATTTATGAATGTTTCCTATTTTGAATTATTTTTTTTTAAACTTATCATCTTGTGAGAAATTACTTACATCTAACAATTTGAAATACATTCATCCTTAGATTTAAGGGAGGAAGTCCATAATCTAAAGCCAACTAATCAAAAGAACATTCTAAAGATTTCAAAATTTTGTATTTTTCAATTTTGAAAGCAATTAAGCACTCATTAGATCTTTAGGGTCTTAAAAAATAACAGATGTCATATTGTAGATTCTTTATATATTCTTGAAAAATTCGATATTATCCACCTCCTTCAAACATAATATATTAGCATTGAAATTTTTAAATTAATCAATAATTTTAATACCTCTATTAAGAAATGTTAAGTTTTCAAAGTCAGCATAATTAAAATATGAAAATATTAACATAATATTGAAATTGTGTGTCTAAAATTAATGAATTTTGGTTAATATTAATTTCTTGATGATAAATTTTACTTGGCTCTTTTTAGATACTTTGAGGGATTTATCCCATTATTAATTATTATTATAAATTAATTTACAAAAAAAAATACAAAGTTTAAATTTCAGCACCAGAATTTGTTTCTTGTAGTAGTTGAACTGGTATGCAATAATAAAAAAATTTATGCTTTGGAGAAGAAATCAGGACTTATGAGGGATAATCTTTAACCAATTGATAAAATGGAAATCTATTGTTTGTATTAAAAAATTGCAATATAAATTAAATCTTTTTTAAAATAAAAATGGTTAAAAACTCTGCTTAGGACCCACAAGATAATTCCTTATAAATGAAAGTACATTAGAAGAAAATAAACTTTAGATTAGACAATACTTAGTCTCAGGTAGAAGACTCCCTTCAAAAGAAGATCCAAATCCAAAAGTTATAAGCATGAGAATTTTTGCAAGAAATACAGTTGCTGCTAAAAGCAGATTCTGGTATTCAAATAATGAATATTTAGGTGGAATTTAAGAAGATTAAATAAACTTAGACCTTCTCATGGTTAGATTTTAGCAGTTCAAGAATTATTTGAGAGAAGAGACACAAATGTCAAAACTTACGGAATAGTTCTTAAATATTAATCCAGAACAACCATCCACAATATGTATAAGGAATTTAGAGATGCTACATTAAATGGTGCTGTCTCATAATTATGTATCTACAATATGTGACCTTTTTTAGATTAGGAAATGGCTGGTAATCACAGAGCTTAACCATAAACTATTCACATTCTCAGAACTTCAGTTTTAACAAAGAGTGCTGATATCAAGAGGGGAAAAACTAATTAATACAGAGTAAATTTAGTCACAAATTTAATTAGGGAGATTCAATTAGATTTCCTATTGTTAAGACAGTTCCCAGAGCTAGCCATAAGAAATTCAGAACCGTGTTCAAAGCCAAAAGACCAAATCTATATAGATCATGATCGTCTTGATTATTTAGTACAATAATAATAAATTCAATAAATTATAGTTGTAAGTAATCAATAATATTCTCTTCAATTTATATTACAATAAAACCCAATAGACTTTTTTATTAGGGGATTATATTTAAGTTTAGCTTGCTTCTTTAGCTTAACAATAAAATAACATATATTCTTATGAAATAAAATCTTTAAAAATGAGCCCAATTTAATCCATTTCAACAATGTGAGTTGATTTACAAATTTCATTACTGAATTCATTTTAGTATTTTATAGTTCTGACATTACATAACCTAAATAAAAATGGGAGTGGAGATTTTTATTACAGCATACTTTACTTGATGTTTGAGTCGGGATTTCAAAAATTTAGATGCCATAAAACTTTAAGGAGTTATAACATGTTTTGGAGCCATCAAATTGATACAGTTTTCTTCACTTCATTTTTCTCACAATAAACTTTAGTGGAGGAATAGATATCCTTAACCATAAAGTAGTTTCTTGTAAGATATATAGGAAGTTACTAAAATTAAAGATACATTAGTTGTTTAATTTAGAGGTGCTTGCTCTGAGATTTGCAATTTCCTAAGACTATTTTAATTTATAAAATATAATTGAATCAATCATGTAAATTATAAGAACTCAAATGCTCGTTGTTAACTAAATAAAATTGTGAGTATGATCATGGTTGAAATTTTTGATGCAAATTTAATAAAAATCAAAATCAGAGCATGCGCAGCACTAATAGCGATAACCTTAAATTGGGAGGCAATCACAACCATCACAAGCAATTTATTCATGAGTATTCACTTTATGAATCCTATTTCTCCATTAGACTTGCTTTTTGTTTCATCATTTTTATTTATGAATCTTATTTAAGTTAATTCCAATCTGGTATATTATTGCATGATATAAAAATATGAGCATTGCTAGCTCTTTTTCTCTCATTGATGAATTGCATTTCTCGCAAATCTAGAAGAAGTAGCAAATAGTGCATTTAGAGTATTTATTATTCTCCAATTTATCATAACAATATTAACATTTATGATAATCAATTTCATCATTTTAATGAATTTAAGATATTGATACATGTAAAAAATAGTTCATCTAAATGTTTTATATCTGAAATATCAGAAATGGTTTTCTTGCCATTCCTCAGCTTCCTTAATCATCTTCTAGGATGAAAATACATCTTGCTCTAATGAGATGATTTAAAGCAAAGGAAAACTCCTAATATATGAATAAAATAATTACTCGATTTTAAAAGAGTATAATCTATCTAAGAATAAATGATAATCAATTGGACAAGCCAGATTGATCACTCTGTCTTTGGCTTCATAGCAATAGCACATTGTAAACTTCTAAGGTAATAGAAATTTTTCATTCAATGTATTCAAGAATTACTTAAAATCCTAAGTGATTTTGATTTAAGCTTATTCTTTAGTTAAAGTGTTGGATACGGAAATTGAAGCTGATTAGGAAAGTCTATAATTATTCATTTAAATATATACACATATTTATGATAAATTAATTCATTCTAATTCAATATCATCTAAACATATTTTAAAGAGATCAGACATTTATAATGTAGCGATTGGTTCTTAATTTTCATTCAAACAAACTAAACTACCCCTGGAAGAAAGCAGTAGATTTTCAACAACCTAATTAGAATTATCTAATACTTCTTTTAATGTTTATTTCATTTGGAACAGTTCTTTATTGCAAATACAAAACCCAGCAAATTTTTTTTTCTCAATTTTAATAAAGTTTAGTAAATCTATAGCAGGTCTATTCAACTATTCATATTATTAAGTAATACCATATCGTATGCTTGGTATTTGAGAATAAATAAAAAGTCTCTTCGATCTATCAATCCTAAGTACTTGTTGTTGTTATCAACAATCGGAATAGCATTCCGCTTAAATACGTAGATCAATTTATAGAAAACACTAAATATCAAGATATGGTTACTCATAAACATTAGTGTCGAAAGGAAGTTTATCATTCAATTATAAAATCCTATCACTAAAGTAGTTGATTTCAAGTTCATGCTATTCTGATTGAGGATTTTTTTCATGATAAACTTCAATTCGATGTGATTTTTACGATAATTATAAATGGAAATATTAACTAAATCCTTTTACTAAAAATGCTAAAATATCCTTTTGTTATAGAATGCCCACAATAATTCTAGATTCAGTATCAATAACTACAATTCTTGTTACACCCTACTTTAAAATCTTCTTCATCGCATCATTAAGATTATCAGCCATATCTGCCTAAACCAAACTACTTTGATGAAGACTTTCTCCGTATGAATTGAACCAGTCTCTTACTGAGATTGTTTGTAAATCAATCAGCAATTTGTTTATCTGTTCCTATCCTATTAATTAAATTTAATGCACAGGAGTAGCACGATCTTCATCCTCCTCTTCCATAATTGGCTAAACCTATATTTTACTATTTCCCCACACTGACTAAAATATGAATTAGAGATTACCATTAGGAACCCCATTTAGAATATTTTGATAACATTTAAGGATTATTCGAATCAAATCAGTTTAGGTAAATACCCCATCATAATAAGCTACATCTGGATTCCAAAACAATACTTCATCAACATGTGTATCGATAAACACATTAAAAACATCATAGAGTGAGAATGACTAATCAATTACAGTCACTTAATTATTAATAGACAAGCAATCATAGAGAGTGCTATCTTATAAGAAGCAAGTTAAAGTTTTCATGTATTAATCCTTAATTATGTCTTCTTTGCTTTACATCCTCTTCATTCCTTATTTATATTTAAATTAATAATAATTTTTATTCAAAATTATTTCCTTCCAAAATGTCATTAAAATCAAAAGTAATTATCAAATTATCTTCTTTGCAAATTTGTGTCTTTCATTTGTTGTGTTACTTTAAAGTAACCTTTATAAATTCTTCGTTTCTACCTTTTAAATGTATGCACTGATGAATAGACTAATTTCTAGACTTATTCTTTATTAATAAAAGGGAGGAAGTCTTAGTTAATTAAATTTAGCAATTAGAATAATGGTAACCAATTAAATTTAAGAAGAAAAGCCATAAACCTCCAAAAAATCATCTAAACAATTCTATTAATTGTTCATAATTGAATAATTATTAATTACTTTACTGCTCTCTTTTTGATATTGAAATATTTAAAAATGACAATTAATCAGAATGACAACAATAATTCTTTGTGATATATTGACTGATGATCAATTGAAGATCAAAATTTAAATTAAAACTAATTATTTTTTCTCTTTTCTCTTAGCAGACTGTGAAAGTGAATTGAATAGAAAAAGCTAGGCAGAACACTTATAATAGTTTCTCAAATAGATTACAAAACATAAATTTATTAGATTATTAATAAATAGAGAAGTTTAATTATATAAACAAACAATTATGTTAAATCAATTATTAAAATAAATATCAAATTATTGATCTCACTCAACCTTTTGAACCTTGATAATGACTGAGGAGTCATTAAGTTTTGTTCCACTTTCATCAACAGGTTTTTATTGATGTTAACTAAGCTCACCATCCAATTATGCCTCTTAAATGCTATACTTTCTAAATTAGAATAAAACAATTCCAACTATAATTATAAATTTAATCAATACCAGAAATTAAAACAATTCCTCCTAATGCTATGAGTAAGATTCTGATTATTTTCCATTATTAAGCAAATAAATAAGTTGTTACGACTTGCACTGCAAAATTTTTTGTTGTTCGAATCAATTAATTTGTCGAAATGCTATTATTTACAATTTGTGATTTATTGAATTATAAAGTATAGTATTATTTCTGCCATCCTTCATCATCTAAAATTAATATTATAATTACTATGATCTGCAAAACAAACTACTCTAGCAGGAACAAATCTAAATTTGGTTAAAAAGGCATTAGTTGCAGTTACCCCAAAAAAGAAGTCATCATATTAATATTCATCTTTAATAGCCTCCTTTAATTGATCCTCTTCATAAGTGTACTAAAAAAATTGAAAATCTCTCATTCCTATTTAGGTGAATAAAATCTTTTCTTTATTTGGGGCTAGAAAGTCGTAGCCATTGTTAAACACAATCTAATGATGATTGACGCTGCTTATAATAGCAAATTCATCTGTAGCATCAACATCAACTATCCTATAATTAATCTCTTATTTTGTAATTATTGAAAATAACTTCTAACTAAAGTTTACAAGGTATTCAATATAAAAGTAGATTCCATTCTATTCAAAAGCTGCAAATATATTTTTACCATTCTTTGTATCCACAGCAATTCCACCTCTTTACTCTTCTAAATTCATTACTAATTCAAATTAAAGTTCTTATGTATTGATGAACATATAAGCTAAAACTAAACCTTTTTTAGCATCAAGCAAATATAATTAGTATTATCCATCTTTTACTTTGAAAACTGCAAAATCTTTTAATTCTAACTAAGTCCTCTACAATTTCAAATCTTTTTATGTTACTGTATATCTAAAAGTGACGTCACTCTCTTTTATTTCATAAATATCCATTCCTGCTTTGCCAACTGCTGAAAATAAATAGCCGTCTAATTCCTTAGTCAACCCTCTTTCTTCTCTTTGAATCCAATTAGAAATCTAATTAACATGCATAGTTTTCTCATTTTTCTCCATCTCTGACACGCTAAAGAATTATGCACTATCCGAATATAATACAAAGGCTAAATTATTTTTTTTCGAATAAACCAATTGAGGTAACTCATCTCTTGACTGAATCGATGGAAGTACTGGTTGAAGGTTAGCCTTCCAAATTACACCTGCAAAATCTTTAGAATTTCCATAACTTGTAAATCCTTAACTTGATAGAACATTATCATAGTTGAATTTTATTAAATATGCTATAGCATCTGAAGTTATTGCCAACATACCATCATTAATGTGAACCATCCCGATAAATTCTCGAAAATTTAATGGAGTATCAATCTCGAATTCATAACTAAAAATTATATTCTCATATTGTTACTCTTTAAAATCATCTGATTATATAATTGTAAATTGCTATGTTTCGGTTTAAACTGTTTATTGTTTCACTTTACAAAAGCTCTTGTCTTACAATGGCATTAATATAGCATTATCAGCATCCGGCATCCAGTAAATGATATTTGGTTCTCCTTAGTGAATTGTAAAGGTTTCGGATGATTCCTTAGTTTCTAAAATCTTTAAATCTTCAGAACATAAGCTCATCAGAAATAGTAAACTCAAATAAAACATTTTTAGTTTAATTTATATCATCATAATGTAATAAGAATATCATCATTTGTGGCCTTTTTACTTTCCTATTAGCTTGATTTAAATTCTAACATCACCTAATTAGTTAATGCCAATATACAAGATGAAATATTTCTCGATATTTAACAACTCAATCTACTCAAACTTTTAGAAAATCTCGATATCGAATATCACCAAGTTTTGGACCTGCAATACTATTGCTTTTTGCCTTAGTATTTGGAACACAATATTTCTATTTTATCTGTTTTGGTTTTTCTAATATTACAGGAAATCTGATAATGAAATTAATTCGCATAATTTAAAGAAAGATAGGGAACTAAATGATTTTACATTTCAATAAAAGTATTAAACTTGTGTATTTTGTATTTGATTTCTTGTTTAAGGAAATGTATTTTTTACTTTTGTTCAACTTTATCTTATCTTCTCATTTAATGTGATTAAATTTAAGTAGAATACAATGCATACTTGCGTTATATTTATGAATAAATCTTGATAGTGACTTATTATTTCTAAAACAAATATGATAGGAAATTTGTTCATCTAAACTCAATTGGCTGATTCATATTAAGTAACTAATTCAAAAAGATAGCACTCTCGACATTTCTATAAGATGAAAGAATTATAGAGTTTTCTAAACCAAAAGAAAAAGTATTTTCTTAGATGGTATTATTGAAGAAGTCAATAAATTTTGGAAAATAATAATTTTTGATGCCTGCTTTTAAATTATTTGTAATTATTATTAACTGGATCATCAATTGCCCATTTGAGTTATCTCTTTAGCAGATTCAATTAATAAGTTGAGTGATTACAAGGTTAAATAAAAATATTAGAGTATCTAACAATGATCGTACAAAATTGATACAAACTGAGCAATACTATGAAGTTTCAAAATTATCAAATGTCCTAAATTAAAAATTGAAACCTTAGAAGGGGCTCGAACTCTTAATTAAAATCACTGATATAGAAAATGAAATAGAATTTCTATTATTTGTATATATTTTTCAAAGCAGAAATGAAAGAATTAATTAAAAAACTAGTCTAACGTTAATAAAATTATATCATGTATGCCACAATCTTAATAAAACAATTGTAAAATAAAAAACACTTTACCTTTAGCCAATCCTGATGATAAACTAACATATTTCATTAACAGGTTTTTATTGATTAAATTTGTTTTAATGGGCTTACAAGCTAAAATCGATTAATGAAATTTTGATTCTACTATTCTTATAAGCCCTATACTATCTATAAATTTGATACATAAGATTATCTGATTTTAATAAAATTAGAATTTAAATTAGTCTGCCAAAAGCAGAGCTTATTAAAATTTGTTTGGGAGATTGATATTAGATAATACTCAGAATAATAATAGAAGTTGTCCAGTTTATTAGATAGGAATAAAAAGTATAATTCATTACCAACACTTATTCTACAAGTCTATAAAAGAGGTTTGATGATTGATTTCACTCCATATGTTATTAAGAGTCTTATTATATGAAAGATTAAGTATATGAGTATTCGTATTATTATAGACAATAAACACAAAAATTTCCCGAAGTAACCTGAGTATATATGACAATTATTCTGTATAAATGAAATTTATTGCTATTATTATCTATAAGACTAGGGTGTAATTTGTTATTTTAGAGATCCTTTATCTCCCTAATAGTCCATACTTTAGATTTTCATTATATAGTTTATTCAATGCTCTTTGGTTTAATGGTTTTAAACTTAATTGAGTTCCTTTGTTAATGTTTAATTTGATATTTATTGAGGTACATTCATCTAGAACGGTACACAAGTTAATTAATTTTGTTTCTTGATATTTTACACTTTCGGGTTTTATATTGGCTAAACTTTAAATAATATTTGCTTATCACTGTAATATTTTATGCAAATTAAATCTGTTAATTATATAATGGTTATTTCAGCATTTCATATTGAAGTAATTGTTGAAAACATATAAATTAATGCATTTCATAAAAATAAAAATGGTCTTTCTTTATTAAAAATATATGATCTATTTTAAATAATATGATTCTAATTTGTTCAAATAGCCTCCATTAAATCTCAGGTTTTCTTTTTAAATAACAAATGCTTGGTATATTGAATGAGCTAAATCTATTATTCTAAAGAACTAATATACTTGATTATAGTAGAACCTTTTTCAAAGTTAATTACTAACTTAGTAGGTTTTAGGATGATATCTTTGAAATTCTATTATTTTTATCTATTAGATTTACGATTAGCAATAGAACTTCTTATTAATTATTATACTATTATATAAGTGAAATAGTATTAATTCGTTTGCTTTACCATGTTTATTAATTTGTTTTTAAAATTAAATTTATATTATTTTAGATTTTACAAAACGCCGCCAATTTGTAAAATCATATAATCTAATTTCACAATTAAAGAATTAGTATTAACAATATCACTTATTTATTGTTTTGATTTGCCTTGAAATTTTAGATATTCTATTATTCACTATATTGTGTTATATTAATTATTTAATTATATGAATAATACATCTGCACTCTAATAAACAATTCATAATTATTGTTAACAATCGTATTCTGCTGGGGATTTTGCGGTATGGATTCAATTTGATAAAGTTTAGAAAAACCAACAAGTTTTAGAACAATTAAGAAAATTCATATTGGATTGGAATAATATACAATTATTGAAAAATATTATTGAAGTGGATTGTAAATAAGAGACAACTTTTGTGATTTACACATTACTTCAAAAAGCAATTGCTGCAGGCTGTAAATTTGTAAATGTGCTTCCGACTCAATAAAAAATCACATAAAGTTATGAAGAATATGAAAGGTTAATAAAATGCTCAATATTTTAGTAATGAAAGATAACAATTTACTACAATTGTGACAATCCACTTGGAAATAGTGATAAATTATTTTTCAAAAGGATTGTAGCATCAAAATTATGTTTAAAACACAGTTTTGTTTGCCTTAGCCTTTATTTTGAGAAAATATTGGTCTGAAATAATTGCACCAGAGTAATTAGTAGAAAGACTTATTAACACATTCTTTTATACTCAGAATGTTCAAATTTTATCTTTAGGATGCAAATTATTTGAAAATCTATTAAGCTGTGTTCGCCAATATTATTATGCAACTGGTTATTTAGAGTTTAGAAAAGTTATGATGGGTTTTCAAAGGTAGATATAAACTTATTAAATATTTTTAGATAGTCTTTAACAAGATNTTATTTCAGCATTTCATATTGAAGTAATTGTTGAAAACATATAAATTAATGCATTTCATAAAAATAAAAATGGTCTTTCTTTATTAAAAATATATGATCTATTTTAAATAATATGATTCTAATTTGTTCAAATAGCCTCCATTAAATCTCAGGTTTTCTTTTTAAATAACAAATGCTTGGTATATTGAATGAGCTAAATCTATTATTCTAAAGAACTAATATACTTGATTATAGTAGAACCTTTTTCAAAGTTAATTACTAACTTAGTAGGTTTTAGGATGATATCTTTGAAATTCTATTATTTTTATCTATTAGATTTACGATTAGCAATAGAACTTCTTATTAATTATTATACTATTATATAAGTGAAATAGTATTAATTCGTTTGCTTTACCATGTTTATTAATTTGTTTTTAAAATTAAATTTATATTATTTTAGATTTTACAAAACGCCGCCAATTTGTAAAATCATATAATCTAATTTCACAATTAAAGAATTAGTATTAACAATATCACTTATTTATTGTTTTGATTTGCCTTGAAATTTTAGATATTCTATTATTCACTATATTGTGTTATATTAATTATTTAATTATATGAATAATACATCTGCACTCTAATAAACAATTCATAATTATTGTTAACAATCGTATTCTGCTGGGGATTTTGCGGTATGGATTCAATTTGATAAAGTTTAGAAAAACCAACAAGTTTTAGAACAATTAAGAAAATTCATATTGGATTGGAATAATATACAATTATTGAAAAATATTATTGAAGTGGATTGTAAATAAGAGACAACTTTTGTGATTTACACATTACTTCAAAAAGCAATTGCTGCAGGCTGTAAATTTGTAAATGTGCTTCCGACTCAATAAAAAATCACATAAAGTTATGAAGAATATGAAAGGTTAATAAAATGCTCAATATTTTAGTAATGAAAGATAACAATTTACTACAATTGTGACAATCCACTTGGAAATAGTGATAAATTATTTTTCAAAAGGATTGTAGCATCAAAATTATGTTTAAAACACAGTTTTGTTTGCCTTAGCCTTTATTTTGAGAAAATATTGGTCTGAAATAATTGCACCAGAGTAATTAGTAGAAAGACTTATTAACACATTCTTTTATACTCAGAATGTTCAAATTTTATCTTTAGGATGCAAATTATTTGAAAATCTATTAAGCTGTGTTCGCCAATATTATTATGCAACTGGTTATTTAGAGTTTAGAAAAGTTATGATGGGTTTTCAAAGGTAGATATAAACTTATTAAATATTTTTAGATAGTCTTTAACAAGATTATTAGAGTCGACTCATAAACTAGTTTAAAATTAATTGAAAATGGGAACCTTTTTATAATTATATCAATTAGATAAATCTTATGCTGATTCATTAATATCATTGCTTAATTCATTCTTGACATTTAATTTTAATCTTAGTTTTTATGAAATTGATGTTGATTATGATTCTAAAGATAACTTGATTATTAATGTAAATATGTATCATACCAAATTTAGTTTCCTGATTCATACTTTAATATACTGAATGATGAAAAACTTAATTAGGAGTATTTCAGAGCTATTATTGAATTTTACCCATTGGATTAAAGTATTTCAATTAGAATCTTAAATATTGTTTAAAGGATAGCTTCTGTAAGATAAACTTTATTTTTTTCAAAACACAATTTTAAAAAGATTGTTAGAAAAACACTTTGGGAGGGCTTGCTATATCTTTTAAATAATTATGAATTATACTTAAATAACACCGATTTTTCAAATGAGGTTTGCTCTTATGCTATAAGATTAGTTGTAAATGTCTATAAGCTATTCATTAGTCAAATTTTACTTTAAAAAAATTAAGAAAATTTTAGGATTTGTTTGATCAATGTGTTAATTAGTTAAATTATATTAATCATATCATTCTCAAAAACCAAGGAATAAAACTATCTACAAACAGTGTTTTTATCAAACTATAGGAAGTTTGGCATCAATTTTTATTTTAAATTAACATTTACAGTTCTCAATATTTACAATAGTTTAAATTATTGTAAAACTCTGTAAATTTGAGTTTTAAATTATTAATTCATGCATTTTATAATGGAAATCCTTTTTCTGAAATACCGCCCAATTATCCTATTAAAAAAATTAAGAAATTTTTGGACAAAAGCTTTCACTTATGCATTTAGGTATATCAATAGAATACTGTTGAATGTGTAAATGTGATTTCGGACTTATTAAAAACTCTACCCATAATTGTATTTAATTATATTGAATTTAGCAAGTTTCAACATTGTAACCATAAGAATAATTAATAACACTATGTAAAACTTTATACAAATTTAAGAAAAATTTAGTGCTTTGTTGTGTCTAATATCTGCTCTCGTGTTAAGTCCAGCCTAGGTTGAATTACTAAATGGAGTTGATTCTCAATTTTAGTATGGCAAATAAGAGGGTCATCCTTAAACTCGTATATTATTATAAGCTATCCTCGACTTGATTGCGTTTACAAACAAAATTCACATCCCTGCCGATGTAAACAATCAATTAAGTTAAATCATAGAATTATGTTTGCAAGTTATATCACACTAGTATATTAATCTTTATTTAAACCTACATATCGTAAACTATAGAGAATTTGTACTATGAGGAGACTTAAAAGATAGTGATATCTCAATCATAATTGTAATAAATTATTTGTCATAATAGATCAATGACTCTAGGAAAAGATAATTAAATGTCATGTAATTATTTGATAGTTATTGAAAGTTGCTTAGAAAAATGGTAATGTTTGATATAATTTAAGCTTCCAAATATTTACATTTCATGAACCAGATTTAGTGGAATATAGCTTTATAATTTTATAATATACATATGAAAAGTATTCATTGATTCAATTTTTTAGATTAAAAAGATAATTAGATAGAAGATTCTTTAGATAGAGTTCTATCAGTAGTATGTTGAAGCAATTCTTTTTATAGATGGATTTGACATGTTTTAATGAAGTTCAATATATAAAGAAAAGGAAACAAGTATTTAAATTGGTTTCTCTGGTTTGGGTTGATGACTAATTGGATGATTATGTGCCTGCATTGGTAGATATTTATAAATAAATAAAAAAATCCATTGCTAATGAAACAAATAAAATTAATATGCTCAAATATTTGTGGGATATGATTGGAGTAGTTGATGAATTAGAAGTGGATAATATATATAGAGTATTCTTAAGGATTGTGTAATATCAATTATATAGTTAGATTTCCAGATTTATCGTCTCTATTGTCTACTGATAATACTCAAATATTTGTACAAGACTATGATTCCTCTTTAGGATTAACAGCACTTTTGTGTACAATCTTTAAAAATAAGTAATATAATCCAAATATAAAAAGAAATACACGATTGTCAAATGAAAACATTCAAATTCTACTTTATTAAATCTATGGCAAAGCTACAGCATTCTTTATCACTTCCATTGATTATTTGATATTACAAGCTCAAACTAGTTTATAATAAGGCTAACAAGTTAAGGATCAAATATTGAAGATGGCAGCTAAATTATTAAAAGTGATGGGCTAGATTTCAAGTTCTAAACAAATTAATTAAGGATTTTTTGTCATCTATTAAGATTCTTCATACTTAAATTTGTTTAAGAAATAATTGTAACTGATAACAGTCTATAAACCTTTATTTCTTAATTTAATAAAATACAAAAAGTACTTGTTTGAATGCTTGGAAGGGATATGCTCAGAGCATAGTGAGACATTAGCTTATAGGTGTGGATTAGATGTTTATTTAGATTTATTAATGATATCAGAAGGGACTTTAAAAGAGATATTAAATTTCAAACAACTTAAAGGTGAAGATCAAATAAATGAAGAAGCACTTCAAATATCTTAAGTTGCTAGTATTCTATGCAATGTGATGCAATTCTTAATACAAGAAGGAGTCATTGGGGAATAGGTGGATACAGAAATGATTAAGAAGAAAACTTAAGAGATATACTCTGCTGGCAAACAACTCTTAACATCCATTTTTTCATTGGCATTTACATTAATTGTTGCGTTTCCCAAAGTTTTAAAATTTTCAACTCCTAATAGTGAAATCTTGTTTGCAATTTCTTTATTCAATCCAAATGAAGTATGTATTTTGATTTACCTTAGTTTCAACAATTACTTGTTGAATTGGTTTAAGAATACAAAAATAATCTTATATTGCCATAATAGACTTTAGAGTTTATTACTACAGGATACCAAGGTATGTATCATAAATATTATGATAGTTTTAAATAACTATTTGAATAGCACTACTAAGGAGTTGTTTACTAAATAAATAAAATAAGCTTTAGAATAGGTTTGTTCTTAAGAAGAATTCTGAATTATTGTATTTATCAATTATAATTATAATTTTTTATCTATCTTATAATAGAGGACCTATTTTATTCGTAAAAGTCTTAAAAATATTATTTAAAATTCATAAGTAAAATCATACAGTATTGATTTGTGATCCAATAATTCATTGATTTTTCTATATTAATCAGAAGCAGGAGTACATAAAATGATCCCCATGGTTTAATAAGGTATTCACTCTGATTTGTAATGTTAAGAATTCGAATTGATTATTTGAAACCTATTTTAAATATACATTTATATTGTTAACAATCATAAATTATATTAATCATATGAGGTAATAGCCATACTTCATTAAACCTGTGAATCACTTATCCTATCGAAATCAATCGAGTAAACAAAGCTTTAGTCAATAATAAAGTGAGGAATCAAAATCAAAAAGTTAAAATCGATTATCAAATATTAAAAGACCAGCTCCTATAATCACTCAAGCTATTACTTCTCCTTAATTAAAAAGGACTAATAACTAGTATAAAATACGTCTTTGATATAGGTTGAGAATCTTGAAAAGTAACAAAGTAGATTTGCCATCGCTGCCTTCACCTCAAATTCAATAATAATGTGATTAATCATTGTCAAAGTTTAAAAGCTTTGAAAATCTTAACATCCAATTGAGGTAGCCAACGCCAAGAAGATTTAAGTCTGATGAACCTAACATCAGTGAACTTGTAACATAGCCAAAAAAAACTATTCGCTTCAGTTAGCATAGCAATATAAGATTGAGAAATGATTCGGCGAAAGCTCGCAATAGATCAAATCATGTACCTTTTCAAAAAACTAACACTGAACCAAGCGAAATAGTTCATTCTCCAATTAAGTAAAAGGCAAAGAGAGATTTTGATGATTCAAGAGAAATTCTATATTAATTGCAAAGAGGTTACTCAAAAGATAAGTAATCTATTTTGAAGACCGAACCTGATGACCCCTATAGAATTGGCAGCATATGTGAAAACAGGAACTCTACAAGTTTGAAAAGACAGTTTGGGCATCAATATATTAATGAATCATAAAGATTCCCAACGAAGCATCATATTGATATGCCATGTGATGATGAGTTTTCTTAGTTTTTTAAAGAGGATGATATCTAAAATAATTTTAGGAATACCCAAAAAAACACAAGCCAATAAAATTAAATTAGTTAACAAACAAAAGAAAAAATTTTAGATTTGCTTTTTCTTTCAACCGGAGAATTAAAAAAAAAATTTAATGAATAAAGTAGAATACAATATTCAAAAATAACTAGTAAAATATAGCAAAACAAACCAATAGTACCTAAAAGTAGATTTCCCAATGACTTTTTTAATGTTTTGCATTCTAATGAATCTCAATTATTTTGATTTTTATAATCCATCTCTTTTTATTCTATTTTTCATATTAATTGTATTTAGTTATTGTCATTTAAACGTTATAAACAATTTGCAATAATTAATAAATCCATTCATATAATTACTTTTCCTAATTGTTTTATTTGATTAAATTTAAGATTATCCTAATTAGGTGAAGTTGGAGTTTAAGTTAATGATCAAAACATCTAAATTAGTATTATTAAAATAAGTCAAAAGGTTATTATTAAAATAAAATAAGACGTCATTTATTGAGGAATAAAAACGACTAACTTTTTTTTTTGATTTTCAATATTATTATAAATGAAGACAATAATCCTTGCCTTAGCACTCATTGTGTTAGCCTCATCAACATAAGCTGATGTCATTGCTACAATCAAGAAGATTGACTAATCACCATTCGGAAGAACATTGTTCGACACCATCTGGCTCGAACTCTAAACAGGTGATCCATTGGACAGATTACTCTAAACCTTGACCGATTTGGAAGACAGATATGTTGCTGAATAAAAGGAAGACGATGCCAGAAACCACGAATACTAAGATGCATGCACAGTCGTAAGATATGTATCTTAAACCATTCTAGGACATCTCCGCTTTCGATAAGGATTTGGCTGAATCCAACAGAAAGAAGATTGAATTAGAAGCTAGATTAGAAGGATAATTATATCCATAAAGAGGAATCTTATAAGGATTAGTTGCCTAAAAATAAGCTGAAGTCAAGGGATACTAAAAGGATTTGGATGAGCTCGATGCTTAAAGAGCCGAAGAAAACGCCGATTTCGAAGAGAAAGTCTTAGAACACTAAGAAGCCACAGCCATCATTGCTGAAGCCAGAAGACTCTTCGCTGATAACATCGAACACGAATCCTTCATCCAAAAAGGAAAAGCCACAAAATAACCAGCTCACAAATTCACCAAGGAGGTTGCTAGCATGATCCAAAAGCACTTCACCACATCTGCTAAGAAGGCTGCAAAATTCTAACACAGAAAGGGATACAGCAAATTATTCAAAGCTTTCGCCACCATCGCCTCAAAGGTCGAATAATTAGCTGATGCCGGAGCCGTCTCAAAGATCATCGATTTAGCTGACGAATTGTTGGCCAAGATTGCTGACTCATTGTCCTTATTGAGATTCGCTGAAGACAAGAGAGTTGAAGCCTACAAGAAATCCAGAAACTTCATCGTCATCTCCCTCACTGTTGCCGGAACTGCACTTGCTAACGCTCAATCAGATTTGGCTGCTTTGAACGATGTCATTGCTTAAGTTGAAGCCTCCCTCGACACCACCAACTAAAGAATTGAAAACGTCACCGCTGACAGAACCGATAGATTCACCTAATGTGAAGAAGCCGTCTAAGATTACTAAGACGCCAGAGCTGCCAGAACCTCTGACAGAGATGTAGTTTCATAAACCATCGGATTAGTCAACAAGGAATTAAGAACCTTAAGAGAATAATTAGCTTTAAGATAATCAGCTGGTGAAGAAATCTGATAATGATTCATATCATTCAAATATTCTAAACCAACATCTAATATATTTTTCAATATCTAATTTAGAGGATACTCCATACTTGTTATTTTGTTAACAAATATTCTATTAATCTTTATAAAAATCCATAAACTGCTGAATTGCTCTTTGATGTATCGAAATTTTGCAAGTTATTTCATTATTAATAATTATTATAAAATTCAAAAATATTGAATAATTATTCTTAATAATCCAAAATCTTGAGGATTTTTCAATTTTTCTCCTAAAATAGCGTATTCATTTCTTAGTGAGCGCTAACTTGAAGAATATAATTATAAATGATTAAGTTGTCTTGCCTACTACTTCCTTAGAAACTATACTTTAATTGAACTTCAGTAGTATTTAATATTTAGAGAATATGTTTTATCCTTGAATTGATTTACTTTAAATTCAGCTCTAAATATTTATCTTCTAATTATTTTGAGAACTTTAAATTTATTAAAATTTCATAATTTCTTTGTTGTTCAAATTTTGTATTATTATTACCTATTAGGTTTCAAAGTTCCTTTATTCTTAATCGACAGAGGAAGATTCATAATTTAAAATGATATTTCAAATATAACACAGATATTCAATAATTAACAGAGGAGAAAAACAAAAAATTATCTTATGTGTAACAACACAAAAAAAAAGCAACTCATAAAAATATCTGAAAAATAGTTATAATATCATTTCATTTCATGTATTCCATATAATACAAAGGCAGCTCCATTTAATACTTTCAAATTACATTTTGGCTTTGTTTACATAATAATTAATTCTGGCTTGAGATCCTAATTTTTTCCATATTCATTAATGAAATCTAAGGCATATTGATCTGCATCTTTATCAGTAATAGGCCAAAGAGATCCGAATAGAGATGGACAACCTCTAAGAAGATATGAAACAGCCAACCCATGCCAATCAACATGATCCAAATAGATTTCTTAAAATGATAGATTAGTTCCTTTGAATTTTCCTAAGTCAATCATTTATGCACTACTACAACCTAATAAATATGGTCTTCCACTTAAATAAATTTGTGTTTAAAAAACTTACTTTTCATTAATATATTATTCACCTCCTCCATGTCCAATATAAAAATAATAGTCTTTTTTTTATAAGCATTCTACAATCAATTCTTTATTTGGTTTTTCTCTGACTATTCCTTTTAGATTATATTATTTTAATAAGGGAAGTATTTTCTTTTCAGATTTTTGTAAATCATTTCCTGGATTGAGGACATAAAATAAATCTTATTTTGGATCAGTAGGTAAATTGGTTAAATCTAAAATGTGGCCTAACGATAAGACTCGATTAAACACAGTATTTTTGATATGATCCCATGGGAGCAATTGCAATTAAGGACTTAATATAAGTAGAGGACTATCAGATTTATAAATAAAGTCTATATGTTCTGATAAGGCATACTCTATACTGGATTACCTTTTTAACAATTACTATTCATAATAATCTCTCCTTGACCACCATTACCCAGGAGCACTTGAAGTTTCATCCAAACAATCGATATTTTCTTAAATCAAGTTCAGATAATACATCAAGGCATCTTTGAATTATAAACATTTATTGATTAAATTGACTTATTTATTTAGACATTATTTGGAAGCATGGCAATATTTAGAGATTAGTATGATTTTTTCACCATTAAATTCAAAGAAATTAATGACAACAATGTCTCTTTTAATTGAAATATCAATTATACTTGCTAACTCAGATGTTCTAGTTAGATTTTCACATTTCATAATAGAGATGTCTTCTTATTGTAAAAGTATTCTCTTTTGGTTCATCTAAAAGGAAGCTAAAGTCGCAATCAAATCAAACTCAAATTTATTTTTATCATATTTTTTTTATTATGGACATTTACATTGTATTTATTTGATGAATTAAGGTTAAAAGTCAGCCAGAAATTCTTTTAATCTTAGATATAAATACATATACAATTTAGATTGATCGATATTAGAATGAAGGGATTATGCTAGTTAATTTTAAATCAAAATAAACATCTAATATCCATAATTGCATACATTTTAATTAATTTGTTACTCACATAGTCCTAAAACAAGAACAGGAATTATCTATTCTAATATGGCTTAATCCAAAACTAATTCATGTCTACAATTTTCATCCACTAAAAAGCAATATTATTTAGCATCTGTACATCTAAATAATTGCTTTAAGATTATGCAATTTGTTTTCAATTCAAATGATCTTGTTTACTTTAAGAGTAATTTTTCGTACAAATAGGGATTTGAGTGATTCAATAAACATAGATATTCTAATGTAAAATTAAAAAAGGCCCGATAGAATTTTCCCTTCAATAAATTGTTCTCATCAAAACATTATACCAATTTAGCATGAGATTCTTTTAACTTAGCCCATTGACTTCTTCTTTGACGATACAAGGATTGTCGTGTATTCTCACTAGTAGCTTATGCATAATCATGCTTTTTATTCAAATATTTCACAACATTACATACCCCATCTGTTATCTATTACCATTACTAAGTTTCAATTAACCAAGGTATTTGTGAATATATGTTCACTAGAACAGCAATTCCTAAAGCCCTTTATGAGAATAAAATGATAGAATTAGATATTGTATTAATAGTTTTATAAAATCCTAAATATTTTAAAAATTTTAATAGCTTGTAACATATTTGCAAATAAACATAAATGGCTTCTGCTCTATAGTTTATAAATAAAGCTGGAGTGCATAATTCACCATTACCCAAATAGAACGAAATAAACTCTTTATGTTCTATTTTAAAAATGTGAATGTCTGATTATTAAAATAATTCGTCTTGATATTTTGGTTTTTCTTAAAACTCAAACAGAGAACTAGTAAGCTGGGGCATTAATTGTTCCAATATTTGCACCTTAGTAATTATACTGACTTGTTTCTAAAGTAATAGTTTCTGAGCATGCTTCAAAAATTTATTTAGTGTAGGGACTCCTTGTAAGGATTTCAATTTTATTTCAGAACCAAAATTCTTTTTTAACTTCTCGATTTTAGAATAAAAGTTGATTTCCTTTATCGTAGATGCATTAGGATATTATTTCTTTAGTTCTTTAAAGTGTTGTGAAGATTTCGATAATTGTAAGAGCAAGTATTCTGGCACACTGTCATGATATGACAGAATAGATAATTTCAATAATAAAATTTATCGGTTGTCTATTTTGTGTAGTTTATAGACTCTCTCTATTAAGGCTAAGTTCATGAGAAGTGCCTTTGCTTTTTTGACATCAGCTATTTCATTGTTAAGTGGACAATTCAAGATTTTGCCTTTATTTTTATAATCAGACTCTTTGGGCAACTTCCTATCAAAATTATTAATGAATTGCATCTGCATAGAGAAGTATTCCATATACAGATTTTTGTTTTTTGGATTCTGACAGATGACCAAAATTAAGTGTAGAAGCTTAGATATAATGGAAATATATTCAAAGGAAAGACTTTAAGGTTACTTGATATTCACATCTATTTCGAGTTGCTGATAAATCATTAAGAGGGTACTATTCAAATCTTCCTAGGAATACGAAAAAAATTCTGTCAACTTAGTTTAAAGAAATTTCTAATCATATCGATACTGCAATAAGTAGACTAATTCAAGGAATTCGCATATGTCTCTTCTAGGATTACTTGAGTCAACTAAATTTCTATAAGTTAAATACCATTACACATTAATTCATATAACTTATCAAAATTGGCAGCCAAATAATCTTTGTCTTGTTTAATAAATATTGAAGTAATTAAATTGTGGATAGTTTGTTCTTTGGAAACAGTGGAAAAGTCAATTTATTGATTGCTGAATATTGCAAATCTATGATATACTTCTTAAGTATATTTCTTAAACACTGGTAATAAGGAATCGATGATCTATTGATTTGGTTATTGTTTTAGCAGCAGATTGGCAGAATCATTGACTTTTTGTATATCTTCCATCTTGCTAAATTTTAGATTGTGAATCAAGGATAAGACTTTGACGATAATTTTTTCTTAATTCAGTTGAATTAATAAGGTTATAATTTACAGCAAATAAGGAAAAATCTACTGTGGATCATTCTCCATGTCAAGATATTAAAAGGAGAGATCAATGTCACTATTATACTTGTAGAGTAAGTTAAGTAATTACATGTTAAACCGAATTATTTAAATTGAACTTATAAAACTCAATTAAAAGTTGGAGGCAATCAACTTGTACACTGTTATCTCAACTGTAAAATGATTAATTATTTTTTTATCGATATGTGAGAATTCTTTTTTCTTTATTAAATTAAGTGTGTTTCGCTTACTATATTGAGAAAATCCAAGTTCGTGCAGTTCCGATTTCTAAAGACGATTGAATTCACTTCTTAAAAAGAAGATAACATCATCATTTATAACTATCTTTGAATCCATTACAAAAAAGCGGGTAAATTTTAAAATTTCATTCATATGTCCAATTTCTGAATCAGGAAATTCCAATATCAATGCCAGATAACATCTACACAGATATCTAATTCTTTAATTCTTTATCTGAGCAGTGTCTTTCATTTAATCCTAATATGGTTATGTGAAAAATAAATGAACTGCACAATCTGGTATTTGATAATTATTTGCTATGTCAATCAGAAGTTAGCATTACTTTTAAATACCCAGAATTTCAAACACTTGAAAGTTAATTGCTGCAGTATGCATAACACATTTTACATTTTATGATTCAAGTCCTATTAAATCAATTAATAATTCATATGCTTCATGTATGTCTTATTAAAATAAGATCAACTATTGAGCTAGATTGGCTCTTGCAACAACATTCACCATATCATTGTTTCGAAAATCCCTAATTTAAGAGATAACATTTATTTTATCATTGCTGCATTAGCAAAAATAGTTTAAAAGGGTTTATTTCTACTTTTAGTTCATAATATTAATTATAAAATATTTTATAATAAGTTCAATTAGTAAAATCTTCACACTGATTCCCAGTATCTTTCTAATAATATAACTAAAATTTGATATTAAATAAAATGTATACAAAAAAAAGAGATTTAATCAAAAAATGAACTTATTTATTCAAAAAACTAATTTTGTACTGTGTTAATATTAATAAGGAATTTTTAATATAAATATAGAAACAAGATAAATGGTTCGAAATCTATGAAAGGATTCTGTTTAATTCTCAATTCAATAGAAAAAATGCTTTTTAACAATTTGAATAAAAATTAAATCCATTAAATTAACTAATTTTAAATTGCAACTTAGAATTACAATAAATTTGTTGCATTATTATTATCACCTGCTTTTTTCATCTATTTTCTTGTATAAGAATTAATTTGTCCTTATTTTTGATTTCGTCTTCAATATTCATATTTTTATTCTGCCTTTTTCATCTTTCAAGTTTCTAAAAATACTAATGTTTATTATAATATTATTATTTACTTTTTACTATTCATTACACTAATTATACTCATAATTAAAACAATATTTAAATTATCTAAATTTTTTCATCATGAAATATTTGTTGTTCTTAGCAATTATCTTAATAGCCTTAGCTAAAAGACACCACTAACCTGATGTTGTGCTATAGTGTCTATAAGGAACATGCAAGGCTGAATTTGAAGCTTGTGACAACTCAACTGGTTGTGTGAAATAACTTAAAAAATGTATGTAAGTACAAGAAAGAGACCCATTGAATTACTCAGCTGTATATAAAATTTATTATAATAGGGACTCGAATGCTTAGAGAAATAAGGAACCGCCTTAGATGCCTTTGAGTGCATATTTGGAAAATGCCTTGGATTACATGGACAATGAAGTTTATTAAAATCATATCAATCATATATTAATATATCATATCTAAGAAGAGGATCTACATTTTAGAATCAGTGCTTCTTAAACTTTTATCAATGTTGCACTTGAAAATACATAATCAAAAATGATAATAATTTGGATCTAAATCATGAAAAATAACAAGAATATAATATGTTTATTTTATCTCAAATTTACCATACATTTGAAGATAGCCTAATTCCACTTGGATAAGATGTTAATCTATCGGCAATCGAGAGGTTATCGACTCTTGATAATTGCTTAATAGGAGTATGATATTTGAAATAGGAAACAAAGCTAATAATTTACTATTCTTGATTATACTAAGTTCCTTAAATTGGAAGCGAAGGGACAGTAATATTTTATAAATTACTTTATGATGCATTTTTAGATATTAATCTAGGATGGGTTGAGGGCTGAAATTATCTCTCAGGCAAAGTGATCACTCTTTGCTCTTACTTCCTACTTTATAATCTTTAAGAAGAATTGATGATTTGCACAAATGCTGGTTCACTCTAAGTCTAGCAAGGATTGTGTAAGATTTTCGGTTCTTTAAATCTATTTTTAATAATATCTTGAAGTTAATTAAAATCAGGTCTTAGTAGGGCATCTTTTTATAGCATCTTACCGACTAATTACAATAATTGAATCGAATAGATTCCCGCCAATGGCTTTAATGAATCAAAAAAGTTGAGTTGATTTGCTTTAGCATATTTATTTATATACCTCTACCAGTTAGCATCTCCATTATTACTAATCCTAGATCGAATACATCCTCTTTTATCTAATCTCCATTTGGTTTCTACTCAAGTTAATCCAATATTTTAATTTGATCTTTCTCATTCAGAAGGATTGATTCGGTAGTCAAATTACCATGAAACCTGTTCAATCCTTATAGATAAGCCATTGCACTAACAATTTATTCGACTATCTTCAAAATATTTTATATTTACATTCCAAATTTCAATTTCGGGCACAGTCTTATATTAGAGTAATTTCTATTTTAAATTTTTATTGTAATAAGCAAAAAATAGTTATTATGATTAAACATTGCCAATATTTTAAGCCTTTGAGTTTGTACATGCAAAATATTCTAAAAGGTTTGGATGTTTCATTTAACAACGACTTCTATGAAAATCAAAGAGATGGGAATCGTTTTCATACAGATGCACATGCTAATTTTTATGAAAAAGTTAATTTACATATGAAAACATCATTGGCGAATTTGATTGCTTAATCTTCCATAATTAAATTGACCCAAGACCAGGATGATTTACCATTCCACAATCTTATATTTACTCATTTAAGTCTTAAATATATGATAATGGTGAATGATAATTTATTAATGTTTACAGATTTCCCATACAATAAATAAAATTTATTTAAATTGAACATAATCACTTCAATTTTTCGTTTTTGAATTGAACTCTAAATTATTTCTAAATTGATTTATTTCTCATATATATAACACAATGAGAGCAATTGCATAATTAACAAGGTTATTTAAATATTCTAAATCTGGAAATTTATTAAATTGTCTTACTGAAAAATACATCTGTTAATTAACTATGCTTCTTTCATTAAAATTAACCTATTTGTTAATTGAGACCATTTGTTTTGTAATGAATTTAATATATGTAAAAGAGAATAAAAGTAGATTGTAAATTTATAAATCATATAAATTACAAAGAGAAATTAACCAATTAATATTTAGATGCTAACTTAATCTGGTAGAGTGAATTGCTTGATTCTATATAACTATTATAGTTCATGCACTCTATTTGAATTATTCATTATTTATTGAACAAAAATGCATTAAGATAAGAACATTGTAAATTAGAATTAATTATAAAAATTGAATATTAATTCACAGTATAGGTTTCAATACTGATTCCAAGGTGACTAACTTCTTTAATACCTATATTTATCAGCTAACTATCTGGATTTTGTATTGATGCAAGGTTAAAAATTATAATTTTCTTTTGAAAAGGTAAAACTTTGCCTAATAGGCATAGCTAATCGATCAGCTTAATCAATTAAATGCAGTCCACTTTTTTTCATTTTTTTATCTGCTATTTCAGCAGATTTTGGATTAATTAATGGTCTAAATGGTTATTCATTTTGGTTCTAAATTTCATCTGCTAATTATTATTTCTTAAATTCTTTATATACGACCCAATCTTAGGAATCCTTAATGAATTAAGAATGTGATCTTGATGGTACTATTTTCTAAGATTCAACTTCTTCTTATTCTTGAGTTGCCAAAATCTTTTATAGTTCTGCTTTCATTTTTTTCTCTTAAATTAATTCATTTTGTCTTTCTAAAAAAGGCTTTAAATTCTTAGTATCAAGTATTTGCTGAGACTTTTTATTAATAAAACAGATTCTACTTGGAGTCAATGATCTTTCCTTTTCTTATTGTAATCTTTAGATTTTGTCTCTCTTTCTTTCATCTTATTAATACAGTCTATCCACAACATTTAAGCTTTTGTAATTACTAATGTTTTAATCATGGGACTATAAGAATTGATCATTTGTATCAATCTTAACAGCAGGCTTACTAGGATTATACATAGTTTTTTGTTTTGGGTATTAAAGAACAAGAGTTTTCATTAAATTTCGTTAAAATTATATTTATATAGTACTCAGAATAACATATATAAAATAAATTTGATAATCAAATAGGATATATACCTATGGAATTCGGTACTACATTAAAAATTACTCACAAAAAGTTATATATATATAAGAGATATTATTCAAATAACAAAAATATTACAATAGAATTTACATTAAAGTTTTGATAAGAATATCTAAAAGGTTAAGATATAAAGATGTAAGGTTTAATGAAATGTGAAATTACATAATGTATATCAAACAGGAAGTATTTCTCTATTAGAAGGATTAAGGAATTTTAAATTATAAAAGTACTATTGTCTATTAAGATTGATAATAAAATGTTATAAGATATATTAATCTTTTCAGACTAATGAAAGTCGATAAGTATAAAATGTCCCTAATATTGACCCTTTTTTAATCGATAACAAATAAATGAGCTTGGCGAAAACTTATCAATATTAAACGAATATTGTGAATGATAGATATTATCATTTAATTTTTTTAGAACAGAAGGTTTTTACAGGATCATAAATAGGGCCAGGGGATTAAGAATCTTCATTTTTGATTTTTTCATCTATCCAACTTATCTTTGGGGCCTTTCCTATTGTTGCATTAGGGGAAGTCTCTCTTATCACTAAATATCGATAATATTGATTATTACATTTCAAACTCTAATCTAGTTTATACTTTCCTACTCCAGGAGAACTTGTAGTTAGACTATTGTCTAATTGTCTTCTAGCTTTAGGAAATGTTGTGGGTGATCCATTCGACTAATATGACATTTCACTCAATGGAATGACCTTGGAAGACATTTTGCTTGGTGATCTGCTGCATATAGATTGATTGGATGCAAATTTTTTAAAATCAGAAACAGATTATTTGGTTAGATCATTTACTCTTTTAACAGTTTGAGATGTATCTATATTAAAGATCTATGACTGTTGATCTTAACCTAAGACATTTAATTCGCTTAAGAGTCTATTCCAAATTTAATTCATGGTAGCTGTAACTATTACATCAAAGTTAGATTTAAATATTTGCAGATTTCTTGATAGTTATAAATTGTATTCAATCTTTTATCCTTATTTTTCCATTACTGTAATCACTTCTCTCAATCCTTCAGATTCATATTACATTTACTTTGTTGTGCAAAATTGATTTCATTCATAAAAATGTCCTCAAATTCTTTAGAAATCTGACTCAAGTATCCTTTCTTTTGTACTGTTTCATAGATGTGATTGATATCTGCAAATCTAGCAACTTCTTGCTATATATTTAACTATAAATTCATAATAAAAATAAATTTTCATTTAAACCATTCATGATCTAAAATTTCTTATATTGTTGGTCTATCCGATGGTTTTTTTGCACAACAACTGTTGATTAAATTGATGAGTAAATCATCCTGAATTTCGAATTATAATGGTTGATCTCTAGCTAATAAATCTGTTTCTAAGTCTCCCTCACCCCAAAATGGCAGCTAATGATATGAGTAATATGAGTACTTTTTCATGTATATAGATATATAAACAGATTCCAAATGACCAAACATCAAGTTTAAATGGGGAATAACCATCATTTAAACAAAATTACACTTCAGGTGCTCTAAAGCCTGGAGTGCCAGCACAATCATAAAATATGCTATCCTTTTCAGCTATTCTTGAGGTTGAGAAATCAATTAATTTACAACACTCATTTATAGGGTACAAAGTAGTGCATATAATATTATCTATTTTGATATCTCTATTAACTATATTGTGTTCATGGAGATACTATATTGCTTAAGCTAGCTATTTGAATAATAGTTTGGCTGCTTGCATATAGTTCATTTTCAGGTAATCAAGAATAGCCTAATTTCTAATATATTTGAATGTGATCTCACAGAAGTTCATAATGCATCCCAAGTCACCCAATTACATAATTAGATAGATTTTCTGTTATGGATCATCTTCGTCATCTATAATCTCATACAATTTGCAGATGTTTGGATGATTGAGATATTTATGAATATTGATCTCATTATCAGCAAACTCCAATAAATTGGTCATTTTTGGATCATTTGAATTACTCTCATAAAAGCAAGTTCTTTGATGAGATAAGACAGTCTTGTGAAATATTTTCATTGCATAATCGCTTTTATTTTGTTCCACAGATTCTTCTGTCTCTTTATAGTATCTAGTTACTCTCTTCACTTTTCCAAATGATCCTTCTCCCAGATCTTCCTTCAATTCATATTCGTTTATGAATTTCTTGCCTTTTTCTTTTCTAAGTTCTACCTTATCTCTGAATATTGCTTCATATATTTCATTATCCATCTTAATAATAATATTAAAATTGATATTTAATAACAAATTCTATTGCTTTAAACATTTATTCAAATACTGTTTATTATGCTCTTTAAAAAAACAAGCATCAATTTTATTAAACTAGAAATATATTTATTTTAATCTAATCGTTATGAAAAAAACAAATTTGAAGATAAATGCCACTACTTCAATTTAAAAAAGACAAAATAAAGAAAACACTATAAAATCTCCTCGGAAAGCTATTTCCCCTAAAAACTTTAGATAAAAATTAACTTGTCCAGATTTGTGGGATAACATTGAAAAATAATAAATTACTTCTGAAACATTATTTTAACAAATATTTCCTAATCCTAATAGGAAGAGGTTAACTTACTTTTAGTTTGATTAAATCTAATTTTTGAGTGCAGAAAAAAAAGAAATCTTTGAATTATTGTAATAGGATGACTGGATTGAATATAATAGAGCTGGTAAAATTCTGGGAGAAAAATATGGATTCGAGTAAAGTCAATTAAAGCAATGGTTCGATGAATATTAAGTGAATTAAACTATTAGGAAAGAAGACTTACTGAAAAAATACAAGGAAAAGAGTAATTTAATAAACAAGTATATTGTTATTTTAATTATAAGATTATTTGAAGAAGTTGATTTTAATAATAAGTAAGAATTATCCTATTGGGATATATATATCCATAAAGATATTTATGTGCTCAAATAAATTATTCCGCTATGATTATAAATCTAATTTAATGATATTTTTAATCAAATACAAAAGGCAAGTTGTTTTCTTTTATACTACTTTTTACTTTTATTTCTCTTAAGAGTTATAACTTTGAATGATTGTTATTAAAACTAACATTTATAGAAGATCATTTAAGATTCTTTTAATTAAACCTTACATATTCTTTTTTTAATTAAAATAAAGTTATAGTAAAGATTATCACAAATTTTCTGAGTCCTTTCAAAATCAAGTATCATTTTTTCTAAAAAAAGATGCCTTTTATTAATAAAAAATTGTTCCATCTCAATTAATAAGATTTTAAATAAGAATTTTTTTTAGGTTTACAAAGATATTACCTATAATATTAATATTTATTTTATAAACTCTTAAATCAAATAAAATTTGAATATTTCAATTTACATATTTAGATTATTCTAATTTACCAACTTTTAAAAAGCTTCCACTTCCACTTAATTATGAACTATGATCATATTTATAGGGAATTTAAGCTTAATATTGATATGATTTTTAAGAACCATTGCCAATTTATTATGATGTAATTCTGTCTAAATTAAAAGTATCATTTTGTCTTGAGTCATTTGTAGTCTTTACTCTCTACTAACTTGAATTGTTAATTTAAGTATAATTATTCTAGAAATCCTAGAATGAATTTCTGGTCAATCCTTTATTTGAATCCCTTTAAGAATTATTTTCATAATTATTTGTATATTCATTAAGCTAAGTTTAAATTTTTGTTTTCGATTGACTTTCATAACCACTTGTTGTTAATAATCCTTTGATCACATCTTTATCATGGGTTTACAAAATTAATGTACTATTCTGATCTCTAAGATGTTATATTTCAACTCCCATTAAAACAATTAAACTCAATAAATCTTCTTCCCTTTTCGGCTGTATTTAAGGAGTTTCAGAAATATCACCAAAATTTTAACTATTTGGTCTAGGTTACAATTTATGAGAAACAGGTATTGATTAATATGAACTATAAGTTTACTGTTTTTTTAATCTACTTACTTCCATCGTCAACATTACTATTTTATTTTCATAATATTCTTTTAATTTTTCTATTTCATTATCTTGAGTCATTTAAGATTGCAATATTAGTTATTGTTACAATTATTGACTAATTTATTCATTCTTTTATTTGTAAGTTTTCACTTGATTTTATAATGAATCATTTTCACTATAATACTTATCAATAATTATTCCTAATCGTTCAATTTCAGCCGATTGCAATAGAAAATTCAATAATAAATTAGATGGTTAGATGTTAGAGAAAAGAATATTTTCCTTAATATTTTTTGCATTCAGTTTTCTTTTTTTAGGGTCTAAGTCATCATCAGTCAATCCGAATTCATTTTTAATCCACTCAATTTTATCATTAGCTTCCTTTAATTTATTACCTAAATCCTTCAATTCTGAATTCTTTTTGTTTATATCTTATTGCAAATCCTTTAATTTATTATCTTTATCTTATATTTATCTCATTAAATCATTTAATCGATTTCTAAGTTCTTCATTTTCATTTGATAATCTGTTTTTATCATCATTTAATTAATCTACCTCTTAATTTAATTTATCATTTTCATCTTTTAACTGAGAGGCAGCTTCTTTTTACCCATCTGCTGAATCTAATTCATCGAGACAATTGTTTAACTCTGACTATAATCTTAATTTATCTTGTTCTGCTGATCTAATTCTCTATTACAAATCTCCCAATTGTCTTAATTAATCTTACAGCTATCTTTGAGTATCTTATAATTATCTTTATTAATCGGATAATTAATTTTTAAGATATGCAATTTCTTACTCTTTTTTCTTTAATAATTCTTTGTATTATTCAATTTCTAATCTTAATTGATCTGCATCTCTTAATTTATTTTTCAAATCATTCAATTATTAATTTAATTACCCATTTTCCAATTATAAATTTTATGCGTTTTTCTAAATTAATATTCTATATTACTCTTAGATCATCAAGAACATCTAAATCATTTTTCTACTTATCATTCTCTCTTAGCTATCTATCTAATTCTTTTTTGAGATCATCAGCATCTTTTGCCTTTTTTTTCGTTCTTTCTAATTCCTAAAAATAATTTTTATGTATTTTACTTTTAATAAATCTTCTGGACTTCCTCCAAATGACTTTTACAACTTCTCTAATTCCTTCAGTTTTTTGGCTAAAGTGTCAGGATCCATTCCTCCAATTTTATTTTATATATCATCTAGTTACTTGGCCTTTCTTTATAAGTCATCTAACATTCTTTATAATTCTTCTGGAGTTTTGCCATTAAACTGTTTTTCATAATCCCCTAGCTTCTTTTTTAATTTGTTTAATTGAGACCTCAAATCATCTTTTATTAGCAATAATATTACTTACCAACATCATCATCGCCTATCTTTTTTTACAATTATACTAGCTGTTTTTTTTATTGTTCTAATTCTTTCTTCCAATTTGGATCATAGTCACGTAATTAGGTTTCCTATCGTTATAATTAAACTTCATAGTCTCTTATGAGTTTTCTCAGCCTCTCGTTATCGCTGCCTATTTTATAATTGTCTCTATTCTCAATAATATTATATACTGCTGTAATTATTGTAGCTTTTCCATTAGATCTCTTATTTACATCTCATAATTGATTCTGTCTAATCCACTATCAGATTGCTGCTTAATAGTAATTTTCAGTTCAGTGTTTTCAGCAATCAGACGCTAAATCTCTACAGCCATTAAAAAACATGTCACATCAAGTTATCCATTCAGATTTCTTTTGGCCTCTTTATCCCTTTTATTAGCATCAATACTTACTGATATCTCACTCTGGTACGATATTGAGGATGATTAATTTCCTCCTCATATTAACTATAATTGAACATTTAATAATAAAACATTCATATTGTATCAAAATAGGATTAAATTCACCCTCTATTGCAATGCAAATTTATAATGGCTAGTTTTTTCAACTCCTACTCCTAAACTTTATTGTTTTATTATATAGTCCCTACAATAAATACAAGTTTGTATTTAATTTACTAAATTACTTAAAGTATCTAAAAATCAATTAATTTTTGGAGATCAAATCTATGTTTCTTGAAAAAGAATTATGTTCTCTCAGTCGATTCCCTGTGATATCAACTTTTTAGAAAATTTTCATATTCTTCAGGATCTAACAGAGAATTAGCTTTACCTTACAGTACTTCAGTCTCTAATATATCTAAATCTTGATGTGTTAGACCCAAGCCTAATGATATTTTTATCCTTTATTTTATTATAAAAACTAAATGCTTACTTAAGAAACTAATAATTCAAAATTGTATTTGATGATTGTAGTAATTACCTGTAATTTATTCATGTTAATATTCACTCTTAATCCAATTCTCATATCAATGCTAACAAAACTGGTTCTGTGAATGAATCTACCCATATTATATTTGGGAGATATCAGTTTCTCGATGAATTCCAAAGAAATAATTGCTAAATCATTTATGATTTATAAATAAGTAGTAGAAATTAGTACTAGATTAAGCTGATATCAATCATATGTTAGAATGAGATAAACTAACTTTGATACTTAATGAACTATTAATAAAAAGATTATGTTAGCATGGTAGAGTATGGAAATTTATGTAATTGTTTTTAGAAGTAGGTATGTATGTAAATTGATATTACTTCTTCTTATAATAAATCTTCATTGTAGGATTTCAGAATTAAAGTATATCAGTTTTAAAAATATTATCTTTTCCATAATTTATAATGCAACATTAATAGATTTCTGATTTCGAGTCAAATAAAATGGTCTCTAAACAAACTTATCAATAATATCAATTGATTTTCTATTTATCAGTATTGGGCATAGGATGACTTAAAAAAAATTTAATCATTGCGCATATAAATTAATGTATTTATTACTAATATTTGAAATCCTGATAGTAACTGGCGTAATCGGCTACTTGATTCAAAGTTATTGTAGCAAGGATGTTAATATATATGTAAAAGGGATGGCACTGGTTTCATGGTTAATTAATTTTTTGTTGCTACTATTTTTACCCTTTGACATATACATTACTTATAGGGATTAAGGCGTTGGAAATATTTCGAATGATTACCTGAATTTGGCTGAAGTAATGACATTAATAATAAGTTAGACTTATCAAATTCTCTATTGGACGAATTTCATATTGTGTTGGACTGTGATTCCCATAATGCAAGAATACGAGGAATCAGTTGAGTTAGATAAGAAAGATAAATTCAAGAAGGCTCTGAAAAACAACGTGAGATTCTATATAATAATTTCTGTTGTGGGCATAGTTTTCGTTCTAGCGATTTTCTATACTGGATAGGCCTAACAGTGTGGTTTGGGTTCATTTTTGAAGAGCATGGCAAATTCATTTGGAGTAGCTCTGATAATAGTATTGTTGGGTTACGGATTGGTTATAATCCCAAAGGCGTAAATGAGGACATCCTAAGTGGATGTATAGCTGAAATATCTTTATTTCAGGACGGCGAGCATAAATGGGGAGAAGGACGATGCTCATCATAAATTGTTGGAAACATCGATGAAAGTATTTCAAATAAAGGATCAGCGATTCGAGAACGATGATATGATGTATTACCTCAACAAATGCTTAAATAAGATCCCAAGGAACATGCATAAGATCTTAAAGAAGGAGGAGGAGAGGAGAAGTTCTCAAATGCTCATAACCATAACTGGGGCTTTCTTTAAAAACAAGGGGCCAGAATCTGTGTAGGAGATGATGAATCTCTATTAAGAGATAAGAAAGAACTCATTGGAATACAAGAGAATCAAAGCGCAATGGAAGGAGAACTGTAAATCTGCTTATGAAATGGAGGACATCATAAAGGCTATGAATAGTTAAGATAAGAAAATTAATTTTTCGTTTAAAAAGCCAAGAGAAGGATCTTTGGCTTAATAATTGGATTTGCTGGAATGGAATTGGCTTTGTGTTATCAAACCTTAATTTAAGATAATTATATCTTTGATCTTCGGGGTATTGTCCATCTTGGTGTTGATCTCTGAAGTGACAATCTTTATGGGCACATAATTCACGATATTTGGGTTGCCTCTGCGATACGTTGATGGACTATTGAGCATTTCCTTTTATTCTTTTATTCCATTGCTCTACATAGCTTTCTGCGTTTATTATGGATTGTTCAAAATAAGAATTCAGGGATTTTATGGACTGTATGGGGATCATCAGACAGATGCACCAAGTCTAATGTTTGCCACGATCAACTTTAGTAGAGTGGGAGCACCGTTATGCTAGAACTTCTTGAATATGATTAAGTTGAAGTAGGAGACTGCCTTTAGATATGCAATGGGGAATGTATGAATTGATTAAGTTAACTATTTAGATTGAGTTGTTGCCAATATTCGGGATAAGCATAACAGCCTTGATGCCTTGTTTATTGATTGTGTTGTGTTTGATTAATTACTTTGATTTGTTCGACAAGACCCTCTAGTTGATTGGGATGAAGCAGTTCATTTTCAACAATACATTTTCTGATAGACTGATCTTCGAAGGGAGAGATGCACTCAAGAAGAACAGGTAGTATTTTGAAAGGAAAATGAAACCGGAAGGATGGTCAGACTCGTCTGAACCTTACGATATTGAATTGCAACAGAAACTAATGTGAAATTAATGTGTATAATTAATTCGATAATCGGAGTATATATATTCTGAAAGTGGAATGGTTTCACTTATGTCAGAAATAAATATATATTATTTATATTATGAAAATCGTAATTAGATATTATAATGAATGGGGAATTTTGAACGTAGAACAACTCAAAATCTCATCGAAATATAAAATATCTGAGTTGTATGATTAGGTATCAAATTTGACAGGAATTGATTAAAACCAACTGAAATTGATTTTGATATAAACAAATGAGAAAGTAACATTTTAGATTAAGAAGATTGTTCTTGATGAATTAAACCTTTACATATGTGATTATTAGATTTAATAAGGCTCTGCCATATTCGCATAAAAAACAACTGATCCTTTCTCCGATATGGCTTCTTCATTTTCATCGTAATTCGATCCCTCGCAATTTCTTGATACTTCAGCGAATTCCACTCCTGAACAAGAGACTATGTTCTAACTTATCAGAATGTCTCTTCTGAGTGATCTAGAACTCTTTTTGGAAGATAGAAATGATCGAGCCTAATTGATAAATGGAATTGAATTGACAGGATGGAATGCACTCCATCTAGTCACTTTTTTAGGAGATGACAAGATGTATTTATGGTTAATCAGTTCTGGAGGTGACATCTCCATTCTCTCCAAAGATGGGTGGAATTGCTTATAAATAGCCATTTGGTAATCAAACACCAAAAGTAAATTATTCAAATCTACCTAGCCCAGTGGCAAACTTGATCATTGGTTCCAATTCAATCAACGTCAATCAGATCACCGCCAAAGGAACTGCTCTACATATTGCTGCCTAAATTGATGATCAAGAACTGATAGAGTTGTTATTGAAACACCCGAAAATAGACATCTCAGTAACATTCCAAGGCAAGTCTGTTGTCGATGTGGCAGGAGAAAGAACTAAGAAAATCCTTTAAAAGGAACTCCTCATCCTAAGGAACAAACAATTTGACATCATCAATTCCTTTAGATAATCCATTTGCACATTCTATTCGCTCAATTCATTCTTCACCAATCGACCACAAAAACCTCCCATTATTAAAGGAAGTGCAAAAGTAGTTTCCTATTTCAAATTACTTCTAATTGATAACTACCTAATTTGTGATCCAGACTCAGGAGCCATTGCAAGATATAAGACTTCGATCCAATACCCTTTTAATCCCAAGTATTTTATTAATATTTTTTGAGAGTTAATTCCTTTGGAGTTTATAAATGAAATCAAACTATCAAAGGATCATTGGTTTCAAGACAAAAAGTTATTCTATCTAGAAATACAGTACTTTAACAAACATTTGCATATTGCATTTCAAACCAAAAGTGCTGCGAGATAGTGGCTGGAATCCATCAGAAATTCAATCGGGTATTGTAGATACATGAATCAAAAATTGAATTAATACGAATAAGAAAAACAAAAAAAAACCATTCTTTAAGTCATGATGGAAAAATAAAATCAAGAAATTGAAATCTTTGATGTTGAAAAACAAATCATCTAAATGAATCAATATGAAAAATCTATTTTAAGTTAGCATTAGATCTACAATTATACTAGAAGTGCCATCAAAATTAGAGATGTCCAAGTACTCTCACATCTTGGCAAAGGCACTTTTGGATAAGTCTTTAAAGTATCTCATCCAATTCTATGCTAGGTTATTTATAAAAATAAAATCTATGCACTTAAACAGTAATTGAAATAATAGGTCCTACAAGATGTCAAGTACATTTAAAGTGAACTAAGCATCATGAAGTATCTAAATCATCCATTTGTTGTTAAACTACATCATTCTTTTCAAGTGAATCTAACATTATATTCATTAGACTTAACACTATCTATACATGCTTCTAGAATATTGCGATAATGGAGATCTCACAAATTATATGGCTAAGGGCACAATTCTATAAGAACCCTAAGCCCTTTTCATTATAGCCTAAATTATACTAGCATTAGAATATCTTCACTCCTTAAATCTGATATACAGAGATTTAAAGCCAGAAAATGTTATGGTTTCAAAAAATAATTACATAAAACTCATAGATTTCGGACTATCCAAAGAAGGTTTTAATGTAACTCACACGTTCTGTGGTTCACCAGCGTACTTATCCCCTGAGTTATTGAATGGCCATGGAGTAACACAAAGCACTGATATTTATACAGTGGGTCTTCTGTTGTATGAAATGCTATCGGGTTATCCTCCACATTTTAGTAACAACATCAGAGTACTGTTAAATGGAATATAACATGAAGAACTCAGAATTCCAAAACACTTTTCTGGAACTGTCAAAAATTTCTTAGAATAAATCATCACGAAAAATCCAACTGAAAGATTATCCATCAAACAAATGAAAAATCATATCATTTTTGCAGAAATTGATTGGTTAAAATTAAAACAATAAGAATACATAGCACCAGTGCTAAAGAGAAAAGAGGCAAACAAGTAATTATAATCAACCAGATTGATTGATCATGACTATCCCTAAGATGGTGAAAGGATCAATGAAGTATTTGGTTGGGATTATTCTTGTTAAAATTGATTTATATGTGTATATTTAATGTGTTACTTACAAATTATTGTGATAGACTTCTGACTTAGTTATTCGATTAGGGAATAAATTACAAATAATTTGTAATTGAAAAAAAGACAATTATGTAAACTTTATAGATGATATCTAATGCAATATAATTTAATTTTTTTATCATCACTTAATTAAAGTTTCAATTATATATTTTTTGATAAGTTATTTTTTTATTTTTAAATTCCTTAAGACTTTCTTTTCTGAATCCTCGAAATTGATGTATTCAAGTGTCGTTCTCTCTTTTAAAGATTCATTGTCTTGAACATCTAAGACCTTCTTCTGAATAATTAATAAGCAAATATTCAACTCCTCTTGAAAACATTAGAGTGTTTATTCGTACATTTGAACATCCTTATTTTCCATTAAATGGAATTTATAAAACAAAAATCTAAATATATTCAATTACATAATACGATTTGGATGTTTTGAAAAGTTATATAGCCTTCTCTGAATACTCTAAAAGATCATCTAACAAAACCTTTTTAACTTACTATTTCAACGTTTTTACTGACTATTCGATGATTCGGATATTGTTGTTAATACTCTAAAGTTCTTCCTTCAATTATACGGCATATTTGGATGGATTCTTATTTGTATTCATATACGGGCATGTGTAAAAACTTTGCTCATGATCCTTTGCCCAAGGTCCTGAGCATTTAAAGCAAAAATGCTAACCACATAAACATTTCAAGTGAAAGCAACCCTCTGTACGTTAGATAAGTCTTCCACATTGGGGACACTTAGATGCATGTATTATTGCCCAATAATCATTTGATTGCTGGTATTCTAAGACTTTTTTTAGAATATCACATGGGATTGGATGGTGTTTTTCATTTCTGCATTTAGAACAAAATTTGATGCCACAGGGACATTTAATTGAATACGAAAAATTCAAACACTTAAAAACATTCTCACAATTCAATCCTATCGTTCTAACTTAAAAATTTACCTGGACACCAAGTAATTTAATCATCATGTTGCATAAATCTCTTAATTATTATTTGCTTATATTTAGGGTATTATTCTAAAAACGAATGAGGCAATCTCTCAAAACATTAATCTTGTAAACATCTCACCAAAGGTATTTGACTTGAGAATTAGATCTCAATCATTTGATTCCAACAATTCTTACAAAACTTATGATTGCAATTTAAACTAAAACCTTAAGTGTTAGTCGATTCACAAATTGAACAAATGAGGTTGTCATTAATGTTCACATGGGATTCCTTGAAAATGCCTTATTCCTCAAGTTAAATTTTGATTTATCCAGACTCGTCATTTAGCAACAGTTTGTCATATATGGTTGTAACTTCAAAATTGAAAAAGATTAATATCTTGATATCTTTATTTTAGTACATTTAAAACAACTTAAGATGTCTCTCCAATCTTATCTTTGATAATTTCTAGCCGACCTTTGAATTCTTAATAAAGGTCATTTGCACTCAATAACGTGACATTATTATAGATATTATTGTTATATTCTTCCTCTAATCCCGAGTACTATTCATCCTCAAAGTATTCGTCGCCCATTAAGATAAAAATACAATTAATTTAAACTAATTATTCTGTTGAGAATAATATAAGGTGGTAGGAAACGATTGATAACATTGAAAATAAGTTATATATTAGAAAAATGAAGTATAAATTAAACAATGAGCACTTGTGAATTACAAAATTAGGAAGAGATTGCATAACTAGATTATGCAAATTAATTGATTCTAGATTAATAACAAACAAAGTCTTATATTCTAAATTAAATACATAAAAAAATAATAGTATCTGTTGCAACATAGAAACTTAATACAATATCATCTGCTTTCTTATTTTTTGAATCCTTTTTTCTATTTTACTCTTTACATCAATATATTTATTATGATGGCAAATTAATTGCAATTCATCTAAAGACCCTCCTTTAAAGCTAATCTGTAATAGAATATTAGAACTATCCTTATGTAGGTAAACGTGTATTACTTCTTTATCTGAGTTTTTTAGTTCAATATTTCTAATTATTTGATTATTTAGTATTCTATTTTGATTTCCTATGAAAATATTAACTTCCATCCAGAAAGGGAATCTAAGTTTTCATCTTTATAATGCATTCTTCATAATTATTTTATTCTACTTTGAGATTAATATAATAATAAATTATAAATTAATAAAAATCAACAAGAAAAATAGTAAGAGTTCCAATTAATTAAATTAAGCTAGATTAAAGGGAAATCGAAATATCTCATTAACATTATTAAAATTATAATTTAAGCTTAAAGAACTAGTATGAAAAAGGGAGCAAAGAAATAAAATAAACGAGAATCTGAACTATAACAAATTGAAGAAATCAAATTGGTTGAAATCTATGGTATTAATAAAACTAATTGTAGAATGTATGAATGATCCAGACATTGAATAATCAGGTGTCATAATCAAACTTGAAGATTTATTGCTTGAAAGCCCATAAGGAGTTTTACTAAGTTTTGTGTCTTTTTACTTAAAGTTGGTTGGAATGGATCATTGCAATCAATATTTGAAGGGATTGAGTCTAGTCAATGTCAATTTGGAAGAAATAATTAATAAATTGGAATCTCTCTAACTTGAAAATTAGTCCAATTTAATTGATGAACAATAATGCTAATAAATTGAGCATAATAAAGTTTTAAAACAATTTTTTGATACCCTATTTTCAACTTAGACGTAGTTGCCCTTCCAATGCGAGGGATTTTTCAGATATACATATAACTGGCTTACAACTATCTCCTAAACTAAGTTTAGAACTGCTAGATTGGCTGCCTTGGAAGTCATTGATTTAATAATTAGTTCCATATCCCACTTCTTAGAATCTATAAGTATAATTTTGATAGATTAACCATAGAAAATGAACAGGAATTGAAAGAAGCAACTAAATTTATTAATAATATTTTCGAATATTTAGTAACTAATAGAACTTAGGATGTGTAAACTTTAATTAAGAGAAAAGCTATCCAAATTCTATTCCATTCCTTTTTGAATCCAGATGTTCCTACTGACCCCTATTATAGTTACTTAGGGTGTTTATTTTTAAGTGAAAATCATGAATGCAGGGAATCAGCTTTGAATGAATTAGAAAAGATCTAAAAGTCTTTGATTGAAAGTAAAAAATCTCTCTAACCAATAATTGATTTTCTACAAGAAGAATAAGAGGCTGTAATAAGCTTAATATTCGATCCCAATGAAAGTGTTCAATTAAAATTGATTAATTTCTTAAAGGTATTATCGTAGTAATACTTTATAGATGTTTTCAAAAAATACAAATGTAGTGAGTAATTTTTTTAAAACCAAGACTTGCTAAGCCTTCATTAGAATATTATTTGCAAAAAATCTTAGAGTGAGATATGAATCTTCCTTTTTGTTGCATTTATTTGAAAAACCAATTAAAAGTGTAGTAAAATTGACTGAATTTTACTTAACGTATGCACCTTTTGAAATTCAAAGCTATGAGGAATGCCAAAATTTTATATTTTCTTTTGTTCATAGTCATCCTTTTGTCTGCTTGCCTGAATAATACTCTCAGTTTTTTGAAGGGGATTAGTAAGAATAATTCTAGATTATGGGTTTCTATTTTTATGCATCGATATTATCATATCAACAGACTTAAACGAAATTCTGGTGGTTAGAGGTGAAGGATGAAGAAACCCAATTCACCGATTAATTTACTAGTTACTTTTTGAGTAAAGTTAAGTCCTCAATAGATTTGATTGATGAGGTATTTATATCAACCTATAATCTTTTAGAATTTGCTATTTCCTTATCTACACATCTATTAAAACTTAAATTCTAAATCAATACCTCTTAAGGATATTAAAGCAATTGTCATTGGAGTGTAAAAGATTTTCTAAAAGAGTCAGAATATTGGAATAATTAATCAGGTCTGCAAATTGATGTTTATATACCAATAATAACAATCAGATTCAGAAGTGATCAAAGATTGTCTAAAGGAATTAGTTAAGTATGGTATAAAGATTTACAAGGAGAAATTAAACTTTTTGAATCTTTAGAAAATTGAATGTTTGATAAAACAAAATTTAGTTTTTCCAAAATAAATTCTGAATCCAATCAGTTCCATTTTTGAAAATAAAGATGAGAAATCAATCATCATAAATGCTAACTTATTGTCCAGTTCACTTCAAAATTAAATCAGAAATCTATTAAGTTCTAATAAACCTTAAGAGAATGACCATGAGGCTAATTACAAAGAAATAAGGGATCTATTTTTTAATTATTGCTTCTAAATTTTGGAAAATAAAAATAAGGATCAACATCATATCACTATTTTACAATTAGTCATCAACAATTTAATTTATACTAACAATTTTAAACTCTAAAGATTGAACTTATAGTATTACATATCTTCCTAAACTTATTCATTATTGTACATCCATTTTCATAATTTTGTACTTTCTGAATTATCTAGATAAGTTAAATTAGAAAAAGAAAAATAAAATGATTTCAAAAGAAGGAAAAGCCGCCCTTTGATTGATAATTTACCTTAAATCAGTACTTTATAAATGGAATTATTCAACAATTCAATAAAATTGATGAATCAATGTCCATAAATACTAACAAATAAAGAATTTGGCATTCAATTCCTTTCTTATCTATTTGATCTCATGAAATCCAGTTGTTACTTTAGTGATTTAAAACCAACTATTTTAACATCAATTTCATAATCATTATAAAAAGTCATAGAGAATGATCAGTGTTCCAAAAAGGAGGATTTCTGGAAATTTGTTGTTGATTATTCCTCAATTCACTATTAATCATAAAGTGAAGAAAACTTTAATGAATTTGTAAAATTATGCATAAACTCATACATTGCTTCTGTTAATAAATAAAATGTTAATGAAAAGAGAATGAAATTTATAAATCATTGTGCTGAAATGATCCAAACAGGATTTTAAGATTTATCCAATATATTTCTATTTGGATTATTAAGCCACATATTTTATAAGCCAACAAAATTATTAAAAACATTGTAAATTGATAAACTAACCTATTAAAAATTCTATGCCTTTTATGAATCTAAGAGTTCAGAATACCATCAAAGTAATAAATAAGAAGAGGAGAAGAAGGAAATCCTTAAATCAGAGTAATAATTAAGAAACAGATTAAAATAATAAACTGGACTTACCACTAAAGAGATTAACAAAATAGTGAACAGGGTTTCAAAAAGTCCCGAGAAACTTAATGTTGTCCAAAAATGCATAATCGATAATAGCCAAGTTAGTAACAGTAAAGAAAAACTGAAATAAGACTCTGACGAAGAGTTAGAAATCCCTTTTTCAAAGTAGAAAGCAACTTAATGATATTCTCTTTACAAGCATATGAATTTATATACATTTTTAGTGACTTTGTTTAAATTTTCATAATCAAATGAAATATTAAAATTAAAATTAAATAAATGTGTTCAAGAGGCATATTTTAATTAAAATTCCTTCAAATATTCTATTGTGATTATGGAGGCAGCTCCGCAAAAATCAGATTATTCTTACCAACTTTGATTGAGCATCCTTTATTGAATCAACCTAAAATAAACTTGCAAATTTATATGAAAAAAAATACTCATCCATATTTAAATGGAATATATGTTAATGGATACCAAAAATAAATATCTTTAAAGGGATTAGAAGATGATCAAGAAATTATAGATAGAATTGCATTATTGAGAAATTCATGTATAATAATTTAATATTAATTAGTCGGATAATAAAGTGTAAGACATGCTGGTAGAAAAGTGACAACACTAACACCATCTATCTAAGGAGGTTGGAATGAGAATCTATTCAAGACAAATATATATCCTAGACATTAAATGGAAATATCTAGGTCTTATCCCCCAGTGGAAGTCCCAGAGCCAAGGATAGTACCACGTGATAAACCAATTGATGTTTATGAAAAAAGAGTAGATCCATACTAATAAATCTAAAAGCCAAAATTGGGAGTTAAGAAAGCAACTAATATTTGATAATAATATTAAATGTTAAATTTATTGCAAATAAATTAGTCATTCTAACAAAACTATAATCAATTAACAATTAAAGAAGACATCAATTGAGAGGCCGCAGTAGAAAGTATTATAATTCTATACTCATTTCCACATTGAGTATTTTTGAAAAGTGAAAAAAAATAGAATGGCATGAAAATTCAAAGAAATGAGTAATAGCTGTATATATGGTAATGGTTCCAAAGAAATAATAATAATCATAAAATTAAATAAACTTTTTACTGTGGCATGCATGGAGGAATTGTTATTGCATACTCTAAGAAATGTAAGATTTAGAATTTTAGCTTAACTCAATTTTGGTTAATTTATTACTAGCATTTAAACTCAAGAATTAATATTGATAGATGTTGCTCCTCATTTATTAATATATATAGAAACAATTTGGAAAATAGTACTGAAGAACACCTTGAAAAAAAACGGTTTATTCCTCAAAATGATCAATAATTTACCCATTCATAATCTCAACTTAAAAGTCATCAAAACGATTTCAATTCTTTCCAGAATTTAGTCACATTTAACATCAATAGTTTCTTCATAATAAGCTCCTATTCAGTAATTTGTAAATACATTAAGATTCCAGAATTTTCAATACATAATAATAATAGTCCATTTATCATCTATAAACTCTGTTTATACTATATTTAAATGAAAAAAGACTAGAAACAAATTAATTAAATTAATTATTAAGCTCTTAAGAACAATTCTTATTAATCAATAAGAAAGATAAATTGCAAGGCTAGCAGATAGTCTTAAATATATTTTTGTTATTGTTTTGGATAAGAAAGTGAATATTAAAAATGATTAAGGATCAAAATAGAAGGATACATAGTTATCTTTAATAATATAATTTTTGTAATAAGAAATAAATAATAATTAATGAATATATTATATAAAATATCTAACTGAAAATAATCAAAAATAGTATTTTTAGAAAATGTTTGATTATTGAGTGCATTGATGTCCTAAACAGGTCGAGATTTGGCTACAGTATTAGATTTAATAATAATATGATGATAATCAATCTTGTCTGACTCTTTTTCCTTCAACCCATTCAGCTTCAACTTCTCTTTAATCTTTGTCAACTAGAATTCCCCTGCCATGCTGTTTACCATCCTTCCAATAGCCTTTGTATTGTTTTCCATCAGACCATTTAAAGATTCCATAGCCTTCCTTTTTATCTTCCACATAATCGCCTAAATTTTAGAGGAGAGAATACCACTATATTACTTTCCATCTGGCCAATTGAAATCTCCTTTTCCATGCATTTTGTTATTTTACCATTGTCCTTTGTATTTCCTTCCGTCAGCCCAAATATACTCTCCAAATCCTAGAGTTTAAAAAATATAAAAGTACCTTCAATGTTATTATCCCTGAAATCCCCTTCGTATGTAGCTCCGTCACTCCATTTAAATTTTCCTTTTCCATCCTTCTTACCATTAACGTAACTTCCAATATATTAAGCTCCGTCTGGCCACATTTCAGTTCCTTTACCGTGTTATTAATCTTCCAACCAATCCCCTTCATATTTGGCTCCATCAACATGATAGTAGGTTCCTTAGCCTTGGGCTCTATCGTCTACCCAGTCACCGTCCTACATTTAAATAAGATTATACATATGCATCACCATCAGCGTGAATCAATCTTCCTTTGCCATTGGCAGTGTGAGCACTCCAAAATCCTTCATATATGGATCCATCAGGCCAGTATTATTTACCCTTTCCCCATCTTTAATGATTTTTCCATTGCCCGACATAAATAGCCCCATTCTCAAATTACTATAAGTTAACAATTAGTTAATACATAAGGTTCTAGTTCAATGCATTCTACATACTTCTGAAGAGATTCAGGATCGTATTGATATTCTCCAAGTCTTTCTAGGGTTTTGCGCACCATATCATTTTCAATGACGGGTACTTTATCATATGGTTTTGCATCTTCTGAGTTTGGGCCGTGGATAGATATCATTTATCTCTGTTTTTCTCTTGAGGCCTAAATGTTAAGTAATGAAATACATCATCTGGTGGATTCCCTGGGGCTGGTTCTTCAACTGGTACATGAGGAGGGTCTTTGACCAGTTTCACGTGTTCTAGTTCATCGTTCTAATGATTGCCTTCTTAAGGTTTCTCCGTTTCAACTTGTTGATTGAATTCTTCAGGAGCAGCATTAGTTAACTCGGTATTCCCAAGTTGTTTAGCAGCACAACATGTAGCTCCCATAACTTTAATATTTTAAAAATAATATTAATTTATCAAAAGAATATAATAACACTCTTAAATTGTTATAATAGCAATCTTTATCAGATCTTGTTACTTTTTTTACCTTGCATATACAAACCATAAAAAATGGAAGATTTGTCTTCTAATAATTTTTACGGTTCATCGAACTCTTTGGCCTCCCCTTAATCGATAACTAAGATTCTGTTTAAATTAATAACATATATTACTTATCACAATGCATAATAGTATTGATTCTATGAGCGATCGTTATTACTGTGCATTTTTTAAAGGCTGTTTAAATTGTCTGTTAGATTTTTGATTCTGTATCAATATCAATGTTAGCCGTTGCCTCATCAATCAAAACTATTTAAGACTATTTTAAAACTGCCCTTGCTATTGATATCAGTTGTTTCTCTCCAGCACTCAAGTTGTCCCCATTTTCAGATATCTCTGTGTCCAAGCCTTTCTTTTATAATAATAAATCTCCCAAACAACATTGCAAGGCTACATCATTCAGATCTTAATCTGTATGCTGATGCAATGGGTCAAGATTCTCTCTTAAGGTTCCTTCAAATAGAGTAGAGTCCTATAATATCATCGTTATTGACTCTCTGAGTTACTTCAAATTTAAAGTAGAGATATCCACTCCATCTATTCTAATACAACCACTTGAAGCCTCAAGAATCCTTAACAAAGATAGAGTAACAGTCGATTTTCCAGCTCCAGTTCTGCCTACCACTCCAACCTTCTCTTAACGCTTAATCAAAACATTAAGGCCTCTTAAAGCTGGGGATAGGTTTTCTCTATATTTTACAACTAAGGTATCTATCTGAATATCTCCTACCTGAGGCCAATTTAGGACATAATCCTTCTTTTATTTATAACCATTCTCATGTTCAATCTTAGCAAATGCCAAACATCTTTCAAATGAAATAAATTATGTTTCTGCTTAAGTAATCGAATTAATTGCTGATTATAAGCTATTGTCAATTACAGTAGCTACTGTCATAAGTAGACCAGCTAATGCAGGATTCTCACTTCCAAAAAATAACACAAAACCAATTGCAGATATATTTACTATGAAACTTGTGAATGTTAAATTCATGGAAAACCATGTTGTTGTTTGTAATTAAGCTACTTGTATTTTCCTATTCAAATCGATGTTTTTAGTGTGTCTCTCTAAAAATTAGTCCTATTTTCTAAATGCCCTTATTATATTCAATCCATTCACTGTTTCAGAGAAGAAACTTAATATGGGACTTTTACTTATAGATTCCAACCTATACAGCTCTCTATTTGCAGCCATATAAAATCTTTACACCTTCCAAACTGCATATAAGAATATCAAAACTGGCAAAATAATATAATAGGAACTGCTAAAAACATTTATTAGTGTACTTGCTATAATTTATCTAACATTATATTACCTACAAAATTTGAGCAACTGATATATAGAATAGATATGGTCCACAGAATTTCTGTATCCAGCACCGATTAATCTTTGGTCAAACGATTCATTAAAACACCTAATGGAACCCTTTCAAAAAATTAGCATAGTGGTGCATAAAGTAATTATCTAAAATATCATATATGAGTATTTTTACTCTATCATTCTAGTATGCACTTTATTTGCAGTATTCACGCTTTCCCTTGAGAGAGTTAGAATACGAATAAAAGCAAAAAAGCCAAAACTTAGTGAAAAAAACGAGAAAATCATGAGATTATGTAAGTTTTCATCGTAGGTTAAGTCATCTTATCCAGACCAATGTGCCAACCATATTTGGGATCCAAATCTGGCTATAACTTAAGTAATGACGACAATTAAATTGAATGCGAAGAATAAAAATCCTCCATTCATTTAAAAGTATTCTTTGTATACATCTAACTAAACACTACCAACCTTTCTATCTTCTAATATCATTAAATCATCAACCATATCTTTGTTGACAGTATTAATCTATTGTATAGATGATTTTTTTTTTTTTAAATTCAATATTTCTAATTCTTCGTCTTAATCATCTTTCTTGTCATTTTTTTATTCCTTGAAATATTTCTAATAAATTTAATCAAATTTATCGCAGCCTTTAATATCCTCCAGAGTGCCTTCCTTAATTATTGAGCCATTGTCCATTAAAATGATCCTATCAGCAAATTAACAAGAATATAATGCATGAGTAATTAATACTATAGTTTTACCATTCAAATATTCACGAAGACATTTCTCAATAATAAACTTACCTACATGCATATCAACAGCACTTATAAGGTCATCCAATAAATAGATATCACAATCACTATACAAAGCCCTGGCTAAAGTAATCCTTGCCTTTTACCCTCCACTCAAATTAACACCTTTTTCTCCAATCATAGTAGCTTCCCCTTTGTCTAGAATTTTAATATCTTATTCCAAACAAGAATATTTAAGAGCATCTCTGTATCTCTTTTCATCATATGGTAGACCAAATAGAATATTATCCTTCAATGTTGCATTTTATATCCAACTCTTTTAACTTACATAAGCTATGTTTCCATTTAATTTTATCTTAGGTGGCTATCTCGAAACGTTATACACCATTTCTCCTAAAATTGCACTTATTAGCGAACTTTTGCCACTTGCAACACTAAATTATATCAAATAATTGATTACTCTCCAATAATTGTTACAAACTCGCCGATTTCAATTTTTAACTTGATATTTTTTAAAATGGGATCTATCTCTTCATTCACTGGAACAACATCAGTAGATTTACTTGGATGCTCATTATTTTTAACTTTGTCCCAATAAAAAGTGCCTTCAACCTCAATTGAATTACCATGGCTTTCATTCTAAATACAATCATCCATAAGTTCATCAGTAAACAAAAACTTCTCTATTCTTTTTATACTAATATTCGCTTCTATGATTTAATTAATATAGCTTGGTAAAGCACTGGCTGATTACTACAAGATATTGAATAAACTTATAATGGTAAATGTGTCAGCAGGAGTGAGATTATATTAAAGCCAAATATAAACTGCCAAAGTAACATTCAAAGTAAGTTATGGTGTCATTAAAAATGCTAATGTAAATAATCCACTCACTATATTTTTCCTTTTGATTAACTGTATCTCCTTCTCTCTAAATCTCAATAACTTATTTTTAAAATATTCCTCAAAGGCATTTGCCTTTATGAATTTAATCTAAGAAAATATTTCATGAGCTTATTTGGTTCTATTATCTTTTGCAACCATAACTTATTTCTATAATCTCCAACCCCACCTTCCAAGTAAAAAATTGATGAGTAATCCTAAGATCATTACTCCTAAACCTGCAAGACATGAAATCCCAATAAAATCAAATAGTAAATAAAAAGAAATTCCAATCTAAAATGGTAGAAATATGACTGAAGCCACTGCTATATTAAATTGTAAGATTCTTTATAAATCAACTTACATAATATTCATTATTTCTCCTGTTTTGTATTATTTATTACTCTGAAATGATACATTCAGTGTTTTTTTCATCACAGATACACTGACAGCTGAATGCTGGTCATATCCCAGTTTTCTCTAAAAATTTTTCATTTAAATACCAACATATAGAAGCTATTTTAGTAGGATATCGCATTAAAAACTCTAACCACTATTATAATTCCCAGCCATTAGAAGCTTTTGCCCAAAGTATGCTCGGAATTGTCTATATAAGAGAGAGTTTAACGAATCATTATTGGACCATACATTAAAGAGATATTCCAAATTAAGATTATGATATACACAACAAAAAATTGATCTATATTTACTAATTAAGAATATACTTTTAAATGTAATAAAGAGGGATTTATAGAGTGGATACGTGTTATGCTTGTAAATCTAAAAGGTTTTGTTCATTCTGTTAAACAATGACTCACTTTAATCATCTAGTTATAGGTCCTTTACCATATCGAATTCTAAAGGGGTTTTATTAGCAAGTCGAAGTAGAGGAAAAACATAAAGAAATAATGTTCTTGACAATAACCCAGGAGGTCTAGAAGATTTATTTTCAAGAAGAGGCTCTTCTAAGGCAATTTTAGTATTATTCATTTAAATATATTAAATTAAATTTTGGCACATAATAAATGCGAAATTTCTTTGACAAAATACAAAATACATCACTTAAGCAAATAATTAATAAATTATTTAAATACTGTTAATTTCTTAGCAATTAATGCTAAAATAAATTTCTTATTTTCTAGACTCTCAAACAGCTGATTATTAATCTGGATAGCATCCATGATATTTAAACTAAACATATGAAATTTGCTATATACATGTCGTTTTGATTTAAGTTAGGGTCTTCAAGTAGAAATATAATATATTTAGTAAACCAATATACAGGGATTACAAGGTCTTTAATTAAGCTTTTCATTCTTACAACTTCCTTATTAATGTAAACCTGAAAATACTAATTCTCTGATTCCTCCAATTCAGGATACTCCTACAGCAATTGTAAGAAAGCATCTTTGAAAAGGTCAATATTCTCAATAATATAAGGGAGGAACAAAAAAATGTATTTCTTTTTCTCATTATAATCAAAAAATTAAGAAAATGCAGAAGAAATTAACTCATTTTGTTACATTGGACTTAAAGCAGTAAACCTAGTAAATGTAATTGTAGTAATCAAAATATTGTTGAAATTATTATCGATTAATAATTGTAAAATCGAGGATAATGAGCCTCCTAATTAATTAAGGATATTTTGGCATATTTGTTAGATGAATTCATCAAATGTGCTTAGTTTGGTCAAAAGACTTAAAAGATGTATTAAAATTTGATATTTGGTAGGAAGGTTAAAGATTTCTGTTTCAATAATTTGAATGATCTTGGCAATCAAAAGTAAGAATTAATATTCATCATCGTAGTTGATATCCAATAGATCATTAAGCATTAAAGCAATTTTATAAAAGCAGGTGGCTCTTATAATTGTGTGTTCAGGATTTATTCGTTTGCTAATCAATAGACTAATAGCTTCTTTAACCATTTAAATTAATTTCGAAGCATTAGATTTTTATGTTAAATACTTAATGATTTCTATGATAAATAGTTTACCCAATGTTTCAATTCCGAAATTCATGTCATTGCAATTCAATTCATAACGTTTTGGTTACATTACATATGGTTTGTTGATTCCAAAATTGATACACTTCATCATTTTGGGATAGATTTCTGCATGTGCAGTCATAACCTTATAAAACAGATCAGCTCTAATGTTAAGCCATAGGATTTCATTGAATTATGAAATATCCGTATTCCACGGAACACTTTGACACGTGGCCCATGCAAATAACTTATTCTAGGTTTGTGAAGGTCGACTTAAAAATTGATTTAGAGTTTCCAAGGCCAAGACCCAATTTTCATTTTAATAAGTTGATAAACGCATGAAGTCAAATTAATTTTTTCCCGCTCCAAATGGTCTCAATGAATTTAATATGCATTTTTCATCGTCTGCTAATGAGTTCTAAATTTAATCAAAGTTATTTGAAATAATGTTACTCCAGGCTTTATCTTGATCCCTCGCATTTTATTATTTTATGCTTTGATGAGCCCAATTACAGATTTAAAAAAGGGTGTCATGTTCTGCTATAAGATCTGATATAAATTATGCTTCTGTGTATGATTTGATTACCAAATTATGCTGACTATCGTAATCGTGAATAAATTTGCAATTTCGGCAAATTCGAGGGTAGGGTACATCCTTGCCTCTAATTTTAGTAAGTGAGAGTATCTGATCTAGGTCATTTAAGAGCAGATTGATTTGATATCTGAAATCCTCATTTAGTGAATTATGCTCATATTGTAGTTGTGAATTCATACACTTATTAATTTAAATATCAAATTACTAAAGAATGTTTTCATTTTTAGTCAAGAAGATAGGAATGCTTAATCAGGGCAAGGTTCACAGTATAGCTTGGAGTCAGGAGGAGGGTTGGATAGCAATAGGAGGAGAGTATGTTAAGTTGATAAATTTAGACATGCGCCATAAGGATAAAAGAAAGGTTTATTGAAAATAATAAAGTTGGATGATTAAAAGGCAGGTATTCAAGGACAAGTAAGAATCACTATAGATATTTTTAAGTAAGCCAAATTACCATATGAAGCTGCATTGGAATAACATATGGGTAAGGTGAATATAATAGTATGGAACGAGAGATATCAAAAATTAACTACTAGTGATGATCAAGGATAGATTATAGTGTGGATAAATTTGGGAGTAAATAATGAATGTATAAAAATAAATAGAATGAATGGATGGAGGAGATGGTCAACAATAGGTAGAAATCGAATGTAACCGATATGAAATGGTCACCTGATGGGTTCAAAATTGGAATTATCTATGAGGATGGAGCTGTCATAGTTGGATCAGTTGAAGGCAATAGACTTTGGGGAAGAGATTATCAATACAGATTAGGACTGATTGAATGGTCTCCAGACTCAAAGTTGATGATTTTGGGAACTGCTGATGGACAAGTGATTATACATGATTAGAATGGCAATCAATTAAATTAATTGAAAATGAGTTGTTTAATGGGATTAGTCGATCCCAAAAATTACACTAATCCTAATTAACAATTAGCAGCTGTTTAATGGTATGAATATGGCAAAATGTACACTGATGAAACACCCCCAGGTTTGCTAATTGCTTACTCCTGCGGTAGGGTTTAATTAATGAAAAATGATAAGGATGATACACCTATATTAATAGATACAGTCATGACTATATCATCAGTCAGATGGAGTCCCAATGGTTCAATGTTTGCTGTTGCTGGTAGCGCCAAGGATAAAGATGAATCAAGAGCCGTTGTATAATTCTATTCAAATATGGGTGATCATCTAAAGACACTCAGAGTTGCTAACACTGACAAAGTCAATAGTCTTAGTTTTGAAGGAGATGGTTTGAGATTGGTCATGGGTGTTGGTCAAACCGTCTATGTTGCCAATCTCAAATTAGATTACAAGTGGAGTTATCTAGCATAATCAGAGACTCTAATCTTTGCCTATCAAAGATAAGATAGAATGGAATTTACTATCATCTTTTGGGATACAAAAAGAGAATAAAAATCTATCAGATATATGAAAGGACTACTTGATATTAAGGGTTCAAATGATTGTTGTGTCTTGATAAGTCTCGTTGAGTAGGACACATGGAAGGTGGAACTTTGCAATTCAATTGGTAGTCCTTTGGATACTAAACTTATATCCATAGAACCTAAATATAATTGTATGACAAAAACTCATATCATTATTGCTAATAGTGACTATGTTTACTTATGGTAATATAGGAATTAGGTTTAAAGATTAACCACCTTTGAATCGAATTAGAATACAGGAATCAGAAAAATTGGTAAGGAAATGGCTTGGTTCATTGATGAAAATCCAGACACTTAAGTAATTTACGATAAAGATACCTTTAATTTAGAAAAACAAACTGAAGAAACTATTTGTGCAATACAAGCTAATGAAAATTATCTGTTTATTGGTAGAATCAATGGGAATATTCTAAAATTCACTTTGCCTTATGTCAGCGTGGAGCCTAAATATTTCTTAGAAAATAGGGCAAACATTATCAATATCAACTGTAACTCAACTCGATTGTCTATAATTGATGTGATGGGAACTTTATAGTTATTAGATATAATTGTTAGCGGTGGAAAATTATTAGATTTCGATAAAAAAGAATGTTGGCAAGTAGTTTGGTCTGATAATGATCCACTCTAATTTGCCGTCATGGAAAAAGGTAGAATCCATTTGGTAAGAGATATTACTGCCGATGACCCTCTCCCTTGTGATGCTTTCTTATGCTCGTAAATCTTAGAATTATCATTAGATTTTCAGAACTTACTGTCAAAGGAGCATTATTAGATGATATAATGATGAGTCCAGATGGTTAGTTAAAAGCTGATGAATTGCTTGTCTAATATGAAAGCAGATTATTTAAGGAAATCAAGGAATCCATTGAAAAAACTCCACCTAAGGACATGTTTGGTATCATTGAAAAATAACCTGTAATATTATGATTTAGTTTATAATAGTCTAATACTTTATGGTAGTTATTAGCTTAAAAGGCTTTGGAAGAACTAGACTTCTCAATTGCAGAAAAGTGCTATCTGAAATTAGAAGATTATGCTGGGTTGCAATTTATAAAAAGAATCTTAGATTATGATGAGAAGGAAAAATAGAAAGCAGAAGTATATGTGTTTCTGAAAAGATTTGATGAAGCTGAGAAAATTCTAAGAGAAATCGAGAGAAAAGATTTAGCTGTTTAAATGAGAATGAAAACTGGTGATTATTCGAGAGTCTTATTTTTATCCAAAGATCTTGTAGGCGCAGATGAAGTTATAGTTCAAACCTAAAACAAATTGGGAAACTTATATTGTGATCAAGGAGAGTGGGAAAAAGCATAATAATAATTCAAATTATCTAATAATGTTGAAAAATTAATAGAGACTTCATTCATGATTGAAGATTATCAAACACTTGAGGAATTAGCAAATTCTTTGCAAGAAGGAAATGCCTTATTATGTGATTTGGGTGAAAGATTTCAATTGCTAGGGATGGCAAAAAGTGCAATAAAATGCTTTGAAAAAGCAGGTGACATTAAAAAGGCAATTGATTGTGCAGTTCTGTTGAATGCGTGGAATTTTGCTGTTGAATTAGCTGAAAGACACAATTTTGTATAAATTGAAGGATTGCTTCAATAATATGCTGCTTAATTGTTGGAGCAAAGAATGAAATTAGAAGCTGCAGAATTATATAGAAAGGCCAATCATAATTCGGATGCTGCTCGATTATTATAATAAATTGGCGAAGATCTTATTAAAAGCGATTAAAGTCCGCTCGTTGTGAAGAAGCTGTTTGTTATGGCTGCTTTAGAAGTTGACCTTTACAAAAAAAAGTTGTACGATGTCACTATGACTGCTTAAAATAATACAATTGCTCACACTCTAGATTAACTAGTTACAAATGATTTAAATCATTCTGCTGATAAAGTACTCAATAATCCGTGGAGATAGGCTGAAGCTTGGCATTTCTATATTTTAACTCAAAAATTCCTCTATTCTGGAAACTACAAATATGCACTGTAATTCATCTATTATACTTCTAGCAAATCCGCCATCAGATTATGTGAATTTGAATTAGACATGGATCCTAAAAGGATATATTCTCTACTTGCTCTGGCTGCTTATTATAATAAATCATATAAGGAATGCGCCAGAGCCTTTGTGAAACTGGAGAACTTGGACAATATTACAGAGGAAGAGAGAGAGAGATATCAATCAGTAGCTGCATAAATATTCGTTAAGTAATGCAAGATAATTATAACGTAGGTATGCCCCAGAGGATGCAGTTTGCGATGCTATCCAATGTCCAAAACCTTCTTGTGGTAATAAAAAAATAACTGAATAGTAACTAATATTATTATTTAAAGTTAATTATTCTGTAAAGAATGCGGAACCATTTTCGGGGTTTGTGTGGCTTCTGGGAAATCTATCTATGGGTAGAAGTTTTACACCTGTAAAGCCTGCAAACATAAGATGATTGATTAGGAAGTCTAAAACTAAGCGTTAAAATTTTGTTCCCTTTGTCACACTCCAATAGATTTTAATAGATTTGGAAAGCATGGAGACAAGTAATTATGAATTAATAATAAAAATATCAATTTTATTCAATTTGTATCAATGGGTTCATTTATAGGTAACTAAAAAACTCCCTAAGGAGACACCCCATAACCTAATCATTAAAAAAGTCCTTCCCATTAAAAAAATCCTTCTTCTAATATTGATTTAACTCAATATTTGGAAGCAATTAATGGATGGGAAACAAAAAGAGCTATAATTGAGAAAAATGGTTCAGGTATAACTTAGAATAATGGGTATGACATTGATAATAACTTATTAGTGAAGGAAATGATGATTAGAAACAATAATAGTAATTATAATAATAGTAATAATTATAATAATAGTAATAACAACAATAACAATAATAACAATAATAACAATAATAACAATAATAGCAATAATAACAATAATAACAATAACAACAATAACAACAATAACAACAATAAGAATAAGAAATAAAAAACTAATAAATAAAAGATTAAGAAAAAATAGACTAAGAAATAAAAGATTAAGAAAAAATAGACTAAGAAATAAAAGATTAAGAAAAAATAGACTAAGAAATAAAAGATTAACAAATAAAAGAATATTAAATAAAAGAACAATAAAAAAACGAAGAAGAAAGATGCTTTAAAACAATGATGCAAGGAACAGCACCAGTTTTTAACTTTTTCTAGCCATAAAATATTTTAGATAAATTGCCTTAATAATTTAAAGAAATTTATAATAAGTACGAAAAGTATCAACCTCCTGATTAAAAAATTCAATTTGACCCAGAATTGCCATTATATCCCTTAGATGAGGAATGCTTTTATTAAGGAAAAATGGTTGATCATAAGAAATAAGGATTTGGCTACTTTTTAACGTAAAATGAATTTTATGAAGGTTATTTCTAGGATGACGAAAGGAAAGGTTGGGGTAGAGTTATAAATTGTTAAGGATATTTGGTAACATATAAAAACTATATTTTCTAGAGTGGGTAGTGGGACAATGGAACCTTATAAAAGGAAATGGATATAAAATAAAAGAATTATTCATACAAAGGATAATGTAAAAATTCAGCTCCTCATGGATATGGGAAATTAGAGAAACCAGAATTTATTTATGAAGGTAATTTTGAGGAAGGGAAAAAGTAGGGAAAAGGTACGTAAGAACTAAAATTTACGAATGAAAAATATGAAGGTGAATTTTTTGAGGATAAATATCATGGAAAAGGAACTTATTATTATTAAAATGGAAAACGCTATACCGGAAATTTTAAAAATAATAAACCGGATGGTAAAGGAGAGATGTTTTGGCCATCACCAGAAGAGAGATATTATAAAGGTAGAAATCCATTCTCAAAATTTTAGGTGATTTCGTCAATGCTTAGAGAGAAGGAAAAGGATATTTTAGAAATACTGATAATTCAGAATATGAAGGAGACTGGAAAAATGATAAATAGAATGGTTTTGGAAAGTATACTTAAGGAAATTTGGAAATATTTGGAAAATGGAAAGATGGGACTTTTATAGAGGATGAATAGCAATAATGATTATTTTATTAATCAAATTTTTATCCGTAAATTTGATATGGTTAGATATTATAATCTCTATAATCTCATTTTAACGATTTGAAAATTGCTTTGATTATCCAAATTTTGTTAAGTATTAATAGGAACATTTCTCCATCCATTTTAAAGACAAAAAGGACTCACAAGCTAAGTTGAGGTAAATCTATATTATTAACTACAAATAATGATGATACTAAAATTTATTATTATCATTGTTTCTAGAATTTAAAATAGTAAGATCAGCTGATATTCTATTTTACTTCAAATAATATAAATTAAAAANAAATAAAAGATTAAGAAAAAATAGACTAAGAAATAAAAGATTAAGAAAAAATAGACTAAGAAATAAAAGATTAACAAATAAAAGAATATTAAATAAAAGAACAATAAAAAAACGAAGAAGAAAGATGCTTTAAAACAATGATGCAAGGAACAGCACCAGTTTTTAACTTTTTCTAGCCATAAAATATTTTAGATAAATTGCCTTAATAATTTAAAGAAATTTATAATAAGTACGAAAAGTATCAACCTCCTGATTAAAAAATTCAATTTGACCCAGAATTGCCATTATATCCCTTAGATGAGGAATGCTTTTATTAAGGAAAAATGGTTGATCATAAGAAATAAGGATTTGGCTACTTTTTAACGTAAAATGAATTTTATGAAGGTTATTTCTAGGATGACGAAAGGAAAGGTTGGGGTAGAGTTATAAATTGTTAAGGATATTTGGTAACATATAAAAACTATATTTTCTAGAGTGGGTAGTGGGACAATGGAACCTTATAAAAGGAAATGGATATAAAATAAAAGAATTATTCATACAAAGGATAATGTAAAAATTCAGCTCCTCATGGATATGGGAAATTAGAGAAACCAGAATTTATTTATGAAGGTAATTTTGAGGAAGGGAAAAAGTAGGGAAAAGGTACGTAAGAACTAAAATTTACGAATGAAAAATATGAAGGTGAATTTTTTGAGGATAAATATCATGGAAAAGGAACTTATTATTATTAAAATGGAAAACGCTATACCGGAAATTTTAAAAATAATAAACCGGATGGTAAAGGAGAGATGTTTTGGCCATCACCAGAAGAGAGATATTATAAAGGTAGAAATCCATTCTCAAAATTTTAGGTGATTTCGTCAATGCTTAGAGAGAAGGAAAAGGATATTTTAGAAATACTGATAATTCAGAATATGAAGGAGACTGGAAAAATGATAAATAGAATGGTTTTGGAAAGTATACTTAAGGAAATTTGGAAATATTTGGAAAATGGAAAGATGGGACTTTTATAGAGGATGAATAGCAATAATGATTATTTTATTAATCAAATTTTTATCCGTAAATTTGATATGGTTAGATATTATAATCTCTATAATCTCATTTTAACGATTTGAAAATTGCTTTGATTATCCAAATTTTGTTAAGTATTAATAGGAACATTTCTCCATCCATTTTAAAGACAAAAAGGACTCACAAGCTAAGTTGAGGTAAATCTATATTATTAACTACAAATAATGATGATACTAAAATTTATTATTATCATTGTTTCTAGAATTTAAAATAGTAAGATCAGCTGATATTCTATTTTACTTCAAATAATATAAATTAAAAATATAAGTTTTATAAAGAAAAATATTCTATTTGATATGACAATCAAATTAGATTTTTTCATTATACTATGATTCTTAAATCTTCAAAAGGAAGACTAAATTATTAGATTTGTATAATTTACATGATTCTTAACTCAACAGACTTATAATTTTAGAATTCACAACATTTAATATAATTTTGGATAAATAGAGGAATTCTCTGTAATTGACAGTGCACGAGTTCTTTTTTCTAAGGGAATAATTTTTTATAAAATTAAAAAATGCAAAATATTTAAAATTAAGAAGAACAACAATTAACCAACTAAGAGCCTGGCAAATATGAATTCTAGTATTTTTCTATCTTAGAAAAAGAGGTTTGGTGTTCACAAGAATTAAGTGGGTTTAAAGTTATAACAATAACTAAATGTAAACGGAGGTGATGTATTTTCTTTAAGATACGATCAAGATGATTAATATCTTGCTGTAGGGATGTCAGAAGGATTGATTCATCTTTATAACTAAAGTATATGGATGATTTTATAAAAATAGATTAATTTACACATACCCTTGAATAATTCTAAACTCCTGTAACTGCTTTAAGATGGAGACCAAATTAAAGGTTCAAGGCAAAGGGGATATTGATATCGGCGAATGCAGAGGGACACATAATTCATTGGCATGCACAATCAGGGAAACAAATACACAAAATTGTAGAAGAGAATAACAGTGTTTTATGTTTGGACTTTAATTTTGATGGAAGTTTGTTTGCAACTGGAGGCAAGGACTTTTGTGTTAGAATCTATGATGATGACATAAAAAGTGTGTAGCATCAATTTTAATAAGCTGATTGGTATCCTTTATTCAAAACATTAGGGGTTAGAAGGGTCATGCAAATAGAGTGTTTGCAGTAAAATTCATACCAGATTAACCTAATATTCTTATATCAGGGGGATGGGATGCAAATATTTTGATTTGGGATATAAGAGACAAGCAATGTGTAGGTCAATTTTATGGGCCATCATTATCTGGAGATTCCCTTGATTTCTCAGTTAATAGATAATTGATATTAACTGGATCACATAGAACAGAAAATTAAGTATAATTGTGGGATTGGAGAACAAGAAAACTTTATTAAGAAATCTTTTGGACTGGATCTTAATCAGATGACAATAGATCTTATTATATATATGCAACTTAGTTTAAGTAATTTTTCATATCAAGTTAGTAAAGCAAATGAAGACTATATTTATGCTGGTAGTTCAGGAGTCCATGAAATCAAACTTTTTAGTTTGAAAGATGGTCAAGCAAAGGCTTCTATTCTGGGATTACCAAAAGGCATTCTAAGCATTGATTAAATGAATACAACTGATTCTATTGTGTTTAGTGGGATAGAAGGAATAGTAAATATTCTTAAGGCATGATTTACAATAAATAATTATTATGATAAAATATTTAATGAAATGTAGTTTCTCCAAGTTCTCAAAAGAGCTAGTATTTGAGAATAAACAAGGGACGAGATTGATTTTCTCCAAGAATATTCCTGAAAAGAACATGTTAAAAAAAGCAAAGGATCCTGATTAATTTCTGTAAATAGAAAAAAGGCTACAACTTTTATTTGATTAATATAAAACAGAAAAAGTATTGTAATAAGATTTATCTATACTATAGCAATCAAGTAAACTATGATAATTTTCTGAAAATTACAGATGAATTTCTTAAGATGAATAAGGAGAAAAGCATTTTTTATACTTTTGTTAATACAAAATTTCAAAAAGAAAATCATCCTAAATATTTTTATTTTTAGTGCTCAATGATTAATGAATTTCTAAATCGGTTCGATAAAGATATAACAGAATAAGAGGTTTATGCAATTCTAAACGCAATTTAAAATGGTTTATTTTATGTAGAGGACCAATTCTTTTAAAAAACAAAACAGGAAACTTATACTTAAGAGGAGGAGCAATATATATTAGATGTCTATTATAAATTGTGTGAAAAATTAAGCATAAACTTAAAAAATGATAAATAAACAAAAGCTCTATGCTAAATGATGAAATATATTAAAAGATATAGTTTTTCAGTTTTAGATTAGATCAATCAATAATTATTGACATCCAAAGATTAATAAATTAATTTAGAATAAAAACTTTACTATACATTGTTTTTAGTGAAGGCAGGGATAAATTATTTTCCTTCAATCATATATTAAGTATTGCTTTACATAGATTTAGCTAAGAGATGAGGTTCTATCAAATGAGAATATTTTAAGATTGCCTAGTTCTTTATTATTTTAATTATTTGAAATATTTGGAAGATGTAATAGGGTAGCATTATGCTCAACTGCAACTTATAAACTATTTACAACAATTATTCAAACAGCCAACTATTCATAGTTAAATCTAACCTAATAAGTGCTCCTACTTTATTATGGATCGAAAACTTTGACCATCTAACATGGCACATTAAAACCTTTGATTGAGTAAAAATTAAAAGAATTAGATTCTTTAAAAGGAACAAATTTTAAAATATTTCTTTTGACTTTATATAATACAAATTATAAAAGTTTAGGTTCTTTAAAAAATTTATAGAAAATAAAAATAAGATTCGAAGAGATTGAAAAAACTGCTCGTTTTTCAAAAGAGGAATTACAATTTTTTAATGATTTAATTTATTGTTTATGATTTTATAAGGCTCATTAATATAGCTGTTAAATTAATTAAATCATATTTTGACATTTAATTTAAAGAGTGATTAAAAAATCTTATCTAAGCTGCATCATATAATATAATCTTGATGTCTACACATAAAGATTAATTTTTGCAAGATTTTCTCGAATAGAGAAGTCGATTAACAGATTCTATAATTTTCTATTGAAAGCAAACTTAGGTTTTCATTTTACACCCAAAGAGGATAGTAGCAATGTAGTCAAACTAAAAATGTAATAAAACTCATCAATTGATTGTTTTAGTAATTAATTATTTATAAGAAAAGATATTCTAGAAGAAAAACATGAATTGTTTACCCTTTTATTAAACTTAAGAAAGAAAATCGATCAATATCTATTCTAGTTTATGAAAGTCATCAGCCTATGAGGAGTAATAAAAAAGAGTTGTTTGTTTTCAGAGTTCTGCTCAATAAGTGCCACGATAAGCCACATCACTTCACGAGTCCGGTATCCTTCCGCCGCTCATAGCGATCCCTATTGCTTGCTCTGTTTCCAGCCTAAGCCATTGCGAGATTCTTCAACACAAGTGAAACCCTCATTACTGATGGATCCCACAAGTGACTACGAGCTCGGTTAGGGCGGTGACTCTTAACGAAATGACTCAGCGAGCTCTCAGATGACAGCTTATCAAACATCCTCTTACAACCCACATAAAGTGACAGCCAAGTTGCCCCAGCCTGGGTTAAACAATTAAGCTTTAAACTTTATTTATTACGTGTTTAATTTTTTTATTAATTTATGGGTTTTGCTAATTGATTTAACACAAATTATCATTAATACAAGTCTTAGAATGCTATTTAAATCGAAAGAATAATATGATTACAATTTAGAAATTTTTGCTTCAAGATCTAAACCTGATTGAAAACAGAAAAATGATTAATCATATAAAATTAATTAGCCTCCATTTGTTATTTATTGCCTCAATTAAACAAAAAATTAATCTGGGCTCTAAAAACTCGCATGTTATTCTTTATGATCATCTACCTATGTTCTATATGAATAAAAGAATTATAAATTGAAATGAATAATTTTTTTTATACTTATGTTAAATTCATCAATTTATCATTTATTTGGATTATCTATCATCAATTTATTTCTTTATTTAAGTTTAATTCTCTATATTTTGTATATAATTTATTTTCAAGCATTCAATAACATCTATAAACTATACTAAATTCTAATTATTTGTTTAAGATTTACACTTATTTTTCATAAGAAGTATGTTCAGTTTTTGAAATATACTAATTTCTCAACATTTCTTAAATCTATTTAAGAATTTTTAGTTCGTTTTTTTCAATTTGATAAAGAATTTAGTATTTTACATCTTTCTTCGAATAGTATTCATATTTTGGTTAACAATTTTTAATTTGCTCTAAAATTGCGTTGGCTTATGTAATTGAGAACAATTCTTGATATTCAGAAAATTTTTAATCAGAATATTCTGTGTCCCTTGAATTGAATAAAGCTCATCAGTTGATCTGACATAAACGAAAATTAAATAGAGTAATAATATTAATTTAACCGAAATGACTGAGAGCAGAGCTTTGTCCTCTTATGATGGAACCTATAACAGTTTAAAAGATGTATAACGAGTTGGATCATATGAATGTGGAAATATATTAACAAACTTTAACAATTAGAAATACCCAAATTCAAAACCCAATCATTAGATGATGGACACAAAAACATACCTTGAATAGCTAGAATAAAAATATTGCAAGAAAACAAATGGGTATGATGATAGTGATTCTGATGATTTTTCAAATGATTGTTCACCTCATAAAGCAGCTTCATAGGTTCCGACAAAATTTTAGAAAAGCAAAGTATCAGCAAATATTCAGAATTAACCTGAATTCAGGATTCCAGTTGATATAAATTTATCAAGAGGTCCAAGTGAAATTGGGCAAGATTATAGGATAATATAAGATATGAATGAAAAATATGGAAGCATCGCATAATCAAGGATTACAATAGTTGACTAGGACGCAAAAAGAAGATTTTTCGAATTGGCTTTAGAAATGAAAAAGGACTTGCCATAACATCATCCAGGGTAATCTCTGTTGGTAGCCTAGTTATATACGGAAAGTGTTCAAAAATAAATATCTGAAAAATATTGGAGATAATGGTTATAAGCAAGGATGAAGAATTGATTATTACCTTTCTATGTATTTATTAACAGTATATATTCCACATTTTTTTTTCATTAGTGAATATAAAACAATACACTATATGGATTTCAATAATAAACGTTATTATGGGAAATTAATAAGGATCAGATTTTGGAGGGGTATATATCAGAACCGATAAACCTTTCTATTTCGCAGGAGAAATCATTACAGGTATGGAGTATCTCATACATTAACCTAGGAAACATCTATCTCAATATATACAGGGACGGATATCCTGGCGGCGTAGTATTATTGAAAGTATCTGGAAAAGAAAAATGTAATTGGACGGAAAGTCGAACCCGTAGTACTACTGGCCCTGATGGTAAGCCAAAGCAAACCACAGAATATATTACCTATTCAGGTTAAACATAATTTTATTAACATCGTGTGGCTATTTGGACCTTTAACACTCCCTGTTTACCTGTTGGGTAGTATACCTTTCCTTTTCAATTTTAACTGTTGGCTCATTTACCAGGATCTTATTTTGAGAAGGGATCCAGCTATTTAGCTAAAATTTCTTATAGTGTCAAAGCTGAAATTGAATCTTACAACAAATCATATAAAAGCATCTAACATTCATAACCACTTGTTGTTAGAGAACCACTGAAGTAGAATATGGCTGCATTGATGGGGGAGATGGAAGTAAAAGCATCTACTTGGTGTTGCATCGACTAAGGAGTAATTATCTAAAATTATCATTAGACTTCACATATAAAATGTGTGTTTGATAAAAATCATTATCTTCCTGGTGACACTGCTTACTTATGGGCTGATTTAGATAATTCTAATTGCAAGTTGGACGTCACAAGAATAGAAGCTCGATTAATTAATTACCTAACCTTAAGGGATAGAACAGGAAGGGAAAAACTTCTAACAAGAACTATTGTTTCATAATAAATTCAAGGAATCAAAGCAGGAGAAAGAGCAGTCGAAAATGAAAGGAAATAAATCTAACTTATTTTACACAATAAGAGTTCTCAAGATGGTATTCGTCCTTCATCTAATGGACAGTTAGTTAGATCTGTCTACAGATTAGAAATTTAAGCAGTTCTAGCTGGTAAATTCAAATTGTTTCTATAGTTTAGGTTGTACTTGTTGTAGCAAGCATCCTAAAGTAAATGTCCCAATTGAAATCGTTGCACCAGTCCCTTAAATTTATAACTAACCAATAGTTTAACCTTCTAATTGGAATCCTTAGGTTTTCCAACCTTAAATTGTATAATTTACAGACAGTACCATGTATTTGAAGGATCAGACCTAATAATCAAATTACAATTATCCATAAGTTCCACAACCACCACCTCCTAATCAATTTGGATAAATGTAGTAACCAATGAGTTGATAATTTATAAAGAAAATTTAATCCATATCAGAATTAATTTTAATTAATAATTATTTCTTTAATAATCTGGATATTGTTTTTAATTATTATAATAATAAAAAATATATAAAAAGTATTTTATTAAGAAAATAAATTGAATCGCAGATTTAGATTCCATTATAATTTAGAGTAGAAAGTTCTTAAATGATTTACAAATCCAATAAATAAACCAATAAAATAATAAATCATGTAATATATTGTCTAAATAATTATTTTACTTCAATGCTTTAAATGATATATTATTTCAATACTAATTAATTATTACAAATGTAACTCCTTTATTAAGTTGCTAACTAAATGTGATTCTCTTAAATGGCTATTTATACTAGTTAGAATATTCGATTTAAAAGTCATTTAAAATATCTTATATTTACATAATCCATCCAATCAATAAATTGTAGATTTATTTTAAATTTTAACTAAGATACCACAGTGATAGAAAATATATTCTATAAATTACTGTTACCACATACAAAGTATACATAAAATATGTCGCAAGATGTTAACTTTGCTAAAATATTATTAGCTCAAAATTAATTATTGCGAATAATGCTCCTTTGAGAAAAATTTATAATTATTGTTTTGAAGATTCAATATACAATTCCAAAATGACAATTCATTCTTATTATGCACTCTGCATGTTAAATATTAAATAGTTTTCAAAAGAAATAAAATAGTAAATTTAGATTAATTTTAATTATAATAAAAAATAAAAAGAGATTTTGAATTTCTTGTCACAAAGGAAGATTTCTTCATTTGATTTAAGAAGATAATATATATGAAGAATAATTTTCATTAATATAAATTAAATAATGATTTTTACATTTAATATTACATATATATAGTAAAAGTTGTATCAATAACAGCTTAACATCGATTATTTCTTTAACTTTATTATAAAACTATAATTATTTGATTAATTTAAATTACCATATTATGGAAGAATATGTATCTTAAAATAAATAATCATTTAATGTAAATTATTTTATTATTATTTTTGTTTTAAAGATAAATGAAACAGAATCAGTCAAATAAGTTCTTTTTGAAGATACTCTAAAGCATCCTATTCTGACGTATTCTCGACATTTTCATAATAAGTCCAAAAGTCTTCCATAATAGAAAAGTTTAAATCATTTAAATTCTAACTGTCTTTTAAATATTTTATGGTGATATAAATTTAAACTATTGAATTAATTGTAGGTAGGTTTGATATAATCTGGAAAAGTTCATTAATTGGGTTTTTTAAATTAGAAACTATCTTATTCTTAACTTCTTTATAGAAATCTTCCAAGCCTAATACATCTTACTAAAGTAATGATTAAAATATTTGATAGTTTTCAGTTGATTTATATAAATTTGCCTAGACAGCACTTAGTGGGGTCAGTTTTTGCAATTTCTGGATTAATGTTAAAGCCTGATTTAAAATTTCTGAGGTAATGTTGTATGTGATGTTATAATCAATGTCTGAGATAACTTAATTTAATCTATAAACTCTCATAGCCACTTTGTCTAAGAAAAAGATTTACTCATGAAAATAAAATAGAATATCTTCAATTTAGTTGATTTATAATTGAGTTTGTAACCTTTTAGTATGAGAATAAAATACTTATGATTGAGGTTGGACATCATTTCATTCAAGACTTATTTTTGTTCCTTATCTTTTTCTTCATTTTACTTTTTTAAATCATCTTCAGTTAAGATTTAGGAAACCAAAGACATTACTTTTTTATTCTTAAATGGTTGTACTTTGATGAGGGAGACTTTTTGAATGACCATCTATTAAATAAATACTGATGAAGATATCATTTAATTGTTTTAATTAAATTAGGGTTGATATTGAATTTTTATTTGTGGTAATTAAAATAATTCCTCCCACCCTATGCGATCTTTGCTTTATTTTTTAAGCATTCTTTAAAGCAATTAAATGATAAAATCAGACCTCTTTGGTGTTTAAGGAATATTCAAGGCATTATTGACGATGTCTGAGAAGGCAGTTTCTCTGTCATATTTTTTGTTTTGAATCAAAAAGGGATACTTATTATAGAGCATCCTATATAATATTATGCCAAGACTCCACATATCAATCTTGGGATCAGCGGTTGCCTCTTCTTGAATCATTTCTGGTGCCATGTAAAGAGGAGTGCCTTTAAAGGATATAGTGAGTTTATCTATTAGGGTGTTCACTATTTTAGCCAGCCCGAAATCAGTAATTTTATAAAATCGATCGTGAATCATGATGTTGGCTGGTTTCAAGTCTAATTTCATGATTAGTTAAGGGTGATACCTCTATGAATAATATTTTGCAGAAAGAGTTCCCGATAGCCACTGCAAAATTAGCCTAAGAAGTCCATTACTTCAGCCTCAGACCAAAATTTATTTTTCATTTTATCTTCCAAAGTACCACCATTGCAATATTCCATGATAATATAACAAGCTTTGCTAGATTACAGCTTCTTCCTCCTGTTGATGATCGAAAATTAAATTACTTGTATTGAACAAGGTTCTAATGATCACTTTAGAATTATTCCAAGACTGTGAGTTCGTGTTATAATGATTCCAATTTGCTCTGAGTCCCTATTTCCATTATTTTAGCCACCAATTGTTCTTCTCGATTGTCGAGATCGTAGGCTCTCACAACTTTGCCGAATGATCCTTGTCCCAAAATGTCTTCTGGCTCAAGTGAAATCACGTAGGATGACCCTTGTAATCTTTTGATTCTTTTCTTCATTATAATTTAACAATTACAGATTTAAATTAATGATAATTCAATTCTATATATTTATCGTATGATGGCATGAAGGACTTAAGATATTATTTTAATTAAATTTATAGCCTATGTCTTAGTATAGGCAATTAAATGAGGGCGAGTTCCCACCCAATAACAATCCTCAAATCATAACAGGGTATGAAATACTTCGTTAGAGTGTCAACTTGGGATTAAGACAAAATCAGGAGGCACGTAAAAGTTCCTTGAAAGCAGCCGCATTGGTTTCTCGATAGAGTTAAATGTACGCACAAGCAAAAGTAAGGCTCAATTTAATGTCAAGGAAAAAGGGATTGCTTTGAATGAAACAATTGTGAATTATGATGCTCCTACCAATAACAAGCAAGATCTATTAAAAAAAGCATAAAACAAAGGAGAAGAGTACAGAAACATGGATGAACATAAAATTGATGTGATTGCATTATCATAAAGGTAAGTGAAATATATTGATTATCCCTAGGTACGAAACTTCCTTAACAGACGGATTAACTGAGGAATAAGCTATGGCAAAGAACAAATAATATGGAGATAATAAATTAACAGAAAAGAAAAAGAAACCATGGTGGATTAAGTTGATCCTTGAAATGGTTCAGCCATTTTCAATTTTATTGTGGATAGCATCGATTATGTGTTTCGTTTTATATGGTGTTAATCCCAATGCTTTGGGTGCAAAATCGAATTTATGGTTAGGTAAAAATATAAAATTATCGCCAATAGCAATTATTCTGATAGCCATCATTTTATTAACCGGTTCTATAACATACAATTAATCTGCAAAAGCAGATGCATTAATGGAAGGGTTTAAGAATTTCCTTCCATAGAAATGTATAGCAATCAGAGGAGGAGAAAAAGTAGAAGTTCCTGCTGAGAAACTTGTTCCTGGGGATATCATTGAGATTAAAATGGGAGATAAAATTCCTGCAGATGTTAGAATTATCTAGTCAAGAGAAATGAAAGTCGACAATTCAGCTTTAACCGGAGAATGCGATCCATTACTTAGAGTAACTGAACTCACAAGTGAAAATCCTTTGGAAACTAAGAATCTAGCATTTTTTGGAACTCTATGCAAGGAGGGATCAGGAAAAGGCTTAGTTATTTAAATAGGTGATAACACAGTAATGGGTTAAATTGCAGACTTAGCAACAGGCGGAGAAACTCCAGAAACTCCTTTGAATAAAGAATTGAAGAGATTTGTGATTCTAATCTCATGTATAGCAGTAGGTCTAGGAATCCTATTCTTGATATTGTCATTAGTAGTCGAAGATGCATCTGTTGATACAGCAGTAGGGTAAGCTATAGGAATCATAGTGGCAAATGTACCAGAAGGTCTATTAGGGTGTATTACAGTATCTTTGGCTATCACAGCCAAAAGATTGGCTGATAAATAAGTGCTAGTCAAAAATTTGGAAGCAGTAGAAACACTTGGATCTACAAGTTGCATATGTTCAGATAAAACAGGAACTTTGACTTAGAATAAAATGACAGTTGCAAATGTGTGGTATGATGGATTAAAGAGAGTCGCTTTGAATAAACTTAAACATGGAAGGAATACTGAATATGAATATGATACTAATGATCCTACTTTTAGAGACTTACATGATTGTGCAATCATAACAAGCGAAGCCAAATTTAACATTTAAGCCAAAGACAAAGCGACTATTAATTGGTTGGAAACACCAACTATTGGAGATGCATCAGAAACAGCTTTAATTAAATTCTTTTAACCAATAGAAGATATTGAGAACACTAGACAAAGAAGATAACTAGTTGAGTTATCAGACAAGTCTTTAGCAAAGATGCCATTCAATTCCACCAATAAATTCTCATTATGTATTGTGAATTGGGAGACCTAGGATTCATATTATTGTGTATACATAAAAGGAGCACCTGAGAAGTTATGGACATTTTCTAGTTACTTATTAGTCGAAGGTAGAAACCAGCCAATCGATGAGTAGATTACACAGAAATTCAAATCCGTCAATGTCTCATTTGGAAAAGGAGGTGAAAGAGTTTTGGGATTTGCAAAATTTCACTTACCAAGATCTGAATTCCAGAAAGGATATAAGTTTAATTTGAACTCAATTGACACATTGAAATTCAAATTAGAAGGCTTTACTTTCTTAGGATTGTTATCATTAATGGATCCACCAAAAGAGACTGTACCTTAAGCAATTAAAAAATGTTAATCAGCAGGCATAAAGGTCATTATGGTGACAGGAGATCAACCACCAACAGCAGGTGCAATAGCTAAATAGATTGGAATCATCACAGGAAAGACAGTAGATGATTTGTTAGAGGAAAATCCATCAATGTCTTATGATGAAGCCTTTAATTTGGCACCAGCAATTGTAATTCATGGAGACATGATAGTCTAAGCTTTGGAGGAGGAGAATTAAAATGGAGATTATGTACCTGAGCATATGAAAGACAGGAGACTTAGGAGTTGGTGCAGTAAACCTTAAGTAGTATTTGCACGTACATCTCCAGCACAAAAGCTGATGATAGTAAGAGCCTGTCAATACATAGGACATGTAGTAGGAGTGACAGGAGATGGTGTAAATGATTCCCCAGCAATCAAATAAGGGGATATTGGTATTTCAATGGGTATCAGTGGTTCTGATGTCACTAAAGATGCTGCTGATATGATATTATTAAATGATGATTTCGCATCCATTGTTGATGGTGTTGAAGAAGGCAGAAAAATATTCGACAATCTTAAGAAAACAATTGTTTATCTACTGACTTCAAATATCACAGAAGTGTTCCCATATGTTGGTGAAATTGCCATCGGATTACCATTACCTTTAAGCAATGCCTTTATTCTCACTATTTGTATTGGTACTGATATCTTACCTGCTATTTCATTTGCCTACGAAGAAGCAGAAATCGATATAATGACTCGTAAACCCAGAAAGAAGGATGATCATCTAGTATCACTGAGATTAATCACTCATGCCTATTTATTATAAGGAATCATTGCCACCTCAGCTGGATTCTTCAGTTATTTTAGTACTATGAATGAGTATGGATTCCCTCCATAGTTACTTCTTAGTTTCATGAATACTCCTTACTAGAAGATACCTTGGCCAACTATTACATTAGCTAATGGATAATCATATGCTCCACCTCCTACCACTTGGGTATGGGACTTACCAAATATGAATAAGTAAACATATCTTCCACATTTTTAGTCCATTCTTAACCACTCAACCTTACAGTCCTGATTGGCAATAAGCTCCTATTCTCACGGTTTAAGAGGGATTCCAAAGAACTCCGCTTAATTGGATAAATCCGGAAATCATTTACTATGATTTGCGATACATCTTTGTTTATTACGATCAAAACTATTAAAGATGGTTCCCTACCTTTGAAGAATGGTAAAATTAAAATTCAGATAAACTCTGTCGATATTTCGATAGATCTGATTACTTACTTGAACAAAACTAATATCCCATTAATACCAATGCTTGTTTCAAGACAGCAGCACTTAAATATGCCCAAACCTCATATTTTGTGGCTGTTGTACTTGTCTAATGGTCTAATGTCTTCTCTTGCAAATGTAAGTGGCAGTGTATTATATTTAGAACGTAAAATGTCTGTGATTTACTCTCCAATTAACGTAGTTATGTTTTATGGTGTCCTCCTTGAAACTCTTATTTTTATTTTTATCGTCTACATTCCAGGAGTCAATAATTGGTTTGGTGCTAGACCTGTTGATATTTTAAATTTAGGGTAAATTAATAATTTGATTAATAGAATGCCTGGTCTTCCATATTCTATGTGTCTATTTTGTTGGGAAGAACTAAGAAAATACTTCATTAGAAATTATGCAAAACCAGACAAGTATTCGCCTAATTTCTTTGAAGCAAATTCATTGTGGTGAATTTTTATTAATAATTTAATAATTATTTTAATAAATTTAAATATCTTTAATCTTAAAAAGATTAATTAATTAATATTAAGAAAAGAATATAATATAAAAGCAAATATTGAAAACCATTGCCTCCAATTTTATTTTTAAATACAATATCAGAAAATTAAACCAAATACTTTAATAATAATAGTTATATAGTTCTAAAATATAATCATTCCTCCTAATGTAGTTTTTATATGAATTGAGAGGGTCCTCCATACTTTTCAATAAGTTTCTCAAAGTACACTGCTCTTTCAGCTGACATTGATCTTATTCTTTATTTACTATTATTTTATTTAAATAATTGAAGATTTGAACTTCTACTTTATTCTTATTATTAATTTAAAATATAATCTACTTAATCATTATACGCTTTGATTATTTAATCTAGATTAAACTATGTGAAAAAGGCATGCATAAGACTCATCCTTTCAAATTCATCTCCTTGTTAATTTTATATTTGTTTACACTATTCGAGCATTTCGAAACCAGCTACAGTTGGTTCCTCTTCATTATGTCTAGTATTTTAATATAAATATATACTATTATAACTACATTAGTCTATCTTCCTCTTGATTGTCCTCTGAAATGTAAACTTACTTAATTTCATTTGCAACTTCATTTGTGAGAGAGTAGCAACCTCTAGAATTATATTTAATTTTATCATGCCTTTTATAATTTTTGTTGGCTTTCTTTTAAGCTAATTGAAATTCCTATACTAATTCTTATTTCCTATCAAATTTAACTATGAAATGCAATTTTGGGCATCTGTAAGCAAAGTGATCAATTTGTTAGCAGCCAAAACAAGGTAGATTAAGGGGTGTGTAATCTTCATTGAGTTCAATAATGTGTTTGTTCATTTAAAACTATTCATTTTGAGTTTGAAATTTCATCAAAAGTTCCAAGAATTTCTTCTTCTTTAATTTTTAAACATACACAAAATCTAAAGTATAAACTGAAGCACTTCTTGGCTTGTTGCTAAAAAATCCTAATTCTCCAAAAGTTGAACCTTTTTCCAAAACTTTTAGGCAAGTAAATGTTTTTTATATGCATAACATTACTTTTCCTTAATTCAGAAAGTATAAACATCTTTCATCTATATTTTAACCATTTTCCAATTCTAATGCATCTTCTCCCTCCAAAAATATGCATTCTTCAGGTCCAAATATTTATTCCTCTAATTCGAATGGCAATTGAAGCAGCAATTCCTTTTCAAATTTATTCTATTAAAAGACTTTAGAATTATTTATCAGATCTGTATTAACTGCAGCTAACACTTCAACTCTCAAGGATTAAGATAACACTTCTAAAGCTTCTTTTTCATTAACTTATGTAGACTCTTTCTCGTATTTATATTCTAAATACTTCCTTACTCTTGCTTGTAAATCCTTCGGAATATCATTCGATTTTAGAAATTGATTGGCTTGACCCATCTTTTACCTAATTATTTTTTCATTGTAATCCATAGAAACAAATATCCCACCTATACTATTCATTATATAGGCAAATATACAACAGGCTAACAACATAACCACTATCCCAAATATTTTTTCAATCGATGTTACAGGAGTAATATCCCCATAACCAACTGTTGTCATTGTTGCAGTTGCCCAATAAACTGATGCGATGTATTTCACATACCATTCCTTATCCTGTATCCCTTAAGCTGTCAACCAACTGTTATCTCCTGATATATTCTCTTAATCAGCTATGAAATGCCAAATGCAAGCCAGCCAATGTGCCACAAACAGCATTATAAATGTCAATTTGATGACTTTGTATAATGAAATCATGGAGTTTGATAGATCAACATAATCTTCCAATTTAGAAAATATTTTTTTGAGCTTCAAAACCCGCAATAATCTTACAACTTTTATAAATCGAAAGAATTTTAAAATTCTTAATAGTTTCAGTGTATTTGCTATTTATTGCTATTATTGCTATTTATCTCTTGCATCCTGTTTTGAGGACTCATCAATCTCATCTGAATGTAATATTTCTTCTGTAGATGCATTAATAATCAAATCAAATGGGAATGTAGACACTATCATAACAATAATTATTACTAAGGTCGATCCAAAACCAAGCCATTAAGTAATTTTTGGCTATCAATTTTCTGTCATAAATATACTATCCTTTTTGTTAATATGAAGTATTGAAATTTATCAAAATGTCTAAACTAAATATTGTAATTGATGCAATGTTAAAGTTATCGAAAAAGTCAGATTCTATTGTAAAGCTAATATCCAAAGGTAAAATTAAAATTGCAAAAAATATAACTATCATAGTGAATAAATCCCAAAGGATTCTGAATTTATCCTCAGGTTTGAAAACCTAAATATTGCATTTATTAATCTCAAGGGGTTTCTTTATTATCATAACTGAATGTCTTTTAAAGCCATTTTCTATGGCTGTTTATATTCTTTAATTTATTTCCAATCTATGAGTTTTAAGTTGAGCTTAAGCTGAGTCCTGTCCATTATCATTGGCTAAGTCATTTAATATGTTTAATTATCTTTCATCAAATAATTGGTTTATATCCTCCAACTCCTCCTTGCATTCATTCTTTTAAAAATGTTTGGAAATTAAAGTCTTTCTTAAGTCACATGCTTTAGCTGTCAACATTCTCTCTTCCTCCAACTAGACAGATCGATATTTATTATCCTCTATGATGATGGAAGATTAATTCATATATATATTTAAAATAATTATACACAAATCAAATTCCATTAATATTTTTAAACTTTAAAATGAGAGTGAGCAAATTCTTAGAGTTATTAATAAATGCGTTTCTTATTAGATCCCCAACTATTCTATGTAGTTGCTTAAGAATTTTAATCTGTATTTAATTATTTATTGCATCTGTAAAAATAGAGAAAGCAGCAACACATTTAATTGAGTAAACTACCTCTGATTAATATTCATTGATTACCATAGAATCTATCAAAAAATATTTGAATAAATTTAATTCTGTATATACAAATTAACAAAAATTTCATTAATTTTAATCATTGCCTTCTCATTTATTGATTTTATAAGAAAACTTTCATTTATTTCAAGAACTTCTCATCATTACAATTCATTTCGAATGATGAATTAGAAGAAATTGATGAAGTTTTTAGGATATCTTTCTTTTAATCCTTTTCCTATTTAATTTTATCAAATATCTTTTTCCATTCTTTCTTATCCACATTTTCCATATATATAGTGGAATGAATTTTCATATCTGTTAATTTTTACCTAAGAGGTTCAAAATTAGAATATTCCGCCTGCATTTCAGAATATCCAAAACTTATTAGGCTAGTTCTTCTCGAAGCCTACCTAACAAATTATTGATTAAATTTTATCTAGCTATTTTCTAATTGTGTTATTTATTAAATATCTTATTTCTATCCTTAAACTTAATTTTCATGTTATTCTTCCTCTTCTTCTGCTTGAGTGCCATCATCACAATATCTGTGAATGAAGAATAACTAACTCATCAACCCTTAAGGTATTAAACACATTTTTATATTTTTTGATTATACTAGTGCATTCTCTAAACTATGTCTTTAATCTTCTTTTTACAATTCTTCTTAAGAGTTTTGCATGATCATCACTTGTTTCTGAATATTTAGAGTTTCGTTGATCTAAAGATTCTATAAATATTGCTAGAGTTTTTATTATATCAAAGTAGCAATTTCTTTGTGACTTCTGTCTAAAACAGACAAACATTTAGGGCAAAATTGAGTTAATGCTCCTATTTGAAGAATGATTCGCTATGTAGAGATGATGGATTCATTTTATAATTATTCTAGAATCGATTTAATGATCCAACTATCCTCTTAGAAGAGATCTTAGATTATTGAGATTAATAGTGTTATCTCTGAATGAGATGATGAAATGTCAATGTAATTATTCCACTATTTAAAGAGATCGTGAATATCCCCTTACTTCAGTAACTTCTCAAGATCCAAACATAGAGACTTATTTTTATCAATTAATGGAAATCGAACATTAACTGATTGATTTTAGTCCTAATTTAAAATTTTTATATTACATTTTAAAATTTTATTTTTAATGATGCCACTAACATATTTGATTTAGTATATTCTAATTATTTAGTTTTTCGTTAAATTTCAAAGTTTTGTTAAAGTTTTTAAAATTTATTTAAATCACTTCTGATCAGTTACATATTTTTCTTATATTTATTCCTTCTGTTGATCTCATTGACTAAAAATTTTATTAGGTTTTCATCAGTTTTTTCTTCAATAATTCTTTATTAAGAATTACGTAAAATTGACATTTGGAGGGTTTCCGAGATGTCGTTGGTATAATTATCAAAATATTCTATAAAATAGTGAATTTTATACTTTCTTTATTGTAGGTTAGACAATTTAGATAAGAGGTGAGTAAAACTGGGTTACTTTGATCTGGGTAGAATTTGTGGTAGAGAATGAATAAATATTCTAATTGGAGGATGAGCTCCATAAGTTCTTTGGTTTCGTTTTCGTCAAATCCAGGAGCACTTCTACTGAATGTTTAATAGATAGAATTGGTTGATTCATTGTTTTTGACTTACAAGAAGCTCTTAGCTCTTCTAAATTTAGAAATCTTATCTATCGTTTTTCCTTCCTATGACTTTTAAAAATTGTATATTGTTTTATTTAAGTTGTATGCAAAATCATCAAAATCTATAGAGTTCAATTTGTATTGCGAATGGGATCTGGATGCCTTGAATTCTATGAAATCAGCATGTGCCATCATACCAAATTTATTAATATTGATAAAATTTCAAAATATACAATCCTTTAATTCCCAATTAATGCGCAATATTATTTCATATGAAAGAATTCTTATTCATATTTAGTTTTGGTTCACTATTTTAGGTATTTTAAAATTAAATTTATTTTTTATCACTAAAAAAATTGAAAATCTAATACATGCAAATTATCGCCTTTGTTTCCTTGTTTTAATTCATTTTTACTCTTCTTATTTGTCATTTTTTATTTTACTTTTTCTTAATTTATTTTGATTTCTGTTTTATTCATTACTTAAAACTAGATTGATAGTTCTCCTTTTTTGGTTATATAGGTTCATAAATAAGGAAGAAATTTAAATGTAAAATTTGAAGTAATAATTTCAAATAATCACTCATTTTATAGTTTAATAATAGAATTATATGAAAATAAACTAATTATCATAATAAGGAGCAAATTTATATAAAATATTTATTTTTATTTTTAAATTAATTATATTACTCTTTTATTTGCTTAACTCGCCTTATTGTTAAATCTAATTATTCAAAGCCTTACACTTTCGAAATCATAAATAAATTGATTGGGCCACTCTAAAAAGTTAAGGTGGAAAATATTATTTCATTCCAATGATTATTTTTAGTAATTCGATTTTAGGTGAAATTTAAACGATATGATAATTGAACAAGAGATATTTAATTATTTATTCTATTATATTTAATTATAACAAATCAATTCTATGATAAGTTTTTAAGTTTATATTAAAATCTGTTTTCCAATTACAACCTCAAACAATAAATTTTTAACAGTACCATTATACCCTTTGAGTAATTATTCTCAAAAATAATATGATTAATGAATTACTGACTAATATTATTGTAAAGGAATCTAATTTCTTTCTTTCCCTTTATTCATTATAAATAATTCATAATCAATATCCTAAAATAGAGAAATAATAAGTTATTATTCTAGTATGATATTAAAGAATACAACATAGATTAAAACATATTAAAGTTTCAAGATTAATAATATTAGATTGATTCAAAATTTTAATAAATTTTCAACAGAATAAGGATGAAATAGAGATGCATTGAGTCTGGAATTCAGGAAATAGTATTTCTTGAATAGTTATCACAACAATATAATAAGTATTAGGATATTTTCCCTCTTTAAAGAAAGAATGTAACTTAAAATATGACATTCATAAAGTGATGTATCAATAATTATAAATTTATGTAAATAATGATTGAAATAGCAAAATATGCATTTTCATTATAATCAATATTTATTTCGAAATGATATTTTAAATACATTACTTGAGTTATCTTCTCGTAATTAGGTTTACAATTTGATAGGATAACAATTATCTGTATTTCTATCTTATTTTGCAATGCTTTTGGTGCTACTGTTTAATGTGCTTCTATATGAATTTAGAGTAATTTGATTAAATTGATCTGCCGATTCTTCAATTCTTAATCGATAAGTTCGAGGTCCAAGAATATTCATTTTTTTGATTGGAATAGGAATATTAAATTTTGCTGGCTATTATTACATATACAAATTTTTAATTTTATTTATTTTTTATGTAGAATGAACGCTTTTCTTTTAAGTGCTTTGGATGCTACTCTAGAATTGAGGTTTGCTTGACGATAAGAGTTTCTAGATCTACTATAATAGGAAAAGGAATTATTACAATAAACTTATACCTATTACAATTATTCACTGATTGTAGGAACTGAGATTGCAGGTTTCTGTCTCTCTGAATTGGTGATGAAAGTACGAGATACAATTTTATATTTTAACATTGCAGGATCGATCTTCGGCGCCAATTTCACTACTTTATTAGGCATATGACTACATTACCTTCACTTTTCTGGCCATAAAATTACCTACTTAATTGTTTATAATAGTCCTCATCTTTGTTATTTTTAATAGGATTCTCACTGTGATTCATTACATAAGAATCTTCCTTTTCTAACATAAAACTAACAAATCCATCCTGCTATTGATCTTATTATTTCAGCATTAATTAATTTATTTTAATAAACAATATATAATTATAATAATCAGAAACAACCCCTATCACTTAAAATGAATTCCTTGAGCATTCATAGCACAAAGTAGCTAAAGAAAATCATCATTATCCATTTTGACTGGTCTCTTTTAGAACATATCATTAGATTTCAAAATTTCATTTATTTTTAATCTGAATGGATTTTAAGTAGTTTATTGTTTCTCTGGTTGCTAATTGTTATCTTCATCATCTTCTGATTCAGATTCGTCATCTTTTTATTGATTTTATTTATCTTTCTTCTCTTTTTTATCCTTCTTCCCTTTTCCTTTGACATCCTCCTCTTCCATAATGGATGAAATTAATTGTTTGACATTGTTAGCAGGATCATTCACTTTAATTCCTTCTTATTCGATAACATGAAAATTATGTTCTAAAGTCTTAAGTACAGATTTGTTTTTAAAGATGGCAGATAATTGCTTATTCTTTCTATTGAAACAAATTCTCAACAAACCATCCCATTCGATATAGTTAATATTTGGAATAGGATTTTTGGGTTCTATTCTGACAACCGATGATTCCACCTTAGGAGGAGGTTTAAAGTTGTTTTTACCAACTTTCATCAAGTGATCAACCCTCGATAACATCTAAACATTTGCAGATAGTCTACAATATAATTCATTTCCAGGTTTTGCAACTAATCTGAATGCAAATTCTTATTAGAACATTAAAACTGCACATCTCCATAGTGGTCTTTATGCCAATAACTTAAAAACCAAAGGAGATGATATTTAATAAGGGACATTTGCTACGCATAAATCAAAAAATGGTAATTCTGCTGTTAAAAAATCCCCTTAAATCAGCTTGAATTTATCTGAATATTAGGAGTACTTAAATCTTTTAGTCAATTCTATAACCATTCGAGGGTCTATTTCTACACAAATCACTTATTTAGCTCTTTACAATAACAACTCTGTCAAATTACCTGTTCCTGGTCCTATTTCCAATACAATGTCTGTGGGTCGTATTGCAGCCTTATCTACGATCATCTATAAAATCTATTGATTTATAAGGATGTGTTGACCAAATGATTTGTTAAAAACCATATTTGATTTGCTTACTGTGTTTTTCATCTGAATTAAAAAAATAAAACAAATTTAATAAAAATTATTCACAATTTTAACCGCAACTTATCAATAATCTTAATTATTAACATGAGTAATTAGTGTAAATATTAATGTTTAGAGTACTCTATTTCTAAATTACTATATGAATTAATTAATATATACTGTATATATTTATTTCATAGAGGGTAATAGATGGGGTTCAAATTTCAACAACACACTATTTAGATGACCGATTAAAAATATTATTATTTAATAGAATTTAGTATTAATTTATAAAAGAACTTGAATTGAGTACAACAATAATTTATTCACATATTAAATCCGATTAGATATTCATCTGAGAGAGAACAGCACTTAAGTTAGATGTCCTCTTTTTCATTCGAAAAGGATCCAGGCCAATATTAATTAGCTGATCTATCCTAGTTTAGTAATCCAATTTATTTGTAAATCTTTGCAATTAATTAAGAACAAAAATAAGTTGGATCTTCTTGTTAATTTTATGGAGTAACAATTGTGGATTTGTCTTGTAATAGTTTTGTGAAACTTAATTGATATTATCTGCCTACATTTTCTTTGACAAATTTTTCAATTTATAATAAAAAGTCAACATTCCTTTTTAAGTGAAGTTATCGATATACAACCCTATAATTAACAATTATATTTTACATTGAGTATAATTCATACCATAATTGGTTAGTCATGGAATTCCAGTCAAATATTCCTACTCCATTCTAATCAGTTGCTTCTAAAACATAAATAGAACCAGACTAATATTTCAATATCATGGCAACATGATCTATGATAAGATGTAATTATACCATAATTTGATCTAGTTATCAATCTTTGTAGTTTAGAACTGCAAGATTTAGTTTGAAATAGAAGAATATCTCCAGTTTAACTCATTTGTCGAAATTAATCATTTGTTATTAATCGTTTTTTATAATATTAAGGAAATGGGTTCAAATAGAACTATACTATTGGCTTATTACGAACATTATCTATGAATTTTTTGATCAAATAAAACCATGAATTACTCGTAAGTCCTTTGAATTAAAATATTTTATTGTCATTCTTACACTTTAAACCAAACTCAAATATTTCATTGTTAGCAATTGGTTTCTTATAATATTAAAAATAAAAGAGACCTAAATTGAGTATGAAACTAGCTTTTTATTTTTTCTAATCTTAATAAAAACTTAAAATTCCATCCTAAAAATGACAATATATCTATTTGAAGGGTTGAAATAATTTTTTTGTTTTTTTCAAAATAAATCCTTCATGTTGACTAAAGTTTTCATGTGTAAACAATCCAGACTACATAATAGCAGATGTAAAAGTTGCATTATTTTCAGTTCTCTCAGAATTCAATCCTCGAATTTAATCGTTTTGTAAAATTACACTTTTATCATCCTACCCTTAGAAAAAGGAAAGTTGAGGTTAGACCCTATGAAATTACATTAACCGGTGCTATTCTGAAAACATTAGCCCAGATTTTAATTATATAATTTCAGGAATTTAGGAGTAATCCTCAATTACTTTCGGAACTCCAACATGTGTAGTTATTATTGCAAATGATTCTTATATATCTTAAGGAAGATTTTGTTCAATTATTTCAGACACATCGTTTAGAAAACTCATTGCTAATTATTATATTAAATATCTAAAGTATTGATAAACATTTGGTTATAAAACTTATTATTATTTCAATTTCTACTGTAGAAACTTAATTAACCTTGTTATGAACAAACTCCAATTAGAGATCCATCCCTATTGAATCTGACAGCCCATAATTTGTCATCCTTTTTGTCAAAGGGATTAAATTATTCAATACATTACCCAGATGATGTATCCCATAATCTAACTTTGTAATCAGATGAACAACTGACAACCAATTTATCATCTATAGGATTAACATCGATTGAATTAACAGAAGAATGATGCTAAAATGTTTTAATCTCCTTCATTTTAGTTAAATCAGTTAGTTTGATATCTCCATCATCTGAACTTGAAAAGGCTTTGAAACCATCATTACTAAATTTTACAGATCTCACCATTTTTTTATGAACTTTTTTCGAATGCAATTTTCTCTTTTCAATAGGATCTTCAACTATATGCAATGACCCACTATCTGTTCCCACAGCAATATTTGCATTATTTGCAGCCAAAGCAGATGCAAATGAATTTTCTACTGAAAAAACTGGGATTTCCTCTTGATTTTGATCAATACCAAAGATCGACAATCTTCCTCCTTCTCCTGCAGTGCATATATAATCTTTCAACCAACAAATATTCCAATTCTCCATTTAATCACATGCAATTTCTTTCGATTTTATACTCTTCTTTAAATCCCAAATACGTATAACGCTATCGAGTGAACTTACGGCAAGTAATTCCCCATTATTTGAGAATTTAACATCCACAATCCCTAAGAAATGCCCTTCCAATCTTTATGGCTCATTTTCCTTCGATACCTTATCCTTCCATAATGCCACTGTTTCATCCAATAAACCTGCAGCTGTGTATTCTTGACTTATATCTAGAGATGATATTGACTCCCCTATAGTGTAGGTAGATGCCACAGATACTTTTGACTATTATATAAACTATTCTTTACCATAGTTAATCAATTATATAAAATAAATTAATAATACTATTAAATTGATACATTCATTATTAGAAACAATTTGAATAATCTTATATTCATGTTAATCTCTTTTTACATGATGGAATTAGATAATAGACTTTTTAGCTATTAAATTGTTTTCAATAATAATTATTATTCATAAATTTGAATGGCTTTTTTTTTGTGTTTATTCATAGTATTTTAAATATTCATATGATTTTTTTATTCTCCAAATTATACTAAGAACTATGCTAGTTCAAATCCAAATTAATTTATTTATATTTCTAGGTAAGGTTTGCATTATTAACTCAAAATTTCTTATATCAGATTTGGTTGAAACTCTTTTTCAATGATTATATTTATAAGGCATCTTATCCTCTATATATATTTTTATTAAAAAATGATTGTTTCCAATATTAAGTAGTAATTCTGTTGTATTTCTATACTTTTTAAACTTTAGACCCATATGATTTCAGTTCATTACATATCACTTATCAGTTTTTAATATCTTATATTGCATAGATTATGCAATGAGCAATTCTAAATAATATTCTTCATCAAAAGTTTTGTGGATTTCTATTACAGAATTATAGAACCTGATAGTAGACAATGAATCACCGATTTTAATAAGTTCATAGCTTATATATAGAAGCTGTTTATAATATAATTTATGTAGAATAAAGTAAGGAAGAAGGAATATAAAAAACCTTTTTCTTAGATAAATGGGGTTCAGAAACAATTTGAATTCATATTTAGTTAATTTAAAATCAACTTTCATTCAAATCCAAGTTTTTTCAAACAAAGTTTATGGTTTTCAATTTCCTTTGAGCATTTTTCTTCTCCAAAAGAAACTATGCATTCATCTCTTAGTTTTCTTGTGTCTGGACATGCACAGCAAGGTCTTAAAGGCTCTACTTGTTAATTTTATTTCGATTTAGAATTATCCATATTTAAATTTAATTATTGAATGTTGAAACAATTTTATAATTTAAAAATCTGAATTATCAAAGTTGCTTTGTGAACTATCAAATATAAACTATTTATATGTATTATTATAAAAATAATTTGTAATACAAGGGTTAAATTTAGGTTTTCGTAATGAGACAATAATAATTGTAAATAATAATATCATTAAATTGATTGAAATGGTACTTTTTAGACAAAACTACGCTTAATAATATCGTCTCTGGTCTTATATTAGTGAATTAATACTTATCTGAATTATCTGAGCTGAATGATTGTAGTGGGGACTTGTTGCTCCCCCTCGGTAACGGATTTTCCATTTTCTTTACGTATTCCAAAATGAACTTTTATTTATTCTACGGAGTGGGACAACTTTCCTAAAATCAAACCATTATTATACCTTTTTTGCTTTTTAAACTAATTGCTGATATTATTTGGTGTGATTACTGAATAATTGTCTATTCATAGGTGATTAATTGGTAGGCTGTAAAGGTTTTCTTTAGTGCTAAGAAGTTCCTTTTCCTCTAATTGGATTGGGATTGACACTCCTTGATCTTTGCTAAGGTGTAGTTATCTGATTATTTAATGTAGTTTGAGTAATTTATTATTAGGATTTCTGAGTTTAAGACTTAATGAATTTTTGAAAGTAGATAATCATTTCTTCATCTTATTTTAGGACAGGACCATTCTGAGTAGAGAGTTCATTCATCATATCAATAATTTCTTTTAATTAATTTTAGCTCAATTAGATGTCGTTTTTAGTGTAATAATTCATTTTTTCTTAGAGTTGAATCATTTTAGCCCTAAATATCTTATAATTATCTCTGGCTTTATTTAATTTCTATAGGTGTTATTCTTCTTCTCTGTTTGTAGGTTGCTTAATAGATTTAGATGAGCCACAATATTGTAGACTGTCTTTTCTGACATCGATTTCGATAGAATTCTCTTTATTCATTTTTGATCTATCAGTTTCTTAATAACTAGTGTGTGGTCTGGATTATTTACTATTATCCTTATCCATTTTCAGGGAATCAATAACTGAATCCTTTTATTTAATCTGATCCCTGAGAAAAGTAATTTCTTTTTTAAGCATCTCAATTTGAATGTCTCTTGGATCAGTTCTTTCTTTCTTCTTAGATTACAATTAAGAAGTCAACTCTAATCGGATCCGCTCATTTTCATTAATTGCTCTTTCATATTACATTATATCATTCTTTAATCGATCTTCATCGACCATCTCAGAATTCATTTATTGTAATAAATATTCTAAACCTTCTCTGTTTTAAAATTGCAATTAATCGATTTGCTTTAAATTCAATCTTATTTCAATCTCCTCTTCTGTCAATTAACCTATAATATTATTAATAATTAAGTACACTAGAATGATACTTCCTATTTTAATGCTTCAATTTCAGCTTGTAATAAACTTACATTTTCTGAACTGCAATTACAATTACAATTTGTGACATCATTAATTTTAATATTTTAGACAATCTTTTTTTTTATTGCTCTGGCTCTGGAAGCGTATTTTAAAGTGTTAATACTCTCTTCATGACATTACACTACTTGTTATACGCATCCTATCATAAGAGTTTTAGTATTGCCTCCTAATGAGTCTTTTAAAAGTCTAGTTAATTTTGAATCCCTGTAAGGTACAAACTTCTTCATTGATTAATCACAAGCCAACATATTGATACAATTGCCGAGGGCTAATAAGCTTTTATTGATATTGGCTCCTTCCATTTGTCTAATTCCTTTACTACCTTCATTTACATTTGCTTTTTCACTCCCTGCCAAATCCACTAAGGATAATTTGCATTGATATTGTTAATTTACAACAAATAATTGAATAATAGCATGGGATCGAGAAGAGAATTGGTTGGCATTAGTTGCAGCCATTACTCTTTTTTAATTGCCATTAATTATTATTGATTTTGCTTGATCAATCGTCATAATTTATGATTCCTATACATCTTACAACATGACTCCTTTAATGGGATCTTCATTTAACTACAAACCAACCTAATCTCCTATTAAATCTCGTATTTGTTCATTGTAAATTTCCAAATATGAAATACTAATTTTAACGTTCATTTGGAATAATTATTCTAAAACCATTGAAACTAATCCATCATTTTCTACTAAAGGATCATATAAGTTGCCAAACATTGTGTAACTCTTTCCTGAACCTGTTTGACCGTAAGCCAAAATTGTACCATTATAACCTTAAGAAACACAATCATAAATCATTTATGATATCGACTAGTATTATATATCAAATCCTCTTACTGTATCATAGATATCTCGTGTGCTCTCTCCTTCATTAAACACATTATCAAATGCAAATGATCGTTACTCATAAGTATCAGGGTCTCGTATTGTTTGAGTTGGACATTCTACTTATATAATCTATTGATTATTTCGATAATACAGTTTCTTTTCCTATTCTCTAAGTGAGGAATCTCGATCTTCCCTCGTAAGGCTTCACTCTAATACTCACTTTAAATGGCTCTTGCATTATTAATTTAAATTTTAATAATATAAGTGAGAAGTTAAATCTTCAATCATAAAACATATTCATTCTAATGTTATCACTAAAAAGATTAAACCTAGAAAGGTAATAGAAATAGAGAAAATAACTGTATTTAAGATTTCAAAATTTGATTAATTGAAATCCATCAAACTTGTCATTGGTCAAAGAACACTCTATTTAAAGATGAAATTTATTTATTACAATGTAAAAATAACAATATTTCATTCCTATTATCCAATATCTTCCTATTTGATTTACTCCTCTTATTTAGGCTCCTTTTCCTCTGTTTGAATATGTTATTGTTCTGGTTAGTTTTCTTATGGCTTTAAATTATCTTCTTCTTACACTTACTGAGTGTGTATCACCTCCTCATTAGCATTTTACATTTGCTCTAATTGATATATTTAAATTTAATTATCTAAATTTTCTTTACTTTCATTTTCTTTGTCCTATTGAATTTATTAGTCTTCTTCAGTTATCTCTTCATCAGAAGGTTGATTTAATTCTGAAGTTTAGATAATCTCTTCTTTAACATCAGGATTAGAATCTAAATCTAATGGATCCTTCTGATTATTGTTATTTTAATTAGGTACTTCATATTGTTAACCTATTTCAGCTTCTGGTTCTTGTGCAATTTTTTATTCTTGTTACTCGTGTTAGATTTCTTCTTCATTTTTACCCTCATTATCCTCATCACTATTCTCAAAACTTTCACATTTTCTGAATCCTGAGGGTTATGTATATGCATATTAAACTAAAGGTTCAGGCATTATTATATTTGGACTCGAAATTTCTTCGGATAATTAAAATGTTTTTTATTTTGGATTTACTCCTAAGATCCACTCCTGTTCTTTTTTAATTACATCATTCAAGCCATCCATATATTGACTCCAATTCGAATTCGCTATTACTTAAATAAGACTATTACTTTATTGTAAAGTCAATTGAAATTATTAAGATTAGGTTGCATTCTAATGTAAATAATTTGAAAGACGCGTCAACACTCCTTAAAATCCAAATTTATTCTTTCGAGCATCATCGTTATTATTCTCAATTATAAATGTAATTAAATTGGTTTCGGAAAACATAGATTTTTGAAGTTACTCATTATTTGAGGCAAAAACGGTCAATACTATTTTTTCAAATAATAGATGCAATTAATTATTTGAAGGATGCTATTTGACAAGATTAATTATAGATTAAAATATGTTAGAGGAATAGAAGTTTTGTAATTCTGATTTACTTAATAAATTATTTATCAGTTGGATTAATGATAATTTACATTCCCCTAAAGGTGTAATACAAGTACCAACTGTAGATGTAAATGAAACATTAAACCAATCCTATTAATTTAAAGCCTTTGAAAAGTCTTTGATAATGAGTGAGAACAAAGGAGCTATATCTGGAATCTTTAGACTTTCTTTTTCTGTGTTCTCAATCTAATCTTAATGCTCATTTTAAAATGCCATTTTGTTTAAAAATTCTAACTATGCTATTATTACATTATAGGCGACTGCTTATTATGTTTATAAAGCAATAAACATAAAAAATGAAGGAGTAATTTGTTATACAAAATGTAATAACATCTTTTTGTATTCTTATGTTTAGGTTTCTTACTATTATACAGCTTTTCTAAACTACCCCTCAAATAATTCACATATGTTTTAAACTATCACTTGTGAGTAATCTTTTCCTTTCAATATTTATGCCAATCTTTGTAATAAGGAAAATCTATCATTCATATATTAATTATGCTATTCATAGTTGTCTTCCAAAGAAATCAATTTATCAATAATGTCTACAATATGTTTCAGATAACAATGTTTAAACAAGTTTGAAATCACCTGTGGATTGTGTTTCAAATGTTCCCAAAACTTTATATTAATCAATATAATTTACACAAACTCCCCTTTTCAGAATGATTGTATTTAAAGCCTTAGCAAAATAGCCTGCTGTTGTAACATTCAACGCGTCATCCTCAAGTAGTTGTAACAAATAATCTAACAAATTTGCTCTTATCTCTTCATTCTCCTTCAACTTTTCAGTCTTTTTCGATGTTGCTTCTAGTTATGTTTCTTAGTCTTCAATTTGATTATTATTATTCTTATCCGATGCTCCTAATTGCTATGTTTCATCATCTTCAATTGGGTTATTGATTCCATCAAATATTTCATCTTCTGGCTTGTCAAATAAAAAGTTTATGAGTTTTTCATTCTCCTATCCTAAAACCTCACTGGAATAGAAAGGGTACCTATTTTAATTATATATTAAAAAACTTTGTTCTACACGTCTTATCAAGAGAGTCATCATTAATTTCATTTACAATATACCCTATCATTTTTTTGTATTCCTGTGGATGTTAAATAAGGCTATATGAAACTATATTAATTACAAATCGGCAAATTTTGCTGAGCTTGATCCTTTTAATTCCTACAATATATCATCTTCATTAAAAATAGTCTCTATAGTCAAGCTTTCATTTTTTAATAAATTATCAAGTTTTTACTAAAATCCAAAGAATCGATTAAAGCTTAAATCATCTATGATAATTACTTGAAAAACATGAACTCAATTAAATATTTTATTTTAATATTTTATTAATTATATATCCATTCATTTTTTTTATGTTGCTTTCTTTGATTTAGCTTTTTTTGCTTGCTTGTTTCTTCTATTCTATCTTGGTAATTTTCTTTATCCAGCACTTGGTTAAGTTGTGGCTTAAGCCTCAGCAACTGCAGCCTTGATTGTTCTAGTTTATCTTGGGCCAGCTGGTTTTTTTGCAATTTTTTTAGTAGCTATTCAAATTCAAATAAAATCTTACCTGCTTTGGGACCTTTCTTTTAGCCTTTTGATTATCTTGCCATTTGTTTTTTATTATTATTATTGAAAAATTCACATTCTTTGATTAAGAATGAAATGTCGTAATTTTATATTAATTTGATTGGATAATTTATTTATAAATAGAATAAAAAGCTGTATGATATCCAAAATCTTAAATTATTTTGATGTAATATATGCATTTAGTTTAATTTTATATAAGCTCATTCTTACACTTCTCTCATTTCAAAAGCATAGTTTGTTCAACAATTTCTTATCTCTTTTAAAAAATATCTATTTCTTAATAAAAATGGCAACAATAGTTAAGTAACCTTTCTTAATTTCTACTGTAAATAAATTACATTTCAGTGTTTCCAAACGAATTTAATAATTTCAACAGTTAAATACAAAAATAATATACTCAAGATTTGATTTCAAAAATTCTCATATTGAGAGTCAAAGAGATTGAAGAAGCAGATTTATCCGTATGAAAAAATAAAATTCTCAAAAATTTAAAGAGTGAATACTTTAAATTTTATTAAAATTCCTTTGATTATCAGATTATTTAGTTTTTTTATTCAAAATTTCAAAAAACATTGTAATTTCTCAATGTTTCATTAGATTTCCTTACAAAATTATGCATTCTATAGATTAGAAAACGAAAGAGTTTATAATTAACAAAAAAACGAAGATTTCATGTAAACTATGTGGCTTAATTCTTCAATGCATTTATTTTAAAGTCATTCAATATAAGTATTCAACTTCTAAAGACTAATATAGAATAATATAAACTTTTAATATAATTTTCATAGGAAGGAGACATATTTGGAGTAAGAAAAGTTGAATTTAAATAAATGCAAATGGAATTTTCAATTTTTATAGCCTATAAATAATGAAATGGAAATAGATTTAACATTTATTGATGATAAATTGAAAAGGGTTGAAAGTGCGTAATTTAATATTTAATAATAAATATATTTCAAAATTTTGATTCGAGATTTTCATAAAATTACGAATTATTATAAATAAATAATTAGTCCTAAAGTTTATGCTTCATTAAATAATTATTATAAATAGATATTATAATAATTCTTGATGTATTTTATGTGAATAATTTTAATAAATAATATCTTTAATTAGATGATAAGAGCCTCAAATAAACTAATTAGATATCCATTTTCGGCAACATATGTTAGCGGGCTATTTGAGCATTGGTAAAAGAACCCTCAATCAGTTCCTGAAGGATGGAGACAATATTTTAGCGAATAAGTTTACTTTTGTGTTATAAATAGATAAATGGTGGAGTAGGAGTCTAAGGCACAACATCTTTGAATCCATTAGATCATGCTAAACAAATATAATTGCTATATCGCACTTATTACATGTTTAGAATGTTTTTCGTATGTGGACATTAGTTGGCTGATTTAGATCCATTAAGTAATCTAATATTGTGATTTTGAATTAGATCTACCTCACACAAAAGAATACGGAAGAGTAAAGGGTTCGAGACCAGAGATGACTTTGGATAGTTTTGGGTTTAAGAAGGAAGAATTGGATATCCCGATTTATTTTGGAAACAAGGATTAAAGATCATTTATCTATGTAATTAATAATTGCTATAGAATAGCCATTTATGGAAGCCAAGGAAGAGTGGACAATCAGAGAAATCTATGATAGATTATCGTAAATCTATACAAAAAAATATGGGGTTGAATACATTCACATGGTGTCAACCGAATAAAAACATTGGGTTGAACAGGAAATGGATAGAATAGCATAATGGAAACCAAGTAAGGAAACTTAAACAGCTACTTGGTAGAGATTAGCTAGAGTTGACTTATTTAATGAGTTTTTGAAAAACAGATTCACAACAAGCAAAAGATTTGGAATTGAAGGCACAGACACATTAATCGTAGGTTTAGAAGCACTTGTAGATCAATGTGTTCAAAATAAGGTTGAACATATCATTGTGGGAATGGCTCACAGAGGAAGATTAAGCACATTAGCTAATGTATTTAAGAAGCCATTAGAAATAATATTTGCAGAATTCTAAAATAAATATAGTAAAGAAATAGAAGAATCATGGGGTAATATTGGAGATGTGAAATATCATTTGGGAGTCACAAGAGATTAATAATTCCCAGATGGACATCACATCAGAATGACAATGTTACCAAATCCATCTCATTTAGAAGCTGTCAATCCAGTTGTACAAGGTAAGACTAGGGCATTGTAAGATATTTGTGGCAATAAACAAAACTGTTTAGGCATCATCATTCATGGAGATGCTGCTATGGCTGGCTAAGGAGTTGTCTATGAATCATTATAACTTGAAAATTTGACAGGATATTCAAATGAAGGTGTTATCCATGTTGTGGTTAATAATCAAATTGGATTTACTACAACTCCAATTGACAGTAGATCTGGATTATATTGTACAGATGTTGCCAAGGCTATTGATGTACCTATTATTCATGTGAATGCTGATGATCCTGATCTTGTTGAGGAAATATTCAAAATTGCTGTTAGATTCAGATAGCAATTTAAGAAGGATATTGTCATTGATTTGATTGGATATAGAAGATATGGTCATAATGAATAAGATTAACCTGCATTCACTCAACCATAAATGTACGAAATCATTAATAAATAAAAACCTGTATTCTAATTATATGATCAATAATTAAGAAAAAATGGAGTTATTGCAGATGATTTTGCAAATACTGAAATTAAGAAGTTAAACAATATTCTTGAAACTGCATATAAAAACATCTAAAAGGAAACTTTCGATAAAGTACATTGGGTACCTAAACCTTGGGAAAAAATTTAATAAGTGACCAAATGGGGAAAGGTTAAGGATACTGGTGTTGCTCTGAAGGATTTATTGGAATTGAACGAGAAAGTTAATAAATTACCTGCTGAATTAACTGTTCACCCATAAGTTAAGAGAATTTATGAGCAAAGAAAGTAGTCTATTGAATAAGGAAAAGGCATTGACTTTGGTACAGCTGAAGCTTTGGCTTTTGGTACCTTATTACATGAAGGATTCAGCATAAGATTGAGTGGTCAAGATTGTGAAAGAGGAACCTTTTCATAAAGACATGCAGTCATTAACGATCAAAAGAAAGATGTTAAATATTATCCACTTAGAAATTAAATACCTACTGGAGGAAATAATAGATTTGAAGTTTACAATTCTCCATTGTCAGAATACGGAGTCTTAGGATTCGAATATGGATATTCTCAATCTAATCCTAATGTTCTGACAATTTGGGAAGGACAATTTGGAGATTTTGCTAATGGAGCTTAAATTATGATTGATAATTTCATTACTTCAGGAGAATCTAAATGGAATGTACCCTCAGGACTTGTTATGATGTTACCACATGGATTAGATGGTTAAGGACCTGAACATTCCAGTGGAAGAATGGAAAGATTTTTATAATTAATGGATGATGATCCTAACATTGTATTCTAGATGAAAGAGTAGAGAATTAAGAGATAAATTCTCGATTCTAATTTCTAAGTTTGTGTTTGTTCAAACCCTTCCAATTATTTCCACTCTCTTCGTAGGTAACTAAGAAGGGACTTTAGAAAACCTTTAATTTTATTCAATTCTAAAAGATTACTTAAATTTTCTAAGGCAACTTCTGACATTTCTCTTTTCCTTGAAGGAACTAGATTCCATAGATTGATTCCTGATACTCATGAAGAAATTAAACCTCCTAAAGAAATATCAAAGGTTGTCATTTGCTATGGCTAAGTTTATTATGACATCTTATAGAAAAGACAAGACACAAAACGAAATGTAAATAATTATTAATAAACTTAGGATGTTGCCATCATTAGAGTAGAATAATTAGCACCTTTTCCATATGATCATTTCAGAGTAGTTGCTCAATAGTACGAGAATGCAGAATTTGTGTTCTGTTAAGAAGAACATTAAAACTCAGGTGCTTGGCAATATCTTGAACCAAGAATTTAAAATGTATGATCAGATTTATCTTAGGTTTTATCCTTGCTACATCAATAAAGCAAAATTAAACATCAATATTTAACATTTTGTGGTAGAAGACCTTCAGCATCAACAGCAAGTGGATCACCAACTGTACACAAATAAGAATTAGAAAAGCTTTTAAGTATACTCTTTTAATGAGTGTATATTTATTGAATAGATCAAAACTTATTGTATCTTTTCTTTCCTTTCTTTCCATCATCTGACCCATTTTCTTCCTCTTCTGCTTATTTCATGAATTCTGATTGGATTGAATGTAATTGCTTCTCGACTCGTTAGATTTCTCCAATGTCAATTTAAGGTTGTTTACGATGGAAATCCTTTCTAATATCATAAGTAGGTGGTGTCAGTCCACTATCACAAACTACCTTATCTCCGCATTGTCTTGTATTGCTTTTCTTTCCAACCCAAATCATTTAGCTGATATCATTAGATTTATATAAGTTTATATAATCTTTAGATTTATAGCTCTCTGTTATCGTTGGCAAGTCAACTAATACACCTTTATCTTAATATTTCAAACTGTTTATTGATACTTCAAATTCCAATCCTTTTCCAATTTTAGGTTCAATTGTCATAGGTAATTACTAGTTATTTGCAAAAGCATCCCTAATCTTCTCTGCTATTTCAGGGGGAAATCTTATAATCATTTGATTTTCCATTTCATATATTTTGGACATTGCTAAGTATTTATATATATTGAAATTATAAAAAAAAGGATGCATTTTTTATAAAATAATCACGCTCCTTAAATAATAATTATATTACAATTTATTAAATAATATAGGAACTTTATGTCCAATTCTAATGAAAAAGAGAAGGAGAAGGAACATCAAGAACAATATTATAGATATCCAAAATCATTTTTAAAAGATATTTTTATTACTTTACATTCGTTTGATAACCCAGAGAGGGATGAACATGAAGAATTTATTGATATTGAAATGAAATACGATTTATTTAGTTATGCTTATAAGGGAATTGCAGACATTGAATTAAAATTTATGAAGAGTTCAGAGGAATATTTGAAATTGAAAAGCATTGAAAAATGTAAAGAAACCCCTAAATATACTTGGATGTAAAATATTTATAGAAATAAAATGATTAATAAAGAAGATGATATGCTGGCTTGTGAAAAATGGGTGATTGATATAAATGGATAGAGAGAAGTCTCCTATGAAGTAACAGTATTATGATTACCAAATAGTTGGAATTTTTTTAATCTCAGAAGGATAAATTTTATTCAATTATCTACCCACCAACAACAATGAAGTTCTTTTATTATATGTTCAAGAATTATTGAGTTGAATGAAATATTATTCTGTATATAATCATATATATAATATATTTTTCAAAATTATTTGTCTTTTTTTAGTTGATTAATTTATTCTGAAAACGATACTTCTTTCCCTTTCTTTTTCTTTTTAATCTATTCATCAGCAGACTATTTCTTTTATTATTAATACTATTATAAATATTAGGTATCATCCTATTCTGTATTTTACAGATTTGACTCTTTCATTTATTGATATTATTGGAATTGTTATTGTTATTATTATTACTAATATTATTAATGATATGATTATTAAATTGGTTTATATTTAGATAATGATACAAACTATTGTTTTTCTTCTTCCTCTTTTTTCGTTGTTTTTTTTGGCCTTGGATTACCATTATTGTTGTTGAGGTGATTCAGGATGTCTACATTATCTCCTACAATTCTGTTGGCTGATGCTCCATACTATGATTGTGTATGCAATTCATAAGGAGTTAACAAAATAGGGACTTAAAAATAATATTGCTTAGCTTAAGTTGAATACTGACTGCCTTCATTAGTAATAATGGATAAATTGGATATATTGGAATTAGGATGATTTTGAAAGATACTTCATATAACATAAGATTACTTGTTAATATTGGCTCCACTCAATGCAAGATATGGGGATAAATCAACTCTATTAAAGTTAAGATGAAAATTTACAATAATCTCCCTAGTCGATCAGCTAGAGGGGCTAATTAGGCAGCCAACAGTGAAGTCTCATAATAAACATAATTTTCCTTGAATTCTTTGGAAATGTTAGGAGCATCCCTTTGATTATCAACTGACATGTCTTGACTACTGTTCTCCTCTTCTTCTGCAATATTTTCAGCCATCATTGTATTATGATTATGGCCAACAAAATACGTAGTTAATTTTGAGATATCAGATCTAATTAGTTCAACAATATACTTCATAGATTTAATTGATGATGTTTCATAATCAATAGAAATCTTGTCTGATTTCATGGACTTCATAGATTTAAGAGATGTAACATCATCCTACTTCTCCACTTTTTCTTCCTGGATTCTTCTTTGTTCTTCAATCATTCCAGTTATAAGATTAGACATATCAGCCTTTTTGTTTTAAGGGATCGATTTGTCTTCCACACTGTCAGCCAATCTAGACATCATGTTGCCAGCTCTAGATAACAACATAGCCGTTTGACCGAGCAGTTCACTAAACGTCCATAACTGTTGTTATTCGTGATTATTTAAGATGGGAGACATATGATAAGTCTTTTGTATTGTGTGAGATCTGAATAATGCTAATCTATTTGATGGAACTCCTATCCATTCCTCTCCATTTTGATGAATAATTAAAACCTGACTTTATTATTTTTATCCAACATAACCTTCAATCCATTCCCCATAGACATCCTTGAAATCGATCCATTAACCGAGTTCAAAGTCTTTTTAGGCAAATATTTATCCTTATTCTATGGCTTCGGCTACTGTGTTGAATGATTATAAAAGATTATGCAATGTCATAACATTCTATTGCAAAGAATTCCTCGTTGGTAGTTATTGAAATCCGTGTAATCTTTACTATAGAACCTTTTTCCTAGAGTTTCTTCTGTTCTCTTGTATATCGACTGTATATGTGCTATATAAATACAACTATTCCGATTGTCATGTTCATCAATCGAACTGGTAGATAAACCTCTATTTAAAGGGGAGGATTCAAATTCAGGCATATTGGCAACCAAATGAACAACACATTAATCCTCAATGTTCAAAGAAATCAAAGTATCCTCATTATTGAGTTATCTTCCCTTAAACAACAATCTCTGTCTTGATGATGGAATGCTTGAGACCTTGGTTAAACATGACAAGTTACTATTTCGATTAAATTTTTCAGTTCATTCACTGTTTGGCTCTATTTAATTCGAACATCTAAAGTATGATTATCCAAGGTCTTGATCTTCACACAGATTTCTTCATTAAATTATTCATCTTTTAAATTCATTTATTATATTTTAATTTATATGCTTTATCAAAATCTAATGTTTATTTTTCTCTCTTCTTCTTAACTTTCTTAACTTTACCCTTATCATATTCTTTATCATAGGCATCCTTCACTTTAACCTACTCATCTACATCATCCTAACTTAATTGGAAGATTCTTTCTCTTTTAATGATTTTTATTTTTTTTCCAAGGGACAGTTTTTTAACCTTATTCTTTCTGCACTTCAATTTCTTAATTCTAAAACTAAAGACTAATTCATTACAATTTTAGGTATTTCTTGGGGTTAATTTTGATAACAATTTGCTTGTGAATTTTTTTCTTCAGAGTTTCCTTCCTATCAAACTTATTCTATATATCTCTGTTTATTTATCTTCTGTCTTCATCTGTTAGATTCCTCTTCTTTTATGGTAATTAATTCTTTAACTACAAATGCTACTGCTCCTTTCCTCCTATCGTATATGAATAAATGAATTCAACTGGTTAATAAATTTAATTATTAATCATACAATAAATAATTATCAATCAAATTATAAGGTTGTAAATTATGTTTTCAACATGCACATGCATTATAATATTTGATTCCTATCACATTTCTACATCTTGGACATAGTTGCCTCCTGTCTTTACATGCATTTGAACTATAAGGAATTAGACAACCAAAAATATTGAGAATAAAAAATAAAAGAAACGCACAAAGAAATGTTTAACCTGTAGCCTCATATTCACAAGAGGAAACCGAATCCATTCTACAATGATTACAATAAAAAAGAGTTGGCCCTTCATAATCTTAAATTGTTTAATTCATCAATACCATCAAGCTCTGTGGGCAGGTTCATTCGATTCTCAATTCCCTATGAACTTAATTGTTATCCAAGGCTCATAGTATTAGTCTTGATTGGTTCAGTTTCATAACTAATATTTAATTAATAAGGATCATCTATCTTATTCATTATAATTTTATTTCAATGAAGAAAATACGTAAAAGACAATAATAATTTACAATATCCTATCTAAATTAATACTAAAAACATAACTCTAATCCTTCACTAAGATTCTAAATTGATGCTTTCTTTGATTCTATCTCTAAAGGAAAACACCTTAAACTAGACCCCATCCCCCTTGTAAAACTTATTCTAGAACTCCACCCTATATTGTAATTAGTCATCTGTACCAATGTAATCTTAAGGAATGCAAAAAACATTCCATACTATCCATGCACATCAAAACTCCAAAGGTTATCAAGGCCCAGAATGGAAACCCGATCATTAAACTAATTGGCTATCCATGATTTATTGGTTGAACTAACAACAATTCAAAGAAAACTTCTGATAGTTATGAATGAGCCAAGCTCAATGCCCATAACCTTAGATAGCTTGCCGTATTCGATATTACTCCAAGGACATACTCCAATGTCTCAATTGTTTCGTGAACAATCAGATCTTAGAATCCTTGATGTGATGCATTCTTTTATTTAATGAAGATTGTTGATTCTTGCATTTCTGCATTTGGTTAACTGTATTTTGTATCGATCTATTCATGACTATAAGAATGAGTTTATGTCATTTCAATCCCTGGTTCTTCTACCAATTATCCGTAATCTATTCTGTGAGTCTTACGTTTACCTTCGTTTTATTGATAACCTCCCTATTATAGCAAGTGACTAATAATTGATGGAAACCACATCCAAGGTATTGTGATGATTGTCATTACTAAATGCTATACAAAAATATACATAAGAGACAATATTAAATGTAGTCTTGAGAGTCTCCCTCCCACATTTGAGGACCTGATATTCTCCCTAAGTTCAAAATCATTGATATCATAGTTGTTATAATGCTTGGCGCATTTTAAGGTTCAAAATGATTCAACCATTTGTATATGATCAAAAATACCATATACCCAATTGTACAGACCAAAAATAGTAATTATGGTAGGAATTTACATGATAATTTTAGCCAATCCCCCAAAAATAGATAATTTAAACCACTCAATGAAATTCCTAACAACATATGGCAAAATGCTATTATGATGCTTAGCTTCATTTTAAATGAGTCATTGAATTCTAAATGGCCTCCCCACATTGGATCAATTCCAAAAGGATATACACATTCCTCCTCTGATCTGTAGCATGTTTAGAATAAATTCAAAGATAAACTCAAATAATCATTATATATTAATCCTGAATAAAAGCTAAATGCACCCATCAATAGGATCAGATATCTTAAATTATAGAATGATTTATTCTTAAACAAACACAAATAAGATCCAAACATGAATAAGGCAAATCCATGACCTATATCTCCGAACATCACTCCAAATAAAAATGGAAAAGTAATTATTGTTACTATTGCAGGATTAATCTCTTGATATCTTGGAATCCCATATGTATTGACTATCTCTTAAAAAATGGAAGTGAACTCATTTAACTTGAAATAAGTAGGTTTTTAAAGGAAATCAGGTGGACACTTTTATGCTAATTAACCTCCAGGATTATTGGTTTGTTGTTCTTTTATCATTTATAAAGTTTGCTCTAATTGGTAAATATCTTTTGTGGGCACCCATAATTCGCCTAGGAATAGTCTTCCTTGCATTTTAAGTTTATTCAGTTCTTTATAGAGATCCTTTTCTTTAATTAAGTAAAACTTATAAAATTCTATAAGTGGTAATCCATTTCTGAGAACTAACATATTTGATATGCATTAACACAGCTAATTCTGAGTCATTTATATAAGCTATATTCTGTATTGTTTATTACATTAATATATTCAGCTTGTTTCATTTGCAATTCATTTAACTTTTTTTCAAATTCCTAGTGACTCTAAGGTAAAGTAAACTTTCCTTGAGATACTTATTCCACAATCTTTTATATTTTTTATTTTCCATAGTTTCCTATGTTTGGGAATAAAACAATGAAAATTGATTGTTTCTCATTCATTCTTTTTAAATGCACCATAGAATTTCCTTTTGTTACTCTAAATATTACACGATGAAATCTATTCTAGTACACATATATACTATAGTTATTCCAAATTTTTAAGTATGCCAACATAGCATTCAAATTTTGAGATTTATTGGTTTTGAAATATTTGTTCCCCCAAATAGGTTCTACTCTCTTTTAAAATTTCTATGTAATTTTGAATGTATTCAGACTAATCTATAAGTTATTCAAGATGCTTATTTTATTCTTGAAAAGATGAAGTTTTTTTGTTGATGTCATCTTCAATCTTGTCAAGGTAGGTATGACTGTGTGAATTTTGCTATAAACAATAATTATATAATATGGAATACTTGATTGGTAAACTATTTCAAATTTCCTTTCTTGTAATTTGACAGCAAATTTAAATTCTTCGCTACTTATAGCATATTCTCTATTTTCACTATTAAATCATCGCATCTTGGTATTTTATTAAAAACAATGTACCTTTTGACATAATTGGCAAATGGCCTATTGATTAGAGCTTCATTAGGATTATGGTCAATGATTTCTACTTTACTGAGGTATCCCAATTAATCCATGATAGTCCATGCACTGTCCTGGGGCATGATTAACTAAAAGTAACTCATTTCTTGTGATCTAAACATTTATTTTATAATATTATAAATTTTATGTTATGGAAAATTAAACTATTTCTAATTATTTTGAAATTCAAAATATTTCTAATTTAAAACCCAACTAAATTCAAATAGTGTGATTCAGATTAAATTAATTAATTTTTGGAAAATTTTTGGTGTGTATTTTATAATTAAATTTACACAAAAATTTTCCGCTATTAGCTATTAAAAATAAATAATGAAAAAGAATAATCGAAGAAAGTAAACCCTAGAATAGCAAGAAGATTAATAGAGAAAGAAAACAAAACTAGAAATTCTAGATGCTGATCAGCATATTTCAAAATATAATAACAATTTGGAAAATTTAATAGATATTTTTACAAGGTACGAGAGAGATGATGACTTCACATAAAATCTAATGACAACCTCTAAATTGTCAAAAATACAAAAAATCCATGACTTAAGTCTGGATAACTTCAAAACTGAATCATTTTCATTTGGTCCGTCAATTGAAAATGGTGATTTTTTGTAAGGTGACAAAGTATAAAAAATTGTCTCAGTCAAGAAGTCTTCCTTAAATGGTAAGTTAATCGCTACCATACTATGGAAACCAAGGTACATATTTTAGTTTATTCAGGCCTAATGGTACAATCCCAAAATCAAAGGAATATTATACAACTGAAGTTGCTAAATACGCTCCTCAAGATCTAATTAAGTACTATAAGAGCAGAATGGTGACAACAACCATTATAGAATAATAACAAGATTGTTGATTAATGATTCAGTATTTTTTTCCTTTAAACACCAACATTATTTTAATGTATTAGATAATTAGTTTTGTCTGAAGTTTTGATTTATTTTTTTCTAAGGGAAATTAGCATTTAATTATAAAATTTGAAAATGTGATCTATTTAAAATACCTTTTATTATTCTTTTTCTATCTTCTTTAACATATTTAGAAAAGAGAGCTTATGAACATTCTATATACTTGATTTATTTAGTAATTTTGATAACTATTTTTAGGGTTTTATTATTAACTAATATATTTAATGAGGTTGATTTGTAATTTACAACAATAAAGCAGGAGTGAGGTTAATTTTTGATTATTTTTAAAAAATAATTCAAATCATCTTGCTATGGCAACAGAATCAAATCAACCTAAGATACTCGAAGAATCAAGAACTATGCTCATACTTCTTATGAGACTTCCATAATAAAAACTTCAATCAGTTCTTTTCGAAAGTTCAGAAAAAGCTCTTGATCAACTCGATTATGCCTTTCACACTATACCATAGGACTTCCTTGATTCATCTAAGACTCAAATTGATGAATTCAGATGTAGAGTAAATAGGATGATCATGCATCATCAAAAATTAACAAACTAAGCTAGAATGAATAAATTAAGACAGGCTCTGGGGTGTCTAAAGAAAATAAAGAAAAATAATAAATGAATTGTTACTTATCTATATTCTTTTTTGTTCCAAATATATTTTTTATTCCTTTCGAATAATTCATAATCTAGACCACAAAATGTAGATGACCATCACGCCATCTCACTCTAAATGATTTCATGTTCCATATGTAATTCAATTTATCTAACTTAAATATGTTCACTGATGACTGACCTCTATTTAAAGAATTACAACTTATTAACGATTAAAATTACAATAACCAACTTTATGACTATTAGTAAAGAAATGAAAAACAATCATACTGGGAGAACTTTAAAATCATAAGCTGTTCAATAATATAAATTTAATTAATGCTTAATTAATGAAGCAAAGAAGTGTGAATATTATAAAATTCCAGTTGTCAAATATTATACATGGTAATTATTAAAAGAGGAAAACTAAAAAACGAATTAAAAATATTATTACTTGGATGATAATATTGAGTATTTTAAGCACAGCATCTTCTGAAATGAATCCAAAAATACCTTCTGAAACTAATCTTTTTATGTTTTTAGATAATTAAAATTGAAAATCAAATATCAAATTTATGTGAAAAAGCAGAGAGTAATAGAAATAGACAACAAATGCGTAGAAATAATAATATATAAAATCAATGTTAATTACAAAGTGCATCTTTAGAGATTTCTTCAATTTTCCTTTTCTTAACAGGAGAGTCAGTGATTTCCTTAGTGTCATCACTGTTGGGGCTAGGCTTTTCTTATTTTTTTTAAACCGACAAGAAGTCCGATGATAATTAGAAACCGATGGTCGTTTTCAATTAATCAATAAAATCTTGCGAATTTTAAAGGTGATTCTCTCCTTTCCCTTATTTTAAGCTCTAATACAATGCAAAATATTATTATCCCAAATTTAGTTTAACTATGGTTAACTTTTCATTGTCGCTTATTAGATTTAAGGCTTGAATGATCTATGACATTATTTGATCAATTACATCCTATATAGATCTCTGGTTATAAACAAGATCATTCAATTTGATAGTTAGACCCTTTAAACTATGCTCGTTTAGATTGCCCAGTTCAATTTCTTAAGCTTTCTCTTACGCTTCAATCAAGTTATTAGCTAAATCTATTGATTCTTTTAACTTTTTAGTTTCTTATTGAATTGGTTTAGGATTCCATTTTTTCAATTTATCGAACCTCAATTAGGCGCTATAATGCTAACTAAATTTAATACTGCGAAGTGTCTCCAATAAAATTAACTCTGTACTCACTGTGTTATCCATTCTTGCCATCCACATTCAAAATAGAAGCAATCTAAAAGATGATTTTTGTATAATTACTTTTGCAGGCCACCATGGATCTAATTAATTATATTATACTTACAGCCTAAGACTTTCGCCCAAATTATCTCATTAACTCTAAAACTCTACTCAGCATCCTCGGACATCCTGTCAATTCTTCTTTATAAAACAAATAAATATTAAATAAGATATTATGCATATATTAGAATATTTAATGTTCTCAAAAAAAATAATCACAACCCTAATTTCTAAATTAGCAGTTAATATTATAAAAAATAATTAATCATTAAGTAAGTATCTCCACAATCCTTACAAATATCTCTTTAAGTTCATCAATTTTGGCTGCACTTAAGTAATCTATTATTTTATAATAATACTTGTAAAAGTTCATTAATTGTATAATTCAACGATTTTAGATTCAGAAATGGACCTGATCCTGGTATTAGTTATAGATTGAATCTACATAAACTAGTAGTAAATAAAACTACTCATTAATGTTCTCCACAGAAAGTAGAAAAAAATTAAAATCAATTAATTGTTATTTTACCAAATATTTATTTGCAAAATCCTTGTTTATCAAATTAGGCGTAGATTATAATCTGAACTACTTCTAAATAAAACAATCAATCTTAATGTTAGTAGAAATTTGGGAATGTATTACAAATTTGTAAAAAGAAAGAAAAATTAAGATTGAAATAAGAAGAAAATACCTTTTGAAATGCTATCAGTTAAAACTTTATGCTAAACTTGAATAGATTTTATGTTATATGTGAGTCTACTGCTAAAAATTTTAGTCAAAATTTTATAAAGGTAAACTAATTTTGGTAGATCTATATTTATATTAAAGATTTATTGAGTTAATTTACGGGTTTAGTAAATCTTCACATTAGTTTTTGTTTAAATATGAGTTCTCTTTATTCTTTTGAGTCAAATTTAGTAAACGAAATTATCAAATATGATAAAAATTGAACATATTATTATATTTCATTTTTCTTGTAAAGCAGCCTTTTATTATTAAACTTTTGCATGTGTTTCCTCCATTTTCTCATATGCTTCCTCAAGTATGGTCAATAAAGCCTCATGTCCATCCATTCTTAATTATCTCTCTTCTTCCATTTCACTCTTGATTCTTACCACCACTTCCTTCAACATTGAAAACATACTCACTTCTGCATCCTCTCTATTAATAAATTGATTAGTAGTACCTTTGTTACTTTCCTTAATTTGCCTACTCAAACAGTTTAGAAATCTCATTACTAGCTCTTTTGACAATATCTTAATCCTCTTGAACTCTTTCTTAATTTTCTTATACATTGTATTACCACAAAGTAGGTAAATCGTTTTAAAGAGTAGTATTTATTATGTTTACTTGTTGATTTCTAACCTTTATTTCTTATCCTATTTGTTATAGTAAATCTTAAACCTTAAAGGTATAATTATAAGACACTTACTTATTAATCGTAGTTTGATAGGACTTACTCACTTTATTCTCTGTTTGCCTTTATGTCATCTTCTAACTTCTTCTAAAGCTTATTCTCCAAATTTTTAATTTCCTTAAGTTTTTTCTCATGCTAAGAACTATATTATTCATTTTGCTTTTCGAATTATTTATTGAGATCTTAATATTATCCTGCCAATTATCCCTATATTTAGAACTTAAAATTACAAGTTATTCACTATAATTATTGATAATATCCTTCAACTCACTTTGTGCTTTATTAACTCTATCATAAATTTCATCTATTTTTGCATCTTTTGTAGTGTCTACTTCAAACTGCAGAGTGCTCAGTTTCTCTTATAATTTTGTGTATCTCTCATTAATTTAAGCATTGGGATCCATTTAATAAATAAATAAATATAAATTTTATTTTAGTTCTAATAATTTGTCAAATAAGTTAATTAAAATAACTAGAAACATTATTTTTATATGTTTCTTGAATCCTATTGGATTTGATTACATAATCGAAATTTATTATCTATAAATTAGTCATGTGCATCCTTATCTACAATATTTTATCATCTATAGCATATTGACTATGTTTTATTGGTCTTATGTAGGATTTTTTATGGTTTAATACATACAAACGTTTAAAATTCTATTTAAACATCATGGATTTCCTAAACTTGTTAAAATATGATTATACTATATTTAATTAATAAAATGCATAATAAAGTTAAATTTCAAAATGGCTTGTGATGTTAATTTATTTAAGATTCAAGTAAATTTTTTAGTTGTTCAACTGCTAATTGAACTTGCTCATCATCTGATTAACAATCGTTATCGAGTGACTAAATTTTAAACATTATTTACATGTGTTATAGTTTAACTAAAAGAATTAGGGATGTTTAATGCTTTATCATCATAACATCTGAATTCTCTAATGCATCCTTTTGAATCTTGCAGTTTTAGATTGGAGTAGATTTATGATCTCTATGTTTTGAAAAACTTTGTAATAGTTCTCTATGGCAATTCTATTTTTTTATCGTAGGATAAAGTGGGTTTATTCTTTTATATTGATTTAACAATTGCGTGTTTTTGGCTTATTGAACTGTTTTCTTTATTTATAATTTTCTTAGTTATATTTTGGGTTAAAGTTTCCTGAATTTAATTATTATTTTTACCCATCTTTATTTAGTTGTAACGAATTTTCTATTATTCTCATATATGTTAGACATAAATGATGGAAATTGATTTAAACTCTAATAATAAAAATAATGTCCTTTCAAATTTAAATTTCCTATAATATAGCCTGTTTAAATAATAAAAAAAAAGGCGGAATAAAAATATTGAAACACATAAACTAATTTGAAATCAAAATGTATATTTGAATGTAAAATTGGCTATTCATATAGGTGGTAGGTTGATGTCTCTTACATCTTTTTCATCAATTTCTCCAGCTTATAATTATTTCTTCTATTATAAAATAGTGTTTACAATTATTTTTTGTCGTTCACTCTTGTTTCCACCATTGTGTTTAAACTTAATGTGCAAATTTAACGAAACATCAGATCCATACTGTTTCAAACAATTTTTATATGGACACTACAAAATAGATCAAATCTAACTTCAAAATTTTTTTCTATTTCCGCTGCAGTTCTCCTCTTTTTTTTTTTTTTACTTGAAGTTTCTAAATTAGAAAATTTTTATTCAATAAATTGGATTCTCTACTTTAACTCATCGATTTGAATTTAGAAATCTTATAATTGAATGCTATTCTTTTAATACAAGAGAGTTATTTGCTAATACGATTGTTCATTATAATTATTAGCACTTTCTAAGAATTTAATTTTTATTATACGTTCTAGTTCTATTGGAATCTCAATCTTCTTAATTTATTTCTACTAATCTGAATTGGTTTGTTATTAGTTCTAAGTATTGCATCTATTATCATTTTCATGTATCACATTTGATCTAGGATATCTAAATAGAAATCTTTACTTTTAATTGATTATAATGACCTTTTTTGTTACTTTTGGAACTGGATATTGTTATTTCATATTAAAATTTTATTGCACTTCAAAATTATTTCTTATAAAATTTAATACCTATTTATTTAGAATAATATAATATTGTTTATTAAAATAATAAATCAATATTCTCTTTATTGGATATATATTTTTAAAGTATCAATTTTAGAAGATATACTATCTTTTTTGTAGTTCAAATTTTATTATTTATAATTTTGGTAACTTTCCACATTTCAATCCACTTACAGAAGGGATTAAATTGCAATATCGAAAATTTAACTAAAGTTTTGAAATATATTGGATGAGAGTTAATTGATGGACAGTAGATAGTAAATTTGTAATAATAAATAATTTTATAGAGTATAAAATTGTGTTTATTTATTTATAATTGATATTTAGATTTGATCTTTAAAATAATCATTTTTATTTAATTTTATCTATTCAAAGCTATTCTACAAGGGAAGGTGATACTTTTTGAGAGTTAACCAATACCTCATAAGGCTAAAATTTTTATTGTTAATATTTCCTTCCCTAGCTTTTTAAAGATTAATATAAAAAGAGTATATTTTAGGTTTAGCTAGAGTGACTAGCCGATCTTTGTTTACTTGATTCAGAATTCTCAAAACTTGCTTTGTCCTTGCATTTCTATGACTTCTATTTTTTCTGAGTTTTATTCTTTTTTTTTTAAGTGACACATTGACTTATGTTACAAAATGTAACATGGGTTTAAGCACCCATTTCTCTCATTTAGGGCCTATTGCAGTATTGACAATCTAGGTCCAGATAATTAGCCCTTAAGTCATGCTTAATACTAGTATTTATTGGTTTTGGTCTAAGCTCTTTTGATATAGGAATATGCCATTGGGTTTCTTAATTGTAATAAGTATCAGAGCCTTGTTGATAACATTGACAAGCAGCACCCATAAAATTTAGTTAATAATTTATAAAATGTATGATCAAAATACTAAATATTTGATGTAATTTCATGTTTAAATCATGATAATTAAGTAATATTTTGAGATTAAGGTAACAGTACTTTTACTTTTGAGAATTTGAATAATCAAATAACTTTAAATGATAAATTCAACTTTTCATTTATTTTCATTTACTAACTTCTTTTTATAAGTAAAAATAAAAAAAAAATTAAATAACTTTTTTAAAATTCTAAGATTCTCATTGTTTAATTATCAGTACTGATAATCAAATGTGTTTCTTACACCTTGTTTTTGGGATTGAGCAAGAACGAGAAGAATTATTATGCATTTTGGGCAGATTAAATCTCACCTATTTTTCTGAATGTATTCTTTAGCCTACGCGATATTCATGTTCGTAATGTTATAAATAATGGTTGAGTCTAACAGATGATTGTATCAATTAACATGATGCATGTGGTTTAATAATGCCTTTAAGTTTTTTCTTATTGGTTTTTTTGCTTTCATGTTTTTATTTGATTTCTGTAGGAATAATTTTTTCAGTGGAATAATTTTGTTTAGTATATTTTTGTAGTTCATATTGGAGAAGGGAAAGAGAAGTAGCTTTTTCAATCTTATTGACTTATTTATTTTTTTAAAAAGTGTTTCTGAAACCTCGATGAACTTTAATTGGATATATTTCTTTGGCAATTCTCAAATCATCCAGTTCTATTGTTTCAGATGGTTGATAAGCAGTGATGATTTCATTTTGTTTTTAGCAAGAGGAACCCATATTATTTAAGTAAGTCAAATCAATGGATTTTAAATATTATAATATCTTGAGATTATTTAATATTTGTTTATATGTTAATTAAACTCTGTTGAGTTTGGAGCAAGTCAAAAATATTGCATTAATTAATTAAGGATCCAACATTATTAAATTTGTATTTCTTGTTTAATTCAACATAGATTATCATCTAGTGATTACATAAGAGATCCTCTTTAAATTCAAGAATAAAGATGTAAATTAAATTAGTTTCAGATAAGGTTGTGTGAGATAATTAATTTAATATTCTAATTATTCAGCATATTATTAAATATTAGAATTCTAGGAATTATAGTAATAATTATATAATGTTTCGATTATTTCGAATAATTCTATATTTCAGATTGATTGGGAATTGTTTAGCTTTAGATCCTGAAATAATCGAGTTAGAAGATCACCTTTTCTACGGAATGATAAGTTTGTATAAAAACAAAGTAAACATTAGATTGTTGATATTGTTTTCTGGTTTTTGCAGTGGAGCCACTTAAGGTCTTTTGTCAATAGATCAAATAACTGTAGAGGTGAAGCTGAGGTATGGGAATGAATAAGAAAAGAAAATGGGTATCACATAGATAATAGTAGGCATCTCGTATTTTATCTGTAATTTAAGAGCATCATTTGCTATTATCAACTTTGTTGGTTGCAAACTCATTGGCAAATGAATCACTACCAATTTTTATAAAAAGGAGTACAGGTGATTGGATAGCGTTGTTGATATCTGTAATAATGGTAGTGTTATTTGGAGAAATATTCCCATCAGCAATAATGACAGGAAAGCATTAACTAAGAATAGCATCATTTATTACACCTTATATTTAGTTTCTAATTTCAATTTTATATCTGATATGTTATCCCTTAAGTTTGATTCTAGATAAGGTTCTGGGCACAAAATGCAAACGATATCATTTGGAATACATTAGATAATTGATGGAGATCTGCAAACAATAAGATGTGATAAAGCCAGAAGAATTAAAAATTATAGTGTCGGTCATGGAATTGAGAAATAAATATGTGATCAATTATATTAAACCACTTCATAATGTTTGTTATATTTAACAAGATGAACCTTATTGTAAAAGATTGATACGGAGACTAAAAATAAAGGAATACTCGATGATACCTATAATTGAGAATGATTGTGTGATTGGATTGTTCAAATCTAAAGATCTGATAACTATGGATGAATCGAATTATGGATAGCTAGTGGTAGAACTAGTTAAGGTTTATTAACCTCTGATAATTTCAGGGGACACAACGATGTTGGATTTGTTGTTGATGTTTCAAAAATACAAGACCAACATTGCATTTGCGATCAGCCAAGAACTCTAAGGGATGATAACTCTCAGAGATTTATTTAATGAAATTCTAGACGATGTCTATCTAGATGAAGACATACATGGCACAGTTAGAATAGAGTCAACATCGTAATAATAGTCAATACAAACTATTTATTGATAAATCAAAATATTTAACATGCTTACTATCCTGGTTTTTATTGATATAATTATTAAGTTCTAAATTATAATTATTCTATTCTTACCCATTTTCTTAAGTCGCATTTGGCTAAAACTACTACTATTAATCACTATGTCTATAATCATAAGGAGTAAAGTTGTAGGTTGATGGTCGAAACTCTCCTGGCTTGTAATCATTTCCAGTATCGTACATCTTATTATAATCCTCGTTTAGATTATAATTGGGTAAGGGACTCTATTGGACATAAGGACTAGTATAAGTGTTCGATATTGGAACATATGGTTGCATGGGCACGGGGTCGTTAGCATCATTATATTTATCCCATTAACTGAAATCATATTTCTTTTTGGGATCATTAGAAAGTTAGGGAGCATAATATGATTAGTTTGGATTGTAATTAGTATTATCAAATTCTTGCACTTAGACTGGTTGCTATTAGATGACATCGATCTTTTAGAATTAAGGTTCTATATTAATATATTATTAACTCTAAGGTTAAGTTTGGAGAGTCGGGATATATTATGAAGATTAGGCAGGTTGTTATGAATACTGAGCATAATTGATTGGATTATAACTAGGAATGTTTTGGAAATTGTAAAGATTTGGATTGTTATTTGTCAGACGACTTGATTGAGAGGGATGATTAAAATTACTAGATTAATATGGTCGACTATGTTTGCTAACATATTTAGGTTGATAATCAGGTTTATCATCTATTATGGTATCATCCATATTGGCTTGAATTTCTTAACTAACTTTATTTGAAATAACTGGGGGTTGTTTTGGTTCAATTTTTTAAGACCCTTACATTGAATCAGAATTATAAAAGGGATTTGTAAATGAGGGTTTGCTAGGCTTTTAATTATTTTCAGGTTGTTGACCAAGTTATTAAAATTGAGAATTATTAAATGAGTTACCCCCAAATTATTGTTCTTCTTTATTGTCTTGTTAGATGGTATCATTCATTGTCTTTGGAATTAATAAACTAGTATCATTAATGAAACTATCATATCTTCTCTCATATGGGACATATGTATCATCCAATTACTGAGGCACCTACTTTTATGGCTCTTATTATGGTATGATTGGTTTATTTATAGGTTATGGTTCAGAAGGTTATCGTTAACGAGGCTAGGAATTCAAATTTTCTAAATCTCTGGAACATTTGACACAAATGCATTTTTTCTTCTTTTCAGGGACATTCTAAACAACATCCTCTTGAATAGGTTCAGGCTATTTTTAAACCTGTATAGGCGGTGGAATTTCCTCGTGTAAAATAGGTGCTTCATTCATGTATTAGAGATTATTGTTATCAGAAAAGAAGACCTAGGGTTATTCTTCATACTCATAAAATTGTTATTGTTGTTGAGGTGGTTAGTCATACATGTAATCGTTGGGATCTGGTGGCCAAAAAGATTATAGAATCTTCTCACCCCCCAGAAATTGTTCTAGTTATTCAGGATGGAACTAATTGGATAATATAGGTAACTCTTTATCCTTCAAGAATTTAATTTTGCCTAATGTGATGGGACTTATGTATTCTACTTCACATTAAATACATTACCTTCAATTTAAGACCAGAGTAGATTAATAGATAGAGTAGCATTGAGAATATATATAGCATCGCAAGTATTTGGGAAACAAGTCTACAATATCTTAATAATGGAAAATATTTTATCCAATGGCATTTTGTAAGCACTCTGATCTTTAGTTTAAATGACGGCTATCCAGGACTCTACTTTGCCACTATAAAACATATAATCCTCGATTATGGCACATAAAATAATTGCTGCTCTCTCGAATAATGCCAAATCATCCACCAACTTTGTAGAAACTACAATACAAGGAATATGCTGTCTGGTTCTACCCTCTATATAAAGTGCGCCTTTAAACTATTCATTCACATTATTTATTTACGTAGAGTTATTCCACTTCTCTATCAAGTTACATAAAACCAGGCTAAAATACTATCTCACTAGTTTTAATTAATTGCTAGAATGATGAATTATGATTACATCCACTGAGGCTTCAATATTGAATTTATTGGCATAGAGATATCTAAGTAGGAGATCATCCGTATGAATGTTTGCATCATATTTCTAATTCTTTTGTAATGCTTAGGCTAATGAACTTATTTGCATTCGTTCGAATTAATCGTAATCTTCCACCTTGAAAATCTTCCTGATTGCATTTTAACCAACTCCTATTTTTATACTCCCAGCTATGAGTCAATAATAAACTTGTATACGATCTTATATAATATTGTCTGCTATAAAGCCAGGCAATCGTAGATAATCAAATCGTTATTGAAACATAATTTAATATAAAAAAATTTCGTTATTATCTAATTATTAATAATTCTAAGATCTTTTTGATAAAGCCTTTCGGAATTTAGAAGAAACTTTATTCATTAAATTTAAATGTGCATTTTTTGTATTTTAGGAATAGCTATTTTATTATGGTTGCTTCATATCTACATGACTGGTGGAGTATGCAAAATAAAAAAGGATCTCAGCGGAAAGGTTGTCTTCATAACTGGGGCTAATACTGGTATTGGAAAGGATACAGCACTTTAACTAGGGAATATGAATGCCACTATTGTAATTGCTTGTAGAGACACAATAAAAGGATAATTAGTCTTGGATCAATTAGTATTTTAATTAACTTAAAGGATAGAATAAAATAACTCAAGCTTACTTGATAAAATTGGATTTATCCTGTCTCAATTCTGTAAGATAATGTGTTGAAGATTTCAAGAAGCTGAACATCCCTTAAATAGATATTCTGATTAATAATGCAGGTGTCATGGCTCCTTAGACTTATAAAACTACTAAACAATCATATGAACTTTAATTTGGTACTAATCACTTAGGACATTTTCTATTGACTGAGTTATTGGTACTAATATATGACTAGTTCATTTTAGATTCCCTATTTGAAAGCTGCTGAATAGAGCAGAGTAGTGAATGTATCGTCTTTGGCTCATAGGCACTCTAATTTAAATTTTAAAGACATCAATTTAGCTCAATATGCCAATTCTAAACTATGGTCAATTAAATATAGTCCATTAGCCTACGGAAATAGTAAATTATGCAACATACTTCATGCTATGGAAATATCTAAGAGACATGGAATAAAAGCATGGTAAGGTTAAATTTAATTTAGTTCCTTGCATCCAGGAGCTGTTAGAACAGAATTAATGAGGGAGGTTGTTTAAAATCCTATATTAAATGTGGTATTGAAATTAAGTACTGTTTTTTATTTTCTTTTGTCTAAAAGTAGCTTATAGGGAGCTTAAACTACATTACAATGTGCACTAGAAGATTACGATAAATTAGTTGATGGGGGATATTATTCAGATTGCAAATTGAAACAACCTCAAAATACAAATAAACAACTGGCTGAGAAACTGTGGGAATTCTCAGCTGAAAAATTGAGATTCTATCTGGAAAAGTGAGAATGAGTATATAATAATAAAAATATTAAAATGTCAAATGTGGATAAACTTTCATACTTAAAAAAGTACATGGATAATGGACAATCTAAAACAAAAGTTACTTATCAAAATAATATTAAAGATTAAGACAATATTGATGTGTTGATGGGCAGAGTGATAAGCAAAGAAAACTATGATGAAATGGAATAATAGCCAATATTTGTGGAGACAGCAGAATCAATGTTTATTGATAAATAAAAGAAATAGTTGTTTCTCAAGTAGATGATGAACAAAGAAAGAAGTAGAAGCAATAGTCAAGGATCTAGTTCATCTGATTCAGATTCAGACTCAGATGATTCCTCTAGTAAGTCTGACTCCGATATGTCTGTTGAGAGAGCACCTAAACCTCAGGAAGTCATTCATAGAGATGTTAAGACTGGTCAGAGAATCACTTAAAGTCAAAGAGTTGAATAGGAGAAATAATTAAATCCAAAATTGAAAGCCAAAGAAGATAAATAGGCAATTCTATAAGCAAATAAATAACAAATTGAAATGTGGTCTAAGGGACTTGTTTAGATTTAAGAGAGATAGAAGAAGTAAGAAGATGCTCAATAAGCTTTAGCAACCAAGAATGAAGAATAGATTAAGTAAATTGATATGCAATTGATGGGTCAACAGAAATTTGATGACCCCATGAGGAAGATGATTTAAGAAGAAGATGACAAATAAATTACATTAAAACAATCTGAGTTCTTACTCAAATGCAAATTCCCTCCTCCAATCAATAGATTCAATATACTGCCTGGATTTAGATGGGATGGAGTCGATAGAAGTAATGGCTATGAGATGAAATTATTGAACTCCGTCAATGAAAGCAAATATAAGAAATTAGAAAAGCAACTTGAAAATATGAGAGATTAATGAATATATAATTTTTAACCTAAATATTATTAATTTGAATTTAAATTGCTATGAATTAAGAAATATCGAGAGCTGAATTATTGCAATGGGTTAACGATTTACTAAAAACCACTATTAATAAAATTGAATAATTAGGGACTGGGGCCATATATTGCTAACTTATTGATGCAGTTCATCCAGGAAAAAGTATTTGATTTTTTAATAGTTAGTTCAATTAAGTAAAGTAAATTGGAGAGCCAAACAAGAATACGAATTTGTTAACAATTTTAAGATCCTATAATAATCATTCACAAAATTGGGATTGTAAAAACCGATTGAAATTGAAAAATTGACAAAGTGCAAGTATCAAGATAATCTTGAATTTCTCTAATGGATGAAAAAATATATCGACACTCATTATATTCCAAAAGATTATGATCCAATGACAAAAAGAGGAAATCAAGATTTTGAAGATCCTGACAAACAAATTCGAAATTAATCCAAACCTAAAGTTCTAGCAAAAAACAATACTAAAGATGTATGTTAAATTTAATTATGTAGCAATAAATCATTCAAAACTTATCTAAGAATTCCTCCTTTGCAACAATATAACTTTTAAATAATGACTTTTCAAATAAAGAAAACAGATAGGCATCTATGACAGATTTATTATTATAAATTGAAACGTTGAAATGCGAACGAGATTTTTATTATGTAAAATTAAAAGATTTGGATGGGTTGATGGATTAGCATTTGCAATAGGCTTTGACAGCAGATTAACTTTGTAAGGGAATTAAAGAAATTCTATATAACACTCACGATAAATCAATAGTAGTGCAATAAAATGGAGATCTAGAAGTGGCTTACTCTGAGAATAATGAGGATTCAAAATCTGAAATCTGTAAAACAGAACAAAATTAATCAGATGATACGTCCATTAATTGATTATTATTACATATTTTAATACTAATTTTATTCTGTATAATATGAAAGAGCAACATTTTGTATCAATCAGCAACACTCTTTATAGATTGCACTGCTATTCTTTGTTCAGAGTCTTATCCCTTAATGTCCTTCTCCTTTTCACTCCTCACTGACGGGTAAGGAGAAGGAGTTTAAGTTCTATTTTTTTGTTGAAATACAATCAATGCACATGGTAAAATCATATCTGCTTCCAATTGTAAGGCACCCAAATATAAATCATTGGAATTAAATGAAAAAAATGAGTATTCTTTAAATCTTTGCAAACACAAGATAGTATAAATTCCTATTAAGAGAGTCGATACAAACACAACAAATCCAAAGATATAGGTTGATCTTGTGAAGTACATCTTGAATAATAGAAATTGATACTAAGAAAATAGAAACACAAAGCTAAAATACAGTCATCTTTTTCCACAAATCCTTCACTTTTAATTCAAACTCCTCGTGCTTTTGAGTAGGAATATATATCTTAAGAGTAATGTAGCCTTAAATTGCAACTAATGCTACCAAAAATATTTCCACTCGGATGTCAAAAAACCATATGGATATAAAAACAATTAAGACAATTTTAGAGACTGCGTGTATGCAACTCATTCCAAAATTATATCTTGTCTATCATTTGAATTTCAATTTATTACCTCTTAGATCTTTTCTTGAACACATTGAATCCCAACAATAGTGAATAGATATGTTAGGATGAATACATATTAGATCCATGGAATAAATGTCCAAGCATGACCTAAAAACGTCGTTTGCGAAATTAGCATTGATAAAAATGTGGCTATTATTAACTAAATTACAGCCACGAACAGAGCTGTTTATTAATAAATTTGAGTTCTTTCCCCTCTGAATCCGAGCTTCTCTTGCATTGCCCTCATCTCATAATTGACAATTTGATTAATGTCGTCGTATTTTTCAGCTGTAATATCTTGAATATCATTTATTTTTTATTTCAAATTTCCCTATTGATTTGGCACATCATATGCTTAATCTAAATCAACTTAATTTAATGGATCTTCTTCCCTAGAATTCATTATTATTGGGTTATAATTTTAAAATAAAAATATATGAAATTAAAATCAATGAAAAACTTTCAAAGTTGATTCATGTTCAATAAATACAAATCGTTAAAAGACATCGTATGTCTATCTCCTCCGAATAGAATCATAGAATCATTAAATACAGCCACTGAATGTCCATCTCTTGCACAAGGTTTCTTGCCATTTATGGTATTCTATCCCCCTGTTAATGGTTAAAGAAATCTAGAATAGAATAACAAATAATCAATACTTGGATATGATTTATTATCCAAATTCGGTTAAAATTCCTTTTTTTAGTTTCAAGTCTTATTTAGGATTGCCAATCAAAATAATAGATGTTTTTAATTTTTCAGCAACATTGCAATCGTCTTAAAAGTTCATAATTTCTCTGTTTTCAACTTCAAATAATTTCAACATGGCCGTCTTTTTCTTTAATTCCTCCCATCTTTTTCTTTCCTACACATTATTTAAAGAAGTTTGAACAGTTGCATTATTTTAATTATTCAAGTTACTTTAACATTGACTTAGATCAGAACTAGCATAATTGTTCTAATTGTTAGTAGAATAAGAGGAATGTTATGATTACGAAAAAGAATGAAGTTTCTTAGGCGAAGGACATGGCGATTTTCTCAGACTTAATGGTCTAAGCAAGATTGGTAATTTCTAAGGTTTTCTTTTTCTTGGTGGATTTCTATTAGTTTTTGGAGGGGAATGTAATTCTTGTTCCTTTCCTCTGGAAGTATCATCATTAATGATTTTCCATTATTAGAGATCCAGATTGAAGCAATGCAAATCATCAAGTTCCCATGTCACGTCATGAATACCTCCGAAAAGGATTAAATTATTCTAATAAGAAATTAGTGAATGTCCTGATCTTTTCTTTGGAGGGTCATTTAGCCTGCTAGTGGTAATCTATCTCCATTCTTGACTTAACATATTGAATTGCCAAAGGTCATCACACATGAGATCCCCATTTTTACCTCCAAATATATAAACACTGTTGTTAAGACTAGTCATAGAACTTCCATCTCTAGGGGAAGGCTCTATTCCTTTTGCTTTATTTAACTTGACCCATCTATTCTCTCTAAATTTATAGCTGAGTAAATCATTAGAGTGTTTACACTAATCGCCGTTGTAAAAACCTCCAAAAATAATCCATTGATCTTCATATAATGTTGCACAATGATTATCCAGAGGTTATGGATAGGTTTTATTAACTTTTAATTTTTTCCATTATTGCTATTTGACGTCATGAATGAAAATTTCATTTGTTGATATCGAATCTGCCACTTATCCACCAAATATGTAAATATTCTCTTAATAACTGCAAATTGAATGTCTGCAACGAGGTCCTGGCTCATAATCACATTTAATATTCTACCACACGTAGGTTGGAGCACTCAGATTAAGTTTGTAAAAGTCTTTCATAATCCCAATTGCATACTAATACCCACCATATAAATATAAACTGAGTTATTATATTAATTTACTGATTGTTTAGGATGGTTATTGCTGAGCTTGATCTCGGTAGGAGGTTTTTGCCGTCTATTTTGCATTCCTACCACTTTGGGTCAAATTGTTCTTAACTAACTCTTGTGATCAAAGGCAAATATTTGTATTCTGATTCTTGTAGATGAGATTCACATGGACTTAATGGTTAAAGTTTTAATGAGTCATTCTTCCTATACGAATGAGATCTGTTGGAGATCATGAGAATAATAAATTTAATTCTATGCTTTAATATAATTTTGATAAAAAAGTGGCCATTTTCAACAAAACACATTTCCTATTCCTCATTCCTTTAATTAATAAATAGACGACTAATTTAATTTTATTTGTTTGACCAAAGCACCAATATCTAATATAATATATATTGTTATTAATTTATATATGATTAGTTTTTAATAAGTGATCAATTTTAGAGAAATTCTACTCTGTTCTACTTTGAGTGAGAGGCTTGTTAAAATAGAGTTCCCACAATATGTAAAATCAATAGTCCAATAGATAAGCCAGGCCCTCATTTACAGACCATGTTCAATTTATTGCAATTAATCTAAACTGGATGCAAAAATAGATTTCAGAGCAAAAGGAATTACCTATATCCTAGGTGAGATTTCGAATTCATGATAATGGGAATCATAACAAATCAAGACGGCATATTGCAAACTTGTAATTGTGGTGTTGACAGGTCAATATTATAGTATTTGGAAATCCTATTGATTCTGAGTTTAATTGTCAAAGCCCCTTTAAATATAGAATTAAATGGCATCACAAATGATTAGACTGATTAATCAGTGGATTCTTACAGAAATGCATACATCCCTCTAATAAAGAAGTTTACTCCAGAATGGGATGTCTCCTTAAAGGTTACTAGAAGGGGATTTTAGGCAGGAACTGGAACTGTAAAGTATCTTTAATGATGAAATTAATAGCTTGCATTCTAAGCCTATAAGATAGATTTAGGCTACGACCTTGATTGAGAGAGGACCTATTTGTAAAATTCGAGGAGCCTGTTCTGGTAGTAAAGTAGCTCCTAATCTTTTTGAATAGAGTTGTGAGTCAATGTAGAAATGTGTTCTATGATTATATTCCTGATGTTTGGGTTCACACTGATTTGCAGAAATCGTATAAAGGGGTTGAGTTTCAAAGTTGATATGCGGTTTCATTAGTAGCGGAAAGTACTAATGGATTATTTATATCGTGTGAATGTGAATATTCGAATGAACTCAATCATCCAGAGAAAGTAGGTGAAACTGCTGCGTTGAGATTGTTAGATGAAATTTAAAATAGTGGATGTTGAGATACCACTTAGCAATAAGATGCATTGGTGGTGATGGCAATTAGCCAGAGGAAAGTGAGTCAAATAAAATTGGGGAGGATTTCAACGCACACTATTGAAACTCTTAGGATTATTCGAGACATTTTAGGTGTCACTTTCAATATAGAGGATTCAGTATTTTGTTGTATCGGATGTGGACTAATAAATTTGTCAAGATTAACACAATGACATTGTTTATAACCAAATTATTGTATATTAAAGAAAAGCAATTATATTTATTTAAACAATAATGTCAAATAATGAAGGAATCAATGAGTGTGATCAATAACATCCCATTGACTACTACAAGGAATCAATTAGATTATACTATTATAATATAGTTCTTCATTAACATGTACATATATTGTCTCTTAATATAATCTTAGGTTGAATAAGTCACTCAAGAGCGAAATGAGATTAAGCAAAAATTATTGAAATTTCAGGCTTTGGAGGATCAAGAAAGCGAATTGTCAATGGAGGATAAAAGAAAAAGAAACAGGAGATCAGCAATTGAGATTCCAAGAAGTCATGTTTGTTAAATAAAAAATTGCAATAAATCTTATGGTTCTGAAGGATCATTAATGTAACATATGAAAATTAAGCATGGGATTACACAACACTTGGACAAAATCGGGTAGATTTCAGATCAATTTAAAAGCAACGAATGAATGAAGATGATCTCTACTCTATATTATAATCCTGTATGTTATTACATATATAATAATATAATTTATGAAATAATAAATGGAATAAAATATAATATAATCAACTACTGTTAAAACAATCAAAGAACTCAAGAAATAACAAGAATTCAGAACTTCAATGGATGCAGATGAATTTGAATAGAATGAATCCACACAAAGCGAAAAGCGAACCCCCGATGATGAAACTAGCAAAACCTAATATACCAAATTTAGACTTAATCATAAAGGATCAATCAATCAAATATTGCCCAAATTAAGCAACTCCAATCTATAGGAATCAGCCAAATCCTTGTAAAAATAAGTGAGTGAGGAGTTGCCTCCTAAGCAATTTGGACAAAGGAAACGATTCAATAGATATGCCACTTAAAAAGTATAACAGCAACCAATATAACTTACTGAATAAATAGAATAAACCACTGCTATGAATCTTATTGTAAATAAATCCAAAACCTTAGCAGACTATTATGCAAACAATCAACTGACATCAACACAAATTCACCAGTTTCTTACTGATAATAAATAATTTGTTTTTACCTTTATGGCATTTCTAAATCGACTAGCAGAAAAGGGGATCTTATCAATTTCCTTAACAAATATTTAAAAGCCAGTTCTATCTTAAATAGAGCATTTTGTAATTAATCAAATTAGTAGAGAATTAACTAAGCTGGAATTAAATAAAAAAATTAATGATCAAATGAAAAAAATTGAAATTAAACAAAATTAATATACAAAGTTTCTTTCTGAATTAGAAGCATCATTAAAATTTTTTTGAGTGTTATTTTTGTTACATTTTTAACATTAAAACTATTTTTCTTTTTAAAATCATTATCCATAATAATAGGTGTTGGATTTCTTAATAGCAATTAACTCTAATATCTTTAATTTATACTTTTTATAATTAAGAAAAGATTACTTCACTTAAAGTATCTAGTATTAACTTCTGATTTGAAAAATACATAATTATATAAGAATTAGTACTAATAGTTTTTTATTAGAAGAAAATGTTGAAAATTTTTAGGATAATCCAAGAAAATTTGATTAGGAATTTTATTCAATTATAAATATAGCAAAGAATTATTTTAATTTTTTTACATTTTTATCATCCAATAAATGCTGATGTGTTTTAAGAAAATTAATATAAATTAATATATTAAATGCAGCCAACATAAGATAAAGACATTCTAGACTTTATGGCTTTGACTGGATGTTAAGATGAATAAAAAGCCTTATAATATCTGTAAATGGGAGACAATAAATTAGAAGTAGAAATTTACGATTAATTTTTAGAATGCTATTCAGCTTTATCTTGACTTAGAAGGTTAACCAGTTTTGAGCTAACAATCAAGTGTTTAATCTACAAGGTCACCGTAGTAATAAAATCAACAATAATTTCTAAATTAGTAAGATGTTAAGGAAGGTATAATATATTCTTAGAAATAGTAAACACTATGATTTTTAATGAAAACAATCCTCCACCTGAATTAATACGTTAGAGATCAGCTCCAGATTCATCTCTGGCTGAAAAATATAAAAAATATCAAGAGGATAAAAGAGCTAATGATGATGGTATAATTAAAAAGACATTTAAGTACGGTTGGAGTGCTTTAACCTACATATGTATTTATAATTTTAATAACGATTTAGTCAAACGAGAACCAAATCATGGATTAACATTCTAAACATACATTTAACAACAATAGATTTAAACAGAGATTAATTTTTAAATGGGCAACTTTAATGATAACCTAAAGAGAGCCCACGAAGAGACTAAACCTTTATTGATATATTTGCACAATCAATAAGCATTATTTACATTCGAGAAAATGATAAGCTGTAAAAATTTTGTTACAATCATTCGAAAAAACTATCACATTGTGGGATTTTTGGAAAGCCCTCAGGTCTATGAATTATTACCAGTCAAACCTCCACCTCCCACTATTCTAATTTATAGGTTAGATTTAACTGAATAAGCTATCTTGATGGACACTGTACAACTGTCTCCTGAAACTAACTTTGAAGAATTAGCAGTCAAATTGAAAACTCTAAAGGGACAATTTAATAAATAATATATCGTTGAAGATCAAGTAAAGAGAGAATTTAATGCACCATAATATCTTCCAAATTATTATGGTCAATAATAGTAATAACAACAATAATAATAAAATTTTGAAAGGAGATAGTAAGAAATATAGTAAAGAGAAAGAGAATAATTGATAAGATAATAATAAGAAGCCTACAGAATTGCAGAGTAATAGGCAGCAGAGAAAAAAAGAAAAGAAGAAGAATTAAAATAATTAGAGGAACATAGATTATTAGAATAACAATAATTAATTGTAAGGAAAAACATTAATTTTAGGAATAAAGACTGTTATAAAAAGCTACTATGTTATCAAACTTACCAGATGAACCAGAAGGTGAGGAAGGCATTGAAATTTTATTTAGATTTGTGCATGCAACCAAAACTAGAAGATTCAATTTTAATGATAAAATATAGGTATCACTTTCAATCTAACTATTAGTCCATATTTGAATTTGCATTAAGTTAGGAGGATGATTGTTTCAATGATCCTAATTCAAACATAGACCTTATTTAGAATTTTCCAAGGTTATCTTTGAAAGATAAAAAGGATGATATTATAAGTGATGTGTTTACAGATGCAAATAAGGTATAATTAATTGTAGAAGAATGTGAATGATTATTTAGAATAATTATATTAATTCTACTGAAATATTATGTATTGAATATCCAATTTCCATTAGAAAATGTATTAATTGTAACAATCAACTTAATAATTAAAGTACTTATATTTCTATATATTATGCAAAAAATTTGGCAACTAAATCATGATATTACTTCAATAAACTTCTTTAATTCTCTTTAAATGCTGAATTTAACTCATTCATTTCTTATAGTCAATAATTATTTAAACTATTATTCTGTATATTTTTCATTTCTTTATAAATTCTTTTATAATAACTCTCTAAAATTATAAAATATATTATATTTCTAAAGTTTAATAGATATTATTATTATTTAAGTAGATTAAATAATAATCTTATCTTTTAAAATTTTGACTTTGCGACTCTAAAATTATTAGATTATCTTAATTTCACAAAATTGTTTTATTCATAATTTATTAATAAGAATAGTTCCTTCTTTTTGAAGAAAATATCAAAATCCACCGATAGGTTACAATCCTCAGGCTAATTAACCTCTGAGAATGTAAACATTTAGTATAGATCTAATTCCAAAGTATTTGAAGAAAAGATTTGATATATAAAATATAAAACCCTTTTATTTTTCAAACATTAATTTTACCTACTATCTTGTCAAAAAAAGATAATTTCATTTAGGAAAACTCTAAAGTAATTGAAAATCTTTTCATATAAGATAATAAATTATATAAATTAAAATAAAAGCTTAATGTTCTTTCGTATAAGCATTTTTTATTAATAATCATTATTTTTCAGCTGTTCCATCTGCTGCTACTTTATATTCTTGATTTTCACCATCCATTGTTATAACTTTGACTCCACTTATTTTTCCATTTTAACAATTATCTCTTATGATTTCTAAGTCTTTAATCTATCCTTTGATCTTGATAACTGTCACGGGTGAATTGGTACATTATTATTTACAATTATTCAGATTATTAACATATTGCTTTAAAAGTTTGCATAACTCCTTTTTTGCTTAAGCTCTTTCTTCAGGGTCTAATTTAATTTAAATTCAATTTTTACTTTCTGAGTCCAAGCCTTTGCATTATTCTTTTAATAATTATACTTAAGCTAATCCAATTTTACTTTTTGTTAATGGCAATTCTAATTTGTGTAATTTTTTCATCAATTTTTTACCAGAAATTTAAGTTTGAACTTCCAGAAATGAGCTTGACTTTGAAGATAATAGATGTTCTATTGATTTTAATATTTTAATATCATGAGTAATAGCTTTTTAATGTTTTAGTAAGTCTTCCCATTATTGCATTTGTTTTTCAATCAAGGATATTTGATCACTCTTTGTGCAATCAATACTTTTGACATCAAATTTTGCTAGTTCTTCTAAAGACATCATTTAATCGGTGAAGGCATAAGCACTCAATCCCAAAAATAATATTAAAAGCAACTTCATTAAATTAATATTGAATTTCAATTGTTTTAATTAAAAAGACTTAAATATAAAAATACATATAAAAAATCAGTTTTTTTTTCTTTTATTGACTCAGTTATTTAAATATTCAAGGAGCTAGTCTTCATCAAATGTAGTCTAAGACCATTTATTAACTTTATCAATTTAAACATCCTCCTCTGTGTGATATTTTTCTGTCAATAGTTACATTGGTTTTATATGAATTTTTCTAAAATTAGTGTATTTTTTTTTATCTTGAATGTCTAATTTTTTACTGCGTAATAAAACTATTTGCTATTAGATAGGATATTCATTCTAAGGGGTTTAAGTCAATCCTACTGCTCCAAAAGAATTGAATTTATTCAAAATAGATTGTTGGGAAAGTCTTTGAGATTAGCAATTATCCAATTTTTATTGAGTTTACTTCAGAGTCTTTTGAACAGAAGTAATAAAGATGGGAGGTAAGGTTTTGATAATGAGTGGCTTTTTCAAAACTTAAGATAAAGAGATTTGCTTGTATTTTCTTTATGATTACAAGTTAGGCTTGCTTCTTTCAGATAAAATCATATATAAAAATAAAAATATTTCAGAGGTAATAATAACCTTTTTTATTCAAGCTCATTAAGATACAGGTATCGAGATGCAAATAAATTAGAGCTAGAAATTTCACCTTTTATTATAAATCTTAGCATACAACACATTATTATAAAATCAGCATTGTTAATGATATTTTTGATAAATTTAACTCTTAAATTGATATTGAATATATTAGCTGATAAAATTGAACTAAATATATTAAATATTCTTTAAGAACATTTTCTAAAAGTATTTAATTATTTAGATTATATGAGAATATTTTCATATGATCTAATAATAAGATTTCTATCAAAATAATTATCTATTCAAAATAAATTCAGGATATTTTAGTATTATAACAATATTTCAGAATTGTCTAACTTGGTATATCAATATCTTAATATAAAAAAATCCTTTATTTATTCAGCAAATTTATCCCATTTTACTAATTCATTCCAAAAATTAGGAAGAGTAAAATTAATAATAATTATGCTAGATAAGAAGCAATTAAAAATCATAGACAAATAGATCTAGAATTATAAGAATGCTTATTTGCTTAATTCAACCTAAGAAATTACATTTCCTCAATAATTAAAAGTTTCAGATTTGCCACTAAACTCAAACTCAACATCCAATCTATAACATTAGGGTCAGATTTAATCATCTAAAATCTCGACTGATGGAGTTGCGTAGTAAATTAGGGAATATTTCATTTACATAATTGAAAGAGGAGTTGTTTTTCCTCAAATTCTATCTTTTGTAATCATAACTAAGGATAAAATTTCAATAAATTATTGTGACTCATTATTAAAGAAATTAAGTAGAATTCGTCATAAATTAGAAAAAGATAAAAGTTCAAATTAAGAAATAATGTAGAAAGCAGACACTACTAAATTAGATGATGATGAAAAAATCATACTAAAGTTACTTTAATATTTTACAAATAAATTAGCAGATTTTGGCATGAGAAGATTCAAAATGCATAATTTAGATCTATAAAATATTAGAATTTAATATAATCTATGTAGGTAAATCAAAAACTCTGTAATTTAAAATTCTAAAGTCTTAAAGATGATTATTCAATAAGTTAAAATTGTTCATTCAGATTTATTGGCATTAGAAGCAAACTAATAATAATTAAGTTCAGATGAATCTTAGAATGAATAAAACGAATAAATATTGTAAAATGATGTATAAAACGGATCATTAAATTAATTTGTTCAAAACAAAGATACAGTTACCTAAAATCTGAAAGCAGAAAAGGATCAATCAGAAAAAGAGAATAAAATAAGAAAAGAATTTGCAATTAAAGTATTAATGTTGAAATTAATCGATTTACAAATTGTTGTTCCTCATGTGCTTAAATTAATAAAATTTATATATTTTAGTAAGCGACATAAAGTACCTGATAAAAGAGGAATTTTAATTATATCTCCATCAGAATAGATAATCTTATAACTATGCAAAATGCAAGAATTATCTAAATTTGCACAGTAATTTAAGTTAGAATAAATCTTATCTTCTTTTATGAATCCAAGTTTTTTAGAGAAATTTCATCTGGAAAACCCCAATTACTTAAAGGTAGATTTGAATACTGTTTTAATCTCCTATTTATAATTAATAATCAACAACTACTCTAAATATTAGGAGGAATTAATCTAGATTTACAAAGATGAATAGTTTAAAATGCTTTTACAGTAAATTTGGTAATTATGTGGTCAAAACATTAAATAGATACTATTTAATAAGGTAGATCCGAATGAATAATTTAAAGCCTTCGGATGCAACATTTTATAAATAGGCACTTATCTATTTAAAATAAAAACTCTTTTGGAATCAAATATAGAAATATCAGAACAATTAAGAATAGAGTAAGATGCATGTAAATTTCAGCTAAATTCAAAAAGTAAAAAATCCTCAGATAAGGTTTCAAATAATACTAAACCAATCTTCAAATAATTCATTTAAAAAATGATTATGCTAAATAAATCCTTTCCGCTGCTTCTGAAACTTCTTCATTTGACTAATTTTACTATTAAGGTTATTCCAAGAAAGAAGGTAATGGAAAGCATTGTGTAATAGAAATAATTTATTAAATTTATGAAGATATGTTACAACTATCCTTTGGAAATTGAAACTATTCCTGATAGAGTGCAGACTATATTTTTTAGCGAAAAGTTTTAAATTTAAGAAACCCATCATTTAACTTGGCCATAACTAATTTTAATGGCTCTTGAATTGATTTATTAATAAAGGGAGTAAAATAAACAATTAATAAATGAAGCTGTTCAAACTAAATAATATTAGTTGATATTAAGAGAATTAGAGACCATAGAAGATCCTCTTGAGCTTCGTCAAAAGACTAAATAGATATTATTTTTACTTAATGATTATGTTTAATAATTAAAAAATGAGTAATGATTTAGATATTTTAATTATATAATTATATTATTTAGTAAGAAACTAGATATTTTATTATTTATATTAAGAAATCGATTATAATGATCATTTGATTTGATAAAATTGGATAAATCTTTAGAAGAATTAATTAACACAAATTTGAGGAAAAGCAGATAAGTATCTCCAAATATGATTTTTCAGAAAAAAGAAAGAAGCACTTAAATACCAAGAGTATCATTTTTATTAATCTTACTTTAAATAAAATATACCCATTTAATTTCATTTTATAGATGACTGTTTCAATAAATAATGAATAGTATGAATAACTTAGCACTCCTTTTTATATCGATTATACAATAAAACATATTAATGAACTATAAAAATTATCATTCAAGAATTTTGTATTTATTTTAAAAATCAAAAAATTTAATCAATAATCAAGATAAAATTGATTTTTTTATCAATTGATGGAGAACTTTATAAAAATTAATAAGTTAAAGCTATTTTCTAATAAGGAATGAGAATTTTTAATATCAGGAATATTTGCTATTGTTAAATTCGATCGCTTTAGATATAAAATTATGGAAGATTTTCCCCTTACAACAAGACTATTCAGAGCCTTTGAAGTTTTATGAATCAACTTTTATAAAAATAACAGATATAGATTTTGATCATCTTCTTTTCATTCTTTCAAACTCCTACTTAGGTGTTATTTCAGTGTTCCATATTAGAATCTAAAAACTTATTGACAAATAGAAATTGTTAACAACACCACTTCCGTTATTATTCCTAATGAATAGATTTAAAAAATGAATATTAGATGGAAATTAAGTTAAAAGCCATCAGTAAAAATCTATGTTTGTATTATCATGAATTATACTTTATTGATATTTTAACATAAATAATATTTATTAATGTAATAGTAATATCCCATTCAAAATATAAAAGACAAATACATGATCACGTAAATATTTGTACTAAAATCAGTCTTAATGGGAACGACATGTTACCAGGCAGCAGTCGAATATCTTCTCAATACGATGAAAGACCTTCAGAATAAAGAAAAAGAGAAGAACAAAAATAAGGAATATCTTATTACAGAGATTTATGTGAACAATTGAATAAAGAGAATTTGCTACTTAAATCATTCCAAATAGAAAATAATGAATTAAAGCAAAAATAATTACTTATTAATGTTGAGTTATCAGCTGCTTAATAGGAGCTCTCAAGGATTAGAAACCATCTTGGATCACAATAACCGACTGATAGATATATATAAAAAATTCAATAAGGTATTTTACGATAGCTATTTTTATAGATAATGTAGATTTGTAATAATAAATTAATGAGTTAAATAAATATAAACAAAATTTAGAGGCAGAATTGAAATTTTATAAAGACAACCGTTTCACTCAAACAATTGAAACTCAAGATATGAATTTTTCATAGAATTAGAGGAAAATAAAAGAAATGGAAGATGATATTTAAATTTTAATAAGTGATTATAGTCGAAACTAAGAAAAACTTGAAAAAACCTTAAATGAATAAAAATAATAATCTAAATATGATATTGATTAAATGAAAAGTTAAATCCAGTCGTTGTCTGCATAGATATAAGGATGGCAATAAAGGTATAAAAATTTAGAAATAATGAAGTTTGAATTAGAGAATAAATTAATAATACTAGAAAAAGAAAATTAATAATTAATTGATAAAAGTAGCAATAGGGAATCATAGAGTAATTTAGATGTTGTATCTTAATTAAAAGATTAGATTTATTAACAATCTAAATAGATTAATAATTTAAAAGCAGAAATATAATAGAAATAACAAAACGAATATTAATTATTGAAAGAATAACAAAATTTGAAATAGATGCTAGAATAATCTCATAGCTAGACTTATAATTCTTAATAAGTTGAGAATATGCAATATGTAAACGAAATATCCAAATTAAAATAATATATAGAATAATTATAATATGAAAATGAAAATTATAGAAGTCAATAATCAAAACTATATTAAAATTAACCTAATATATCTTCAAAAGAAGTTTATTTGAATTCATAAATTAATGGTTACTTAGAAGAAATTGAAAGACTAAAAGGTGATATATTCTCATAGTAAACACAACATGAGAAACAATTAAGAGATTAGGAAAACCGTTTTTAGATTGAACTTAAGAGTGTAAGTGATAAATTTGTTTCATTACAAAAGGAAATGAATTGCCAAACTTAACTCTTTGAAGAGAGTCGATTTACATTTTAAAATTAATAATAAATAAAAGAAAATGATAATTAAACTAAGCTTTGGTAAGATAAATTTTATGAATAACAGATATTAAATGAAGACTTGATGTATAAATATCAAGAACTTCGCAATTAACTCACTTAGTATCTCAACTATAAAACTTAAAATGAATATGATTAAAAAACTATTCAAAATTTAGAAGCTTTGGTAGAAGAATAATAAAATATTATGCATTCTTTATACTAAAAGGAATTAAATTACAAAGATACAATCAACCAATATATGCTAATAATTGAAGAACATCAGTACCAAAATAATGGTGCATTTGAGAATTAGATATAGTAGCTATAATTGTAATTAGAATAATTGCAAATAAGATTAAGAGATTAGGAAACTCAATTAAATATAAAATCTACAAAATGCTTTGATTTAGAAAGACAGATTGAAGTTGAAAAACAGAGGTTTTCAGAAAGAGAATCATTTTTTTCAATGTAATAAAAGTAAGAAAAAATAAGGATTCAACAATTAGAAATGCAGGTGGATAATTTATAAAAAGATTTGGCTATGTAGAATCAGAAGAAAAACGAAGTAATTAAAGAATATATTTATGTTGAAAATTAATAGGATTAAGAGAGAATAATGTTGTTAGAACAATCTCTACAAAATCTTTAATAAGAATATCTTATGATGAAGGAATAATATATTTGTATTTAAAATCAATATAATGCTCAGATTATTCAAGTAGAACAGCTTTAAGGGTTGTAGGAAGATAAAATTAAAATAAGATAGCTGGAGGAATAACTAAGAATGCTAAAGGATCAGTACTTTGAGTTAAATGCTTTGAAATAGTAAGTATTAAAAGAAGTGGTTAAGGAAGTAATTGAAGTGCCATCTCAAAGTGATTAAATGCTAATTAAAGAGTTAAGATAGGAATTACAATAATTACAATCAGAGTATAGAATCTTAAATACTTAAAAGTAAAATTATGTTGAGATTTAATCAGAAGTAGATAAAAATAGGATTAAAGAGTTAGAAAAATAATTAATTAATTTGAGGAGAGATTATGAAGAAATTTGTAATAAGAAATAATCCTAAATAACAGAATTTGTAGAAGTATCTTCAAAGTAGGATTTGTAAAGAATCCAATAATTGGAAAAGATTGTACAATAATTATAAGAGGAAAACTTTAAATTGCAAATTTAAACTACTGAATAAATAAAAAGGTCAGTTGTAATCAATTAGGATCGAGATTAAGTTTAAGAACTTTAAGTATAATTAGCAACTTTAAAATAAGAGAATAAGAGTTTGCATTTAGAATTGAATTAATTAAATGAATCCTTGAGAAAATCACAAAATTCTGAATATTTAAAGATTTAATAGTTAGAATAGAAGATTAGAATTCTAGAGTAGAGTAATTCAGAATTATCAAATTAGCAATCTTAAATTAAAATTGTGAAAGAAACTGTAGAAGTAAGTAAAGATGAAGATATATTTAAGATCTAATAGTTGGAATTATAATTGTAGGTAAAAACAGATGATATTCAATATTTGGAAAAACAGTTGAATTTATAAAAGAAAAATGTTGAGGAGTTAATATCTGCAAATGAAAAAATGAAGTATGAGAATACAAAAATGAGATCATAATTATATGAATTATAATCATCAATAGATGAATTGTAATCAAAGATTAAAGAGAGTAGTTCATTTTATGAAGAAATTAAATAATATAAATAGGTGATTAGTTAATATGAATAAAGAGATAAATTGAAAAATGATTCATAACAAGTGATTACTGAACTTAAGAGAAAATTAAATGAATCTGAAAATCAAATTAAAAGATAATGGGGAGAATTTGAATTGAGTAAGTAGGATTATGAGTTTAAATTAACAAGTTAAGAAACTAAATATAATTAATAGATATAATAATTATAATAAGAGTTTTAAATGAAATAATAATCAAAAGAAGATGAATATTTAATAAGCAAAAATAGTTTTAAATAGATATAAATGCAAAATGATGAATTGTAAAGAGAAATCAACAGATTATCAGATTTGGTAAGACAAAAGAGTGATGAAATAAAAAGATTAAATGACAAAATCTCAGTCTATACAGTAAAACTAGATTAATAGTAATCAAATTTAAAAGAAAACTAAATTTAAATTTAAGATTATTCTTTATAGTAAGAAAAAATGTCTTAGTTAATGTAAAAAAATAATAAATTAGAAAATGCTCTAAAATAGTTTGAAGAGGAAAAGAAAATTGAGAATTTTGAACTTCATTCACAATTTAATAAAAAAATAATGGAAGTGCAGGATATTATTTAAAAAAAAGATAATGAAATTTAATAGTTGTCCAATTATATTGCAACTCAGCAAGAATAGATGAGGAATCAAGAGAATAATAAATCATTAATATCAAAATAGAATGAGTATATTATTTATTAATTTAGTAATTAACAATTTTTGATAGATTTATAGAACTAACTCAGTATAGTGAAACAAGAGTTAATTAGATAAACGACTTTGAAAGAAGATTATTAAAATAAAAACAACGAATTACTATTAAAAGTACTATATTGATATTACTATATTTAGATTGGAGAATATGAGAAGGGGAACAGAATTTCAGTAAAACCTGATTATTATGTGACTGAAATGTTTTAAGGGACTAGTAGTTTTAGAAATCTTGGCAATGCAAGTGTTGATTTTAATCAAAATGACTCTTAATTTTAGATTTCAAGTTAATAGAGAATAAGAGATTCAACACGTGTATAAAATCCAAAGCCAAACAATTTTAATCCTCTAAACTCATTTGTAAATATCTTTAAATAGTATAGATAATTAAATAACAATTCTTTACTTAGAAAAAGAGTTGAATATATTGAGGGACATTTGTTTAATAATAATATAATCTATTGATAATATTAAAATTACAAGGAGTTAATTCAAAAAACATCTTCATACAAAAGTAACATTTACATTTAATGTTCTTATTCGTAATGATCAATTTTATTTAAAGTTCTTTTTAGTTTGTTTTCTTCTATCCTGATTTTAGAACTATAATTAATTCAAATAATTACAGTTTATCATTGGCTTCTTCTAAACTTAATTTAACTAATAAATCCAATCTTTCTAAGTTGGATAACTAACTTTTTAACTTTTAAGCTAATGTTTAATTTTTCACTTCCTTCTTTTCTAAATTGTTAAGGAACTACTAAACTTTTTCACAGTTTTTGCCATCAGCTTCACCTTCTTTTAATACCATTTTCGGTACGATTAAACCAGGCATAGAAAGTATGGTATTCCAATTAATCCCTTCAAAAAAAGGATGATCTTTGATTTCATTAATGTCTTCATGTCCAATTCTTTTTGTATAATCAGGTTCCATTAACCGACACATTAAATCATAAGCATTATGGGATATGCTTTCCTCTTCAACATCACTCACATTTGGCCATTCAATTCTATAGTTTAAAATATTATCGAAGATCTTTTCAACAGAATCATCATTGAATGGCGGAATTCCACACAGCATCTCATACATGATGACTCCTAAACTCCAATAATCTAAACTACTATTAGTTAAAGACTCTCCTTTTAAGACTTCAGGAGCAATATAATCAGGAGTTCCAACTATTCTTTTGTTTTTACTGCTATAATTTTAAATGCTGCCTCTAATGGTAGGTTGAGCCTAAGGCAATTTTAAATCAAAGACAGTATCATATTATGGATCATTATGATCTGCGAATTCTGGGATTGTGTTTCTTAAGTATAAAAATATAATTCTTACGATTCAATATCTTATTGTCTCAATTTCAATTTCAATCTATTATTAAAACCAACTTCTGACAATCCAAAATCAGCCAACTTAGCATGACCCTGTTTATCCAATAGAATATTGTCTGGTTTTAAATCTCTATGGACAATCTTTTTGGATCTTAAATACTCTAATGCTAGTACTACTTCAGCTACGTAATGTCGAACGTATTCTTCATCTAAAGCCTTAATGTAATACAAATATATACCGTGTACATCTTGAGAATATGTGAGAAATCTCCTCCAACCATATATTCCTAGACAAAGCATAAATTTTATTCATGGCTAAATGAATAGTAAGCTTTCACAACAAAATCTCCAGATAAAATTTCAAATATGTTCCTTTCTGCCTTTAATGTATCCAACTAAGTTTCTAATTACTTTTATTATTTCAAATAGAACATACTTTTTAAGAACAATCTATGATTTTCATAGCATATAAATCCCCTGAAGTTTTCTTTTTAACTAGAAATACCCATCCAAATGCTCCTTGCCCTAATGGCTTTATGAATTCAAAATCTTTCAATCCAATCTCTTAAGATTAATTAGCTTTCTCAGCGTTTATACTCACAAGCTCAGAATCTGAATTATAACCTCTATCAACGGTTATGACTTCAAAATCGAATATACTTTACTTAGCAATATTATTTCTGGAATTTTATTGAAAGAACAAACCTCTATTTAATTAATTCAAAGATTCGTCGATATCAATCATTTAATTCCTTTCATTCTTCTATATAATTTCCTATTTTTTATTGGATAATGAATGATTTGGACTCAAATCAGAAGGAATTCTTCCTTGTGGTGAATTTTATTGTTGAGATGCTTCAATAATTTACTCTGTTTCATTACATCCTCCTAAGTCAATATGCAATTATTCTTATTCATCTTAATCATTAGGTAAATTTCTTGTATCAATATTATTGCCACTATTCTTCAGACTATTTTAAGAAGACCTTTTCATTTCTTGGTTTGAGTTTGAATTAGAATTCTAAAATTGATTCATTTCTTAATCAGATGAACCTTAGTTTATATTTTCAAGTGAGTTTTACAAATTTGTTTCTTTGTCTTTCTAAATATCTTCAATTGAATCCATTTGCTTGTCAAGTCCGATTGATGGAATTAACTACTTTTTAGCTTGAATTTCTTAATCTGAATCGCATTAGGCAAAATCTGCAAAGGAACAAATATTCTAATTTTAGGGTGTTTCATCCTAGGAATCACTCTATCCGATTCTTCCAGTTGGAGATTAAATAGAATATTCAATTACAGAATCGATAGTTGTAGGAGATTTACCCTTACGAAAAATTGATGGTTTGTTGGAAGATGGACTAATCACAGTTTCAGAAGAATTTGCTACAATCTTATCTAATACTTTAGAGCCAGGATTTGATTGCGATTATGGTTAATCTTCAAAATTAGTTTTAGATTAAAATGTTCTTTTGATTTGATTGCTTCCAAGCACTTAAGATCTGGACATTGACATAGTTGTCAAACTATCCCTTCTATTAATATTATTAACACTTCCAACGTTATTTGCATTATATTTATCTTTACTAATAATCATTATTATTATTTACTTAATTAAAGACATTATAATAACACTCTATTTCTTATTTTAATTGTTTGCATTTTTTGGAGATGAGGAAATAAAGTCATCCTCTTCTTCATAAATTGTATCACTTTTTTTGTTTTTTTGCTAGGTAGGGGCACTTATGTGATTAAATTTAGAAACTCTGAATGAACTTGAATTGGAATTCTTATACTTTTATTTTAAATCTATTTCTGTTTTTTGTTTAATCTTTTAACTATCTTAAATTTGTTGGGATTCCAGATTTTATAGAATTTTAAAGTATTCCATTCTATCATACATACAGGAACGAGCTTTATCTATGATATCAATAACTTCCTCATTGTTTTGATCATTTTCTAAATTACATTTTGCTTCAGTTAACTCATCAAATGTTATTCGATTTACTAAATATGAGAATATGCGTACTTTTATTATCTTCGTTATTAATATTACTATTTAAAACCTTTTCAGTATAATTGACTATAATAGTCATTACAGAGTTTATAAAAGCCAACTACTTTTTGACTTTATTCTTTTCATCTTCTTCTTGTTAGAGTTTATTGTCTTATAAATGGATTGTGTGAGTCCTTCTAAGTGATCTTAATGGTTTTTTTTCCTCTTCTTATTTTTTCAATTTCTATCTATTTTTCTTTTATTCTTATAAGCTTAATTTACCCAACTTAATTTAAACGTCATGCTTTAATTTATATGCTGATTAGGAGGCATCTGCTAATTATAAATTTAGTTATAATAATTTCTTGCTCTATTCAGCCTTCTTTTAACAGGTAATGCAATGAGCTGCCATAATCTCTACTTCTATCAATTGCTCACATATTCGACACACTATTTTATTATGCTTTTCTAAATCTAATCCTTTTAATTTACTTTGTATTAATCTATTTTAATTAATTAATGATTATTTTATTTTACGTTTTAGTTTCAACCAATATACGCTTACTACGCAAAGCAGTACTTTATTCTGGCTAATGTTCGTCCAACCAGAATAACACTTATTGACCATAAACATTTCTTATTACTGAAAGTAATCTTTTCTAGATTCTAAAATTATAATTAATATATATATACTTCTAAAGTTAATTAGCAATCTTCAAATTTCTAGAGCTCCCCTTTTTTAATCCTTTTAGATAATCTAAGCTTGTCAACTTCTTCAATGTCTCCATATTAGCCAATACAAATCCCAATTAATCTTATTCGAATGAATGTATAGTCGATCTTAATGTGTTACGCAATTCATTTAAATACGCTAATGATGGAGTCCCAAACTTAAATTCTAAGTGATATATATACTTATCCTGCAATTAGCAATTCAATAATAAAATTTATTTAATCCATTATGAGTTCTACATCCTTTTTACTCTTTATCACACATTTTAAGCGATGAACTTGCTTTACAATATAATTCAAAGGTGGCTTGGGTATTGTGAATTCTAATTTAGAAGTTTTTACCTGTAAAGAGTTGAATTATATTTTATTCATTAATTAATATGTATTAATTCAACTCAAAAAAATTAGGCAAATTCACTGTTCACTATTTTCTTATTAATAATTGATCCTATTTATGCGAATCAACCATTCCATATTGCTCATCACCCTTCAACTTTGATATGTCATTTGAATTGCTTATACTCTCAAAAAGATAATCAATTGTTTTTCAAGAATCATACAAATATTTGTAAATCTAGAAATTATAAATATTCTAATCTGTCAAAATTTAAACCAATATTCCAAAAGAAACAAAAAATTAATTTTAGATAAAAAAATGACTTAGATAATCTCTAATAAAAATAGAATCATCTAACATTAGCCTTCATTTTTAAAATGATTGATCAAGTTAATTCAAATTTAGAGTCAAAAATAAAAATATAATAGTCACATATAATTAATTATGTCTCCATCCAAATTATTCAAGAACATCTTGCCTGAAAGACTAGATGAATAAGATGCCTCTATAAAAGTAGATTTAAATTCAGATATAACAAATTAATCTACTTTAAACGCTGATATCTTGAAAATAGGTAAAAGTTTCAACAAAATATTTAATATCCAATCAATTGTAAGTAGATTATTGATCTTCTCTATAATAACCCAAGAATAAGCAATTGAAAGTACTTCATAGTAACTAAATTATTGATTTGTTGTAACGAATTACCTTCTAAGAATTCTAAGAATTAGAATTTCACCTTAAATTAATAGTGATAGAGAATAAATCAATAAATTTACAGAATTGAGAAATCTAATATCAATAATATAATTCTTAATTATTCAGAATACAATTAATTTTTTGTTATAGAATTTTCTAAAATTATCAAACTAAAAAACTAGCAAAAAAGAAACATATCCTGAAATTTCTAGATATTTAAACATAATTATAATAATCAGCGTTTTCTAAATTTCTTTATGATTTCCTCAGCATCATCAGCGTCGCTTAGTAAACTGTCAATGTCTGAGAGTTTTTCAGAATCTAATTTTGAATCATCGGATATATCATCATCATCATCTTCATCATCATCCTCGTCTGAGTGTTGCTTCTTTAATTTACCTTTATTGCCTTTTTCATTATTATTGCTTTATTATGGTTTTTTTTCATCTAATGAATCAGCACTAAATTAGGACTTATTATCAGCATCTCCTTAATCCTTTAGGATTTCTAGTTTAATGTTTTAGAATCATTCTTACCCTCTACATTTCTTCCATTTCCTTCATCTGCACTTGAATCATCATCGAATCTAGTTTCTGGTTATTCTTTTGTAAGTTTTCTTTGCTTCAGTTCAGCCAACCATTTGTGAAATACATCAATAGCTTCATCTAGTCCTTTGATTTTAGTAGTAAAAGCAGCTTAACATTTATCACAATTTAATTCTGCAATCTTGATGACTTTTTTTCTATTTCTTTTTTTTAATTATACATTTTAACAATTACGCAATTCTTATAGCCACAAAGAGCACAATCAAAAATAGTCTTAATTGCTTAAACCTTTTCTTTTTTTGGCATCCTATTCGATTTTCTTCTTCCTCCCATTAATATAAAAAATTAATAAAATAATACTTTAAAAATTAGCTAAAGAATTATTTATACGCAAATAGTAGATATTATCACTATTAAACATATCTAAAATTATATCAATTCTTAGGTTAGGATTTCATGAAAACTTTAAAATCTTTTAAATATTTATTCTAATTCAATTGTGCTCTTATGAGTTGTCATTTATTAGTATTAATTAATTAAAATTTTTAAAGTGCTAATCCTTGCTTATATATTATATTTTTAAATTAAACAAATTTTCTAATTATAATCTTACCAATTCTATTTATGAGTTTTTTTGATTTAATTATAATTATTCTAATTCTAAATTTCATGCATCCTTGGGTAAGCATTATTATTATATGTTTCATTAGCTTCACTATGTTTAATCTAGGTAATTAGTTCTGAATTAGCAAAGATATGTAAAATATTAAACTAAATTATTGATGTTTCTTCTACTTAAAAAATTAAATGTAAATAAATATTTATAATAAAGTAAGGAACAATAAAACTATTTTAGGTTTTTCTATGGCAAGAATGAAGTTTAAGATTCACTAATAATATTTATATTATAAAATAAACTATGTTTTTGTTACATTATTAAACATAAAAATAAATTCAATAAGAGATTATACAAAATCAATTGAATAAGGTAGAATAAACAACCTTTAAGAATAAATTAATCATATCTACTCAAGATACACTTATTACAATAACTTTAGTAATATCTTAGATTTATATTTTATAATAAATATTCAATTCAATACAAAATTTTTGATGTAAGTTTTAATTAAAAATGTGACAAAATTCGGATTATCAATAATGTATTAATTTGATTGGATTGACTGATATTTATGAATGCATCTCAGCATATCTTTAATTTCTTTAATTGGGTACATATTGAATTAATTTCAAATTTTATATGGAAATATATCATAATTTATAAAAGTACTAATATATTTTGTGTATGAAAAATTCATTTTTTATTCCCCGCAATTTAATTGCTAAATATGTAATAATTAATAATTAAAGTATGTCTTTGGTGAATAGTCTCTAAATTTATGAATTTTGCCGTACATTTGCTTCTCAATTGAATTTACGAACTCGCTATACGGTAGAACAATTGCATTAAAGTTTTGTAAATTGTTTATTTTAATGAGATTGATAGGAATCGAATGAGAATTCATCTTTGGCCTTTCAATTGGTGATAGGACTGATGGATAAATTTTGCTTGGCATATTTGGTATAGGCATCAACGCAAACTAATTCAGCTTTCTTGAATGTAATAGGATAAATAAAAAAGTATATTGTAAATACAAATTTAGTTAATTTATGCGTCGATCTATCTTGGTGAACATCTGGCCATCAATTTTCGCATTAATTACACGCATTTATAGGATTCGAGCATATATAAAGGATGAAATAGAATTAGAATACTAATAGTTTAAAGAGCATTTATAATAAGAGTAATTTAAAAATTGGCTCGCTTTGGATAAATAAAAGTTACTCCTGTTTATGATAGATACAATTTTTTATGAATCAGAATTTTTGATTTAGGAGATTGATCAAAGATTAAAGATATAGGAAATATTATCAAACAATGATTGGAGGAAGGAATTGGCCAAGAAGGAAGCCGAATTAAAAAGACTATAATAATCAGTTGGGAAAGTGGCTAAAAAGAAACAAAAAGAGTAGGTTAAGACTCTTCAATTGATAGCAGGATTAGAAGAAGAAATAAATCTGTATATAAAAGCATCAACAGTTACTAATAAATAATTGTTTCACACTTAAGCCATAGAGAAGATCTCAAACAATCTTTATGTACTTAAATCAATGACTTTTAGGTCTTTTAAGAGGAGAAACGATGTATCTATTAAGAAAACAGTGAGGAAGATTGGCAAGTAATATAAGGAGCAGAGATGATAGAATTAATTGGTCAACAATAGAAGAAATGTACTGAAATGAAAACTTTGGTGAGTGAAGGTTACTTTGGTTTAGAGGATTGTAAACTAGATCCAATTGCCCTTGATAATACTTACGGGATTGAATAAATTAGTCAAGACTCAATGGCTGTTGAATTATTTTATAGATGCGATATAAATACTGTAAGAGAAATACTTTTGGCATTGGAAAAGGATTATTCAGAATATGAATTGAATTATTGGAAGAGTTGTTGGACATCAGCTGAAAAAAGGAAAATTTGGTAAGAGAAGGTGTTGAATGCAGACATGATTGAATTAACTGAGATTTTGAGTAAGATACCGCATCAACTATCCTGGGTAAACAAGAAACATGGATAAACTGATAGTTAGGCCAAATATAAATCTAGCAGATGTAATAATAATAACTATATTGTTAGTATATTGGTTCTATTAGAATAAGTTATATTCAATGCCTTATCAATAATTAAGTAAGCAAGAGCCATCTTTGCATTCGATGTACTTGTTGGCAATAACCTTATACGATAAATTAAAGAGTTATATTCATAGAAAAATGAGAACCATGGACATCACTTAAATCTAATAGTAGTAGTAGCAATCAGATGTAGAATCAACTTTAGACGATGACTTTTAACTAAAATGAAATTATTGTTGTATTTAATAAATAGAATTCTTTGTTCTAATACTTTAGCTTTGCTTATCTATTATGTTTACTTAAATGGAAATCAAACATTCGTATTTATTTTAAAAACTTGTTTATTTAAATAAATTTAATATGTATAACAATCAGACAGTTCAGTTAGTTGGTCGACTGAGTCCTAAAACAAAAATTAATTTAGAACAGCAAAACTCACACAAACTTTCAAATAAAATGCTAGCTAAACACATTAATCCTGACATTGCACTTGTGCCTATGCTTGATGATATCATACCATGTAGTATCAGAATGAGTATCAGTTAGTGAAATTTTGAATTAGAGGAAAATGTTGCAATCGGTTCAACCAATCCAATATTATGAAGAGCAAAGGCCTTCTAGAACTATTCTTACAACTCAACCAAAATCTCATACACATAAGTCTTCAAGGTCAATAAAGTCTAATTCTACTCACAAAGAACAGAAGTCAAGAATGTCTAATCAAAAATATGAGTTGCTGAGTTGTTGTTCCTGTTCTTGTTGTGGATGCAGCAGAAAGAGTTCGACAAGACTCAAAAAATCACCAACTCCCACTCCTAAAGTCAGAAGAAATTATCAAGAAAACCCCTCAACCAACAAATCAATAAGTACACTCTACATAAAATTATTAGAATAATCTTCAATTGCTAGTTCTGAATCAAAAAAGGTGAGAAATTAAAAGGTTTTGAATTCTTCATCAAAAACAAAATAAAAATGTGAATATCATCATTATGAACACAGACAATCACATTTAACTATTCATCAATCAAACAGAAAACCAAGACCCTCAAGCGTGGCTATTATCAATCCTGAAACAGCCAGAAGATAAAAATTGAGAGAGTATTAAGAGAAATAGAAATTGTTACAGAATGTATATAGCGCTAAATAATTATAACCATAAACTAGGGAGCAAAGTCTATCGAAGGTTGCATGGAGAGCAGACATATCTAAAGTATAATTTATATTAAAAATCATCAATTAGATTGAAGAAGGCCACAAAAGAAAAAGTAGAATTGAAAAAATTGTTCAAATTTAAAAAGAAATCTTAAACAAATCTTTGTCTAGACATAGGAGTTCGTCAAAGTAAGAATCCAAAATGATTGTACCTCCTCCTGATACGCAAAAATTGAAACTCTTGGATCAGAGAAAAAAATTAATGGAAAAGAAAGATCAAAAAATAGTTCATGATAAAAAGGAGGCTTAAAGATTAAAATAAGTACTTCATTAATTAAAAAAATAAAAATAAGTAGAAAATGAATTAAAAAATAAAAAAACTGAATAACTTTCTAAATTAGAAAAATTTCAAAAGGATAATAGATTATAATGCAAAAAAAAAAAATTTGTGCCTACAGAATAATAAATTGAATAAGCATTTTAAATAGTAGCTAGTGATAAAATAGATAATGAATAATCAATCAAATGAATATGTTTTGAATTACACATAATAGGATTATAAAAATTTAATTATCCATAATGTTTTTCTTATTACTTTGTGTAATTATTCACTTACTTTCAATTGTGTAAGCCATATCTTAATTGTCACATGCCTTAGATAATTGGTAAATGAGATTATTTGGATAGTTGTCCTCCATCTATGTGTAAGAGGATATAATTTATTATCATAATACTTTGAACCAACAAGGAAAAATCTTCAAAGCTACAGGTAGTTAATAGATCCACTTAATTTGATAGGCTAAGTTTAATCGAGAAATGAATACATAATGTGTGATTTTTTTAATTATGTCAAATATGAGTCAAACTAAAAAGTTGTACATTTGTTTAATAATGGTTTTTAAATACTGGCTCAATTAGAAATAACTGAAAAGATTGATTATTGTATGATTGGATTAAATGGAGAGTTTATCATTATTGCTGGTCAAACTATTTTTTCAACAATTGATGAAAGACTTTTTTAAAAGTAATATAGTTTGATTATTAAAAAAGGATAGAAAATTAAATTATTTATGCTGGATATATTTTTGAAATACCAATCATTGTCATATAGAAAAAAAACTAGATTTGTGTTTTTTCTATAAAAAATTCCATTACAGAAGATTATTGTGTTCAAAGTAAGAAGGCTGGCAAAGTTATTGAATTTGGAAAAACATTAATTTATTATGATAATTATTTTGCCTATCATCTTAAGGATAAAAAAGCAAAGGAAATTAATATTGATCTTATTAGAAAAACCTGCTAATTTTTAGGTTTCTCTGAAACTTTAGTCGTTCGAACTAAAACTAACAAGTAAATCGTGGATTTGCAAGGTTAGATTGAATATCAATTTCATTCTAACTTACATGTTGTTGAAAATTCTGAGACTCAAAAATACTACTTCTTGGTAAAGCAAGAGGAAAATTATCTTGTAATTTAAAGTTTCGACAGAGAATCCTAAAAATTAACTCTTTAAACTATTGAATTAGCAAATATATCTAATATCTTAAGTGCTTTTATTATCGATTTATCATTGAAATAATTTTTAGTTTAGTATTAAGATTTATAAACTGTATTACTTGAAAATGATGCAATTCTTTGGTAAACTGAATAATCTTTAATCAGCATAGATAACATATTTTATCAGAAATATGAATATGAAAAGTAAAAGTATAAAAATTCATATTATGAATCCCTATAATAGAATGGGGTTAACAATCCTTTTATTGTGCATCAAAATGCAATATTAAGGGTATTGAATGAGATTAAAGATTTGAAAGAGATGCTCATATAGTTTATCAATGGATTTGATAATCAAAATATTAAGAGCAATATATTGGAGTAATCTTTTGGTCTCAAACAATAAGTATGTTTTTTGACAACTTATAATACACTATTATGTTATGATACTAAAGAACTTAAACTTTTACAAAAGTTGCACATAAATAATCTCGATTAAACATATAAATTAGTGGCACTCCATCAAATAGAGTATAATTATATTTATGAGCTTTTAGACTCAATCATGTATAGATTAATGATTATAAAGGTGGATCTAAGAATCATATTCTATTTTATTATTCAAATCAACGAATGAAACTTTATACCTTTATTCTAGATTTGTCTCTTGGATCAATTTAATAAGTAGGTTCAAGAAGATGCAAAAATATCGTTTGGACCATCCCGTACACAATGGAAAATGAATCAAGTCAACACATAAATCTAATCATTTTGATAGATGAAGAGAATAAAGTTTTTACTTATCCTGAAAATGATAATTACTTAAATTCCAAAGAAATCATTCTCTATAAAAATGATAATGGTGTGTTGATAGGATATAAATTACAAGATAAATAATTAGAAAAAATATGGACTCTAACTATAAAAGAGAAAATACTACTAATAAGATCATCATCACAAATTGGTTAAGGGGATCCTAAGGTTGCAAATTGGGATGATGGAAAGGTGATTTTTAAATTAATTGACTATAAAAATTTTGCAATTCTCACTTCAGAGGAGGATTCACTTAAATTGTAAATAGTAAATGCTAAAAGTGGTAAAATTCTATTTTAAGGTGTCTAAAATGAAGTGGATCTCGATTAATACATCAATTTAGTTTTCGATGAACATTAGGTTTTTGTAACTTATTAGAATTAAGCTAAAATGATATTTGAAATATGGACAGTAGAGATATATCATATGAAAATTGAGTGTTCATTTATAAAAATGCTAGAGTATTATTATTTCTCTTAAGATCCAACAAATAAACATTATTATAAAATAAAACACAATGCTGTTTTCTTATAGTAAGTATATGGATTTCCTTTGGGGATTAAATTTCTAGGAATAACGAGAACCAGAAAATCTTTAACTAAGAAAAATTTATTGATTATCACTACCTTCAGTCAATTGTATTAATTGGATAGAAACCTTGTTTCTGCAAGAAGAAGAGAAAACTCAGAGTTAGAAAATCCCTTTTGGTCAAATGACTTGCCGCCTTATTAGTATGAGCTCCCTATTAATTTTAAAAGTATGGTAACTCACGATTAAACAGTAATTTATTTTGTATTAATCTAGTTCGATTTCGAAAGATTTTCATTAGAACCTACAAATTTAGAATCCTCTGGCTTACTCTTAGTTTATGGTTCTGATGTATTTTTCACAATAATAACTCCTGATAAAGTATAAGTAATAATTTATTTTAGTCTTATGATATGCTGCAGAACAACTTCAACTATGATGCGGTAATATTAACAACAGTAATAATAACATTGGCAATTTAAGTGTTATAAAAATTAATAAAATCTAGCAATTAAGTAAAATAATTTAAAGTTAATTGAAAAATTGTATATATTTCATAAAAAGGCAAATTGTTTTAGAATTTAAGTCCTAAGAGAAATGTTATATTTATATATATATTTATCTATCTTAAAGTAATAGAGCACAAAGTTTAATTAGAATTTAATAATTTTGCTTCTTAAGAATTAAATTTTTCAAATTAGTTATGGAAGCTTGCACAACGAATACTACTCGAATGGGTCCCTCCAATGTAACATAGTAAATCACATCAAAACCGGAGTCTCCTTCATCTCAATCATTATTTGACGAAGAGAATGAGTTTATTCATCGAAATATGATTAAGGACAAAAAGCAAGAAGTTTTGGGTTAAAGTCGTAAAGTAAAATTATGCTTTTGAATTAGTCTGATTATTTAAAGCATGCAATATTTTTAACAAACAGATCGCTACGAATGAGTGAAAGATCGAAATCTTCACAGTTTGTCATAAATTTTAGGAAACAATACTTTATACATAGATTCATAAACAATCTATTTACAAATCTTTATTTCATGAAGTAGGACCAAAGAGTAAGAATAAACCAAGTTTTAGATGAAAAACCAGCTCAATAATTTTCTAAAAATAGCTGTACCTAAATACAATAATATAATTTATAGCTGAGGATAAGAAAGAAAACAAATGGATATTTCTCCCATCAACTCATTTCATAATGATTTGGGATATTTTGGGTCTGTTATTCCATCTTATAATGCTGTGGATCAGTCCTTTTTTATGTTCATTCTAAGATTACAATAATAAGATTATGTAATATCTCTAGTCAATAATATTATTTTACTTAATTTTTGACTTTTTAGTAATGTTTAACAGAGCCATAATTATAGAGGCAGTAATAGTTTATTAACGTAAGGATTTCATTAAAAATTATCTAAAATCTAATGCTATTTTTGACTTTTTTAATTTGGGTATATGGATGGGATTAAAATATGAATATTTTCATTTGTAATGCATGCAAGAGATTCTAATTGTATGCTAAGTGTTTTTGATATATAAAAAGATTTAAAGATATATAACCGAATATTTCCAATAAATATATTGTAGAGGAAATCAAAATTTTACAATAGATTTAATTTCTTTAATAATTTAAATTTACTACTTTGCTCATATCATCGCATGCATTTGGCATTACGTTGGATCATCAACTGAAAGTCTGGGGAGATCATGGTTAATAGACAGACATTTAGAAGATAAATCAATCTGGAACAAATATAACGCTGCATTCTATTGGGCTACGATGACAATGACAACAGTAGGATATGGGGACGTGGTTGCAATAAATGAAATCGAAATGATAGTTTCCTCTATTGTTATGTTTCTTTCCAGTTGTGCTTTTGCCTACACCATGAGTTCTATAGGGATTATCTTAAAGAATATATATGACACATAATTAACTTATAAGTAATTGTTTGAATTGATTCTTGATAGAAAAAATCTGATTCAAATAACACAATTTATGCTAAAAAACAACGTGGATGAACAAATACAAGGGAGGATCAGGAATTACTTAAATTCTCAGTTATATTAAGAGAAAAAGGAGAATATGGATGATGTGAACAATATTCTAAATTCCCTGCCTTTTAATTTACAACAGGACTTAAATGCTGATATCTAGGCCAGAGTAATCAAGCAAATAAAATTAATTATCAATCACTTTTCCAAATCAACCTAAATCTAAGTGGCTAAGAATCTTCAACTAATTTCACTATTGGCTGGAGATGTGGTGTATAAATAAGGTGATCTTTCGGAGGATAGTCTGTAACAATCTCTATTATTTAAGTTATTTTATACATAAGGGAGAGGTGAAGTAAACTGAGTTCCAGACCAAAACCACACTTAAAACGCTGTAGAAAAACTAATATCTTGGGATTTATTCTTTCTTTACTGGTTTTTGTCCCAAGGAAACAGCCATATGTAATAGTCCAACTCAGTTATATAAAATAAATAGGAAGAAATTCTTAGAGATTATTCGAAGTAACTAAAAGGATCATGAAATCTTCCATCATATCAAGGACAAAATTATATTTACAAATAATTTGGTGTTGTTTGATCATAAATGCAATTTCTGTTCACGACCTTTTCATTTGGAAATCGATTGCCCACTCATATCGTATAAACCTGATTTAGAATTGATATTGAAGAAAGAAAACTTCACTGAAAAATTCAATAGCAGAATTATGGTGAAACGGAAAAACAACAGAAATAATACTTTTGGGTTTTTAAATAAATTAAATTAAACTCTAAATTAGTTTTAAGAGGATTAATAGATCTAACTTTTAGGTATGAATGAAAACAATCAAAATGAAACTCCACAATACAGAACTGGATTGTCTGAAGTTGTCTATCAGAATTCGGCATAAATGATAGCTTAAAATCTGTAGAATCTCAGTGCCAGTGACGAAGAGATACATTCAGAAATGTAACATACTCCATAATAGTAATCAAAGCAAGTTATTTCTTAATAATTGGTAAAAACTCAAAGTAGTATTCCTATTATGTATTCTAGGGTCGTCTGTATCAAAAATTAAAATTGGGAGAATTGAATATCGGACATCCAAAAGTAATTTTGCACCCATCACAGAGAATTTAAATGGATCATTTTGCATTCTTGATGAAGTCAAACATATTTTCAATTACTAAAATACTTTTAATTTAGACAAAGTGCACTTTGTGGGTATTTCTTATATGCCTCAATACTCTTTGGAGGCTCAAGTGAAACAAATGGCCAAAACCATGAAGAGGAAGAACCAGAGACTCTAAAGAATATATGATAGATTTGAAAAATACACTTTCTTTCATAAAGTGAAACAATTATCTCTTAAATTAAGGGTGTATTACAAAAGAAGCAATAAATCAACTTTACAATGAATTGAATAATTTTATAATAAATATAAATATAAAATGTAAGGTTAACCCATCCCATTCATTGAGTTAAAGGAAACTTAAACTTAAGAAGGAATGGAGACTGTTTTCGAGATTCATCCTTAGGCAATTAAGATGTTGTAATCAATTGCTGACAGAAAAGTATTCACTTCTAATGGGATATTTAGGTAGCTGTTCTTACAATTGCAGGTCCATAGAGAACAGGAAAGTCCTTTTTAGCCAATAGGGTGTTAAAGAGATAAAAGGGATTCGCTGTTGGGCCAACAACAATGCCATGCACAAAAGGGATTTGGCTATGGAGCTAACCCATACCATTAAATGAAAACACTTCGATCTTATTGATGGATACCGAAGGATTAAACTCAGTCTAAAGAGACTTGGGAGTCGACACTAAAATATTCTCAATATCTTTGTTGCTGTCTTCGATGTTTGTATTTAATCAATTGGGTCATATTGATGAACAGTCGATAGAGAATCTCTCTCTTGTTATTAAATTGAGTGAGAACATCAGCGTAGGATCCGAGGATAAAAGTTTGAGTCAATTTTTTCCAACATTCCTTTGGGTATTACGAGATTTCTCACTTGATTTAAGAGGACGTACTCCAAGTGAGTATTTGGAATTTGCACTTCAAGATCAATCCAATCCAGGTCCCGATGGAGAGAGAAAAAATCTTATTAGAAGAAAGATTAGAGAGTATTTTAAATTCAGGGATTGCCTCTGCATGGTGAGACCAATATAGGATGAAAGAAGACTAGCTAGAGTGGAAGAAGAGGATTGGAATGCCTTAAGACCAGAATTCATTTCAGCTGTTTAAGAGTTCGAGAGAAGGGTGTTCAAGTGCATTCCTCCAAAATAAATCAATGGCACCACTCTAACTGCTGAAATGTTTCTGAAACTCTCCCTTGAATATGTCGATGCCATCAATTCTGGAGGAATCCCTTAGATCTTAACTAGTTTAGATAGAGTCATTCAACAGGAGGCAAGAAATCTCTTGGAAGAGCTGAAAAGTCTATATTCCAAAAAGTATTCAGATGCGTTGTCCAAGATGAAGCCTCCATTTGATGATGAGGAACTGAAATCTTTGAAGAAACAAATCGAAGCTGAAATCTTCTAAAGATTAGATTAAAAATCAAAAGAAATAATTGACAACTCTAAAATTGTAAGTATGAAAACAGAATTACATGAAATGATGGAACAGGATTTATAAACCAGATTAGAAATTAACAAAGAATAATCGACTACTTTGGCTAATTAAATCCTATAGAAATTTTTTAATACTTATCAAGTTCCAGTTTTAGACAATGTTGATAGCATTAAACCCTCTCTCTTAGTAGAGCAATTTCAAACTTACAGCCGTTTTTTTAAATATTATATGGAAAATGTTAAGGGCTATTCTAAATACAAGCATTTTTCTGAAAAAGTGCCTTCATTTCTATTTAGTTACTTTGAAAAACTTATTTTAAGTGTTTAAAAAGTCTACATAGAAGAAAACAATTCAACTAAAAAGTATCTAGTATAAGCAAGGGAAGGCGAAGAAAGACTGAGGAAAACTATTGCCAATTAAGAAAGCTTATTATATGAAATCTAAAAGGAAAGGGATTAGTTAAAGTATGAAATAGAAAACTGGACTAGGGAGACCAATAAACAAGAAAAAATTAAAAGTCTTGAATTGGAGGCTTGTTAAGCCAAAGTAGCCCATTTAACTTCAGATTTGCAAAACAAAAAAGAAAAGAATTAAAAATTAAAATAGGATGTTTAAAATTTATAAGAGTAACTCCAAAGAGTAAGGAATGAATTAAATGGAAAAAGAGTTGAATGTCAACAACTATTAAAACGAATGAATGAGGACAATTAATCCTTCAGAGAACCAGGGGAAGAGGTATTTAACCTTATAATTATTAGATCTCCAATGATTTGGTGTTATAATATAAGGATATGAAATAATAAGCTCATTAGATGAATGATTTTTTCAAAAGAAGAGCTATGGATCATTCACAACAAAGCATCTTTCTATAGGAGATTTCAAAACTATAGCAAGATAAATTTAATGAGATCATTAAACTAAGAGAAGATTATAAACAAAAAAAATAAAAAATGAAGGAGGAATTAGAGCAAGAAAAGTAATTATATTTCTTAAATTTAGAAAAGCCTTGAAGAATAACCTTGAACATTTTATTAAATAAAATGAAGAATTAAAAGCTAAAAATATGACCTATTATGAGAAATATGAGCAAGCCCAAAAAAATCAGTAACATCTTAAGGTATTTTTTGAATGCTATTTTGGATAGTAAATTTAATAAGAAAATCAAAAATTATCTCAAAGATTGGAAGAAAAATCAGAAAATTTAGATATGCATATCTAAGTCATTGAAAATTTCACTAAAGACATTGAAAAACTAACTAGTATACGGGAAGATCTTGAATAAAAGCTTGCATTCATGAATTCGGAGAAAAGTTAGTTGATATCATTTAAAGAGAGCTTTCCATATATACTAAAGGGTAATATCCTATGCATTATATCAAATAGAGGCGTTAAAATGGGTGTTAAAGTAAAATTCAAAAATAAAACATGCCATGAAGTCAGTGGGTGAAGAAGAGTAAAAGATAATTCGCGATTGTTTTCATGAAGTTGGAATAAATGTGTGAAATTATTAATTATTATAAATAAAAAGTAGTAAGAAATACTACATCCTACTTCCAGTCTATCTTGTAAATTTCAATTTCTTGGATAACAATATAATATTTTTAATATCTTTTTTCATAGAATAAACTTATTAATATCCATTTATTTAATACTATTTTTTAAAGTCAATTTATTTATCTTGGCTAAGTAAATATAAATACTATTCTTAACAGAAATGATAAATATGTAAGGTTTTAAGTATAAAAATTAGTAGTAATGAAATTAAAAATAATTAATAAGAATCTTTCCAAACATAAATTTGATGTTTCGTATTTAGTAAAAAAAGAAGATACATTAAGCATTTTATTTTGTAATTCAATAGATTTGTTGCGTAAATATATAATTCCGCTATGTTTGAATATTAGAAATGATAAAATTAACATTATGTAGATTCTTCTAGTTGTTTTAAGAGATTTATAGAAAACCTCTTTTTGGATTGGGTTGATTTACTAGATATCAATTGAAAATGTTAGTTCTCCTTAGTATAATAGTAGGAGGAAGATATAACAAAAATGAATGAAAATAAATTATGGCATAATATTTATAAAATATAAAATGTCAATAATTCTTTCTAATTCAAAACAATAAAGAAAGCTACCCTTACTTAAAGATTATACAAGGCAAAAGAAAGAAATGTTAAAAACATTTTTTACTTCCAAAACTAGCAGATCTGAATCAAGATCAAAACAAAATAATGAGGTTTTCAAAGAGGAGAAAACTTACTATTTCGATGAGAGCATAAAGAAACAAAAGAATGCAATTTATCTATCATAAAAGCTTATTAGATAAACTCCAAGAATTTGTCCTGCAAAGAATGAATTGTAAATGAACCAAAGTGAAGAGATAAGTGAAGATAGTTCCGAGAAATCAAAGAGTAGTGTGGATGTTTTTGATTTAGACAAACATAAGGAGCATGTTAAAAATAAATTAAGTATATTAGAGTGATAATTCAGAGATACAAATAATGATGAATCATATTTTGGGTTCTTGAAGAATTAACAAAAATTGAGTGACATTGCTTAGCATTTCATAAAGGAAGATGGGATGAATCCGATTTACTACTTTTGTGTTCATGATAGTTTGTTCCCCAAAAGAATTGATTTAACAAATTGCCTGGTTGATAAAAAGGAGATGAATTTTACTAATTTAGGCATTGGATCTAAATATTATCCAATACTGACCACATTATTGAAATAACAAAAGAGTTAGAGAATCAAACAATTATATTTAAGTGACAATAATTTAAAAGACAAAGAATTAAGTCTGATTATAGACTGTATTCCTCTATCTTTAAAAGAATTAAAAATATCAAACAATAAATTGGGGAGAGCAGGAGCTTTACTTTTAGAGAAATTGTTTATAACCCATAAAAGGTATCAATTCTTATTGTTTGATAGCATCAAATACTTAAATGTTGCCAATAATGCTTTAGGAGATGCAGGAGCTTAAATATTATTGAATGCTTTAATGAAGAACAATACAGTTACTAGATTGAACCTGTCAGAAAATGGATTAACAGATTCAATCTCATAAATCTTATACAACTTCTTGGCTAATAATAAAGCAGTGGAAGTCTTTATGTTAAATTGGAATTATTTAGGATCCTTGTCAGGGTAATTGATTGCAAAAGGATTGGCCAATAATAAATCCTTAAAAGTAATCGATCTAAGTTATAATCACCTTGGTTAGAACAACTGCATGATCTATTGGAGTGAAATTATTTCAAATCCGAAACTTCCACTCATCCATATTGATTTATCTTATAATCAATTTAGTGAATAGCAATTAAGAATTTTGAACGAAGCCTTAAAAAAGAACAATCAGATTTATGGTTTACATATTGAGGGAAATAAATGTCCTGCCTATGTAGACCCTAATGGATTCATTCAATTTGCTAATGATGGATTGTAACTTTAAGGAAACGTCTTAAGATTGCAATAAAAGAAGTATGAAATAGACGGAGTGAATTTTATACCAGAATTAAACAATGGGCTAATTGGTAGTGATTGCTGCTGGATTTGTTAAGGTTGGATGGAATTTAAATTTAATTACACTCCAGAGGAATTTAAAGGCGATGTGCCAATCTTTCTACACCTTGATTTTTTAGAGTATTGTTATGTTCAAAATTAGTTACAAACCAATTCCTATGACATCCAGTTTAGAATTAAAAGAGTAGATGAAGTAATAAAGAAAGAGCAAATCAGTGGAACCATAACTTACAACTGGAGAAATAATTTATTAGTTAAAGCAAGTAATAAATGAGGATAAGAAAATAACTATGGCTGCAATTTAAGAGGCTTATGATATTGAAACTAAGGATGAAATTGTAGATGAAAGATGCTTGGATGATCTGGATAAATTTTATTATACTACTTATTAGATGTGCCCACCAAAAAGAAGGATATTGTACTTCTTTAGTAATCCAATATCAGAAGACTATTTTATAGATAAAAATTCTTTAAGCATGTCATCTCCTCCTGATGATTTAGTATTACAAGGCAAAGATGCAAAATTTTAATATCACTAATTTGCAGATGGAACTAAAATTAAATTTAAAAAGGTTAATCAAATCAACTATTTGTTATCGAAATAAGAATACGTAATAGATGATAAAAATGATTATAAACCATTGGTTAAAATATTTCCTCGATCTGCTCAAAAAAAATACATCCTGAGAAAATTTGCAAACAATTCCATCAGAAAGAAAGTGAATATTATCTTTTGGAATAAGGAGGACTCATCTTTTAAGTAATTTTAGGGTGACAATGATGATTTATTGGATAATTGTTTAGATTTTGATTGGTCATGTAGTAAGATTACAAGATTTGTTAGAAATGAGTATGAGAGAACAAAAATGAAAGAGTATTTTAGATAACAGTATTAATTACTAAAAGATGTTTATAAGTACCTTTCAAGTTTTGGACATTAACCTCCTTAATTTGATATGTTTTGCATATAATTCCCATAATTTTCAAAATTGGTTCAACAATTAGGATTAATTGATGGAGTTGACTTGAAAATTTAGGATGTGGAAAGCAATTTAATTTCAATTAAGAATAATGTAGACAATAAATATATTTATAATCCTGATTCAGCTTTAATTAGATATTAATTTATAGAGAGTCTTTACAGATTGGCACTTGATAAATATGTAAGAACTAACATAGTGAAAAATGCAGCTGATGCAGTTTATCGATTATTAAAAGAATTTAAGCCTTATTTCCATAATTTCGATTCCACATAGGAATGGAGATAAAGAAGACTGTGGAATAAGGAATGCGACACTTTAATATAATTTAAAATGGGATTCTTAAAAAAATTATATGATTACATAACCGATATAAGCAATCGAAGATGGTATTTTAAATTAAAATGGATTTCCATTAAAGAATTCAAAGAGTTTTGTAAATAGATTGGATTGAATGAATATTTGAGTGATAAATAATAAGTCATAATCTACAATTTCTCTATGATGTCTTAAGTGGATGAACTGAATTAAGATAGAAATGTCAGAATGACTCTCATAGAATTTATAGAATCACTTGGTAGAATTGCTGAAAGGATTAGTCCATCTCCAATTGGTGAAAGAATAGCAGATTGGACTTATGAATAGAGAACCATGTTGCCTCTTAACGTGAAACTAGAATCATTGCTAACATACATTTACATAAAGGTTAACAAAAAGTAATTAGATATAAAATTATAAATTTAAGGGGAGCATTTGAATCCTTTAATGATGTGTTTGGAGATGAATAACAATCAAAAATTCAGTTCATGCCAACTCCAGAATCTGTATTAAATGATGAAGAGTATTCCAATACTATAGAAACTTTAACTACTTACAATACATTGTCTTATTTGAGTAATAAATTTAGATTGATTAGCAGATCTCCATAAATAACCATATCTAAATCCAGATTATGTACATTTCTTGCAAAATCCGGTGCCCAATCAACCAAAATTTCATGGTCCTCTTTTGGTTAGAAGATTTTCAAGAGCAGATAGGAAAAATAAATGAATATTAATTTTAATTATTGATGTAAAGTGAATAATTGAGTGAATAAAAATTGTATGCTTGGGGAAGTGCAGAATGTGATCAATTTTTGTCTAAGGATGAAGACGATGAAGAAGTGTATGAAGTCAAGAGACCATATCAAATAAAAGAATTGAGTAATCTGTCAATAACCTAAGTGGCATGTGGAGGAATGCATGCACTCATATTGACATCTTAAGGAAAAGTATTGCATAAAATAACTATAAATTAGGTGTATTCCTTTGGATGCGATGATAAGGGTGTGCTTGGCAGACCTAAAATAGAAGGTTAGGACGCTCGAGTTCCAGCTCTAATTACAGACCTTCCTCCTGTTGATATGATTGCTTGTGGTAGTTCTCATTCAATTGCTGCAAATTCCAATGGTTTAGTATATTTCTGGGGGTTTTATGCAAATACTCATGGTCCCATTGGAGATCCAGTGTAAAAGCCAAAAAAGATGGATAATATTACGGAAGGGATAAAAAAAATACTCTGTGGTTAAAATCACACAATGGTATTATTGGAAAGCCAAAAAGTAAAGTATTTGTTTACATATAGTTACTCACTTGGGGTGACGCAGAAACTTTAGTAATAGGTAGAAAAAGTGAAACCAGAAGATCTATTATTCAAAATTTAAATCCATAACCTATCAAGATGAAAAAACCAATTTTAAACATTTTTACAGGGGCTTCACATGCATTTGTTAAAGTTTAAATGAAAGATAATAAAGTTGGAATTTATGGGTGGGGATTAAATAACTATGGATAATTGGGTATTGGAAATCAAGAAAATTAATAATTGCCAGTTTTAGTCCAATTTTTTGATAACATTGATGTTATTGATATGGTGGGAGGAGAACATCATACTATTGCACTTGATTCTGAAGGAAATCTTTACTCATTTGGTAGACATGATGATGGACAACTTGGATTAGGAGAAGAAATCAATGAACAATTAAAGGAACAAGCATAAAAACAATTAGAAGAAGAAATCTAATCATAGAAACTCAATGAAGGAAATAAAAAAAAAATAAGCAAGAAAAATAAATAATAAGGGGAACTTTTTGAAATCTAAAAGTCTGATAAAGTTATTGGATATGAATTCATCAATGATCCTTAAATGATCAAAGATATCCCAAAAATGTAATCTATTTATTCTTCCATGCATTTTAATTTTGCAATCTCTCAATAAGGCTAAATATTCTCCTGGGGAAATGGTTAAAGTTTTGTTCTTGGTACAAGAAATGAAAATTCCCAATTCAACCCTAAAGATGTATATTATAATATTTATCATAACTAAAGATTACTACCATTTTTAAAAATGAAAAGCTTTTATAAATTTCACTTGGTGCAAGCCATGTGATTGCATATACATCAACAGATTTAAATTACAATACCTAAAAAATTGATGAGTCAATCATAAAAATACAAGATTAAAACACAAAACATAAAAAACCAAGAAAAAGTAATAGCAGAGATATAAGCAAGGAAAGTAGTATGAAAAGAAGTGTATAAAAATTTGATGACAGTTTAATTCCAGTTAAAGATTTGAAAATAGATTGATGCATGAATCTAAAAGTTTAATCAATTTTGTATATATATATATAATTTATGGTCTCTCAATCATAATTTTCAATTATTATCATGAGATAAATCTTAACCTGAATTATTGTTTAAATTAATACACATTTATTTCTTAAAATATAAAATTTATAGTTTTTCCTTTTATTATTAATATAAACATATGATTTTTTCTTTTTAATTAAATAACATGTTGACCAATATTAATCGTTGAAGTGATTTGTTTAAATAAACATTTACTTTAATAGGAGAATATATTTTTAAGGTTTAAGCATAAATTATAAAATAATTGATAATTATATGTAAATAGAATAAAATTTTATAAGCGATTTCTAATAGTTTTGAGGAAGATTTGTAGTATTTTATATATGATCTAGTTATATTTTTGTATATTTTGGTCAAAAAAGGTAATTTGACAATAGTAAATTTGTTATAATTCTAATATTTCATTTTTATTAATACTCCTTCATCACTTTGGCTTATGTTTTCTTTTAAATATGTTTTTATTCTAACTTAGATAATAAGTGATATCAGATCTTGATTTTTCCAAAATGCTCGAACACCATAGAAAATTCCCAAAATAGATTTTGATGACTTGTTTTCCGATTTTGGATTTGATTAGTTCTTTAAGATGAAACTTATTGTAATTCTGGCGTTTAACGTTTAAGAATTTGTAAATATGTCGATCTTTTTTCAATTCTTTTACATCAAAGTTGTTTTGTATAAACGAATGCACTTTTTATCCTAAAGTCTTGTAATAATTTTTAGATTGCCCCGGATACATATAGGAGTTATTATTGGTCGTAGGATTTGGATTGTCAGTTTCTTAAATGGAATTTTCTTTCTCTTGCTTTTGCTCAGTCTATTCGAGCTTCATTTCTGTAATCACTTGATGTTATGTTTCTCTTTGCAATTTCAAGCAATAAACAGGAAAAGCCCAATAATACCGTCCCTTGAAACATGCTGAAAATACTGGTGCAGAATTAATATTGTACATATATTAATTGATATTGATTTCAATAATATTGAATTAAAACTTCTATAGAATGTTAGGATCACCAGATTAATAAGATAATAAGCATTTTTTTTGTTTTACGTATACTATTCACTTTGATTTAAGATTAGTATTAAGAAATTGGTTTATTATTTTATGAGTTTATAAAAAATTAAATATAATTGAAAGAATATTTCTTAATTTTTATGATATTTGATAATTTAAATTAATAGTTGGGAAGGCCGTTAGAATATAACCATTATAAAACTTTCTGCTTTCATAGATACCTATGAAAATGATAAAAGCCAATTAGTATTATGAAAGTTTATGATTATTTTACCAGATAGATGATCGAATAATAATATATCATTTGTTAAGGTTAATTACAATGATAAACAACCTATAGATAAAATTTTTTTACTTTTTGTTATTCTCATACCCAAAAAGGATTAAAAACTCAATAAGGCTGGCAGTTGAGTTGATTCCTTTAAGTCTGAAAATTTATTGATTTTATTTTAAATTTATTTCATTCTAACGAATAATATTATGATGAAAGAATTAATATAAATTAATATAATAAGACTTATAAAAAGTAAAAGCTTTTATCTCCATGACAGATGTATCTTTTACATTGAAGATATTTATTGCAAAGCATTCAAGAAACATATATTGATTAATTAAATAATTATTTTTATAATTATATACTATATAAAAAGACATATTAAACACAAAATTAATGTATAGATGATTTCAAATCCAAAATTAGTGTTTCTACTTAGGAAAATAAATTGATAACCTAATTAATATTTAGACAAGGTATTTAGGAAATACTTTGAGTAAATATAATCCGACCTTTGAATTATACGAAAAATTTTAGTTGAAATAGTCAAAACCTAGTTATTACAATCAAATTAGAAATGAAAAGATTAGAACTATTTAGTTTTGATCTAATATTTATCATTGATAATAGGTGATCTATTTAGAGTTCTAACGAATTTTAAAATAATACATTAGCTTTATTAATATTAGGGATTAAATTTTACCATTAAAAGAAGATAAATTGTTTTTGATAAAAAAGATTAATATTAAATACTGTAGGTCATTCTCCTATTTTGAGTAGAAGTTTTTAAATCCATTTTGAAAATTAATTCATACATTCCCAAAATTATTCATTCCAAATGGAAACCATTAATTTTAAAAGAATTAATTTAATTCAATATTTTTTAATTTAGGATTATTTTCTATTCCTTTATAAATTAGAGATGCACTCTAATAAAGAACATTGTTCTAAAAAGAATGTAATTACCAGAAATGTTTTGAAAGTATAAAATTATGATAATTTATAAGTTAGGTTTTGGAACAATTATTTGTTTGAGGCAATTGAAAAATTAGAAAAAAGAACATTTTAGAACTAGTAATGATTCAATTGATTGAATATAATAGATTCTACATTTAGAACAATCAATTTAATTTTATTAGACTTATGAATCAATGCTTTCAAATTTTAACTATCTAGATTTACATATTATTAATAAAAATAATTAATTAATATTCACAACATTCATTCATGCAAAACTTAACTATTGCTGAATTCTAACTTTTAAAATAGATCTCAAATTCCGATTTTATTCATGTATAATATTTAATAGGTCTTAGATTTGTAAAGTTAAAAATATTAATGATAATTAAAACTACACACTAAAAATTGCAGATCTTAAGTATTCTTAATTGGGTGAGTATGAGAAGGAGATACTAAATAAGATTGATTCTCCAAGAATTATCAAATTTATAGATCTGAGAGTGGAACAATAATATTCATTAACAATTTTAGAAGACTTTGAATGTATTATTTGTGGGATTGAAACTAGATACTCTCGAAGAATTTTGGTATTAAAATAATCAACAGTTTTCAGAAATCATGGCTTTGGAAATAACTAAAAATATTTTAGAGGGATTAGAAATTTTAGAATAATAAAACATTGTTCATGCAAATTTATGTATGAAAAATATCTACATAAAATAATTTAATTCAAAAATAGCAAACTTTGAATATGCCCACTTTAATAGAAAAGTTTTATAAATATTTATAAATTTAGAGTTTACTTTAAGCATAAGAATACCATAATAATGCTCCTGAATAGTTCACACCAGTATATCTATCATCCAAGACAGATATTTTCTCTCTTGGTTGTATGCTATTTGCGATGATTTTTCGATAATATCCTTTTAATGCTGACAGTATCCATAATTATTTTGAGTAAATATAATAAGGTAATTTAATTCTATTAGACTTTTAGGGTAGCTTTAGACTAATGATGACAAAGATATGAAAGAAGATAATTTTGCTATCAATTTAATAAAACAAATGGTCTAATATAATCCTAAGTAAAGACCTGAAATTAAGGAGATTATACAAATGATAGACAAAAAAAATGGAAATAAAATGGGGTAAACTACAGTGTTCCAAACTTAAACACCTTAAACCAATCCGAATCTTTGGGGAGGAAATAATCAAAATTTTATATTAGAAACTCAACATTTTACGCTTGAATTTGTTGAATCCGTCTCAAAGAATGCTTTATTTTTTTTTGAAGTTGCAGAAAAATTTGGAGGAAAATAATTTTATCATTGGAAAAAGACTACGTATCCTAGATTTATGTTGTACAAAAGAAGCTATAGCGAACTTTTATAGTTTACTAAAGATGCCAGCGCAAGAACTAATCCTAATGAATTCAAAATATGTCTTGAAAAAAATGAAAAAACTTTATTTAAATTAAAAACCATTTTGGAATAAATTTTGAAGTTGTTAAAGTATTTCATATTATTTAATTTAGAAATAAAGAGGAATACTAGTATTAAATCACTAAATGGGAACAAGAATTGAATATCGATACAAATGCACTATTCTATAATAATTATCAAAAGGCTCTTTAATATTTATTAGAGTATTTTAAAGTATCTTAAATACCTTATTCAAAATAAAAAGAATCGTAATAGAAATTAAAGGAAATGTTAATTCTTTAACTCTAGGTTCAGGCATGTGTAACTTTTAACCCACATTTTGATAATCAAAAGACTAAGTTGGAAGAATTAGAAGAATTTGAAAAATAAACAAATGAATTCCTCCTAAAGAAGGCTGGATATGAAAAATGAATTATAATTTAATTATAAAAATAAAAAAATGAGCAAATTGTATAATAAAGAAATAAATGGCTATAAATTTAGTAAATTGATTGGAAAGGGAGCTTTTGGATATGTAAAATTGAATATTAAAGTAGGTTTATTAAGGAAATAATCTGAAAACAAATGAAATGGTAGCAATTAAGGTGGTAGAAATAGAAAGATTTAAAGAATGTGATGGACTATTAGGCTAACTAGTCTAATCAGAGTAAAACGCATTAAGAAAGGTGAAAAGCTAGTATGTAGTAGCTTTTATTGATTGTTTTTAAGACAATCAATATAACTATTTGGTTATGGAATATTGTGATTGTAATCTAGTATAAATATTTTCATAGCTGGAGATCTAGAAGAATAAATAAAAAATCCGAATGCCTCTTTAACAGAAAAAGATGCTATAGGAATCCTTCGATAGATTCTTAAAGGATTAAGAGACATGCATGCAGCTCTTATTATTCACAGAGACCTAAAATTAGCCAATATATTGATTCATAATCATTCAATCTACAAAATTGCCGATCTGGGATTTAGTAAGATATTGCAAAATGAAGTAATACCCTGAAAAACATTTAGACTGATTTATCTTGTTTATAACTTGGATCTCTGTATACTATGGCTCCAGAGATATACAATTCAAATTCCTATGGATTATCCTCTGATATGTTTTCAGTTGGTGTCATTTTTTATTAAATCCTATTTGGAAGGTTTCCATTTAGTCAAAGTGATTACGAATTAGAAACTTAGCGTAATTTAAAATGTAAACTTAGCTATAATTGATTTTACCATGAACAAAATTCCTGTTTCAGAAGCCTCAAAAGATCTAATTAAGAGAATGCTTTAATTTGATCCATAAAAACGAATAAAGTTCGAGGAAATAGCTAAACATAAGGTGTTTGAAAAAGAGATCTTTAGTAACTCTGATTTTCTAATCTAGATTAAACCAGTAGGATTTAACTACAGAGTTCCAAAGTTAGTATGGACGAACATATTTAATTCTATCAGAGGGAAGGGAATAAAATTGAAAAATAAAATCAGTAAGAGATCCAAGCAACAAAAGCACGTATGGTGTCTAACAAAAAACAGTCAGATATAAATCAATATTTGTAATAATAATAAATCTAGTCTATTTAAAAATAAAAGATTGACAAAAATATTATTAGTGGGGAATTTAGTTTACCTGCAAATTCAAAGAAAAAAAATGAAATGAACTAGAAAATAAATCATTTTAACAACACAATGAATGATATATATTACTTCTCTAATACAATTTAAGAGATCTTTTAAATTCAAATGAGAGCTCATTATGCAGCTGTAATTTTATGTTATTAGGTTAAAATAATGACTGCTAGAATCTAAGAATAAATGTAAGATTAAATTTAAATTCACAATGGTGATACTGATTTGGAATTTGATTTAACTCAAATAAAGTAAATATTAGAATTAGCAGAATAATTATACATGGTTATAGATTTTCAACTATAGGATATTGCTTAACAACAGATTTAATCTGGAGATGTAAGAATTCAAGAGATGCTAAAAGATCAAACAAGTAAAAAATAATTAAATGATAATCTCTATAATGAAATCAATGCACTTATTACAAAAGAAAATAATCAAATCACATATGTTTTATATCATATGATTAAGTGCTGCGAATATTGTTTTATGTTAAACAAGTAGTACAAAGAAATCCAATTAGATATCAACAACTTTGACATAAAAAATTCTAAGTTAATACACCCTAATTAAAATGATATTAAACTTGAGTTTAAAAAAATATTAGAGTACGATTAATATTGATAATGAGAAACATTAATGAATTATGAAATACATATAATTTTGGATAGGTTGACTTCTTTTAGTAATTATAATAAATAAAATCAAACATGAGTGCATATCTTAATAATTATTATATATTTTTATTAAAATGTCTCTTCCAAAGCTTAATACAGGGGATGTAATACAAGATTATACTTTGCAAGATCTTCTTGGCTACGGTAGTTTTGGAGTGGTACATTCTTAAACTATGTAGGTTTTTAAAGCCAAATGTAATAAATATGGGACAGTGGCTTTGAAAGCTATGTTGAAAATAAGATTTAAAGAGCACAATGGATTTTTAGGAAAATTGGTTGAAAATGAAAGAACAGCATTAGAATTGCTCAAATCCGATCATGTGATTAAATTACATGACTATTTTGAAACAAGAGACTATGCCATATTTATTTTGGAATATTGTGATGGTAAGTATTATTATTGATTTCAAGGTGGTACTTTAGATGATTATTGGAAAAAAAGTTAATGTGCTATTCCTTAATATCAAGCATTGATTTTCTTTAAATAATTATTGAAAGGAATGAAAAGTTTACACAAATAAAAAATCATTCATAGGGACTTAAAGATGGCTAATATTTTACTGCATAAAGATGTGTTAAAGATAGCTGATCTTGGTTTCTGTCATTTGTTAAAAAATTAAGTCAATATTATTTTATATCAACTAGGATGATGAGGCTTTTGGTAATTTAGGTTCAAATGGAACCATGGCTCCAGAAACCATTGAAGGAAAACCATATGGCTTACAAGCAGACATGTTTGCAGTAGGAGTAATATTATACCAAATGATATTTTCTGAATTTCCTTTTAATTCTTTTGATAAACACACATTCCTAAAAGCAGTTAAAAATGAAAGTATTTCTAATGCATATACAACCTTAGACCCTCCAAAATTTAAATTAAAATCTTAAGTTAGTGTTGACTAAAACATTAAAGACTTATTATCAAACATGCTTAAATATGATCCAAAATAAAGATTAAGATGGAGTGATTTGTTTAGTAATTAGATTTTTATGGGATAAAGTTCAAGTATATCTTATAATAATTCAAGTGAGCATAATTAAAGATCACACTTAATATTTGGCTGATATTGACGCACAAAAAAACAAGTTGTTTTATAAGAAAGCAGAAGAAAATGAAAAACAATACGAAACTTAGAATCCAATCAATGATGATCAAATTTTAAATGAAATTCTTAAAACTAATGATAAATTTTAGGATTTAATAAGCTAATCTAAAAAAAAATCTAACAAAACAAAAATGAGTTCTCATAATTAACAAATAGAAATTTAAAAACCATAACAATCCGAGATTCTAGTGTAAGAATAAAATAAAATAGAATTAGAAGAAATCGATATTATCAACTAATATATTAAAGCCAAATAACCTATATCTTGCTTAAGTATTATTTATAATGACATGAAATAATTTAAACATAGATAAGTCTTTGATTGTATTTTTGTTAGCTATATCCTAATAAAGCAAATTTATTACTCACATTATAAGCTAAGGGATCAAATCAAAAAAAATAAATTCTATCCTTAATTGATATAATAACAAACTTTTAAAATTTTCATGAAGGAGTTTGAAGAGGAAAATGAATTTCTTTTCATACATCTAACATTTGAATCTCAAACTGTTCAGTATTTAATTTATCTACATTAGAGCTAATTTTAAAAAACTGGAAAGTTATCTAAAGCCTAATTGGATTTGCGAAGTCTTTGAACTTACTTAGACTGAAAAATTCTAAGATATTTATAGAGAGGTACTCTAAAACTATTTAAACATTATTGCAAAAGAGGAACTAAAGCAACAGGGGGAGATTAATTCAGAACGTTTACGATATATTGCAATGGTGATCAATATATTGGATTATGAAGAACTAATTACAATTAATGACATTGATAAAGGAATTGCTGGAATTAAGAATAGGGATATTAACGAATTAATTTAATTCATATAAAACTCCATTTAATGAAAGTGATAATACCTACATTTTATTTATTATACCAAAATATATCAACCCAAAATAACTATCCCGATTTTCCTATTTTAAGCCCTTATCAAAAATCAATTAAAAATTTTATTAATATAAAAGAGATCATGAGTTTCATGGATGATCCAATGGAAATTGAATAAAGCGATGTTAAAGTTCAGGAAGTTCATTAACAGAACAGATTCCTGCATTCTAAACGAATGATCATCGTTGATGAGAAGTGTTAAGCAATGGTTCCAGACAAGCCTGAAAAAACATTAGAAAAATTTAAAAAGCATGTAAATGGTGTTATTTATAATTAGAGATAAAGTCTAGTATTTCAAACTTAGTAAATCTAAAACATTTCCAATATTGAAGATTATCTACTTTTTGCAACATCATTAATCTTGAACCAAGTTGATGACTCAATAACGGATGATAGTAAAAAGAAGAATAAGGGATTCAGTGGTGATGGCTTAATTTTAAGTGGATTATCTATTACATAAGAACAAGTTAATGAAAAGGCATTGATGTTTTTGAAATTAATGGATTATAACATTATCAAAGCGAAATTTTACTTACTATTTCCAAGTTTGATCATATATAACCAATATAAACATAGGCACGCCTTAAAATTCACTGATGAATACATGAATGAAAAAATTGAATAATATATTAGTAAATTGAATGAAGATAAAATGATGCAATAAAACAAATGGAAGTAGGATTTAATGGAACTCATAAACAACAAATAAAAAGTTCATCTGGCTTAACTATAAACATTGTTAGAATAAGGATAATAATTAAAATACGAGGTACCTGAATCAATAAAATAAATACATTAATCCTCAATATAAATATAAAAATAATTAAACAAATTATTTAAAGAAAAATAAACTTTAGAAAAGTTACGTTAAACCTTAGAAAAGTATGAAGAATAAATTCCAATAATAACACCTGAGATTTAATAATTGAGAGACTAAGTCTAAAGATCTGAATCATTTTTTGTAAAACTGTCAAAACTTCCAATACCTGTTAATGACAATGAAAATTTTGAATAAGTTTTTGAGAAATTGATATCTAACTCAATGAATTAGAAAATTTAATTAAGAGTTCTTGCTAATTGCAATTAAGAATACAAGTAACTACCAATTGAGATAAAAGCATTTGAATTATTACACAAAAGATTATATGAATATGTTTTAGACCTGGTGGAGAAGATTACAAAATTTACAAAGATATAGTAAACAAAAACGAGATTAGGTTAATAGAATTCCAATTAAAGCGAAAAAATTGAAAAAATTTCTTTGGCTCAAGCTGGATCATTAAATTAATAAATTCTATATTTGATTGTTACTTGTGATGATTTTGATTAGTTTAATGAACTTTATTAGTAGGCATTAGAATTAAATGAAAGGGCTTAATAATAAATTGATGATCCTGAAATGCAACAAAGATTGCTATTGGAAGTTTTGGATTGTCCATTTTATTTGGATGTTCAAGAAAAATTATAAAGTATAATTGACTATTCCTAAATTTTGGATTAAATAAAATAAAATATGTCGAATGGTTAACATTAAGAGGCTAATGATTAAATATAGACACTTTTTAATAGAGGCATAACAAATGAGGATCTTAAATAGTTACAGGAGATTAATCACAAAGTTTTAGAATGGAATTAATTAGCAGATGAGATCATAAACTATCATGATAATGTTACATTAATTGATGTTTATCATGATAATTTTGAATTACAATAATATCCTAATACCTTGTTTTAACCATCATAGGATATTATAAAGTAATTGGATCCTGTAAAGGTTTAAGAAATTAATAAGATTGCAGAAAGAGTTTTGATTTGGAAGGACTCATTAATTTCATTGATTGATTGCAAATAAGTATAGGTTCAACAAACAAGTAGAAAGAGTAATTAAAATAAATCATTTAATAAATTATGGGAATTATTTAAGGAGGGATTAAAATACAAATAAGAATTGTCATTGATGGTCAAAGTGAGACAAACTATACTCCAAATTTTAGATTGGCACGCATAGGTTACTCTAATAAAATAAACATTAAGAGTTAACGATGATACATCCTTATAAATCGATGGTATTGAGACAATTAGAAAGATGTATATTTAAAAGTATGGGTCTCAATAAACTTAAGATTAAATAGATAAATTATAAAAGTTTTAATCTCCATTTTTGAGTGGGACAAAAGATTTATAAATTATTTAAGCTCTAACTCAACATATCGAAAAATGGAATAAGGATGCTTAAGAGGCTTTACAAACATAAAATTAAGAGCTTATTAAAAATTTATTAGATGAGGCTCCAAAATTACCTGTAGAAGAACAATTAGTAAAAGAACTATAAAATTTGCATGCCTCATCTATAAAGATAACTTGGATAAAATCAATTATCAACAGTCAAGACCCTCTATTTGAATCAGTCATGAAAGCATTATAAAATGATGAATCAATAAAATAACTTAAAGAAGAGATGTTCTAAATATATGCACAAAATCCACAAAACAAAAAGAAGAAAGAAGGCACAAAATTATCTAAGCTAGCTTAGAATTTTTATTTAAATTTTCAAAACACGATTAAATACTATTTAAATCAATTAGCATAATTGGATGAGAACAAATTAAAAAAACTCTAACCTATAAAGGTGTAAAAACTAAAAGATTATTAAAGGGATGTTTAAAATGAAGAAATTTCATAATAAGTGGACGAATGGACTGAATAATTTTAGTAATGGTAATGTCAAGTTATAAATGTTAATGATTAATAGTAACAAAAGAAAAAAAAGAAGCATAAGGACTCAGAATCATTAACTGAATCATATTACTTAACTGGAGATCTATTGTATTATTTTAAAGTTCCAGAGCTTCTTTGCCTTGTTTTGTAAGGAATAGAGAATAATTACATAAGTTAAGAATTGATAAGTTCTATTGAAAAGTTAGTGACAATAAATAATTAAGCTGATATAGCATTATCAGTTTAAAGTGTTAAGGATGTTCATTTTTATTCTGAAGTTTTTATGCCAGAATTTTATGTAATGGCTAAAAAATTTAGAGTGATAAATAATTGGATACAAATGGCTTAGGACATGATAAATGACACACCTAGACTAAAAAATTTGATTATGGTATAGAAATTGAAGCCATTCTTAGAGTATCTAGACTAAGTTTAGAATTAAGAACTAAAGAATTCCAAATCTTAATCAGTATAACAGTAATAGTAATAATAATAGTAATAGCAATAATAATAATAATAATAGTAATAATAATAGTCATAGTAACAATAACAATAACAACAATAATAACCAGCTTAATAAATATCAAACATTAAAAAAAAAATGCTAAAATCTATAAATAAATTTAGAATAAAAAATTAAGAAGAACCTTAATCTGTTGTTGACCAAGAAAGTCAATCGATTAAACATTCTAAAAGGGTAAAACAAGTTTCAAAATTAATGAGGGATGATAGTATAGCATTTTATGATGCAAATATCCCTCTTGGAAAAGCCTTCAAATAGACAACTAATGAAATTTTGACATCTGATCCTGTCATATAAGCTATAAAGAAGACCACAAATAAGAGATGTTACAAAAAGGGATTAAATAGAAAAATACTACCTAGTGTTGAAGTTGAATTAGGAAGTCCAAATTTCTTAGATTGGATAAAAATGTAATCCTAAGAGCTCTTAAATTTATACAGTTAAGAGGAAGTCTACTGTACATGTAGATAAGGAGGAGAATCAGCTATTTCAGACTTTTAGATAATTAAAAGTCTACATGAAAATAATGTTTAATTATTCCATTAATAATGCTTGAAATAATAATAGCAAGTTAAATACATGATATTTTGTGATAATTGTGAAGAATGGTATCATTATGAATGCATGGGAATTAAGAAATTAAAAGAATAATAATAAGATAAGTATATTTGCAGAAGTAATTATATAAATGATATCTTTAGTTTGTTTGATAAAAATGAATATTCCATTCTTAATTTTAAATGAGAATATATGGGATCAATGTCTGGATCCATAATCAGAACTTTATGATAGCTACCAGAAGTAAAAGTAAGGATTGGAAAAAAATATACTCCTCAACTCAGGAGAATATATTTACTCTCAATTGTAATTACCAACTGTAGAAGATTTCAAAGAGTTTCTGAAAATTGGCAAGAATTTACCAGCACAACTAGTTGAACTTGAACTCCTTGAATTACTTGAGTAAAAAATCGATTAATGGTTAACATAATACAATGATTTGAAAAACTTGTCTTTGCCATAATTGATTGCATTGTATGCGGAAACTGAATGGCTACCAATAAGTTTGCCATAGTAAAAGATTCTTTTATCACTCATTTGTCAAAAAGAGTTTTTATATACTGCAAATGAATAATTACAAAGTAGGGCAACTTTTAAGACCAAATAATTGAAAAAGCCATAATTAGATAAGACCGAATAACTTTACATGTATGTAAAAGAAAAACACCCTGAATTATTATAAGATAGTGATAATTAGATAGTGAAAACAATATAAATGTTAAGGATTTAATAAGATCTCAATAATTAATTGTAATAGCAAATGAAATAACAATCAACATTAGAGTAATATGATCAATTGATAATTTAATATGAAAAGGAGATCAAACTCTAAATTTAGAAGACGGACATCAAATTTTCATTACCAAAATTGAATGAATTAAGATAGCAAATTACAAAGATTCAGTAATGGAATGCAGAGATTCTTGCTATATTTAAAGATGTTGATGATATTTACACATCAAATGTAAATCTAATTATTATTTTATAGCTAAGTTAATAAATATATGATAGCAAACCCAATTTTTCTGATATATAAGTAAAACTAAAAGAATATGAAATGATCTCTATCAAAGTTCCAAATTAATGCTTTGAATTTCTCAAAGCTCTCCAATCAAAAGCTGAAGAAATAATTGCTAAGATTGATTCGAATGTATCTTAATTATCCTTTGATGAATAATTTGAATTATGTAGATTAGCATATTAGTTGAAATGCAAGATTCCTTAATTTAAGAACCTTGTAAATAAGTATGAATTATATTAATTATAAGTGTGAATAAGGACGTCTAAATGCGAGTTATTCAGTGGCTTCCATTTATTAAAGCAGGATTGTATTGAATTTAAGTTGTCAATTTTTATAATGATTATAATTTTATTCACTTTAATTAAAATAGAAGAAAATAAATCTAAGTATACCCAGATACTATTCTAATTAATAAATCAGAAAAGCGATTCTAATCCTCAAAATTGAATTGAACTCCAAACCATCGAATTTAATGAGAATTAAAAAATATATAATTAAAGTTTTTCATTAGATCACTAATTAAGGGAATGCTCATTGGATGTATTGCAGTTAAATCTATAAAAATTAAAAGTCAAAAAAGAAATTTGTTGATATTTCTTATAAATTTTTAATTAATTGGTTAAGAACTTGAGAAAATAGGATTTGAGCAATTCTTCCTAATAACTTCAAAGTATAACTCTCAAGTATAACAAATTTTAAAAACTTGTTTTATTTGAGTTGTAATTTAAATTTAAAACTTAAATAAAAGTCGATTTAAATCAGGTTTCTACGTCGATAGCATAATAAATTCCTTAAGAAGCATAATACTTATGTTCTTAAGTGTCATTCCTTGCTAGTTTCTCCTTTTAACTTGAACATGAGTTTAGGAATTAAAGGTTTTAATGGATGATTTTCATTGTTTTTTGTTGCTGTTTTTTTGTGGGTATGTACAATTGAAATCTTATTCATTATTCTATTTTTGATTGTTTTCCATAGTTATTCAATATTAAGGATTAAATGAAATGTTTTATTTTAATAAAATTCCATAAAAAACATGTAAGAAGAATTGTTGAGATCTAAAGTGCAGTCAACTTTTCCTATTTAATCAGAAAGATTAATGTAATAGGAGATTGAATAAGAAGATCAGGCCAAAGATCTTTACAAAATGATTGATTAAGGAATAGTATATTATAAAAATGGGCAATATACATTCGCAAAGGTTGTCTTATATAGGAGTTCTAGTACTCTTCTTTCATAAATCAAATAGAACAGTATGAAATATTTTATCTATAAAGAAATTTCTGAATAGGAGAAACCAATAGCAATGGAAAAATTGTAAGATGGAGTTAGACTTGCTGAATAATGTAACAAATAAATTACATAAAAACAACAATAAATTGTTAAACTTGATCAATAACTTTTTATAGGCTTAAAAAGACCCATACTGCCAATAAATAATTGAGACTTCCATGATTAGAAAAATCGATGTCGGTTTTGAAGATATAATTGGTTTAGAACACATCAAAAATCAACTTGAAGAAACTATTATTTTGCCAAATTTAAGACCAGATATATATACCGGTATTAGAGCTCCTCCGAAAGGTAAATTTTTTAATTATAAAAGGAATTCTTTTTTATGGTCCACCAGGTAATGGAAAGACTTTGCTGGCCAAAGCTGTGGCAAATTAGATTAAATGCTGTTTTTTCAACATAAGTGCTTCAACACTAGTGTAAAAGCATTTAGGAGAGGGAGAAAAATTAATGAGAGCACTATTTGATGTGGCCTTTTAATTATAGCCTTCTGTCATTTTTGTAGATGAAATTGATTCAATACTATCAAAAAGGTCACAAAATGAACACGAGGCAAGCAGAAGATTAAAAACTGAATTTCTAGTATCTTTTGATGGAATTCAATCTTCAGATTAAGACAGGGTGTTTTTGATTGCTGCCACAAATCGACCATAAGATATAGATGATGCAGTGCTAAGAAGATTTGTAATTAGAATTTTTTAATTAAGACTGTAAAAATATTGATAGACTAACCAGAATTAAAAGTTAGGGTTGAAATGGTTAAATCTCTCCTTAGTAAAGTAAAGAATAATTTGACAGAGTAATAATTTCAATAAGTTGCAGAGAAACTTCAAGGTATATGATATTATAATTTAATTAGGTTATTCCGCAAGTGATATCAAAGCAGTTGTTAAGGAAGCTTGTATGCGACCATTGAGGACAGATCGAACTTTAATTTTATCAATACATCGTCAGGATATTAGGGCAGTTTCGAAAGAAGACTTTGATTTTGCCTTAGAATAGGTGAAACCTACTTTATCATAATAATAATATGAAGAATACGTTAAAAACTTTAAATGATTGCTTTTTATATTTATAAAACTTAAATTTATAAAATTTAAAAACATGTACCAATGTGTTTTAAATTACACAATCAATAAAGGCATATTGTTAGGGAAAGGTGGATTTGGAAGTGTCTACTTGGCATAAAATGAATTAAATTAAGAGTATGCTTGCAAAATAATGTAAAAGTTTTGAGATAAGTAGATCATTACAATCAAGCCAAAATAACTATAAAAAGCTTAAATAACTCGTTGATAGAGAATTATCAATAATGAGTACTTTGGATAATCAGAATATTGTAAAGATGGCTCATTCTTATTTCGATGGCAAAAATATTTACATTTTTATGGAGTATTGTAATGGTGGCAATCTGAAGAAAAAAATTAGAGAACTTTAATCAATTTACCCGTGTCCAAAGTTTTATTAGTAGAAATATGAAAAGTTGGCTTAAGAGGTATTTTGGGATATAATTGACTCTCTAAATTATTTATATTCTAAAAACATAATTCATAGGGATATCAAACTGGAGAATGTTTTAATCCATAATGGCAAGTATAAGCTTTCCGATTTCGGATTATCCAAGTTTTTAAGTGATATCGATGAAGTAATGTTTTAATTTTAATAAGCACAGGAACCAATGAGCAGCATATTAGGGACTCCATGTTATTAATCACCCCAATTGTTAAGATAACAAGTTTATTCACCAAAAACAGATATATGGTCCTTAGGTGTTTTACTATATGAGTTATTGAAAGGAGGAGAATTACCTTTTAGAGGTTTTAACACTCAAGACTTACTAAAAGATATTGAAAATAAACTGAAAAGTAATCTATCTTTACTAAAATAGCCAATTACATTTAAAATCAATTATTGTCAGTCGAAAATAAATTACTTTAGTATTTAGTTTCAAAAATGCTTGTCATTGATGAAGAGCCAAGATTAAGCCTTAAAGATCTTTTATTAAAAGTCAATTAATTTAGAATCAACGCCTAGTTAATGTAAAAAGAGAATATTACTGCAACGGAGACCAGATGCAAACCATATAGGCCAGAGAAAATAACATCCAAAAAGCCTACTAATTAAATTTAAGAAATTAATAAGAAAGAATCAATTCCTTTACGATTTATATAAACATACAAAGAAAAAAAACTAGAGGCCACATTTATATCAAAAATATTAGATGATAAACTATCTTCAAATATACTAATTCTGTTAGCACTAATGTTATTTATTGCTTTGATGTAAATATCAATTAGAATTTGAATATTATAAAATTATTTACAATACAGAATTTTATAATAAAAATTAAAAATTTCAATCTAAAATTCCTTTCTATAATCAAAAAAGAGGGAATTTGACAAAGTTGATTTTAAGTGATTAAAAGAAAAAAAGAAATCGAAATAAAACACATTAAATTAAATAAATTAAAAAAAACTATAGAATAATTTATGTTATCTAAATTCATAACCCTGTTTACAAATAAAGCAAATGGTAACTTATGGAGAAAGATAGAAACAAATTAATGATATATTATTTAATACAGATCATATAAAAAAGATCTAAAACTGTTAGAAATTTTCTGCAAAACCAATTTATTTTAAAATACTTAATTAACTCAAGGGGTTAAGTATTAATAGTTTTAAATTAGCTGATCTATGTGGATTGCTACGATATGCAGCAAGAAAGGAAACTTATGTGAGCAGTTTTATGTTTATAAAAAATGCATGTTAATAATTTTTCTAAGTAGTTGAGATAATAGGAACTCTACTTTTCCAATATTTGAATCTGTTTATGTGCATATTACTAATAAATTTTTATTTTAAATTAATTGTCATCAAAAAATGCTTAGTTGGTTCAAAAAAAAGAAGCCCGAAACTACTTAACAGCAATCAGAGGAGAAAGATGAGAGTGACTTTGTTGAGGTAAATATTTATTAAATTAAAGGATGAAACATAAGTTGTTACTAATGAGGATAAGGAATTGGAGGAAAAAGGATTTGATCCAATAACATAAGTGTAAGAATAGGACAAGGAAAATGAAGGAATCGCTGATCCAGATAAGTTGGAATATGTTGGTTATCATGATATCTCAGGAGATGAAATGCTTTAATTAGTGCTCAACTTTAAAAACTATCCAAATGATGAGGAAATTCGTCATGTTGAAGGATATGAAAAAGGAGGAAGAATCTGTGCTGACAAAAAAGTAGTAAGCAAGGCTAGAAGTGTTGGAAAAGAAATGGTAAAATAAATAGGTAAGAAAATCTTATCAGGATCTCTGAATCTTACGAAAGTTAGTTTCCCTATTAGAGTCATGATTCCCAAAACCGCCTTGGAAACTGCTGTTCATGGAAGTAATTAATATGAGTAAATTATCATAGCCTCCATATTTCCCTTATACATCACAAAGGCAACAATGACTCCAGATTTTTTGGAACGATTCAAATTAGTTATCACAGCAACATTATCCTCATTTTTTTGGACCAATACGTTTTTGAAACCGGTATATTTTGAGATTAATGTAGCTTAATCCAATTTTGGGTGAAACTTTACAAGCATCATATAATGATGGAACACAAGTATATTGTGAATAAATTATGCATCACCCACCTGTAAGTTACTTTTTAGTTTATGGACCAAACAAGAAGTACAAGTACTATGGATATTATTTGGTTGAAGGAAGAGCAGGTTTAAACTCCGTGACAGTATAAAATATTCTATATTAGATTATTAATAAAGGAAAGCGATCCATAGAGTTCACTGACGGATAAAAGATCGATTTTGATTTCCCTAATGAACTCTATAGTGGAACCTTCTTTGGCTAACTTAGATAAGAATCAATCAACAAAATTACATTCCAAGATAAAGCTAATGGATTATCGTGTATTATCGATATTGGAAAAGTTAAAAAGAAGTAAATCTAAATTAAACATTTAGAACTTCGGATTTCTTCTAAGCCGATATCACATGCAAAGGATAAAAGGTTTCATAAGTATATGGTACATACATAGGATTCATAAACTTTGACAACGTGAGATATTGGGATTACAGATATGTAGTCCCATTCAAGATTAAGATGGATAAATAACCACTTGAAAGTGATCACAAGAACAGATCTGATTTACAATCATTGAAAGCAGGAGATATTCCTATGGCTTAAAAAAATAAGGAACTTTTAGAAAACCTATAAAGAAATGACAGAAAACTTAGAGAGCAATAAGAAAAATAAAGGAAATCCAAAAAGTGAATTCAAAGTTAGTGTTAAAATATAATAATAAAATTAATTGAATATTCGAATCTTTAGATTTAAATAATAAGCCATTATTATTATAATCTTCATACTTAGATCTCTTTTTGTGATTCACCTTGTGTTTTATACGATTAATTATCATAAATAGAAGATAATTGCAGTGGAATAGCCTTTTAACTGTTTTTAAATAAATATGAATATTTATAATATAAATAATATAATGAAATTTTTCATTCTAAAATAGCCTTCTTCTACTTAAAAAGAACTGCAAGATCAATTTTGGATTTAAATGAAATCTCACTGTTTTTTATTTATGCCCCTTCGCATTCAAATCTTTGCTATGAAGAAAACACAAATTTGCATGATTATTATTCTACATAATACCTAATAGCTTAATCGGATCCATAAGTTAAGAAGCATGAATCATTAGTCGCAGCCCCAAGAGCTTTACCTAAATGATTACTAATAATAGTCTCCTTTTTTGGTTCAGTAATTGAAAATTTAATAACCTGGCTTTTTTCTGAATTAGTAACAACAAGTAGATCATTATTACTTAGATACAAAGTTCTAGTAATGTCATAATTTTAGACTTCTTTATTAAAAATATCCTGCTTTTTCTGTAGATCAATTATAGTAATAAGATTCTTAAAGGCCAATACAATTTTAGTTTAATCATTAGACAAATTTATGGATCTCAATTCATTATGTTTATCAGTCCTCTTTTCATCAATTTTTTACCCATCATAATCCCACATAAATAAATTACCTTTTCTGTCTGCAGTAATTATCATTTTTTCAGAATTTGTCACAAATTCAGGATCATGTGATTGTCTCTCCATCATTAGAGAAGAATAAATTTTCTTATTCATGACAGGTAGTAAGGATATTTATTATTCATTGGTCCAAAATACTTGTTAAGTAGAACTGGACAACATCACTTTGGCAGACTTTTGAATTTTGATCATGTTCTCCACTAATGTTAGTTATTCTAAATCCCAAATACTTAATTGATGTTCTTCTTAGACTATCATATAAATTTCATTGGATGAAATAAATGTTGAAACCAGAATATCTTAGATTTCAACCTCTTTGATAACTCTTAAGTCTGAACTCCATAATTTCAATGTTAAGTCATCACCTCCTGTTATTAACATATCTCTTGTTTTAAGCCAATGAATTGATATAATTTCTCTAGAATGAGCATGCTCAATCTATGTTTATACATCTGTGGTTTGATCAATGATAGCAATATTGCCATTACCTAATCCTGCATAAATTTTTGTATTTTTTTAATCATAACCCACAGATGATATATTCTCATTTGGAATAAATATTTTTTTTTATACTTTGGTTTAAGAGGAAATAGTCCAAATTTCTATGAGATTTCCTGCACAAAAAAATTAATCTTCATTTACAAGTATATCATTTAATATTCTGTTCTCAGTTAAAAGGGACTCCTTTATACTAAAATCAGAAAACTTCCACACCAAAATATGTTCTCCAGAGACTGTCAAAAAGTATTTAGAACTTAATGTCTTAATAAATGAAATAGGCTAAGAGAGCTGCATCTATTTTTGTTCTGATCTTGAATCATGCCTAACTATCAGCAATGTTCCTTAATCAGTCCCTACTAATTTTACCAATCCATCAATGCTAGCTCCTAAAGATGAAATCTTATGTGACTTTAAGGCATCATATGTAATGCTTCTAAACTCTCGTACAAATGTATTACAATTTTACGATTGTAAAAGTACTTCCCTACTTTCATAACCAGAAATACATCTCTTATTGACATCTGTGTAATCATAAAGCAAATAGTACTCTTATAGACTCTCCTACCATAATTACACAATACCTCCATTGGTTTGAGTCAATATTCTATATTCATTATTATATTTTATAATCTTAATATCATTTACTTAACTTCCAAATAAATTCATTTGCTGCTAAAACTTCTGACTCTTAAAATCCCATAGATAAACATCGCCATCTATACTACCAGAACATAGTAGTTATGAGTCATCTGAGATGGCTAACGAGATGATAGTTTAATTATGTTTAACCAGATTTTGACCTTCTTGTAATCCCGTCCCTGTATTCCAAATTTTGATCATCTTATCTGCTGATCCTGAGATTATAAACTTTCCATCAAATGAAAATATCGCACATGTTATTTCAGCTTAATGTCCCTTATTGACATCGATAGTTGAATCAGAATTTTCTAAGTCCCACAACTAGACAAGTCCATCAGCAAACCCTGTTAAGGCTAAAGTTGAATTGTTAACTAAGCATAATGAATACACTTTTGGCTTTAAGATAAATGCTGTTTGACTTATCTATGATTTTTATTATATATTCCATAATCTTATAGTTTTGTCCCAAGAACAGGATACCAATTATTTTCCATCAGTAGAAAATTAAATTTGTGATATTTATTCCTTATGACCTGAAAGACTGAAATTGATATCAACTGATGATATTTAAAATACGATTATTTCTCCTTGATCACCTCCAAAGGCAACTAAGGTTGAATCTCTGTTTACATCTGAACATGTCAATCGCCTTAATTTTGATTCATGTGTTTCTAGTTTCTTTTCTTTTTAATTATAAATTGAAAAATTGTAATGATGTTATAAAATGACTACCTTTGCACATTTTAATTCATACACTTTTTCATTAGTCAATGAATGAAATTGATAGGGTGCAACAATCGAATCTGGTTGTACTTTAAGTAACTTATTCTTTTAGGTTTATTAAATATTATTTTGATTCTACATTATTATATCATTTTCGTCATTATCATCTTCAATCATCTTCATTTTTAAATTGCCCTTAGGAGCATGCTTTGATTTCATGTTTTGATATTGATTTTTTACTTCTGGGATATTATCATATTAGAGTATCAATTGAAACTCATCTGCTCCATCACCTCCTCCTAAGATTATAGATTAGTCATTTGGACCGAATGTAATAGTATCCTTATATTATGAGAAGCAATCGCCGAAGTTCAATTTTTAAATGGCCTTATTGTTGGTGATATCAAAAATTAAGGCTTCATTTTTATTTATCATCGCTAACAATTTCTAATTATTTGATAAGACAATAAATCTTGGTTTGAAATCTATGTTTAGTTTCCTTTCCTCTTAAAACTTATATAAATTATATTATTTGACTTAAATACTATCATGAACTAAAAAAACGTTTTCTTCTTCAATATATATTATCTATTATGCATTACTAATATTGGTTTCTATCTTTGGTAATTCATCAATTAAAATATCTTCCCATTTTGCATTCTTTATCTCAGCATTATTCAGATTGACTCCAGACAATTTCACTTTGTTAAACTTCGATCCGTTGAAATTACAACAGAAAAAGTTAGCATTATTTAAACTTATTTATTTAATTTTTATTTATTGAAAATCCCTCTCTATAAATTACTACCCTAAGAGATTTAATAAATACAGACTATTTGAACTTCCAATAGTAAACTCATCATCAAATCTTGAATAATAGATTAAATTGATTAACTTCTATTTTAATTCTTCATTGAATTTTATTTTATTGATTATAAATCTAATAGGTCCTTGCATATAATCAAAATCCCAGGACTTTTAAAAGAAATTGTATTTAACTAATTATTTCTGTTAGTCTTTATCAATCCTTACTGGTGTGTCCTAATCTTATACATTTAACTTGACCAATTGTTCTATAAACCATTTTGCTACTAAGAACTCTTACAAAGATTTGTGGTTGAATGAATAGATTCCACTTTTCTATTTAATTGGTATACATTTTCTAAATAATCTTTTGAACGTCCCTTCCTAACAATCATCATTAAAAAAGTCATCTCTCCAATCTTTATCCTCCTTCTTAAACACTAATCCACTTGGTTAAAAAGGAACTTAACTCAAATTGTTAAATGTCATTTCATTAGCCAATTTATGAGCGAATTCCCATAATTCATTACCTATTGAATCAAAATCAATCTATTCTCCTGTTTCTCTCAGCTTATTAATTTATCTCTTAAAATAATGCTCTAAAAATTGTATATAGAAATCATATGTAGACAAAGGTTCCAAGAGCAATGCCTTCATTATGATATTCACTCTTTAATTATTCTAAAAATATTGGTATATCTTCTTCTCTTATTCAGAAATCTAAAATTCCTGAACAAATTCTGTAATGAACTGTTAATTATTCAAAATCCCCTGCCACTCATCAAGTGCCTATTTTTATACAGAATCATCTTATCTACTCAAATAAACATATTTTTTAATAAAGTTCTCTTTAATATTATTAATTTCCTATCTCTACTTCACTACATAAGGAAGGACAGCCATCACTATCTCCACCATAAATGGTGTTTCTATCACCTACTCCAATCCCATCAACTTTATAAAGTTTTCATACTTCCAACTTGACCAAATCTCCATCAGCATCTAAGTCATCGATTTCTGATGTTCAGTTGTAACAAAATGCTTGCATTTCAAAATTAAAGAATCAATAATATCCTGACTCAGCATTTATTGCTACTCTTATTTTATATTTAGCAATCCCACTGTCTTGATAATATCTACATAAACGTTCTCAAACTCTTAATAATCCTAATCCTAATAAGCAGCAAAATAGAACTCTTTAATAACTCTTTTGACACAGAGAAATGTGTACTCTTGAATATATTGCTTTATTTGGTTTTCTGTAAATTTTAATAATCTCACCTCTTTATAAAAGCTATGTGAATTCGATTCTGATAAAAACCAAGAGCTATATCCCTTTATTGTGAATAGCTCTGATCTTGAAGTAGTGATAACCTTAGGATACTTGTTTCTATCAGAACTGCATCTCCATTTCGAAATTCTATTCGAGAGATTCAGATTCAGTCCAATATATTGTTACTTCAGTTCATCATAACTATCCATAATTATAATCAATCTATATTGTTTTAGTTCTAGTGCTTCTTTAAGTTCCTCTATTTGTCTCTCGCTAAATCTATAATTATCTGACCTAAGAGTTTCCTCTAATGCACAATATATAGGGTCTTTTAATTAAGGAAGTGAAACAAATATTGGAATTAACGGAATATAATCTGTTTGATTTTTGTTTTTCTAGTATATAAGCCATAGAAATTCTTCAATCTTTCTAGCAGCTGTACTTTTACCTGATCCTGCTTGTCCATGAATTAATAATGAATCTTTCTATTATTTCCAAATAAATTCATTAATTTCTCCATTCCCAAATAAATCCTCTGTAAATAAAACAGTTTCAATATCTTCAGCATCTTCTTATTATAACCTTTCTTTTGTTAAAATTTAAATATAAACATTGTCTGAATTATACACTAATCTTTATTGAAGTACTCGTTTCATTCTCATTTCAAATAGCTCCTTCACTGATCTTCCTTTTAAAAACCTGAGATCCTTATTGATGCTTTCCATGGCTTCCTAAAGTTGTTTGATTTAATTTTCTATTCTTAAAAGATCTTATTTCAAATCCTAAAAAAACAGGATTGTTATGCCCATCTGATTTCCTATATTTTCTACGTTTTCTAGAATTCCCTAGATTTCTTTCTCCAATCTGCTATATTCCTTTTGATATTTAATTTTCAATTAATTTGAGGTTTCTATCGTCAATTTTTAAGCAACGTCATTTAATTCCTTTATTTTTTCTTTGATTTTATTTTAAATCATTTGCTCTTGACTTGGCCAATATTTACTTAAGATCATTTAAGATTCCTATCCACCTTAATTGTTGAATAGCATTCTTATTTTTTTATCAGTTTCAAAAACTGAAAATTTAATCAATAGTCCTGAACTAATGTTAATCGAGTTTTGTGACAAACAAAACTACCTCATTTATTGCAATTCGTAAATAATAACTTGTCTTATTCTCCATTTATTACTAAATAGAAAATCTACAATTTCTTCTTTAATTTTATCATATTACTATTCAAAATAATTATATTGTTTCTCCTTACTTTCTACTTAAACCAAAATAAAGTGTAATTGAGATTCAATGTCCTTTTTGTGTTAAACTGTTTGTTTTTCGCTTATTTTTTTTTGTATTTTTGAAATATCTAATTCTAAAGTAGTTTATTCTTTTTATAACTTTGTAAATGATTATTTGATCTCCCTTTCAGTCTCTTAGAGAACTGTATCATAGCTATTTTTTTACTCTTTTAACTTATTTAATGTTACTACATTTTTCAATTAAAGGAGAATTTATTATAATTCTTTTTCAATTTCTTTAACTTGATTGAATTATTTCTCTTATTTCTATTTCAATTCTTCTAATTCAGAATGAATATTTTAGTAAAATTCAATTTCTATTTGAATTTTATTGTTAAGTTCAATATTGATATTACCATTTTTGACATATGTATAATCAATTAATTAGTCTAACTTCTCTCGAATATCTATTTTGATTTGTTCTACTAATTCTTCATCTTTTTTATTAAAAATGTTTAACTCAGAGAGTCCTGTAAAAAACACTATCAATTAATCTAATGTTTATAATTTCTGAATTAATTATTCATAAAACAATTCATCAGTTTCCTTAATGCGAGTCTACGAGCTTGCAAGAATTTACTAAAATTTTTCATAATAATTCTATAGCTTTTGCAAACATTCTTATATCTTATACTTGTTTGTTTAATTTTCAAGGAAATTTTGTTTAACTTCAGTGATGCATTTTATGTCAAGTAGATATTCTAATTCATCTGTTACTTCATTATTAACTTCCTTTTCATAGAGAAGAAAATCAATAATCATTTTTAAAGCACTTTATACTTAGTTTATATAACTTATTGACTGATCCATTTCCTCCTCCATCATCTTAGAGATTTCCAACTCAAATTTCACATTCTTAACTGAAGAATTATTGCAAAACAAGTACTTTCTAAGAATTTAGAGGTTAGTGTTCTTCGCATCAAAATTATCAATTAATAAAGTTTTCAGCAATTTTTCAAGGTTACTCTTTGATTGCAATTATAGAGTTGAAAACTTCTTAAAGCATTCACAATAAGAGTATTGATTATATAAAAATTAAATTGATTAGCTTAATGTTTAGTAGGATATATGTTAATTAGTAATATTACTTATTGAGTTCTAAATATTAGGATCTTTATCATAATATTATTCTTATAATAACATTCTCAGATATATTTGTAGGATTATGCAATTTTGTAAATTCCATTTCAAATTGGATTTCCATTATTAAATTAAATTTATTGCTTTGATGAGACCAATTAAGTAATCGTTTTGTTGAAAATTTGAACTTTCTTCTTTAAAAACAATATTTTTCAAAGCATTTTACATATTCTTAATGATATCTTTGTCCAAATGATTTTTTGTAAATTATTCAAATGTCTTTTTAAAAGATGAACCGTTTTAGGAACTTGAAATTAATTCAGAAATAATTTAAATATACTAATCAGATTAGAATGTTTCTTGGTATTGATCATTTCTAAAATTGGCCAAACCATTTAAATAAATTTAACAATTAGTTTATTGGATTTAACAGTAGTCATCAAAAAAGATATTTTAATTATTTCTTAGTGAAGATGAATTTTAAATAATAGTTTTCAATGTATTCAAATGTTCTATCTCTGACAAAAATGCAATAATTTTCATTTGAGATTCTTTCATTAATTTCTCTGATTACTTTAACTTTTGTTGATCTTTCAAATCTTGAGACTTTACAATTTCATTAAATTCAATAAATATTGACTACAAAGATTATACCTAGTTCAATAATTAGGAAATTCTTGATAAAGTAATTGGCAATTAAGGTTAATTATTTTACTTTTATTCATCTAAAGCCTAAAGCTTAATAAAATACTATTATTCATAATTCGATAATTAGCCATAACCTTGTAAAATGAAATTCTAAAGTTAGGCTAATTCTTAGAGTGTTGTTGAACTATCGAAAATAGTCTTAGAAGTTCTATCATTTTAAATATTAGAGTATTTTAAAGACAATATTTGCTAATTTCCAAGTGTTTTAATTGCATAATCCTTCTACAGTATCTCATTCAAAAGAGATTCTTCTAAGCATAACTTCTATATCACTGGTTTGAATTGAAATAAAGAAGATATTGTTTAAATCCAGCATTACCAAATTTCCCAATCGCTGGATTCTTTTACAACATCGCAATACATTTTACCCAACAATTCAGCAATTTCCTTGGATTTACTACTCTAAACCTTTGTCTCCTTACTCTATTCCAATATATTCATAGCATCAAACTTCAAACTCAGTAATGAAAATATGATTTCTAATTTCTTTATTCTTGAATATTTCACCCCTTATTGATATAAGTATACAACTCCTTTTTTTAAACTTTAAATCAAATCATCATTTAAGGAGAATGTAACTAAGGCTTAAAAGGCACCTCCTAAAAATTACGACAGGATCTCAAAGCCTTCTTATGAATTGGTTGGAGTAATATATAATACTGCTCTAATGACAAATAATTCATATTCTATATTATTTTTATATTTTGATCCTTCACTCTCTATTTCTAGTCTTTCATATATTTACTCAATTTCACTTAAGTATTATTACTAAGTCTAAACTTATAAAAATCTTTCCTTTGTTGTGGAATAGAATGTAAATATTACCCAAATAAGACTAGAAATCGATTGTGAAGTAAAAAGTGCATATAAATGATTAGATTAAATAAAACTTTTTAAGGCTGGTAAAAGCTATTTAAGGCATTCTAAAATTAAATCAATATTTTCTTTTGATTATTCTGGATTTTTTGCTTATTCCCAAAGTTACCTCTAATGAATTAAAAAAAATTGAAAACTATTCATTAGATCATTCTTTTTATCAATAGCAGTTACAGCATTCTCAGCAATCCTATTAGAGTGAATTCTAATATAGTTTTATAAATTAGGTGTAACTTATTTTTCGTCCAATGTTTATATTGGTGTATTCTTAGGTGTTATTACACTACCAGGACTGACACATCCACCTCCTCTTAGTTACATTAATATATCAATTAATTAATATTGTTTAATAATCGAATTAAAAAGAAAAATATATATTATTGTTCTTTAGAAACATGAAATTTATTTTAATTTAATTATCACTGCTTCGATAAAAAGATAAATTAATTGATCGCTAATTAAGCAGCTAAAACTATGATAAATTAATAAATTACATATTATTTAATAAACAAATCCTTTTGCAATTACAAATTTTCCACTCATAAGTAAACTATGAATTTTTTAGTTCTAATAAATACTTGAGTGCTTTTAATCTACAAAAGACTGAACGGTGAAGAGATTTAAATAGAATTTATTTATGGCTTTACTTTCAAAAGATTTAAATATAATTTTTAGTTAAAATTAATGTCATTTAATAGGGAATATTATTGATTGTAAGTTTTTAAATTGTAAGACGCAAATGAAGCACTTTAATCTATAGTTATTTCAAATAAATTTATAAATATGTGCCGCCTATTATGAGAAATTAATCCTTCTAAATATATAATATAATTTTTTAAACAGCGAGTTAATTCTTTATATATAATTTTAATTTATAAAAATATTTATTAAAACAAATGCTTAATACTGGAAACACAAATAGTCATAATAATAATTCAAATGATTAATATATTGCTCTTAATCCATAAAGTTATGATTAATAAAAGAAAATCATCTTATTTGAATTTGATTCTGGAAAATTAGATAATACATTGATAATCCTTGTATCATTTTTATAATAACTGTCTAATATCAAAACTATTCCAATTAATGTATTACAAAAATGCAAAGGTTAGCTGGATAAAATTTATAAATTAATTTAAGAAGTAGAACTTAAAATAAATTCTCTTTAACATAATTTTTCTCAAGAATAAACTATTATATCAAAGGAGAACTATGATACAGAGTATACAAAATAAAGAAAATAAATGTTTCACTAATAACCATAAAATGAAGGAGATTCAAGTGTGATTTCAAATTTGGCTTCTTCAATATTGATAAATTCAGAAGCAGACTTAAAGAAGATTTAATAGTAAAATGTAGTGGATGCAAAGCCTAATCAATCATATATACCTTAAGGTTGTATCATAAATTTTTCATATGCTAAGAATAATTAATCAGATTACTAATTTATGTTGTATTTGCTAATGGAATAAAATCTTAAAGTTAATAAATTATCGCTCTCATGTCTTGGCAATGTGAAAATTAAACGTTCAGATTTAACTACCTTGTCTAATAAAAATAAATTTGATTTGTTACTAAATTAATAATTGGAACACATTTTTTCAAATATTAAGCGAAAAGCCTTTAATAATGAATTTAAAGTCCTTAGTTGTTCAAACACTTTTTGCAGTTTTAAGTGCTTTGAAAATGTACAAGTTAATAATACAAACAAAAACCATGTATTTTCTTATTGTCCTCTTTGCGAGGAATAGTCTGTAGTATGATTTTATTAATATTGAGTTAATAATGATGATTAATTTTTTATTATATTGAAGTCACATCTCTTCAGAAAATAGATTTATATATATATTTATATAAATATTTATTTCATGGATTTGATTACAACTAATAAATCAATAGTCTGTATATTGGGGGATTATAAGGAGAAACTCAAAAATCAACTAAGTAATTTTGAAGGCGGAATGCAATAGTAGATTTCATATTAATGAACTTAGATTTATAATATTGCTAGAATTGGAATACAAGAAATTAGCTCATTAAGGAGGTGGTATTATGAAATTGTCTTGGTTGAATAAACTTAAAACAGTAATTTTAGTAATTAATATAATAGTTTCCATCTGTTGTAATTTGGATTTACGATATTTCAGAATGTATTGATTCTATTAATTATAGCTGAAAAACTTAATAGCTTATTAGACAACTATAATTCTTTAAAGCAGACACTCTTATTGGCTAAGAAGTTTCAACCCAAAATCATAATCATACTTACGGGTAGAAATGTGGGAGGCTTTGATTTCAATTATTTAAAAAAGGAAATAGATTTAAGAAAAGTGTTTGCAGTAGAATTTGAGAACATTGGACAATAATTAAAAAGGTACATAAGATGATTTAATTGATAAGATTAAAAAAAATGATTGTTGAGGATTCGTAAAATTTTTATTAGGAACTCTTCAACAGATATAAGGCAGATGCTAGTAATTTATAGAAGCAAGAAATGAGCGATTAAAAGTTGATTCTTGAAATTAAGAAGACTTTGATTAGTGAAATTGAGAATAATAGTAAGAAAACAAATAAGCATCTGTAACAATCATATGAGATTGTCACATAACTTGCCTCAAAAAGAAGAGAACTATTAACATTCACTGAAGACAACTCTTTTTATTTGTCATATGAACTGCTACTATAAGCAGAAGAATATAGAGAAGTATTGTTTATTTGTGAGATAGCAAGATTGCTGATCAATTGAGATTCAAGTTATTTAGAAACCTAGAATACTAAGATGTCATTTAATAATTTGAAATTCATTTTAAGACTTTTAAAAATATTATCTAATACAATCTATTTGATATTCAAGAATATTTGTGGAGAGTAAAGATCTTTACATCAATTATTAGATTTTTAGAATCAAAGATTTTAACTGTTAATTATAATGTAGTCTATAACTATTGTTAAGTAATCTTGTATAATTATCATAGACAACCCTTTTATCATATATAAAATTATTAAATCTGGGATAGTAATAAACAAATGCATAGATGGAATAATATGGTTGTTAGATATATAAATCAGAACCTGAGTTTTTAGGGAGACCAAATTACGTAATCAGAGAAAATGATCAAATCATAGAGATAAAGAGTGAAAAAAAGAGATACTATTATTAATAGATAATGAATTTTAGGCAAAAGGAGATCGAATTAGCTCCAGATGTTTCATTTATTTTTGATATCTGGAAATAATACAATGACAATGGTTAAGTTACTTATTAATATACAAATATTTATTTTAAATATTTGCAAATCTTGATCCAAAAAAACTTTGATTTGAAACTACAAATCCAAGACAATTTGATTTAATTTGGATTGATAGAAGAATACAAAAATTTAATATACCTTCAATATCAAACAGCTCCACTTATTAAATAGATTTAATTGTTAAGTGAGATATTGCTTTATGAGCAAAGCAAAATTACAGATATTAAAAAATTAGCCTCCTAATTAACTGAAAAATTAGACATAGTTGTGCCAGCAAATTCATTTATCTCTATTTCTAAATTAGAATCAGATGAATCATTTGTCTAGTTAAAAATTGAAATGAATATCAACTAGTAAATTTTGGATTTGATTGAGACTGGAATTATTTACTGTAGAAATTATGAAATCGAATTTATTGCTACTCAAAATTCAGTTTTATAAACTGATAAAGCTATTGAAAAACCTGTTTAAATTAAACTGTTTGGAAAATATTTGTAATAAATACTTTTTATTTTATAGGGATAAATTATCTGTCACAATCATTTGTCAAGATGTTGACTTATTTTCAAACAAGTACAAAGTTAGCTATTTGTCCTAAAAATAAAGAGATCCTCCCATCATCAATTTTTCTTCTGATATCGCTTATATAAATGAAATTAATGAAATATAAGTTGAGTTAAGCTATTCAACTGAAATTGAGCTCATAGGCTTTAATTTAAACAAAAATACTTTATAGAAATTTAAAGAAACTGATAATAAGATAATAAAAACAAACAAATTTACAATTTTAATTACAGAAACCTAAATTCAAGAAAAAAATATTTGTTTTAGAATACTAGGAGACATTATTACCAAGAAAATTAAATTTATGTTTCCTTTTACATACAAAGTTAAACTTAAACAATTGAGTAGTGTATATTAAAATGCTTAAAATCGAAATAAGAATTCCGTCAGCTCTTTTAGTAGATGCAGTTTATAATTGGAAATATACGATTTAGTTCCTGAAGAAACTGAATTTGTCCCAGTAGTAGATTTAGACTTCTACAATAAAAATAAATTTAATGTGATATTCTAAACAAGAGAGCAAACAAGTTATTTATAATTTGGATATTTCAGGGTTAAATATTAGAGAAACTCTAACAGATATGAAATTAATGTTTATGTTAATGATGTGATTGTGTAATCTTATTTGCAAAATGTAGAAATCATATCACCACCAACTTGCAAAACTCAACAAACTTTTGAGATTTAAGTTAAATTGAAGACTTCGGAAGCATAGAATTTCTTCATTTAATTAAAGGACTAAGAAAAAAAACAATTTTTTGTTATGGGAAAAGTGAAATAGATGATTTGGGTAAATGATGAGGTCATTTTATCATATCTATTATTCCCTATAGACATTGGTAAGTGTAATCTACCAGGAATATAAATTGAAATTAGATAACCTAATAATCCTATTCAATTAGTATTTGACTCATCAGGAATGAAATCTATATTAATATTACCTTGAAATGATAATTTTATGAATTCTATTTTAGAGAAAAAGGATGCTCAAATAAAAATTCATTTTTCTTCAATATAGAATTTTATTTGATATAATAATAATAAATAACCTTAAGATTATTCATTATTTCAAGAATAATTTGTTTAGTTCTTCTAAATTAATATTTATTAAATCCTAATTAACGTTATGCTGAATTATAATTCAATATCGATTATAATGATGTTACTAAATTAAATTTGCAACATTTCCCCGTGTGTTGCCTCCTCTAAGTGAATAAAAAACCTTCTTTTAATGAGATAAAAAGTTTAGTTATTTTGATCATAAATAATTTGAAATAAGATAATTATATATTATTAATTTAAGTTATTAGTTAGTTTAGCTTAAATAAATTTATTCTTTCAATCATGTTGCAGATAACTTAAAAGCTAATCAAAAATTATTTAGACTTAATGACTGCATCTCCGAAAATTCAATTATGGGACTCATTATTTAAAGGTGCACTGCTATTTTAATTTATTTTGAGAACACATTTCATTTTTCCTAAAGATGGTTGGAATGTTTGGAAATATTCGGATTTTAAATTAAATGTTCCATATATCCTCTTGTCATATTTATACTTTGAAATTTCAGACGCTATTAAAATCATTTTGATATTGATCAACATTACCCTATTCATCTTGAGCTTTTTCAGAGTGTAAGTAGTATTTTATTACAATAACTTATTATGGAAGATATTTTACATCCCTCAAGTAGCCATGTTGGCTTATCTATCAGGAAGTATAGAACTTTCTATAATTGGTATTATGATCCTTTTCTCTATTTTAACTTTTAATTTATATTTTAATAGATCCACTAAATTTATACATAGTAATCCTTTTATTAGGAAATTTACATAACTTACAGTAATTAATGTTATTTTGGATACAATATGTTTAATTGATTTTGAATTTCATTTGTTCTAATAGATAATGCTTCTTTTTCAAGGAGTTTCCTTGTGTTTGGATGTCATTATTTTCAAACCCTATCGACTGCAATACAACAAATTAGCATTCTAATATAATTTTTTATATAGTGCAATAGTAATAGTAAACTCAATTTCTCTGATGACTAAATCTGAGGAAAATATGTTCTATTTTACAATCCTTTTTGGAACTCTGGCATATGTTCTATCTTATTAATTGTATGACAGGAAAGCAGATGTTGATTCTCAAAACTAATTCCAAATTCTAATTCAATGCTAATAATTCTATGACTAAGAAGATATTGTACATTACATTAAAGTAATGCAACACAAAAATAGCTGTAAAATGCTGCACAAGAACTACAACAAGGTTGACATAGTGATTTGTTAATTAGAAAACAAAATAATTCAAAGCAAAAGACTAAAATTAGATTACGAAATCTTGGAATTGGCATTGATTCATTTTTTGTGCATACATAAAGCTCCTCTAACTGCTTTGTGCAGACTAAAACAATACTACAACATCCATTAAGATCATTCAATGTTCTTCAAAATCATATTTCCTAGTTTGCATAATTAGTTATGGACATCGGTAACAAAAGTGTAAGAGAATATCAATTAAATAATGAAAGCTGGTTCATATTAAGATGAAAGAATATTGTCAACGAGAGACATATATGAAGCTGTTTAAGTGAGAGACAATTCCATTCCTATGATAATAAGCGTAATTGATTATAAATTGAGTTATTGGAGATAACTAATTTCTTTGATAAACAATTTCAAGAGACTTTTTCATGTAACCTCAACTCTAAGTTAAAAAATTATCTAGTGTTAAAGATAGCTTGAATAACTGTATAAATGTAAAAACTTAGAAGATATTGAACAGCCTAGAACTGTGATCGAAGTAATTATTTTATTAATTTATTATGCAATAATAGTCAATGATTATTAATAAGCAATAAAAATGCAAAAGGTGATGAATGATATTTTAAGAACCGAAAACCTAGCAGAAGGAAAATTATTGAATGGAAATATCATGGAAAATAAGATTTGCTTATTATATTCTAGCATAGTAAAATCGCAAGGTCAAATAGTAAGAATCAATACTTAATAAATTGCTTAATTTTGGGGTTATGAAAATGAAATGGATTTTAGGGATATCAAACACATAAATTAATTAATGCCTGACTTTTTGGCTTAAGTGCATGATTAATATTTGGAGAGATTTAAAAAGTTAGGCCATAGCATATTATTTGGAAAAAGTCGAACTGTTTTTCTCAAAGGAAAAAATAATTTCTTAATTCCAGCTGATATTACAATAGATAACTTCTTCATAAGTTATGATGATTATATAATCACCGCTGCTTTTTCAAAAACTAAGGAGAAATGCTTATTTTTGTACTTTGATTCCAAAGGGAAAATCTTAGGAGCTAATTAATTGATGTTTAAGTTATTGACTTCAATTGATAAGACAATCACTTAAGACCAATTATCATAGGGTTACATATTTCAACTGATTCCAAAAATATTTGTTTTGATTAATGCCTATAAAACCCAGGACACAGATGTAAATCAGGAGAATAAGATAGTTTTAAAAATTGGAAATCCAATAAAAGGGCAATTTTAAAAATTAATGAAAAGTTCAAAAGGAAGAAGTAAAAATTAAATGTATTATGCAGGCATATGGACCACCATTGATACTCACGACTATGGTTAAGCGGGAAAGGAACCACAATATAATATCGATTTCAATCAATTAGAATAAACAAAACCTGATTGTGAACTCTTTGATGAAGGGTACTAAGAAAGAATGCTGTAATACGTAGATGATTCTATTTAAACTACCAATTATAAAATAAATTGCTAATTAGAATACTTAGTTCTTGGATATTATAAATCAATACCATTATTTACTTTGGAGATAAATGACATAGTTACACAAACAAAAGAAGAAAATGAGGAAGAGATGGCATCAGAAGATATGATTCATGATATAGAATTATCAGATTTAAATAAATCAAGCCATCAAGTCCTGAGTTCTATTCAAAATGAAAGCTTTTAAAAAGTGAAAATTGAGGAGAATGATAAATTGTAATAATATCCAGAGGTATCTCTGATTAGAGGGAAATACGATTAATCATTTTTTGATTAATTATAGGATTCCTCTAGATAAATCTTAGCTCCTTTTTCATAACGAGCTACTTTTAATCTTATTAAGCATAAAAGTGTCAATGACGATTCAAAGTATTTAGAGGATGATTTTAAAATCCTTAAATAATAGTAAGAGCTTAGTTATGAATAACACAATAATGCAGATCAATTCTAGTATTCTAAGCATAAAACAGTACTAGATTAGTTATAGGAGAAGTAATCTTCAGCAGGTAAAAACTGCCAACTCAATAATATATAAGATTTTCAAGCAGTTAATTCAGCTGGATCAATTGCTAGGAGAACTAAAAACCACCATCATGATTTATTGAAACAAAAGTCTCGTTCAAAAGTCAAACCTATTTAATTAAGCTTAATTTTATTTATCGATTTATTGATAGTGTTGAGCATAATCACGTTTAATATTTTCACAATTTTAACACTCAATACAAAAAAATAAAATAGCAACAATTTACTAATTGAATTGCAGGCTCCCTTTATCTACAATAGTTATTATTGTGAATTGACTTCTCATGATATTATTTTTAAATTGTCTTAAATTTAAGGAATTGAATTTAGTTAAGATTTACTAGATACTATAAAAAGTAGATTTATTAAAATTCAATACTTATAAAATATGTCCAAATTTTATTAGGTATTTTCAGAAATCGAAGAGGAAGGGAATATTTTAAATTAAAACATTTCTTTACATTATATTGACGCACCAGACAATTCAAATATGACTTTTACATTCTTTTACAATCAAATAAAAATATATTTTTCACTAATAATCCAATTTTATTAAGAATACAATGTTAATAATTTTGATGATTACTTCTTTTAGCAGTCCTTATTTTAGACTTTAAATTTAAATGACAGTTCATAATTATTTAGACTATTGCTTAAATAATTAATTGATAAATTTTATGATCATATAGATAACAACGATGAATTAATTCTTAATTTATTTATCATCCAAACAATCCTGTAATTTTCACTCATTATAATTCAATTCCTTGTTTTATTAGACCTTCTTAAGATTTATAGAAAGATTATTCATTTAAATTGTAGATTATATGAAAAAGATGTATTAATTGCCATATAGAGATTACAAGCTGTACGAGATATATTATTTGATAAATATTCTCTGAATTGGAAAAAGGCTGACTATATTCATATTGTTTATTAGCCTTAAACTGAATAATAACCTAAGAATGGAAAATAAAATAAGACTACCCTATTGTCCTCTCGATTACAGCAACAAAATTTTAATATCTTTACAACATCAGCATTTCTACTCGTTCTTTTGCTAATAATTTTACTAGTTAATATAGGAGGATTTCTATTGAATTCCCAAAAACAAAAATAACTCAAGCCATCATTTCTGTTAACAGCCGAATTCCATCATTTCACATTACAAGTTGATTCTATTTTGAGTAATGCCATGAGAATAAAAAGCCAAAACATAATTTTAAGCAACAATACTTTGACAAATAAGCTTAATCCAAGAATTCTAAAATAAGCTATCAATTATTTTCAAGATGAAAAATATTAGAATCTAAGTGATTTTAAGGATTTAGTTAATTCTTTTCAATAGAGTTAAATTCAAATCATACAAATGCTCATTGAAGATCCAAATATTGACCCTTCAAAGGCGGGGGTTCTGAATGAAATATTTTTCTAAGATTTATGCCCTTCAATATGCCCCAATTCATCAAACATTAAGGATAATTGCACATATCTCTATAACAAAGGGATAATTGGGATATATACTAAGATGTCTAATTTCCTGACAACTTCATACAATTACGAATTGGAAATGGAAAGGATAGATCCTGATTCCAAGGCATCATTGGAAGTATTGAATTCTGTCGATTTCAATTAAATCTTTGGCAGGTATTTCACGAATACCAAAATGGCATTTGAAAAATTTGGAAATGAAATATTGGATCTTACAATGGGAATAATAGAAGACAATTTTGAAGTGATTCTAATCTATTATTCGATCACTGGATGTTGTACCTTAATTATTGTAGGATTAGCCCTGATATATTTTGCAAAAATGTAGTAGTAACAAATCAACCTGTTAAGGTTATCCTTAACAGTAATTCCATTAGAATTGATTGATTAATAAGCAATTAATATTCTTCGCTAATTATGAAAATTAATCATTAATTTATTTAAAATATTTAAATAAAATATCTCCAAACACTAAGAGTCTCAGATCAAGGCTCATAGTTTTCATAGTTAACTTATAAATAATGATGAAATCTTATACATTACTTATGTAAAGTGATGAATGATCCGTTCGCTGATATAAATATATATATATATTTTAAAATTTAATAAATGCCTAAAGACGCTAGAGGAAAAAATAGGAAATGGGGAAATCACAAGGATAGACAATTCGAATAAGTCAACGAAGGCGAATTGATCGAATAATTAAAACATCAAGCAGAAGATGATTCAGAAGATGATGAGGAAGTTGAATAATAGGATCAACCTTAAAAAGTTGAACAAAAAGAGGGAGCTTAAGAGGAGCAATAGTAAGAAAAAAAGAAGAAAAAGAAAAAGTAAACCAAATTTTCATGTAATTAGACGAGTGACTGCTGAGGGAGTACCAAAACCGAAAAAATAAAAGAGAAATCTTGATATGCCTGAATCTGAAGAAGAAGACGAGTCATAATATTATTGAATGTGATATATAGATGATTTAATATTAACATAATTATTTAGAAGCATAATTAGAGTCTAAAGAAATAAAATGTTTGCATTTCACACACCTTTATGATTGACCACTAAATTATTCTAGAATTTAATAATAATGATTTATTTAATAGTTATATAAATGAATGGATAATCTATTCATTCGAAAAATACTTCGTATGCTCTCATCACTCTTTGATACATTGTCTTATACATGACTTAATCTTCTGAATAGTTCTTTTTTCTCAATTCAAAAAATGCTGTATAATTCACTGAACTAGAATCAGTATGTGAGAATACTGAGTCAAGAGTTAACAATATAAATAGATCATCAACGAGAACTAATGTTGGAAGAACCTTATGAAGGGAATCCAGATTATTTCTGATTTTCACAATTTCTGGGAACAGTAATCGAGCCAGCCCTAAACTTAGATCATAAAGAACTTTAAAAAAATTCTTATTGCACTCAAAATTGGAACTCATGAATTCTTTGTTAACATTCAATTTTTAAAATGCCTTCTCATTCATAGATTGAAATTACTATAATTGGTCTTATGAAGCACTGTAAACATATTGTTAAGTGATATTTAGATCTTTCTCAAGTGCCTTTTTAATTTTCTCTCTGTCCAATCCTTCAGTTAAGAAGTTTTCCCAATCAGTATCATTAACACCTATTGGATTATTAATATCCCAACAACAATAGTATTTGAAGTTTTTATTAACTTCCATCCATTCCACTAATCCTCTATTGATGATAAGTTCAAATTTATTCAGTCCAAACCTCAGTGATTTTAGATGATCTGAAATATCTACTTTACTTCTTTCAAAAATTAATTTATTGGCTAAGGTCAATTCGTATTCTTTAACTCTTTAAGATAATAATCTAAGGAACATACATTTACCCTTTTCAAAAGTAAGTCTGCTAATCAATTTCGAGAAAATATCTTCATTTTTTCTTTGTTTTTCTGCTTAATCAATGACCACATTAGCATTTTCATAGATTCTTTCTATTTCTTATTCTGAATGATCATTCATTTCAAAATCGAAATCGTCTATTTTCACATCATTAATATCAACTGAATCATCTTAAGGCTCATGATATTCAAAAATGTTTAATCCCATTTCCTTTAATAATTTGTTTTGAAATAAAGGACATGCAAATAGATCGTTCCAATCTATTCTGTCTTCTTCTCTATATCGCATCATTTATACAATAATTTATTGTAAAGGCTATGAAACTTGCATACCAGTTTTTGGAAACTCAATAAAGTCTCTTTTCATTAATTCCATTAATTTGATTTCACTTGCATAGAACTCTTTGTATGGATATTTCTTAAAACACATAAAATATAGAGTAGCTCCTAAACTCCAAATATCACATTTATCAGTATAATCGCCTAACTTATATACAAGGATATACCTAAAATAACTTAGGGAGCAATAGTGGCTCTTGTTCCTAGATAAGAATGCAATTGGGTTTTTGAGTTATGTTATTTGGCAAATCCAAAGTCTGCTATTTTTAAGACTCCTTTTCTTATTAGGATATTTTCTGGTTTCACATCCCGGTGGATAATTTGCTTGCTCCTGAGATATTTAAATCCATTAAGGATTTCTCCAAACTTGTACCTTATCTCCGGCTCAGTGATCTCTTTATTTTCTTTAATGAATTCGGATAGTGACTAAGATCATTAAGAATAGATTTATACTTTACCTTTTCGTTACAAAGTTCCATAACCATGTAAATCACATTTTGTAATTTCTTAACATCATAAAGTTTGACAATATTTGGATGTTTAAGTAATTTTAGAGCACAAATCTCTTTTCTGACAGCATCCAAAGTCATTTTCTCTCTATCACTCATTAATGCCATATTTTCTGGGAGCTCCATCTTCTTGATTGCACATTCCTTGTCATTTTCCTTATTTTATCTAAATGGGAAATGGACAACATAATTTACGCTTAGAAATTGAATCCACGATAAACTTTGCCAAATGCCCCTTCTCCAATCACATCATCAGGGTTGTAAAAATATTTATCCAACAATATATAGTTTTTATCATTCACTTTCATGGTTTACAGTTTTTAGGATTTGCTCCTAGATTTCTCATTACCTGATTATTAATTTGACATTTATATTTTTAACAATCAAATGTACGATCACCCCTAAAATGGTTTAATGGAAGCCCACTCCTTCAACTTGGACTCTCTATCTTAGGATATTCATCAAATCAAGCAAACCCTCTAAGGTTGGACAACCATTTTCAGTCAACTGATGGAAATCACAATTGAAACCCATAAGCAGAATCAATGCAATGTAAATCCTTGCTCTCTATTTAATAAGACATCGTTATTGTAATAGTTAATGGCAACTCAACAGCGCAGACACAAACATTCGTAGGCCAAAGATCAATTAAAATTGTCCCCAATAAGACCTAATAAAACCGAACCAGATGAGGTAATCAAACCAGAAAACTTTTCTAAAATATTCAATAACAATAAGAAGGTATTCATTTTATCAGACTCTCCTAGATTTCTATCATGCAACTTTAAGGCACACCATTCGATTCAGCATTTGAAAGCATTAATAAAGAACTCGAAGAACCTTGTAGGGAAGATTAGTATTTATCCGTGCCTAAATCTATGCAAATGTCAGTCGATTTAAACAAATAGAAGAAGAATCAGCATCTTGAATTGTAGCAACCAAAAAGCGCTAAGAATACTTATGAAAATAAACAGTTTGCATTCAATACCAAAGTTATGCGTTCCCAGGATATCAAAGCTAACAAAGAGAATCATCAACATCATTCCTCAATGAATAAACCAGATTCCAAACGCACTCTAGACTAACCTCAATTATCAACGGTAGTTGAGGAAAATTAGTCACCCTGCATGAGTCCAAATGAAAATAATTTCAGATGTAATCACTCGTTTTCTATTTTAGATTCCATTGCTTAATCTCATCGACAATATGATTAATGCAGTACTGCTAAAACATCGTAAAATAGTTAGAGACCTCTTAATTATTTTCAACAATAACAACTTCAATCAGAAAACAATAGATCCTCTTCAAAGTCTTGCTATGGCAATCAATAGGCATAAATCTTATCCAATAATACCAATGTCATTAATTAACAGCAGCAGCAGAATCCTTAGCAATCAGCATAATAAAATCCTTTCTTAAATAGTCTCAATAATGGGAGCACTAAAAACATTAAATAAGCTCAGACTTCTACAAGTAACATTCCTTTTAAATAGTAATTTGAAATTATGAACCAAGTAAGTTATATTATATATTTAGATTTCAAATTAAAGAGCTAAAAGTTACAGCGAGCAAAATTGTAAGAAGTAGTTAAGCAAGCGTTGTTTAGACATTGATCTCTTTGATAAATAATATGAGACTAGCTAGGAGTTAATTTGGAAAGCTTAAAAGACAAAGAAATGATTACTATTATTATATAATGTAAATTTAATAATGTTTCAACTTTATTTATTATATATCTTTACCATCCTTTTTTTAATTATTTCTGGATCTCTTTTTCTACTCAACATAGAGAATGCTATTAATATCCTATAAGTTAAATAAGTTTAAAAGAATTCTAAATATAATATAATAATAATAATAAATAAAATATGCCTGTGCCGAATAGTTCATATCCAATACCTTTAAGAACAGTACTAAAAATAGCTCCTGTTTGTATGGTACTTACAACTCTTGGTACATTATTGCCAGTTTGTTTATATGACATTCTCTATCATTCACATGAAAGAATAGACAAATTCTTTTGGAGATCAAGCAGATTTGAACGTTTTATTAGATGTAGAGATATGAAATTGCGTACGTTTTGGTATGAGGCTATGGAATGGTAACCCACTGGGAGAGAAAGCTTTATTTCTACTAGACCATAAGTAGCAGACCCATGAGAGGAGTGAATTATAAAAATCATATAATAATAATGTTCATTATGTGTGTAATTTCTCATTAGCTCTAGATTTGAATCCATTGAAATCCCATTTAGTCTCGACTCTCTCGGGCTCTTCAATGTGTGCACCTTATGCGTCAACATATGCCAATTAAATAACATCGTGAGCTCTGCAATCCCTGCAGAATAAGACCTATAGGTAGAATCCATTGATACTTTAAAGCATTCTCTGATTACTTGTTTAGCCTAATCAAGAGTGCAATTCTCATTCCAATAATTAGCGATGATGGCTTTGCAGAAATAACTAGCAAATCCAGTTGTAATAAAGTTTGATTCTAAATAGGTGCCATAAATATCAACAAGTCCCAAATATCTCTCTCCATTATGAAATCCCTAAATATTATTCTAAATGCAATACAGCAATAACATTCTGTAAATACAAGGGGTTAATTTTGCATCTCTTTTTATAGGACAATCTTGCTAAGAAATTGCCATAATCTTTAGGAGAAGGATGAACCCCATCATCATATTATAAGGCTGATCTATCGATTTTTGCTAATTCCTTCACGACTTGTTAGAAATCAGAAAATTCACCACTGGATGCATAAATTGTGTTTTTGGATATTTAGGCAATCTTCTATACATTCCTAAATGAAGTATTCTCATTATGTACTTGAATGTTGCCATGCTTCCATAACTACAAAGAGTATCAGTTCCAACGATTACACCTCCATTGTAAACTAAAGCTATGACACTGCCACCAGTAACAACAGGTGATGTTGTGTGTTGTTATTGGCCTGAGATTTCAGAATTGAAAATCATGATGTATATATTTAAATAATTAATACTGATGTTGCATTAATTTAATACATGAAAAATCGATTTCGAAAGACTCATACCATTATTGATCAAATTGACGGAATCAAAGAAACAGACAACTAAACACTTAAGAATCAAAGAAATATTCTGATTACTATCATCATCTAACATCTTTTTGTACTGTGGACATGCATCTATGGATATACATATATCTATTAGATGTATTTAGAATTGTATTTAAAGTATAAGATAACCACAATGGTGGTGATTATAGTTATACTTTTAAATTCGGATCTCTTTAAACACAAACTCAAAAAATAGCCATTTAGGTAATGAAACCAAAATTTTAATAGTTTAATTCTCTATGTATCATTTACATTGAGTTTGAGCTTTTTATTTGTTATTTATGACTCAAATAAGGATGTGTAACTATTGTTATATTCTAATATTTTTCCGATATTAGGATTGATAGTATGTTCGATATTTTAAGAGAATGAATTTGAATACTCAAGTGCTTTCACATGGGTCTTATTCTCGTAAATGACTTTCATTACCTGCGTGATCTTTTTAATGGGTACAGCTTTTGAGGATGCCTTAATATGCTCGAGTATTTCGTTTGCTTATGTCTGTATTCTCATTTACTAGTTTAAAGTATGAATTAGCATTTAGATAGACTGACATTTTGTATGAAATTGAAGAATATCCTTTAATAGCATGTTTGAATAGTTATACATAGATCTTTAAATTATTGTTTATTTTAATAGAGGCAATATCAGGAGAATACAGTATTTGATATAACAGTTTCTTGTTTTTTTAATAATTTTAATATTTATTTTCAAATGGACCAGACTCACAAATCAATCATCACAGAAATCCTACCAAATACTAAGAGAACTCTAGAGAGAAGATAGAAACAGTTGGAGGAGGAGTAGAAGAAGAAAAGAGAAGTAATTTTATAATTCATATCATTATATAGTAAGAGACACAATAAAAGGAGTAGGCTGAAAAGTAGAAGAAATTCCAACAATATTTGATTGAATAGGAGAGAATTAAGAAATAGGAGGAAGACAGGAAAAAGGAGGAAGAAAAAAGGAGCTAAGAAGAAATACAATAAATGAATACCTTAAAGGGCGAATATGGTAACATGATGATCGATTTGGCTACTGGAGATTCTAAGTTGGATTACACAATTTCAGGATTGGATTTAAGACCAACATAAATTAGAGTTTTGGTAAAGGTTACAGAAAATAATAACACCCTAAAAGGTTTATCAATGAGTCGGAAACGTATAGGAGATGAAGAAGGATAGGAGATAGCAGCGAGTTTAGAAAAAAATATGGTCTTAGAGAGGTTGATATTTTCTAATCAATATTAGATTAGAACTGGAAGGCAACAACCTTGGGTCTAAGACATTGATTGCCATCTCAAAATTATTAGAAACCAATAAATCTATTCGCGTTATTGATTTAGAAAATAATAATTTGACTAATCATGACAAGGATAGAAATACATATGATTATAGTGGAATATATGCCTTATGTGATGCTCTTGAAAAAAATGACACTCTCCTATAATTAAATATATGTAATTGCAAACTTGATGAAAAATGCGGCGAGGCTTTGGCCAATGCTTTAAGAGATAACACAAGTTTAATTTGTTTAGATATTACTGAAAATCCAAAGATGAATTTGAATGATGTTAGAAAATGCTAGGAATATTTGATTAGAAATAAGAAGATATATGATGATGAACGATATAGAGAATTCTAAGAAAGACAAAGAATTAGAAATGAAGATTAAACCTCCACTATTTAAATGCAAGATAAGGAAAAGGCTATTACAGCCTAAGAGGGTATTGAGTAAAGGTATATTAATTGTTGAATTCTAGAATGAATGCCAGAAGACTTGAATTGGAATAACATTGGAAAGAAGAATTGGAAAAGGAAGCTAAATTAAAAGAAAAAACTGTGCATAATTTAATGAAGCAAGCCAAATTGCTTGGTAAAAAGAAAGGAAAAGGAGGAGGTGCAAAAAAAAAGTGATATAGTTTGATTATTGGTTTGAATTAATATTAGAATAATCAAATTATATTAAAGAGGGCAATATTAGGATATTACATTAAAGTTCTTTGACACATATTATTTTCTTAAATTTTCATCCATGTAAGAATGAAATAAGTTGAAATATTACATGCCCATTAAATATAAAACTTTAAGAATTGAACAAAGTCTACCTAAATGTCTAAAATGTTAATCAATTTTATATTTAATTATTCATTCACATTATTGAATTTAAATAAACATAAATGATTATTAAGTTTTAAGATTATTTGATTTTAGTAGATTTTTGAGAATAAATTATGAATTATCTACTCTAATTTTGATGAATTTAGCTTAACTCTATAGAAAAATGACTCTTTTTCCAATAAAGTGTACTCATTTCACTAGAAAATCGATTTAGACAGAATATATGTAAATATGAGGCTATTAGTATTTTTTCAAAAACAGATTATTTAGAGTTCACATAGTCGATGTTACATAATTAAGTTACTCTAAAATTGTCGAGATTTATTGGAAGTTAATTGAATTTATGTATTTAGTGTGTAGTATCCTTGAAAGTATATATACAATTGTTTTTAAATTTAATTCTATTACTTTCAGACCCTCAAAATATTTATTATTTTAGTTTTCATATAATTCTAGTTGATCTTGTGAACCTTCAGGTAAAGAAAATCCAATATTACGTAATATTGGATTTATATACTTAATTTTACAAAATTAGCATTAGATATTATTTTATTTAAAATGCATTTCCAATATGAAGAAAATGCAAAAAGGTCATTAATATGCAGAGGATGTGCAGGAAGAACGCTTGGATAAGATTCTAACAAATGCTGTTGTCAAGAGAACAAATTCGTGAATGTTCTTAAAAACCATTACGTGGAAGGAAACAATATAAACCAATTGAGCGAGATGCTAGATTTAGCTTAAGGAACTGAAAATTTTTGCGAGGAACATGGCTATCTCTATGAATTTATTATAACTAAGAACCCGCTGGAAAATGGGTAGTCAAAATTTGATAATCAAGAACTTTATTGTAAAATGTGTATCGAAAAGAATTAAGAGAATTTACATTGTTATAAAATTGAACTTCTGAATGATGAATATTTTAAAGTTAAAGAATAAAATAAATAAACATTGTAATAAGTTTAGCAATAGGAAGATGGATAACAAGATAAAAAAGAGTTATAAAACAAAATTAAAGAAGTTTTTGAAAAAATGAAAATAGCACTTCAAAACGATTAACTACTAGAATAAAAAAAAAATGTCGCTAATAAAAGGAAAGAGAAAATACAAGAAGCTGTAAATAAATAGGCGAATCAAAATTAGATAATCTAGAATGAAGATCAGGAGTAAAGAGACAATAAAATCTCATAATTGGATATGCGTAATGTTTATAATTATTTTAAGTGAAAAAAGCTTTAGACTTAAGAATGAAAGCGATTGCTTATCTAGATAATGGATATCATGACTACTTACACGATGACTATTTAGAGGGAGAATCGACACGTAAAAAAATAATGGAAGAGGAAAATCCAATGAAGGTAGATGAATACGGGAATTATCAACAAAAAGAATTTGAACCTAATAAGTTTTATGGATATCCAATAATAGAGGCCTTTAAATATTTTGATGACATTTAATTTATTTGAGGAGTATATCAAATTCTTTTTCTAAATATAATCATATGAAACATATTAGATTCTGAGAAGAATATATTTTGCCATTTGATCACCTGGAATCTTGAGAATAATTTTCATTTGAGTGTATTAATTCTCAATTAAATTTATAAATGAAATAAAATGCCAGAAATAGATTTTGCGATTTAGTTCATGCAATCAAATAAAGAAATCCTGAAAGATGTCTAATAATGATTTTGGATTCAATTTCAGCCAAAATTTTAAGTTCAATGATGAAGCTCAAAGATCTAATAGACATGGGAGTATCGACAATCGAAAAATTGGAATTGCAACGTAAACCATATCCCAAACATGATGCCTTCTACTTCATAACACCTTCAGATGATTCAGTAAATAAGCTTATAAACGATTTTAAAGAATAATAAATGTATAGAAAAATTAATGTAATATTTTCTTACAATTTACCATAAAGGTTATTAGAGTAGATATGCAAATCAAATTTAGCTAATCGTATTATTTAAATTAAAGAGTTTAACCATCATATTTACTTTCTTGAGGAAAATGCTTTCCACTTTTAAATTCCACAAATATACTTTGATGATCTAGCACAGGTTGTTCAATTATTTTTATCTTCCTTGCCTTCAATGCGACCTTTCTAATGTGTAAAATTGTCAACCATGAAGTCTAATTAATTCGCTTAATTGTTTACTAATTATCTTCCAAGATTGCTGGAGAATTGGGAAAGAACCAATCAAATGATAAAAGAAGATGGTGGAGGAGAATTGCATTTCTTAATCTTGGATCGTACTTTCGATCTGCTTACCCCATTATTGCATGATTTTCATTACGAATCTCTGGTTGTAGATCTACTGCCTTAGAGCTTCTCTCCTTTTGAATGCGAAGATAATGTTTATCAAAAATATAGATACAAACATATTGCCTATGCTTTAGAAGGCATACCTTAAGAGTTTCAAAAGATGGTGAATACTAATCCATCAGCTCTAATCCATAAAGGAGATTTTAAGGAATTGGATACATAAAAGATGCAAGAAATCATGAATTCAATGCCCAATTACAATAGCTAATTAAAAGACTTTACTTTCCATATGAACTAAATAGATTAAATTTGGAAGCAATTTGAAACCAAAGGTCTCAAGGACTTAGGAGAACTAGAATAAGCACTTGCAACAGGCACTACAAAATCAGGAAATCAAACAAAATCAGATTAACTCTATTAGGAAGTATTATTTATGTTGCAATCGAAAATCATTTAAGATACTGATAAAATTCGATTAGTTCTAATAATTTTACTTACTGTATAAATGCCAGAATACGAACGGAAATAGATACTCGATAAAATCACGGATTTGAAACCATTTTATGGTTTATAGAAACTAGGATTCGATTTTGATAAAATGAAGTCAAACAGAATAACCAAAAACATCAACAAAGAATCAAGGTTGCTTGCTAAATAAAAATTAAGTCAAATGACTTTAGAACTACAAAGACATACTCCTGAAATTGAAAAACTGTTGAATGATCTCTTAAATGATAACAAATTTAATACAGTTACTTTATATGGTTAAAATTAAAGTTAAAAATATGCAAATACGTAACAAAGTTTGAGATCAAAGAAGGAAGAACAAGTAGAATAAATCAGTGTATGCATATTTATTTTAGGAGGAATTAGTCACTCTGAAGTTTGTGCAATAAGAAATTATTACTCCAATAAGTTAAAGTAGGTATTTATTGGGTCCACTTAAATATTAAGTCCATCACAGTACTTAGATCAATTAAGAAGTTTGAGTTAATTATGATAATTCATAGTGTATAAACTAACACTACAGTATCATTTTAGTTATTGAGATCCAATAGAAATTACTATATAATTTCATTATATTCTTTGAAAATAAATAATTTATTTTAATGATTGCTGAAGTAATGCCTGATTTTCTAAAGAAATACTTTCCTTTAATCCTGAGCTTTTTAGTACTAATCATTTACTTTACTTTTGTGAATTTTGTTTTTATTCAAGTATCGAAATGTATTTCAGAATTTTAATCATTAGAGACCTTAATAGAATGGATATATATAAGCATAGGAACTTTTAGTATTGTTATGCTATTTTGGGCTCTGTATAGAACATCAAGAATTGATCCTGGATTTATTCCTAAGGATACATTAGGAGAATATGATGAAAATAAATAAAGAGACTATTGTCTATAGTGTAGAATTAAGAGACCAGAAAGATCTCACCATTGTTCTAAATGCAAAAGATGCATTTTAAATATGGATCACCATTGCGTTTGGACAGCTAACTGCATAGGCTTATACAATAGAAAATATTTTTTACTCATTTTGTTTTGGGGTTCTATAGGAATGTTTTCAGCCACTTTACTTGGATTAATGAATATCGAGGCTCTTTGGAATAGAATTTGGGAAAATGATTCCCTAGATCTTAGTAAAGTCAAGGCAGCATTCATATTTCTAATGACATTTTCACAATTTTTAAATGGCTTGGGTTTATATTACTTCTTTTGGAATAATTTCAAATTGATTGCTGTTAATATTTGTACACTAGATTAAATGATTTTAGAGATTGAAGCTTAAACATAAAGAAAATATGTATGAATTCAATCTATTTATAAGCATACGGATTTAACAATATATAATTTAGGATTTTGGTACAACTTTACATTTTATTTTGGAAAAAATCCTCTTCTTTGGCTGATACCTATTGGAGCACCTATAGGTGATGGGTATCTTTGGGATAAAAAAGCTAGTTCTAGAGAAATGGTAGAAACAACTTTATAATTCACGGAATGATATTTATAGTATATATATTCTCAATTAACATTGGTATTTTAGGAATTATGTTTTTATATATAATTTTACATTTCATAAAGTATGACTTTATTTTTACATTAAAAATCTTGAATTATATCGTTTAATCTATAAATTAAGAATTAATTAAAATAGTATCTAATAAATCTAAATCTACCCAAAGATTAACTACAGAAGGCATATTATATAAAATATTTTTAGAGCTCAGAAATGAGAGTAGAAATAAAGTACAAGAAGTATTAATATAAGCGCTAAAAGTATATTAAATGAGTAATTTATTCCAAATTATTCTTATTTTTGGAATTAAAAATAATTAATATTTATACTTTTCCTGGTTATTATAATTAGTATTGTCATAATGATAATATTAATAAATTACTAAATAAATAATTTAATTAATATCAATTGATTTTCATCTTACATAAATTCTTTATTATTATGGATGGTTTATCCTGCTATCTTCATTAACATTCTTAAAATTTTATTATTGTTTTTAAGACATTTAATAATTGGTTACTTTAGCATTATTATTTTAAAGAGGATGTTGAATTTATTGTAATTCTACTCTTTAATGGAATTGTCTATTAGTCTATTCACTATTATTGAGATTTTATGGAGACGATACATATGGTTAAACTTTAGAGTCCAGAATAGCTTATTATTCATCAAAAGCATTCAAGTCTCTGTCTGATTTTAATCTCTCTTCTAGAATTTACTCATAAAACGAATCGCCCCATTCTCTTTATCCATTTTCTCTTTTTCCTTGCTGCATCATCTCAATCTTTTATAGGACATTGCCTTTCCTTGCTAATTATTTAAACTCTCTTCTCCATTTTATAATTTTATCAGTTTCGGTTGAATAAAATTCATGAATGATTGTGTTAATAACCAAATCAAAAATAAAGACAATAACGTTAAGCAGAGCAATAATCAAATAAAAGTTTGGAGATTGAATCAAGTAAATAGGAGTAAATTCAGAATATGTGCCCTTAAAGTAGTTGGAGATGAAAAAGTATGCAATATAAATTCCTATGGATAATAAGAGAAGTGTGACTACGTTGATCAAAGTCCAAAATTTAGTATATATTGCAATTTTGAAGTCGACAATCTATTAAATAAGCAAATAAAAATACAAATATAATTGCAGTATACGCAGTGATTGAAAGAGTGGCAAAACCGGCATTCTACCCATTGACATTGACTAATTCTGTATCAAAACATGCATAAGTAATAAAGTAGACCAAAACTCCATGAATAAACCCTTGGCCCCACCAGAATATAAAATTGGATAAGGTAAATATAGTTTATTTTTGACCAACTGAATAAAGAAGAGGGAATTTGCCTTTAAGATACTGAGTTGACTTCTAATAAATGTCAGTGTACTCCTCATTTCTTACATTAATTTTGTAGTAGACACTTCTATCCAAGGTGGCTCTGGCAATCAATGGAAGGGAAGTAAAGAACAAATTATAGAAGGTGATATACCAATCATCAAAATAGGTTTAGGCACTATAGGCACTGTAAAAGGAGTACAAAAACTGAGGGACAGTGAAAATCATATTCTTGTAGAAGAAGTAGAGAATCATTTCTGAAATTCTGATGTATGACCAATTGCCATGAATTAATAAGAGTTTCCACAAAAATCTAAATTCGCCTAAAGCATAATCACTACTTTGGACAGCTCTCATTCCTTCGTTGCCATATAATCCAATTCCAATATGTGCCTCTTGTATCATATTTACATCATTTGCCCCATCTCCAATGGCAACAGTAATCTTATTTAGATCTTTAACTAAATGTACAACTTCTGCCTTTTGTTTGGGTGTAACTCTACAACAGACAACACTATCACAACCCATAGCCATTTTAGTGAATTCTCTCTTTAATTATTAGTTGCCTGTCAGTGTGACTAAAGATTCCCCTTCAACTAGAATTGATTTCTTCTTCCTTTCTTTTATGCAAGCTTAATAAGTCAACTTATTTTCTGACAATTAAACTCTTAGTTTATTGAGATCTGTTTCAGAATACTTCATAATCATGAAATCCTGTTAAATTAATCTACAACTCTTAGCAATATTTTCAGCAGTTTCTAATTTATCCCCAGTAAGCATCCAAACCTTAATATTTGCTTTCAATAGATCAGCAATAGTCTCTGGGACATCATCCTACAATTTATCCTCTACTGCAGTTGCACCTAATAGATATAAATCTTTTTCTAAGTTATTGGCTAGTTCCTCCTTTTCCTATTCTCTCTTATCTGATGATGCAAGAGCATCCTTCTGTCTCTCAAATGCAAGATACTCTTATTCTGATAATATTTTCATTGCCATCAATAAAGTTCTTAATCCAATTGAGCTGAACTCTGACAATTTATTCTAAATAAACCCCAAGAATGGTTAATCTGGTCTTAATCTGGCTTTGATGATGCTATCTGCTCCTTTGATGTACAATTTGTAAATTCCATTATCTTTAATGATCACACTCATTCTTTTTCTATTAGAATCAAATTCAAATTGTTAGAGGAGTTCAACTTTTTTTTATTTGCCTTTGATTGTAAACTTATTTTATAATAACACTACTTACTTCTTATTCATTTGCTGATTATCCTTCAAATCTATAACCCAAATTCATGGCAGCATCCACCAAAGTAATTTCATCCGGAGAAGGTCCTTAATAATTAATCTATTAATTCTTGTCTTTCTATGCTATACACTCATGAGCACTTGAAAGCAACATAAGGTATTCATGGACTAATTACTTTTATGTTTTGATTTCTAAAGAAGCATTTTTATCATTTGATTAGATGATCAATTTTCTTGGCTGTTCAGATTGGTTTTAATAGGCTGCACTGTCTTCAATAATTCCAGTTAGAGTACTATCTTAAAAATTGAAGACTGAATGTTTGAATTAAGTTGTATCTTACTACGCATTGTTATGATTTGGACTGGCCACATCGTTGTTTTTCTCATTTTTTCCATACAATATATCTCCAATTATACAATATTTAAACTCCATTTGATTACATGTTAATGTTCCAGTCTTATCAGAGAATACGTATTCCACCTGACCTAATTCTTCGTTTATTGTTGATGTTTACGCCTTGGCATACTTGCCCCTTTTTGATGCGTACATGTCTTAATCTGTATTTATGAAGTAACATTGGAACACCTTAACAAACTCCATTGACACAACCAAGGATATGGGTATCATTGTGTTATAAAGTAGGAAGAATGAAAAGAAAGCTATGGCAGATAACAAAGTATAATTTTATTCCGTTATGATGATATAAATGTGTTTACTGAATGATTTATGCAACCACCATGAAGACAGAATAGCTGATAAAGCACAGGCAATGATTTATATACCCAGGATTCCCAATATCAACTTGTTCATTGTATTTTCTATAGTGCTCTATTTGATTCTTGATGGTTCTGCATTTCTCATTATTTTTGTGTCCTCCCCTGTGTAGACTATCACCCCTACTATGAACTTTGTGTTCCTTAGAAATGCTCCTCTCAACAACAATTATTTGCCATTCAAAACTCTTGATACTTATAAAATCTATACTTTTTTGATCCATTTGGGAAATGAATTGAACCTTCGAAATCGCCCAACGCTGGTGTAGGAGCATTTCCTTGAGCTTTAAATTATTAATTGCTATTAAAATTCATTTAAATCTAGGATTAGGTCTCCTTACATTCAAATACGGTTTAAGTTTCTTTGATTGCAGACTTTGGCTTGAGGTTCTTTTCCCCATCCAATGAAGAAGTCTCAATATAGCAGACCCCGCTTTCAAATTAACTACTTAAGACTATTATATCTGCTGGAAACATCTCATTTTCAGATATATACATTAAATCGCCTACTTTTACATCAGCCCATGTTGTCTTGACTTATTTGTTATTGACTATCTTGGTACACTCCATTGCATTGACCTCGTTATCTGATTTATGTCTACTTATATCCTCCATAGCTTATTATCAAACGATAATTTACCTTCTCTTATCATAGATAATCCCAATACAAATACTAAAGGAGCTATTGCCGATATTGGATTTAAAGGCGATATAATAGGGAAACTTTGAATTATGGCAATAAACAGAAAATAAATATTCGCGTATCTCCGAAATTAACCCAATAGAGATAATGGCAAGAAAGTTACAATGTTATACTTTGAAGTCTTTATGAAATTTGTTGGGAACACTTCATTGGCTGCCCTTCCAGTTGCATTTATTGCAAATATTCTTTCCTTATTGGACTTCTATCTATCGGATTTAAACATTTAACTTAATAATTTAAAAACTATGAATATAGATTAACTATTAATTAAAATCATTCACTCTGAATTCTTTTTCTGCCTCTTGGTCTAACTTCATCTATCTATTTCTGCAATTCAGCATTTTACTCTTGGAGTAAGGTCAACTCTTAATCTAAGTTCACTTTTGCAAAATTTATCAATTATTAGATATCAGGTCTATGATCAGGAATTGCTGATACCATTTTTTTAATTTATTATTTCAATGATACCGAATAGTAAGATAAATTGTCAAACTTTTACAACACCAACGAACTTACTTAACTAATCTCCTTTTCAAGCATCAATTCCATCATCAAAATACCCAACTAGTAGATGTCCGACAATTTGCTCTTTATCTGCTCAGGTGCCGAATGAATTGTATTATTTGAATATCCATAATCACTTAACTTATACTTCATTTGTTTGCTAAGCAACACGTTTCCACCATGTATATGTAAATGAGGTTAAGGGAAATTCTGTAGAGCCTCGCATACATCAACGATGATCTGTCTGATCTCTGACTCATACACTCTTTACATCAATCTTTGCTTTAAAGAATACTCGCAATGCTCCATTATAATGTATAAGAATCCTTAATGCTAATAACAGCAATTAAATTGCACTTGCCCATCCAAAGTCAATGTTTGAATATTATCCTCCAAAGGCACTTTCTTTGCTGCATAATACAACCCATCAACTTTTGATAATACTTTATAAACTACTCCTTTTGAACCTCTTCCAATCTGATGTAATACTTCAAAATCCCCTGAGAATTTAGATAAGTCAGGTCTAAATTTTCTTGATTTCAAAAATTTATTATTGTCTCCAATTATTTACTATTGGCATCCTGAAAAATCATGGAACACCTCTGAATTGAACCTTTAAAGTGGCAGATTTCTAGCAGCTTAGAATGGTGACTACTGATCATCATCACATAATAAACTTTAAGATTTACTAAATAAGATCGCAAAACCACTTACAATAACTAAAGATCCTAAGGTGTTTCATATTACAACAATGGGCTGCGTTCAATGTCCATCAGCACCTTCTGGATATAATTTTCTTCAAATGGATGCACTTTTGGCGGAGAAAACATTAAATTAATAATTCTAATTATATTATGATTTAAATCTAATCAATAAAACTAAAATCCATTAATATTTTCATTTTACTTCCTAATATCGACTTAATGTTCCTGATATGGACTGTTTACATTTTCCCTTAAATTTTATTTTTATATTTGAAAGAAAATTTATAATTTAAATTTGAAAATATTTTTTATACAATCGCTACACCATCGAACTGTTATTGCTTAAAATTTTAAATAATAATAATAATTTTATTAATCTTTCATTATTTTTCAATTTTCTAAATACTTTTTATCAAAATATTTTTATTAGATTAGTTCTTTTTTTAAATTCAAATTCATATATTCACGTTTTGATGTTAAATTAAACAAATTCAAATGAAGAATAGGGTTATATAATTATGAATTTAATAGATTTATTCAACTTATTAACACAACTGAATTATAATTATTAATAGATGCATTAATATTTTTTAGTTAAAGGTTTTATTCAAATAATTTTCAGTCTTCTTGGAATCTTGATTCATTTCTTTCATTTCCTTTTATTTAACAATATAGATATAATATTCAATTAGTAAAAATTTGAAATTAAAGAAAATTTAAAAGGATATTTCAAATAAACTTTTAAATTTTGATGATTAACTTCCATTATTTGATAGATATTTAAATTTAACCCTTTTTATAGAAAAGATACTTTTAAAAATATTATTAATTAAATTTCTTAATATTTTGTTTCGATTATCACCTACAAAAAAAAAATATCTAAATAAATTCAACTTTTAAAAACATTCATTTTTAATATTGTAATGGAAAAATTAGTTGATTATAATAAATACTTTAATACTAGATAAACTATCAATCTGATTTTTCCTTAAGTTTTAAATCAGCATGTATTTTTTATTCATGTTTTTCTCTCTTTTCTACTATTCTATGTTTTATGTAAACTACTATAGCACTTATAAGCTAAACGCCTGCAGTTGCTATAAGCAGGTAGCCAAAAGAAAAGTTCTTGCTCCCAAAAGAAGATAGAGTTGTAACTATTAGATACTTGTCTCCTCCAAAAATTTGGGTGGGATAATCTAAAACTGAATTTTCATTATTTACTATTTTAAATTACAATACTATATGTTCCTTTTGATAAATCATTATCATATCTAGCATATAGCTTTCGGACCAAGGGTAAAGATTGAATGTTAAACCAATTTATGATTTTTTCTATGTTGAAAATAAAGAATTCTTACCATCATCAAGGTCCAACCATTATCTAAATTAAGAATTCTATGTTCTTGAGTATTTATAATCTAAATCGACAGAGAAAGCAATTCCTGTTGAATTGAGAGCTAAAGAGGTAGCAGTTTCAGTGTTAACATCAAAAAGTAGGAAGGAATCTAGCTTCTATGTAATTTAAATACCATTAAAAATGTATTTAGCAGCTACACCACAAGGACTGACTTTCTTATTCAAGTCTACCATAAATCCAGCATAACTTTTGTTGAATCCTACAGGTCTTTAAAGTGATTCGAAGGATTATGTATCAGGACAATAAACATCATACTCTTCATCTGTCAGTTCATAACCTTTCATCTGTCGAGGACTGATTGATTATGCAAAACTAATCTAATTAATTCCAATCTTACTCAGAGTGACTAGTATAAAACTCATTTAATTCGTAGTATAAAAAGAATGGTCCATATGTATTTTTTTCAATTTCAAAATTAACTATGCATTGTTATTTACCTTCACATTCCTTTCCATAATTTAATTTAATCTGCGGATATATATATATATTCATTACTTCGGTGATACTACCAGCAATTCCAACAAAAACTAATCCAAAAATAAGAAAGTAAAAACAACAAACAATGTTGCAAAATAAACTACATTTTCCTGTTGGTAATACAGGCATTCCTTAAATATAATCTCCAGAATATTTTTGCCAAAGAGACATTTCATCTTCTTTGGTTGGATACAAAAAGTCATCATCCTTAAATGCCTCATAAGGGTCAGTAGAAGCCCTGATTAATTTTAGTCTTTGATCTTCTCCTTTTCTGTCTTCTGACATTTACTTTCATTTTATTAATATATTACACCCATAGTCATCGTTTATGGTAAAAACAACCCATGAACATTAGGAGTATTGGAACCTGAAAATTAATCATCATGAGCTTAATTTTATGTTTATTTTGACTATTTCATTAATTTTATAATTGAAGTATAAAGAGTAAGAAATTACCCAATATTAACCAGAACAATACATTTTCGTCAGATCATAATAAATAATATAAATAAAGTTTACTCTACTATAATTATGGAATCATTGAAAGAAAGGATGCTAGAGTGCATCTTTAGGCAAAATTCTTTCTGAATGGTCAAAAATGAGCAGTTATTTCAATAAATCAATGGCTTCAGGTGTACAAAGGCTTTCATTGTCTTTATTTATGTACAATTCAAATCTCTTTGGGGATGAATAAGGAATACTCTTATACCTGGGAGGCATATTGATTTTCCACTTATTCAAATACTCAGACAAAACATCTGATCCCAATACATTGATAATTTTTAATAATTGATCATCATTGCTCACTCCTGCAAAGAAAGGTTCTTTCTAAAATATCATACCCGCCATCAAACAACCAACTCCCCAAGAATCTATTGAATGATGATACTATCTAACATCAAGCAATATCTCCGGAGACTTAAAATACCTTGATGCCACTCTTGTATTATATTCTTTATTAGGGTGATAAAATTCTGCCAATCCCCAATCCAATAATTTAAAATCTAATTAATTATGATTTATACTAGAAAAAGAAGGATTTGTTAATATATTATGTGGTTTGATATCGCGATGGAAAATTCCTCTTGAATGAGAGTAATCTAAAGCTTCTAGAACACATTTTATCAAAAACTTTATTGGTTTCAAAGAATCATAATAGCGAATATCCTTCAAATTTATACATTCTTCTTATTTAAAAATTAGAGATTGCCTTAAGCTGCTGTAATCTTATACCACATCTAACAATTCTGTTATTAATGGATGTTTATTTAAATTTTTGAGAACCAATATTTCTCTATTTATTTTCTCAGGCACATTTGGCTTTAACACCTTGATAATGACATTCTGATGAGTTCTAATTGAAACGCCTTTAAATACTTCTGAATATCTCCCTTAACCTATCTTTTCATATATTTCATAGTCATCTTGATGTCTGAATTAACCTCATATATACCCAAATTAAGTCTTATAATTTTCATAATCCCAATAATGCTTAGGCTAAAGAGTATTAAAATCAGCGTAATATTTTGGAATTTTCGATGCTTGTGTTAAAATGGATTTCATAAAGTATTTAATTATTCTTATTATTTAAATAAATGATAATTAAATGTATTACATATTAGATCAATATTTTAAATATAAAAGTTATTCTGTAATACCTACTAAACTGGATATTTATAATAAAACTTAAAGCATATCGCATAAATTATTATTCATATTATTGATATCAATCAGATATAATATATATAGACTATTAATTTCATGTGGAGACAATGAATTTTTAGACTTGATCCGTTTATTATTTTTTATTCAATCTATATAATTTAATGGCATCTTTGTCTTATGCTAACTTTAAGATCTTCTCATCGTAATCGATTATATTTTCTTATTTAATTTTACACTCTTCTATTAAATATTTAACAAAGTCCTCTTTGTTCAAAGTGTTATCATTGATGTTCAAAATATAGTATTTCTTAATTTCATTATTATCCTGATTCTGATCATTCTTCTTTTAATTTTTTTGATTTTTGTTATTATATTTTCTATCCCTTTGATTTCTTTAATTTCCATCTCTATCATTATTTTTAGAATTATCACTAGTATTATTTACTCGATTGGGTTGTTATTAATCTTTTTTTTAAACATATAACTCTTCTTCTTCATCTTCTTATTATTCCTTTGTTTTTTCTAAATTTGCTTAATTATTAGTTTTTTCTCCATCTTAATCTTTTTGTTTGTGCTAATACTATTTTTTTTAAGGATTTTAATTGGATTGATTAGATTAATTATATTTTTTTCTATTCTCTTATTTAGGTCTTTAATTGTTATTATTGTGTTTTTGTTAATTTTATTCCTACTTTGTTGCATCAAAAGATTAATTGGAATAATAAATATTTTCCTATTCTTCAATAAACTCAGTGCTCAAATTAAATCTCATAAACTTTTTTCCATCTTTATTCAATATTATCCATCCACTTGGTTAGCCATCCTGATTATAATAACAACCATTTAAATCACACCACCTAAATTCAAAAATTCAATTACCCTCCATCTTAATCTAATAAATAAATAGTTTTATTCTTGTCATCTGGCAATCTAAATCCTTTGAAATCATTTAATTCCTCATATCTGTTAAATTTGTTGAGATCATGCTTTTCAAACAAAAATTGTGAGTATTCCTCTTCTGACATAATTATTTAATTATATTTATTAAAGAATTTAATCTTGAAATTTATGTTTTCTAATAAAGTTATTTACTAGTTAGAATATTTCTAAGAATGATGTATGGATTGAGTTTATGATCTTATTTTTCTTTATAATGGAGATTAATTATTAAATTATTAAAGTATCTTTCTTATTTATCCCTAAAGAAGTAATTCTACTATAATTAATTGATTTCCAATAAATTTATTATTTGATATAATTTTTATTAAATCATGCAACAAGTATGTAATAAGTTTGTTATGGATATGACTGATACGCGAATGGGACCAGAACAAAGGTGTCGCAATTGTCAATTCATGAAAAAAGAACATAGTTAAAGTTTTTAAATATTCTATAAACTATATAGGCAATTCTCAATAGCTTCCATAAACTGAATCAGGTTCAAACAAAATCTCAGACAGAATGAAAATATTTTCAGGACCCACTAATCAAGTTTAAGAGAAGTTTTAAGGAGCAGTCAAAACAAGTGTCTAGTTGAAAAAACAGGAAGAAAAAATTCCACCACAATCCACAGTGAATTAAACAGAAAGTTAATCGTAGTAATAGAATTTCCCAATAAGAAAAATTGAAAGCTCAAATGTACCCAATGAACCTCCTTAGCAGAATAAAAATTAGCCATCCTTAAATAAATAGCCATCGAATACATCTAATTAGGAATCTAATGCTGGAAATCAATAGCCACAGAAATAATAGGCTCAAATAGAGACTACCCCTATTTAAACTAAACTTGCTAATAATCCTTTTTTGTAGAATGACAAATCGTAAAAAAAAGAAGTGCCTTTCGTTAAGCCAGCTCCAAAAACTGGAGAGGAATCTAAATAAACATAATAGACGATTCAAAATAAATAGGGAGAACAGCCAGAATAAAAAAATAATGTTGTTTCTGATGATTAAAACTAAAAATCTAATTTTTAGGATATTAAAAATGCTTTTGCAAAACAATCCCCTCTCATTTAAAAGGATTCAACCGGAGGATCTCAATAGTCTCCAACTAAATTATAAAATGGAGGTAATAACTTATAAGGATAGAAAGCAAATATGCCAATTTTTCGATTTGGTCCTCCTCCTGTTAAATAAACTTCAAATCAATAGGAATCTGAAAGTAGTCTAGAAAAATAGATGTTAGATAGGCCAATAATCTAATAAAAAAATAAAAGAACTGTTCAAGAGTTTGCAGATCTTGATTGAAGCAACATTGCATAATAAGGCAATTAATTATAATATTAAATATATATATTTACAATAAATTTACATATAATTTTTGTAAATTTTCAATATGGAGCTTTGTATTTAGGGTTGTCTGTTAAATTTCCTCTTATGGATTATTCTAACTCAATGGATTAGAAGAGGGATTTAAAATTACCTGCCCCAAATCCAGAATGATTTCTTCTTTGAATGATTTCTATAAATAAGGTTGGTCTATCTTCTAAAGGTTTAGTAAATATTTGTAAGAGATATCCTAAAAATACTGAAGTATAATACCTTTGTCATCATAATCAACCAAAATCTTATTCTTTTGAATAATATCAATATCTTCAGCAATCTTGAAATTCATATGGGGAATATTCTTTCTTAAATTATCATAATAAGTGTCGGGAATAGAAAGGAAATCAAGTCCTCTAGCTCTCATTGCTTCCACTTCCTTTAGGATGTTGTCTGTTTTCAATGCTATATGTTAAACCTTAAATATTAAAATATAATTACTCCAGATCCAGTGTAATAGTCAACATATTCTTAAATCTAAGATACTTTTTTGCCATGAGCTGGTTCATTAATTGGCATCTTAATGACTTCATCATAATCTGCAACCACAATTGATTAAAGTGATGAATAATCAGTGTGGAGAATAGAATCGTCAACTGACCAAAATCTGTGGAAATCCAAAGTCTTCTCATACCATTCGGCAACAGGAACCATTTCATGTTCGGGTTGATTACCAACAACATGATCTACCACTAAAAAGTCAACTGGGGGTAGGAGTGAATTGATTGGATCTACCTTTGGATGTTTAGTGAATCCAGGTAAAAAGAACCCCTTGTAGTCATTTCTTTGGACAAAAGTGTGGATAGTATCACCGTAGGTTTAAATGGAAGCCAAAACAACACTTCCATTTTCATCTTTATCCTCTGTTGGTGGTCTAATTGATTTTGCTCCTTTAGCAATTGCCTTGTCATAAAGAGCTCTGGCATCTTCAACTCTAAAAGCAACATCTCTCACACCATCACCATGTTAAGTTTAGTGAGTGTTCATTATTACATTTTCTGGACCATAAGGACTGGAGAATGCAAAGAATACTCCTTCACCATTTCTTAGAACATGTGTTGCCACATCTCTTACTCCTGTTTCGAGTCCTCTATACAATTAGACCTATCAAAATACCTATAAGCATAATATTGGAATCCAAAGCGTGTCACGTAAAATGATGCTGCTTGGAAAGCATTTCCAACCCAAAAGTGAATGTGATCAAATCCTAAGAATTTACCACCATCTGGTCTTTGCTTAAGTTAATCAGCCATTGTCTTTGATATTTTTAATATATCTTATGATATAAATTTATGTGACATATATATATGATGAATTATTTATAATGACGTATGATTTTTTTATTGAATTTAATATCATTTCTAATAAATTACATTACACATTATATAATCTAATATAAAAATATTTATAATTAACAAGATCGGAGAATTTACTCTTTTCCTAAAAACTAATATATTTTTGTGGGTTACAAAGTTACATTGATTTCTTACTAGATAATCTCTTAAATAAATAATCATTTGACTTGATTTCATTTATTCTTGTAGACTGCTATATGCTATAATTATGTCTTTTCAACCCTTAACAGTTGATAGGAGATTACAATCAAATATTATTACTATTTTTCAAGTAGAATTTGGGATTTAAAGTTAACTTTAAAAGAAAATGATCATAATCTCTTTTGATATGAAAAAATCTTGGAAAATGAGTGTTTTGGTTATTAAAAATTAATATTATGAAATTAATGAAAATGGTAACAACTCAATTAGGAAATTGTAAGCTCTTTTCAAAGGAGACTAAACTAGCCTTTCCACCGAAAACACAATCATATATTTCTTCCATTTTATCAAAAAACTCTTTTCTATTTTCTTCTATATTTTGACATTGGTCCTGGTCATCCTCGTCTGATCTCATGTCTGTATCAAATAAGATTGTAGTTAAGCCTTTTGTCCTTATTTAGCCATCTCTATAATAATGGCCTCTAAAAGATTTCAACTCCTATTTATCTAGTTGCTTGATTTGTTATTTTGATGCATTATTGCAAACTTTATGTGTAGCTGTAGATACTAAATCATATGAATTTAATTTCAATTTTGAAGTTTCAGGTTCTAGAGAATCTGGATTGATGATTTAAGAGGATTGCTATTAGGATTATTATGATTTTTTTTTGGCCTATTTGTTATCATCATTTTTTTTTGTTTTTTTGATTAACATTGAATATTCTTCCCAATCAGATTTGGCAGCACACTCTTGAAATAAGTTGTATTTTGATTGCCAATCATTCCCCCAAATTAATAATTCGTATATCTTTGATTATTTATTTTGATCAATTTAAGGAAATAATAATGGGTGTCTACCTACCTAATCTGAATACAAATTGATGCTAATTTATTTTAATTCATTAACATAATCAAGAAAAAATTAAATCTTTTTAAATTCTCTTCTATTAATTACTTTATGGTAATGTGAAAATCTAGCAATTCTTTCGTCCTCATGATGTTCAGCATGTATTAGCAATAATTATTCAAACTTTTCAGCTGAACGTTTCAATTCTTAAACCAAGTAGTCATCCAGATACTTATTAATTTCTACAGCTCTCAATAGAATGTGGATTGAGACATAACCTATTCTGTTGTGAAATCTTTCCTATCCTTATTGTCTGCATTTGACTTTCTTTGGATTCACATATGATTAACCCAATAACTTAATGGCTGCCAATAGGAAATTACCAACCAATTTTCTATATTGATTGACATACAATCTAAATATAAATAAGCAACTCTTACTTTTTACCGGTCTGTTTGAAGAACTCTTCATTTCCTGCTTTGTGATGTCCTCGACATCTAACCCCAGTAGCATACAAGGCTTTTAGTTCATTCTTAGTTAAATCTTCCTTATAATTGGTGAACATTTCCCATCTATTTGATAACAATTAATAATAACTTTTTTTTTAAATCGAATGTTTTTTAGACTTTGATTCCAGTCTACAATTCAAAAATACGAGCAACTTGAGTCCAACTTTTACACTTTTTACCTCCGTATGTATCTACTATTTCAATTAATTTTCGCTATATTTCTTCATTATATTGATTTCTATTCGACATAGTAAGAAATAAAATAAATTTGTTATTTTCATCATCTATACATTTAGAATAGAATAATTGGAAAAATATTCTATACCCAAAACAAATTTTAGCATCCTTTATTTTTACATATATTTATTTGTCGAAAGATATAACCAAATACAAAGTGCTAATAATACATATTGTGTAAGTATTATAATATCAAAAGGTATATTCTACTCAGTTGTTAACAAATCAACCCACAAGACACATATTATATATATTTTTAATCCGTTTTTATTAATATGTAAAAATTATACATATTAGCGCTGTTCTCAGTGATCGTGACAGCTCAAGAGAGCTTTCTTGAAAAATAGAAGCACGTAAAATAACAGAAGGATTTATCGACAGAAATATATACAATTAAAAAAAAAGGATTACCAACATTTTTGGGGAGAAGTTCGGATGACTCAATCAAAGAATAATTATCATCTCTCTTGAATTATGAGGAAGCTCTTAAATTAACACCCTCTGAGACTGGTGAGCATACAATCAAATTCGTCGAATCAATGTTCATTATTGATTAGCCAAATCCAAATGCAGTCAGAGCTACAGAGAAACCAGACTATCACCTTTTTGAGAATAGCGTATAATAGAAGAAAGTTTATAGCAATGAAAAAGTGACAGCATTTTAAGATGGTTGCATTTATGTTTTTAGTGAATGCAATTTCAAGGGAGAACATGCAAAGTCATGTCCAGGAGACAATGTGACGTTCTTTGGATTACCTTTTGAAGTGTTATCCATTCATTTACCTGAAGGTGGATCATTGAGTCTAATCTAAGAAAATGGAACAACTGCCTATACAGTTACTAATAAATGTATGAGAAGCAGACCTATTGAATTCCTTTTTGTTGAAGGTGCAATTCAATAATCATTTGGAAATGGATAAATATACATAGACTAATGAAAATATTCATTAGAATTATCAATTTTATTTCATGAAATTCACTCTTGATGATCATCAATTTAAACAATTCTTGATTGCTACATGTTGCTTTACAGTATTTTTGATTTATTCAACTTTCTATTCTCCATAACTTACTATTTGACTTCATCCTTCATTTATTATTTCTCATTCTCATATTTACTATCAATAACATATCTTAATAGTAGAATTTATATGATTACCTCTCAAACTTTGTTTGTTTGTCCTCTTCTCTAAGCAGATGCTCATCATCAAATTCAGGAAGATAGGGATCTTCAATATTGTTTTCATATCTAAGTTGAGATTGAAAGATAAATGGAATCTAAAATTAAAAGAAAGGACTCTCCCCAAAATGACTAAATTTGATTTATCTTAATTAATCATAACTAACGATNTTCGACATAGTAAGAAATAAAATAAATTTGTTATTTTCATCATCTATACATTTAGAATAGAATAATTGGAAAAATATTCTATACCCAAAACAAATTTTAGCATCCTTTATTTTTACATATATTTATTTGTCGAAAGATATAACCAAATACAAAGTGCTAATAATACATATTGTGTAAGTATTATAATATCAAAAGGTATATTCTACTCAGTTGTTAACAAATCAACCCACAAGACACATATTATATATATTTTTAATCCGTTTTTATTAATATGTAAAAATTATACATATTAGCGCTGTTCTCAGTGATCGTGACAGCTCAAGAGAGCTTTCTTGAAAAATAGAAGCACGTAAAATAACAGAAGGATTTATCGACAGAAATATATACAATTAAAAAAAAAGGATTACCAACATTTTTGGGGAGAAGTTCGGATGACTCAATCAAAGAATAATTATCATCTCTCTTGAATTATGAGGAAGCTCTTAAATTAACACCCTCTGAGACTGGTGAGCATACAATCAAATTCGTCGAATCAATGTTCATTATTGATTAGCCAAATCCAAATGCAGTCAGAGCTACAGAGAAACCAGACTATCACCTTTTTGAGAATAGCGTATAATAGAAGAAAGTTTATAGCAATGAAAAAGTGACAGCATTTTAAGATGGTTGCATTTATGTTTTTAGTGAATGCAATTTCAAGGGAGAACATGCAAAGTCATGTCCAGGAGACAATGTGACGTTCTTTGGATTACCTTTTGAAGTGTTATCCATTCATTTACCTGAAGGTGGATCATTGAGTCTAATCTAAGAAAATGGAACAACTGCCTATACAGTTACTAATAAATGTATGAGAAGCAGACCTATTGAATTCCTTTTTGTTGAAGGTGCAATTCAATAATCATTTGGAAATGGATAAATATACATAGACTAATGAAAATATTCATTAGAATTATCAATTTTATTTCATGAAATTCACTCTTGATGATCATCAATTTAAACAATTCTTGATTGCTACATGTTGCTTTACAGTATTTTTGATTTATTCAACTTTCTATTCTCCATAACTTACTATTTGACTTCATCCTTCATTTATTATTTCTCATTCTCATATTTACTATCAATAACATATCTTAATAGTAGAATTTATATGATTACCTCTCAAACTTTGTTTGTTTGTCCTCTTCTCTAAGCAGATGCTCATCATCAAATTCAGGAAGATAGGGATCTTCAATATTGTTTTCATATCTAAGTTGAGATTGAAAGATAAATGGAATCTAAAATTAAAAGAAAGGACTCTCCCCAAAATGACTAAATTTGATTTATCTTAATTAATCATAACTAACTATCCCGTGAGTACAGAGGATTTAAGCCAAAACCTTTAAAAATTCATTGAGACTTAGTCTTTCTGCACATAAGGACATCATTTGGATTATTTACGATCCTTCTCTAACTGTAAATTTCTGGACTCTTATTAAGAAAGTAATAAAACTCAAATAGAAGAGTTTGTTTTCTAATTTAATTAGTATTATAAATAAGTTTACTTTGATCCCTCACTTTTTCAGCAGATCTATATAATACACACATTATGGTATAAGATAAGATTAAGCCTAAGACTTATAGATATCCAACAGGTTCAATCCAAAGCATAGTAATATAGACAACTATCAACTCAGTGAAAATGCCACTAAAAAAATAGGTTTGAACATTCCACAGGAACATCAATTTAAATGAGCTATCTTTTAGTTTTAAATCATTACAATATTTTTAGCAATTAAAAAACCCCCAAAAATATAGTTATCCATACATAATAAGAAACATGGGACATTTATACATAGTATCCATTTGAAAATAAGTCATCGTATTCATGGTTATAGAAGGCAGCACAGAAACAAAAGATTCCCTCAAAAAATGAAATTATCAATTAAATATAAGGCGTTTCATCATCCCAAATGTATTCGTGTATACCATAATCTTCAAATAGAATTTCGAATTAGAGATTGAGGTACTTATCAGAACCAAATAATTCCTTGTATCTTTGGTGCTCAAGTTACATTTCATAGATCTTCTCCCTAATCAATCTCCTAAGTAAAGTGTCTTCCTCCTTATATATGGCAGGATCATCAATGGCTTATCAGATATTGCATCAAAATTACCTTCTTTGTTGAAATTGAATATCTTGAATTACTCCATATATTGAAAACTGTAAGTTAGATGGTTATCAAAATAATCCTTGATTAAAGCTCGCAATTCCTTTTAAGAGAGTCCATCGATTTACATGGAATTAGTTTCACAGTGTATTCTCAATTAAGCCTCTAAATATTTGCTGAACAAACTATTGACTACGCATAAACTATAGGTGATTTTGTCAGGCTCATCGGCTATATAGTTTGACCAAGAAACCCTGTCAATAAAGGCTTTTTAAGTTTAATGCATTTTCATTGACAAAACCTTGAACATCCAAATGCCAAGTGTATGCGAGGCTGCTGCGCAAATAACCATTATAAGAGGTTACCAATCAAACGATTTTTTAATAGAAAGATATTTGTTTTAAAAAGCAGTGCCAGGTATTAGTACTAACCAATCTTCTAATAAATAGACTAAGCCCATTAATAAAAATGAACAGAATATTGTATTCGGAGTCACATTGTTTATCCAACTTCTAAAGAAGGCTGTGAATAATTAGTAAAGAGCTAAGTAATGAACAATGCTGTAATAGGCTAACTGATATTTTATACGATTGTTACTGCGTGAATTGTTAAGGCTAATTGAATGAATTCAAATATTGCACAAGTGAAAACAAGAGAAAAGGAAAATCTAAATGGCTAAGCTAATTCATGAGGCGAATTCTTAGTGGGATGTTGAAGACTTAAAATTTTGCTAATGATGTTAAAACATAATAATTACTAAATGAAAGCTATTAGGAAAGCAACAATACACCATAGTCTAATGAAAAACTAAGAAGCATAAAGAGCAGCAACATCTGTTTTCACAAGATATCGCAAAAGTGAGATTGAAATGATAGGTTAAGATCCAAGCCATCCCACCGAAAAAGCTGTATTTTATAACATTATTAAATTAACTATTTCTAGAGAATTCAAAAATTAAAATCCCAACTTTTCAATTTACACAATCATTTGTCTTTTCAAACCCTCTTCACTGATTACTTTCTATAATATACGAATTTGTAACAGAAATTTGATATTCAATTCTAATTCATATTATTTGAATTGTGAGTTTGTTTTTTGATTAATCTCTGAATATATTTTGCCATCCTAAAACACTTTGATAATAACTTTGTAATTGAACCAAAATTAATTGAATTATTCTACTTTATAAGAAGCATTAATATACTCATAAAAGCAAGGATAACACTTTTATCACTTTCAGAATCCTCTCCAATAATCTTACATATATTTGTTGATTGTACATGAGAACAAATTTCTTAGAAATATAAAATAGATTAAGATATGATTAGACATTAACTTAAGTCCTGTTCTAAGGAAGCATTAATGTTTCACTGAGAACCAGTATGTGAATACTTCCAGAATTAATCAATATTATATAACCAACATGAAAATAAGGATATAACCTTCAATCAATGTTTGCAATTGAAGACTACTAGGTCCATTTTTAAATATAGTTAATTATTTTAGATTAATTAAGTTTCAAAATGTTTAAAAATGATAAACCCGTTATTATTGATGATCAATATCTGCTAACATCACTTTATTACACTGGTAGAAACTCTGTTTACTATAATGCAGTATTAACTAAGGATGATCAAAAAAGTGGTGACATACTAGTATAAATAGTATAGTTTGGAACACATTAAAATAGGTTACTAATCAGTCATAATGCTATTGCAGATTATATAAAAAGACTAGTGACAGTATAATTCATACTCTAAATAAGATGGTATCACTCCTAAAATTCATCAATTTGGAATTCTCAAAGTAGGAGAGACATCTTATCATTATATTGTACAATAAAAAGCAGGACCCTCATTGAAATTGTGTTTCTAATTAATGAAGAGAAAGTTTTCAATTTCAACGATTGCTTTGGTTGCATTAAAAATGGTAATTCTGAATTTACTAAGTTTAGATCACTCATCTCTAATAATTGCATTCTTTGAATATAATTCATAGATGCTTAAAACTATCCAATTTAATTAGCACTCTTTAGTCAGAGATATATTTCACTCACTTTGAATATTCATCAAAATATATGGATAAAAATGGGAAAATCTTAATAAAAAAAAAGAATAAACTCAACTTGTATATTAATAAATTCTCATCCATAGGCACTCATTTATAACAATGTACTTTAATATCAGAATATAAAGTTCCTTGTCCAAGAGATGACTTAGAGTCTTTGTTCTATATTTTGTTACATATCATTACCTTAGGAAAATTTTTGCATTCCCAACCAAATGTGGAACGATAAGAAAAACTGAAATATTATTATGAAATAAAACAAAGATTTGTTCCTGAAAGAGAATTAAAGGGGTTTCCAGAATAGTTCCTATAATTGTACCATGGAATTAGATTACTCTAACCTCACGAATTTCCAAATTACGATTAATTGAAACAACCCTTTTTTCAATTATTAGGTTAACAGGACCTACAATTACAATTTGATTGGATTCCTTTGCTCAAACCTAAAAACAAAAATAGTAGATCTCCAAGTCCTATCAGAATTAGTAAATTAAAACACGCTGGAAGTGTTGGTGATATGGCATTTATATCATAGCAAAAGAAGGATGATTAAATTTTAGATTCAGTATCTCCTTAAAGGTAAGGAAAACCTACGATGAAACATTTTGTATATCCTACAAATAAAAATGCTACAGAAAGATAATTACCAGCAATATAGGAAGGGAAAGAAGGAACCCTTAATTCTATAGCTGAAAAAAATTAACTTTAAAAAAAAATGGGAGGACTTTCAATTATCATTTGTAAGTAATAAGTTACAAGTTCTTCGTCTTCAGGCAATGTGAGTTCTATGAGTGATGACCAATCAGAAGTTGATACAAAACCATTAAATGGAATTATTAGTAAACTTTATATGGATTGAAATGCTTATATGAATAATTTATAGAATATTTTGATTATGTTGAAATTCATTCTGCTGTTATAAATTCAATCCTGAATTGATTAATAAATAAACAAATCTATAGACACACTTCTGATTTAATCAAAATTATTTTAAATGTTTTGAATGTCAAAAAAACTTGTTAAACTTTACAAATAGAAACAGTTATGTATAAGCACAAACACAAATTTTATTTTAATGAGTATTATTAATATTATTCAGGAAGTTTAACCATCAAAATTTAGTTTATAACATATATTGATTCTTAATTTATATTATATCATAGCCAATTATAATATTAATTGCTCTATCTTAATAGAATACTCGAAAACATGAATTATTTTAAAGGGTTCTTTTGATTCTCACTAATAACAAAAGGCCAATTCTCAAAAATGTTATGTATGAGATTAATAGAAATAGTGTTGCTCTCCAAAACAACATCTAAATTTAGTGAGTTCTAAACTTGAATTAAGTAATTGTTGACTTTATTTTATATATATTGGATTTGATTCCTTAAATCAAACAATTAAATCACCTCATTCAAAATTCAACTTGTGGATCTTGATAATTGATTCAACAAAAATTGAAATACATTTTGATTTATAAAAAGAGCTTATAGAATTATTATTCGCTATAATAAAATCAACCATAATTTGAGAATCTCAAATACTGATAGTTCTTTGATATTCTTTTTGATTTTTAAGTGAAATAATGGATGAAGTTAATTAATTAATTAATTTAAATATGACTGATAGAAAGGCTTGGAATTAAAAAGTATGTACCTTAAGATTCCTTTATTTTAGGAGGACATTGCAATACTATAATTAGTAAAGCAGTATGGAATAAAGAAGTGGACAATTGTGGCTGAAAAGATGAAGGAAGTGTATGGGTTATTTGGAAGGTCTGGGAAGTAATGTAGAGAACGTTATCATAATCACCTTGATCCAACAATCAATAAGGAGCCTTGGAGTGAAAATGAAGAAAGAGTGATCTTTGTTGCTCACAAAGAACATGGCAATAAGTGGGTACGATGAAATGTCGAATAAAATTTTAGGCAGAAATTGCGAAACTGTTACCTGGGCGAACTGACAATGCAATAAAAAACCATTTTTATTCCACGTTAAGAAGAAGTCTCAGAAGAATCAATAAACTCATCGGAGACAAGAACAGTAATTGGCATGATTATATATTTAGCATAGAAAAGGGTACCCAACAGATCAAGGATATCAAGCCAGGTGTTTTGTCTAAGATTTTCATACTTGCAGAAAAAAATCCATCCGAATTAAAAGATGATCATATGAAAAAGTTATGTTAAGCTTGTAAAGGACTGTAAGACTCCATCTTAGAATTTGCTTAATCCAAATAAAAATCTCAAATTAATTAATTCAATGAAGACAAGTTCAAATAACTGATTGACAAAATTATGGAATTCAAGTATATTCTTGCAATTATCATCAAGTGCCCTCTATACAAAACAAAGAGAAAGCAGATTAAAATTGAAGAAGAAAAATCATAAAAAGAGAAAAAGCAGAATTGAAGATGATGATGACGACGATGATTATACTAGTGATTATAAATACGAAGAAGTAAGCAACTATGTTCCACTTAAGAGATCTTCAAGACTCAATGCAAAAAAGAAAGTGGTAGAATTTCCATCTTATCTCTAGCATATAGATAAAGAAGATTATATTGATATATGTATCAGAACCAAAAAAGGTCCACTATTCAACATCATTCGAGATGAATTCGAAATCCAACAGGATAATGAAGAAGTAAAGACTTTTTTAATTATTATTCTCTAGTAACAATCTTCTAACAATTATCAAGAACAATACATCTACGATTATTAGGGAAACAACAGTCCAAATAATCAGTAAATGACTCCAGCCTTTCCTGTATTGACTCCAAGACAGATATTCTTTTAGAAACCTATCAATCCATATCAAGAAGATTTAGGCTTAGATGAAAATCCATTAAGTAAATCCAATTTTGTGCCAATTGTCATTACAAAACCATATACTTAATGCAAGGAGAAAACCCTTGATACAATTGCTTCACAATTACAGAAGAAAATTAGTAAATTCCAAAAATAATTTTAGATGCAAATGCTGATAAATATATATTTAATTAATAAGCTACTCAAGATTCAGATTTGGAAATCAATATTGGAGATGCTTTTGAAATTCAAAAGGACTACAAGTCACCAACCAGTAAATTTGGAATTGGTGGTTACAGTCCAAGTGCATTTAGAAAGTATAAAAAAGATCAGGAGACTGGTTTAGTTAATTTCATGGTTACACCTCATAATTATAAATGATGTATTGATTTATCAATGTTTTCAAAAGTTCCATTAATAGAATTTATTGTTATTAGTATTATATACACGAATAAAGTACTTTTGTATTAAATTAATGTTAAATTATATTCTTAAAAGACTATTCTTAATTTAAATATCTAGTTAGTTCATGTATTCCTTCATATATAGATTGACTTTCCAATTAAAGCATTTTTTTAGTGATCAATTTCTTTATCAGTTTTTTATAAAATGATAAATATTTCAACTTTTGTTTAACCAGAATTAATTTATAAATGTCGTAAGAGTTTTAGATAATAATATCATTCTGAATGATAGATCAATATAGGATTATTAATTTAATTGCTAAATGTTCAAACCCTTAAGTGGCAAGGTAATAACAGTTATAGGATCATCTGGATATGTTGGTTCTAATATTATAAAAAATGCTCTTCAATATGGTGCTATAGTGAATGGAGTTTCTAGAAGTGGATAGCCGAAATCCTAATCAAATTGGACTAGAGAAGTTAATTGGATTAAAGGTGATGCCATGAAAGCACATGAATTTAAAGATGCTTTATAAAAAAGTGATATTGTAATTCACACAATTGGAACACTAATTGACTCGTCAGTTTTGAACAACAAAAAACCGTATTTCTTATTCAATACTTAGAGGTGAACAAGGCACTTATGAATAAATGAATAGAGACACTGCTTTTAATGTTGTGAAAGAATTGATCAATACAAATGTAAAGTTTGTTTATGTGAGTGGTTCTGCTCACCCACCATTTTTAAAAAGATACTTAACTACTAAACAAGAAGTAGAATAACATATTTTGAATCTATACCAAGTATTCTTCAGAATAACCATTTTAGCAATAATAACTTAATCCAATCATAGTAAGACCAGGATTCATTTATAGCTTAACTCAAAGATGGTGGAGTGTTCCTTTGAAATATGATTTGGCAATATGGAAATGTGTACATTATAATGCATCTAAATTAATTCCTTAGCAATCATCTATTGGAAAAATCTTCAATGAATTCAAAGTGGATACTTCAATAGATTTATAAGATGTTGTTGATGCATGTTTGGCTCCTTTAAAAATAGATTTGGTAGGATAATCATTAAATAATTCAGAAATGGAAAAAGTAGCATAACAATTTAGAAGCTTAAAATGATAATAATATGGAATTTGATTATTATTATTAATATTTATTCCTCAAAGCAAGATTAAATTTTTCATTTCTATTAATCACCCTTAATTTAGTGGTTATAAGCAGAAAGTAAATATTTTAGATTTATAAATTTAATTCTATAATAATAAATTTGCCATAACATACTGAATTATTTGTTGCTACTATTTGGAATTCATTATCTTTATTTTGAAAGAATTGAAAGCTGAATAACAGTTTTGCCCTTTTTATTAGAATAATTATATATACACTTGCTCTTTTGTTTTTAAAAACATGGATACATTTAAATTCTTCCTTTTAATTATAATATGAATAGAAATAATTCACTGGATGAATTCATAATTTTCTATAAAGAAATAATAATTTAAATGTATAATAAGAGTTTTGATGAAATTTTTATTTGTTGTTTAATAGATCAATATTTTCTGCTCCATGGTTTGTCATCAGGTATTTCAGATTTTGGTTGGAATTGATTGGCTTTAGCTTATGGGTTTTATTCAAAGTACTTTTTAGCCTCTTCATAAATTTAATAATCTTCACCATATTTTTACATATCTAGGAGTTTTGGATTTATGAATACTTTCAGAAAATTAGCTTAGATCTTATTCATATTAATCTTGTTGACTAAAAAGATTTTCAGAGTCCATGAACATGGGAGGTTGTTGTTTCATAAACACTCTCTATTCAATAAATTCTTCGTCTTCATATTCTAAAGGGAAGTTCAATTCAGCTATTTTTTATAGAGCCTCTTCTTCATTTCCTCTTTATTACTTAATTAGTCTTTCATCAGTATCAATGACAATCTAGAATGTAATTTGAAAATACTTGTCTGAAATTCTTGGATGTTTCTTCGCCATGAACTTACGCCAACTCCAATAATTCTTATTTATATTCTCTAAGGATTTGCAATTCTTGAGGTGTGATGTCTCTTAAATACTTGGCAGGAGATCCAGCCCAAACCTCCCCTTATTTAATTTGAGTGCCCTCTGGTACAAGGGATCCAGCAGCAACAATGCCTTAAACTGAAGCACCTTATTTAATTGTAGATCCCATTCCAATAAATGCATCATCTCCAATTAAACATCCTTATAAATTTGAATTTGGTCCTACATAAGAGTTATTTCCTAACGTCACTGGTTGCGTAGCTCTCACATAGACATTATCCTGAATTAAAGCATTCTTGCCCACTGTTATAGCATTTTGATCAGCACGTAAAGTGGCACCATACCAGACGGAGGAGCTAAGGTTGAACATATCCAAGAGTACTTCTGCTTCAAGATAACATTTCCGACCAAAACAGAATTGGGGGCAGTAAATAAAGCTTCCCTGATTTAGGGAGTTTGACCATTAGTTTGCACTTATCTCAAACACTACACTAAACGATCATCGCTAGCTTCGCTTCCGAGTATGTCATTTCCTTAGGAGAGGAAGCTCTTTCCAATTCTCCTATAGTATGGGCCGACAGCATTTAATACAAAGGAATCAAATAATTGGAGAATCTTGACTTTGAACATAATTATTTATGTAATTTTAATAAGAAAAAAATAATCTAGTATTTTATAATCCAATTTATAAGCAAGCTAGAAATTCAAAAGTGGATATTCAACTTAGACCTTGATTTTAATTAATTTTTGATTGATCATTAATTTTGATCCATTTTTAACAATTGAAGTAGTTTATGGTTTAATCAAAATTTAATAATTAAATGCTATCTAAAATTCATGTATACTAGGGGAGTGTGAAGTCCAATATCTTCAAATGTAGAAGTTTATTATTAAGGAACTATAATAGTTTCAAATTTCATGAGATTCAATAATAGAGGGGAAATATCAAATAAAACTATTTGATAATTAAGAAAGGGACAATAAAATTAAATGGAAAAATCACTAGAGTAATTAAGCATTCATTAATTATATTTTTGGATAGATTAACAACATTATAAATTGATATACAAAGTAGAGAATAACTGAATCTAACAACAATTGTAGAAATATTATAATATTAAGTGTAACAAGAATGAACTTAATAAGATGTTTAACAATTCATATAGTAATTGATACATACGTAAGAGAACTGCAGTTGAATTGCATTTAGAATAATAATATATATATATTAATGATTAAACAAATAATTCTCATATTATTAGTTGTTTTTGTTATTCAAGCAAGACATCAACATTTAAGACACACAAAACATCAATTGGGCCATAATTTAACCATGAAACCAGGTATAATTTAATATATCTGTAAGGTGAATCATGCTTACCTAACACTGATTTGGGGGGATAGAAAAAGGAGGAAACATCAGCCAATCAAGCCAGAAAACATTTATCAGTAACGAGAACTCTTATATTACTTAGAAATTTGCTGATCACCTGACAGAAGAGAACAGAAAAGCTGAAGATAAATAACCATACCCAAACATTTATACATATTAAGATTAAAATTGCGTTGGAAACGGATAGGATCCATCAAAAAGAGACAGGAGAATGAGAAGAAGTTGAAATCAACTTTTGATATTAAATAAAACATTATCATTGAATTTCAATTACTTTCCAAAGAGTACTAGTATCATCAGGTTTGCCAGAATCGATACTTAACAAAGAAACTATGAATTAACCTTCAGGTTTGCATTAATTGAGATTAGTTTACAAATAATACCCAGTGTCTTAGTGTAGCAATTCTAAACATAAATTGTAGGGTTTTGTTACTTATGTTATTATCATTGAGTTTTTCAATTTACCAAACATCACCTTGTTCGCCACCTCCGACATCGATTTAGCCATTACTACTCTTTTATTGAGCTTTCAAGTAGCATTTAGTGAGAGGATGATATAACTATCATTTTAAAAGCCAAATGAGTACTTTAACTAAATTGTCATCCACATTTTCGACTGTCCAATTGTCATAATCATTACCACAATCTTTGCAGCAAATCACCTCATTCAATCGAGAATTGGGATATCGAATTCTATGAGAGTGAAGATTCCCTTAAGAATTCGCATTTAACAATTAGATTGTGTTATTAGTAATAGAACTTTCTCTTTAATTTGATGTACAAGATGTAAAGTGACTACCTTTAAGTAAACTTTCATCAAGTTTCGGTGTCCCAGTCTCTTGACCAAGTTCTTCTTTGATTATTAACCTACTCAGACTTGGTACCAAAAGACTTTAACGTCGATCAAACAAATATCGCTCAATTAAGTTCTCTTTTATACAGATTCCTTTTCTTGGCTCGTAGTAAATTGAGGATCTATAAGAACTATTTGGATTTTGTTCTTTTTTGCACAAATTACCCATTCAATTAAATAAATAATTAATATAGTTCATTAATCTAATGAATAATGCTAAAATCGTTGATCAAGTGGATAATGCTCAAATTAATCTTTTCCCTACTCCTCCTTAAATTCCAACTAACTAAGATGACGAAATCATAGACTAATTGCTAAAATAAGATTATTAATAATAGTAGAATTTTAATTTATCTAGAAAAGAGAACCCTTAATTTGATAAGTACTATTAAAAGAGAACCAGTCTAATCAATAATACGGAATTGAATGAACTTGAGCCATATATTAAACTTACTGTAGGCGCAAACTCACCCACACATTTACCAGTTTACTACTTCATAAATTAGCAAGGGTAATTTAACACAGAATTTGTAGTCTTATTGGCTCTCCTAAAACTGCTAACTCTGAAGACATCATTATAGGAAGATCTCATGTTAGATAAGTCAATCCTCTTGATATAAGTTATTCTATTATATTATATTATTTTTAGTCCTTCAAATGAAAAGATTAATTTCAAAAGTTCATTGTAAATTAATTTGCTAGGATTATTTTAGACAAGAATTTATACTTAAACTTATCTATACATTAGTATTATATAGAATTAGAACTTAATCCAATTTTCCATTGCCTCAAAGAGCTCGATTTATCATTTCTTAATTTTTAGAGTACTCTGATTTCCCTATTTTAGTCAACCAAGACATGTTTATATCTAAGATTTAGGTAGTTTAAGTGGAACTTCATTGTAACTAAAAAATACAACTCCCTGTATCATGAAATAAGATCAAATGTATTCTTTTGGTGCCAATTACCATTTTATAGTTAAATTTTGTTAATCTTTTAATGAAGGAGGAAAAGATATAGATGATCAATTCTTTCAGCTATTAAAACAATTATATATCTTAAAAAAGCCTAAACTTAGATTTTATTTTGGAGACCCAAATATGCTTTAGAAACTTTTCAATATAATTTAATAAGGATCTATTGAAGATTCTTATAATAAAACTAATCAAGAATAAGTATATGATAAACTCAAAGAATACAAAGTGGCTATTATTAATATCGGATTAAATCAATAGCGCAAAAGAATTTCATTCTCTCAAACCCTTTATTTTCATTTAGAAAATGAGGATTCCTATGAAATTACTATCGGAAGATCAAATGAAAACTCTTACAAAATCAGATCTGATACAATTTCAAGGAAATAATGTAGGTTTCAATATTTGAAAAGGTAATTTTGACAATTATTAAAGTCTGAAAGCATGGGGCGTTTTTGATGGAACTAAAGATAATTCTTCTCTAAATGGCACTTGGATTTAATTATAAACTGTACAATAAATGAATAAACAAGAAGAATCAAATTTAATAGAAGTAAAAAACAATGCAGTTTTTAAAGTAGGGAGTATTTAACTGAAAATTGAAATGATTAAAGGAAAGTAAGAACTTAAATTATTTTAAAGCAATATCAATTAAACAAAGACTAAATGAAAAAGTAAACAATTTTAATTATACATATTAATATCTTTGATATTTTATTATAACACTTCTAGCTTTTTATTTTAATTTCAATCCTTCGATTCTTGACATATTTTCGATCAATATCATTGAATCTGAAAATTACCTAAATGTGGGAATGAATATTTCAATAATACGTTATATCATTAAATACAAATTAAATTAATTAATATATTTATCAAGCTAGCTTTAGCACAATTAAGTACGTAAGAAGAAAGGCAAGGCAGAATCTAATCATATGCATGTAGTGAATTCATTATTTTAATTGTTTGTTATATTTATGGCTATATTTGAATTTGTTGAATTTAGATTTTTTCATAATATAATACTTAATGTGATGCGAGATTAGAATACAAATTTTAGTTAAAAAAGAAATCAATTTACTATTACATCATATACTAAATTTGTTTAAAAATAATCCTATTTGATAAAAATAAAAGCTCAATTTTATTATTGCATCATATACTAAATTTGTTTGAAAATAATCATAAATGATAAAAATAAATTGTTGAAAATTAAGGAAACGTGAATATTATTTATTTTATGAATTACTTATCATTTATTGATATCTTCGGAGTATAGTTTCGACAATAAATCAGATATCACGTAAAAAGCTAAAAATCTCTGATAGGAGGAATTACATCTCTCCTTATTTTGATAGCTAGTTTTGGATACCTAGCATACATTTTACATGAGTGGATTTCATTTAATTTACTTCCCAAGTTGACTAATACATTGATGGCTGATTAAACTTCAGAATTATTATACCTTGAAGATGAATCACTTTTTGAATTTGCTTATTGGAAATACTCGAATAAATAAGTCGATCCCTTTAACTAACAAAATAATATCATAACTCCAATAGGCATTTACTTTGAGAGTGATCAAGAATCTAAAAAATTTTCATTTCTAAATTAGATTGATAAGTTGTCTACTTTTGGAACTAAAAAGTATGGCTTAAATCAGTTGAAACTATCCTAATCTAGCAAAGGCATAAACGTTAGAGAACTAATGATTGTCTTTGTGAAATGCAATCCATTATATTTATCTGCTAATTAGACTTGTGCAAGTGAAAAGGAAATAAATAATTTTTTTACATCTGCAGTAAATTACTTTTAATTTGAATTGAACTTAAAATAGTTTAATCCATAAACCTAATAAATCGAGACTTTCAAAAAGACATACTATTTTTCTTTAGATAAAGTAATAGCGACTTAAAGTTAAATATCTTTCAAGTAAGCTCAAGCATCTATCGATAATGGAATTTTATTTGAGTCTTTAACAAAAGAAACTTTTGTTCAAGATGCTTAAATTTTGACAACATCTTCGTCCTTAAGTCTTTGGCAAGATCTCTTAGAAATAGACTCGTATTTTACTATAACTCTACGTCTTGATCCTATTTCAAACGAATTGCATATAGTTTATCCTAAGATAGGAGAAGTACTAGCTTAGGTTGGTTCAATTGTTAACATACTAATGATGTTGAAGTACATAGTTGTATATTATAATGAAAAAATATTGGACAAGAGCTTTGTGGATTATGTTTTAAGCTTTTATTTCACTGATTACAACTAACTCATGAAGTCAAAAGTAGATTCAGATAAAAAGGCATGCTCCATTTTGGTTGAATAAGCCCGAAAAAGACTCGTATATATCAATATCATATATGAACTGTCGAGAATATAAATGTTTCTCCAACATCACTTTGGTCGTAAAAAGTTATAAGAAAGTCATTCATTTGGAATTCGCTTAAAACCCCCAAATACAGACCTTAATTAAGAGTTTGAATTAGAATTAATCTCATAAAATTCTTAAGAACATTCAGATGAAGAAAACAAAGGTTTTCTTATTAAAGATTTTCTCTTATTTAGTTAACCTAATTCGTGTTTAAATTAAGTAGAAATTGATTAAGCCAATAAATAAAATTCAAAAATATCACCGCAACAGAATTTTGAATTGCAATAATTATGATAATTCAAATATATGTTCAAATTAAAAACAACATCTTTAATGTTATTCATAAAAATATAAGTATTATATTATACTTTGCAACAAAAGCTAATTTTTTATTTAGTTCTGCTATTTTATTGAGGGGGATTAAAATAAAAAATTTTAGAGGGAATTCAGATAAAAATAATCTTAATATTAAATTTGAATAAGGTTAAGTTTTGGTTTTGAAGCAAATTAATATTTAATAAGTAATTATAAAATAGGCTATAAAATTCCAATAAGGGCAAAAAATAAAATGATGATATCAATCTTGTGATTAAGTCTTCTTCTTTTCAATCATATCTTGAATTCTTTTAACTTAGTCAGTTTATTACACATTATTTAATTATGTAGAAATTGACTTTAATAAAATTGCTGGCATTCTTGCAAGATGATGTTGAAGTGCATTTTCTATCCAATCTAATGTTCTTAATTTGTGTAATAAATATTCAACTTATGTAGAATCTAGTCTTTCAGTACAAGGTCCAGTCTTCATCATTGTTGAAATTATAATCTAGTCATCTAATGATGTTAATGCTGTACAATAAGCTTCATTAATATTGTTTTTCTAATAATCAGAATAAATTTACATCTAATTAATCCTCTACTTTTTACATAACCTTTTGTTATTCAACCACTTTAGCATTTTGAATAATAGGAGAGGATAACTGTTGTTATGTCTATTTACTATCGGTGGTAAGGATAGATTGATCTTTGTTTCTCAAAGGAGATGCTTCTGAAGTTGATCTTTAATGATTTTCCCTAAATTTACCTTCCGCATCACTTACTTTTCCTGAATTTAGTTCAAAATTAGATTCTTAAAGTTTTGATTCTGTGTTGAATTAAGATTTTTGAGCAATGAAAAAAATATCTTACATTTTGGTGTTCATTTCTTAAGGAGCATCATTTAGAGAGTCAAACATATTTTAATTTTAGAGATTCAGAGATTTTTAATTTTCATGTATTTAACAAGGAATGAATTAATCCTAATATGATTCAACAGGGATCACTTTTTATTTTTGAGATTTAATTTATTATTATTATTAGTTCTATTATGAATTTAACTTTTTATCTATAGTTTCTGACATTCTTTCTAACATCTACTCAATTTTATCTATTCTTTTGTTCAATAGATTCATTTCTGAACGAGTGTTTTGTTCTGAAATTTGCAATTTTTAATTTAAAATTTATTCAAAGATGGCATTTTATTTGGCTTTGGCTGAATCGTATAATTTTAAGAGATCTTGTTTGTCTTGTATTTACTTTTAAGGGGGAGTGGCAAGTTAAATTTAGGATTTAGGAATTTCTTAACTTTAATTTATATATTTCTTCTCCTTTTGATTGCTAGATCCTGATAAATTAAAATGATAGTTAGGCTGAGCTGATTAGATGAAGGCAGAACATTGTGGAGAATGGTTTTTATTGGAATCTATTAACATTTAAACAGGGGATGTTTTCTTATCGCTTCCCATTTATTATTAATTAGGAAGTGTGAATGAGTGAGTTTCATTTTTAACAAGAATATCAGCAAAGGTTGGTTTCTATTTTGATATTTCTTCATCCCTTGGCCTATTTTCAATAATTTATATATCTGATGTTCTTTCAAAAAATCCTTTATTAGCACTAGATTTAAACACTGATTTATGTTCTCTGGCTGATTATTATTATAAAGATCTTGAATCTTTAAGGGATGACAATGCTACTTATGCTGCATCCCTTACATGTTTAATTTTGTCAAACCTTAGTTCTCCTATTTTATTGACAAATTAGTCATTTACTCTAAAATAGTGAGGGAATATCACGCTTAATGAATAAATTATATCTAATGCAAACTTTCTAGGATATGGACAATTAATACCGTGAATTCCACTCTTCAGAATGCAAACAATTGGTGATAGTATGCACACATTCCTCTAAACATGGTTCAAAGATTGCTTCTACTGTCAATATTAGACTCAGCAGACTCTCAAGTAAACCTTATTAAGTTTTGCAATGTGGAGATCTAATTACAGTTTAGATTTGAAAGCATACTTTAAAATTTCTAAGGTTTTCTATGTATAAGTTTTAAAGATCATCTCCATTAATTATTAATCCGTTGTTTAAATTATCCTGCATAGGGATTAAGCACTAATTTATTGAGCAACTCTGTTATTGTGTACAAAATTAGCCTATAGTAATTCTGTAATTGATTAAAATAAGTCGTATTTATTTGGTGATGTTTAGATAGTAAATTCATTGATGTTTGCAAAGGTATCCGATATCACCTAAATAAATGTGGAATCTCCTAGACCAATCTGAGTATATTTTACCTTCTTATATTCTTTTGTTGATAATTTATACAATCCTTGGTAACTACTCTTAAATATCGCTACCTCTTATTTCTGCTAACACACCAAATACTTTAATATAATCTTTTTTTGCTTATTTTGAAATGTCATTGGAATCAAGTAAATTCGTTAAAATCACAAATTGATTTTATTGCAATTATGCTATCAATGTCCTCAACTCACTATAACCAGTCTAAGCCGTGCTTTGAGAACTAAACAATAACATTATTATAGTAACTGTAATTTAGCTAAAGAAGCTAATAGAATGGTTCTCAGTTGCGAATTCGAGTCGCAAGTATTGTACAACCTTCTCGATTTATTTAATGTATTGCTGTTCATATTAAAATTTTATTTAATATATAACTATTTATACATAAAATATATTTGATCTCAATAATTTTATAGAAATTCCTTCACTCTAGTATTCTTTTTAATATATTCATTAAATATTAAATTAACAACTATTTTGCAAACTTTAATTATACATAACTCATCCCTCATTCAATTTCAGCAATAAGAATTCATATTTACAAAGAACTAATTGATACCAGAAACATAAAAATATCAACGAGAGAAAATGTCTATATTACTTTTTTTATGGCAAAATGATTGGTCGATCGAAAGAGAGCTTTAAGGATTTGATTATGGAGATAATTTAAATGGTTGAGAAATTTAAGTATTTTAGGATTCAAAGAATTTGTATTATAAATAATAGTTAACTTCGATTATAATATTTATATTATTATAAAAATAGGTTTTATATTAATACTAGGAATTGAAGAATTCTAAATTTTAGAATTTATCAATTCTAATATTCTAAGGATTAATAATAATATTTTTGAACAATAAATTCAATCAGTTTTATGACAGATAAGCTTTAAACCTATGGTATTATCCTAATTAAATGTTAGCAAATAGAGAGGAAAACCTTGTTAGTACAGATAATCGAGCTGAGTTTTCATTAGGAAAATTTACTCCAATTGAATTAGAATGGGATAAACTCATAATTAATGCAACTATTAAAGTTGGAAAAGTATATTTATTCACCATTCATCAATAGGTTAGCACTCAGAAGTGTTTGTTGAATAATCTCAAAGGTGTAATGAAACCAGCACACTTCACTGCAATTCTTGGTCCTTCAGGATCCGGCAAAACCACTCTTCTAAACTTTTTGTCTGGTCGATTAATATCAGATAATTTACAAATTTCAGGAGAATTAATGCTGAATGGAAAAAGAATAGATGATATTGACAAATTCAATGATTAAATGGCATATGTTATGTAAGACGATATATTACTTGCAACATTCTCTCCAAGAGGTAAAATAACCTTAAATCCTTTTAGAGGCCTTTTATTTTTCAGCCAATATGAGATTAACAATATCTCCAGAAGAAAAGCATCAAAGAGTTGAGGCTCTGATCAGAGAGTTGGGCATTACAAAATGTGCAGATACAAGAGTAGGAAATACCTAAATCAGAGGTGTATCAGGAGGAGAAAGAAAAAGAGCAAGTATCGGTGTAGAACTATTGACAAATCCAAGTTTGATCTTTCTTGATGAACCAACTACTGGTTTGGATTCTTCAACTGCCTTATAAGTTATTGATCTGTTGAAAAGGTTAGCAAAGAATGGAAGAACTATTGTCAGTACCATTCATCAACCTTCATCTGAAATCTTCAACAATTTTGACAGACTTATGTTGTTAGTCAGAGGAAACATTATTTATTAAGGAGATGCTGAATAGGCTATTAATTATTTCGCAAATATGGGCTTTTAATGCCCCAATTTTTCAAATCCTTCAGATTACTTTATGAAATTAATGAATGAAGAAGGACTTTTGGTTGAAAAAATATAGGCAGGAGAATCTGAAGATTTTGATGAAGCTAAAATCAAAGAAGAATTTGAATAAAGACTTAAATAGTTTATAAATAACTATTAATCTTCTAATATGATTAGAGAATTGCAATCAAGTGAGTCTGCTGTGATCAAAGAAAATGATTCTGGATTTCACATTGGATTTATTTAACAATTTGTTTTGATTTACTAAAGATCCTTTTTAAATGAAATTAGAAATCCTATGGATGTGAAATTAAAGATATTTTAATCAATAGTTAATGCAATCATGCTCATGCTAGTCTATTCTGATGTATTATATTTATATTTAATTTTATAGTTAGGAAGTTATAATGAAGGATTGTAAAATCGTTTTGGAGCACTTTTCTTTATTTGTACAGCTAATGCATTTGGAGGTATTTAAGGTGCTCTTCATACATTCTCAATGGAAAGACCTTTGTTTTTAAGAGAAAGAATAAACAAAACTTACAGTGTGCATTCATTCTTTTGGGCAAGATCTTTGGCAGAATTTCCATTCCAGATTTTATATCCATCTCTTTGCGTAATAATTGTCTATTATGTTATTGGATTAAGTGATATTAATGTAGGAAAATTCTTCATGTTAATATTAATTTAATTCTTAACATATCAATATGCAGTGTCATATGGATTACTTTTATCAACAATAATACCAAAAATAGAAGTAGCTACTGCCTTAGTACCTGCTTTAGTTATTCCTTTTATGATCTTGGGAGGATTTTTTGTGAATTAAGATAATATTCCATATATTTTCTATCCATTCACATATCTATCAATGTTTAAATATGGATTTGAAGCTTCAGTCATTGTAAAATAATTATCTTATTATTTAATAGAATGAGTTTGACGATGTTATATATGAATGTATGCCTGGATAATAATGCAATCCTGTCGAAATGTTATCGATCACTCTTTCTAAATGGGAATGCTGTTATGTTTTAATCGGATTGGCTGTTGGAATTAGATTGTTTGCCTATTTAGCTCTTCATCTCATTTCAAGTCCAGAAAAACCAAAGCTAAGATCACCTGAATCCATGTAGATTATGAATAACTAAAATTGATTTCTTTTTACATATTTCATTTTTATATTAATTAAATAAATACATGAAATCCTTTTTCTCACACTTCATTTTACACATTCTCTCACTTTTTAATATGAATTTATTAATATTGATGAATATAAATCAAGAAATCACTTAATAGAATAGTATACATCTTAGATATTGCTTATAATGTAAAGTTATTAATGTTTTAAAAGATGCTCCCATTAATTTCCCTTTAATTATATTTAGTATTACAAATTAACACATTAATTTATAATTGAGTTATATTTACTCTTACATTTTATTTTTGTTCTAAGCTTCATCATTTCTAACTTTATCAATATTGTAATTTATTTAGCATTATTGCTTTTTCTTTATTTTCTTGTCACTATTGTATTTGGAAACTAACTGTTAAAACTTGTAATAATATTATAATTGAAACTAGGTTCATAGTTAATAACTAGAAGTACCAGAACACCATTACCTAAATTAATGTAGAAAATTAATTCTTTATCTATGTCTACTATTTTTATTAAATTTGATCAGTCTATTTATATAATTCTTGGATTATCTTCTAAATTTGATTAATTTTAGAGATCAAATGAAAATTTATTATTATATTTTATTAAATTTATAATGTGGCAACTTACTAATGATTCATATCTTAAATTCACAACCCTTCCCGAAATTCTGAAGAGACCAGATGCTAAAACTAAATAAATAAGCATAGATAACAAAATAATCTAAGAGGATCAAACTGAAAATACAGAAACTCGACCAAAAAAAGTACACATGAAACCAAGACTGCCTGTTTTATCGAATTTGCTGTTAAAGCCAAAGCAAGCTCCCACTTCACCTAGGTAAAATAAAGAGGAAAATAAAGTTATAAAGAAATAAAGAATGGAACCTGTTAAATCAGTAGTTTAAATTAGATCAAATTCGAATGCACCATAAATGGTAAAGAAACTAACAAGTGAAAAATTAGATATAAAGGAAGCACCACTAATTGAAATAAAACCTTAAAAAAAATTGGTTACTTTAGATGAATATGAAATCTAGGAAGTTATTGGTTAAGGTTCTTATGCAGTTGTCAGAAAAGGAGTCCATAAGGTGCATGGTGAGATTGTGGCAATAAAAGTGTATTCTAAAGAAAGATTGTATGATCCTTAGCGTGCTCGTGCAGTAGCTAAAGAGATTCAAATTCTTAGATAGTGCAATCACAAGAATATAATCCGTCTAATTAAAGTTGTAGAATCTAATAAAAATGTAATTTTTAAGCCTTAACATATATTAGATCAATTTAATAATGGAGTATGGAGGTGATCAATCATTGAAAAAGGTTAAAAACTTATCAGAATTTGAGATCCAATTAGTTTTCTTTTAATTATTAAAGGCTGTTAGTTATTTACACAATAAAAAAATAGTTCATAGAGATATCAAATTGGATAACATTTTAATAAATGCTAAAAAGTAAATTAAACATAACTATAAAGAGAGATCAAACTAATTGATTTTGGTTTTGCTACTGAAGTAGATGGGTATATTAACACAACATATGGAACTCCTTCTTACATGAGTCCAGAAATGCTTCCTCCAAATCCAAGATACAATGAGATTACAGATATCTGGAGTTGTGGAGTAGTGCTCTACGCTTTATTGTTTAATAAGTTTCCCTTTAGTGGACATACAGAAAAGGAATTACAAATGAAAATAAAAAAATAAGATTTGCATATTTAATCAGCTGATGAAGAGATTGTTGAGGTGTTGACGAGTTGTTTAGAAAGAGACGTAGATAAAAGGAAAACAGCAGATTAATTATTAAAAACACTCTGGTTGATTTGCTTAGATTGATTTATATTATTATGATCTTCTGAGTAACTATAAATTTAGGTTTGCTTTTCCTTACATATTAAGTAGAAAATAAGGAGAATAATATTATTATATATATAATTTAATCATAAAATCTTCAATCAAATTGTTTTATTCATAAGTTCTTTAAAGCTTTTTAAAGTGATCTAATTTATAAGATAATTAATACATAATCTTTTTTCAAATGCTCATTCATCATGTCTGTAAAATACTCCTTATCTAAAGTGTATTAAGTAGCCAATGTTTCAGCAGTAATAAAATTCTTTTTATTTTTTAATAATTTGAAACTTGTAGCAATCACTTCTTCTTCAATTAACTCTTTTCGATCAAAAGCATACAAAATAAACTCTTAAAAAGTTATTTTTTTATCCCTATCCATATCTACCTTTTAAAATATATTCATGCATATAGTTTTAGTATTTTCAGAATCTTCAACATATTCAGTATAAGAAGTGATAAGTTCTGAAATGCTGAAAAATCCATCATTATCTAAATCAAGTGACCGAAATACAGAGTATATTTCTCTTAATTTATCAGGTGGATAATTATTAATTATGAATTTAAGTAAGTAAACTTATAAAATATTAAGTTTCTTTGATAATCTTAATCTTTACAAAGTCTCTCTAATATGATCGTCTTCTAAGAAAACCTATTACTTTTTAAACCAAGGATGTTTTGTTATTTCACTTATTCTAATTCTTTTTTTTGGATTCTTTTCTAATATTTATTATAATAAAGATATAGCCTCTTCTGATATTTTATTTTAATAAGAAATATTTGATGCTTTTATATCAAATTTAAGCAAACTTTATGTGCTAGATTCATAAGGAGAGCTATGATACAGTAAATTATATAAAATTATCCCCAAAGACCAAATATCCCTTTCTTCTGAATATTCTTAATTATCAAAATATTCTGGCGGTAAATAGTGTGTTTCTTCTAGAGTTGGCTTTTTCTTCGTGAATAAATGAAATAAATCATATAACTTTATGTATTATTCGCCAAATAGAGCAAAACATTCCATTGTTAAATGACCATGCGTTAGCTTTTAGTGATGTAGATATTCGATAACCTCAACTATCTAATTAAAAATAAAGGCAATTTCTTTTTCATCATTATATGTTTTTTAATTTAACACTACTATTTTGTTGTTATTCTCTTCTGCCACATGATATTTCTATTATTCCTCATATATTTCAAACTATTATATCAAATTCGGATGATGCTAAGTTATAAACAAAATGTACAAGTTAATATTTGAGTAATTAAGCTATATATTTTGAATCTGTGGATTTGTAACTCTTAATTATTCTCACAGTCCCAGCATTATTATGTTGAATAGTTGTAAACGGGTTATCTTTATCCTCCTTCTTGAGTAAGCTGTAGAAGGAAGAAAAATTTGTGTTTCTATAGATTAGAAAGAAATTAATGTTTTTCAAACTATAGCCTGATTGGTTCAAATCGCTTTGAGACTATATTGCTGTGTGTGTATTGTGTCTAGACTGTGATCTTATACTATTTAGCTTCGTTGTTTGCCTATTTGGAGTAGCAGATTATGATTGTTTTTGTTTAGCTTCTTATATCTTTGCTTTCATCTATTGTTTCATTTGTTGTGAAGAACAAGAACCCATTTTAAGATCTTATAAATTAAATTATGCAAATCTTAGAATTTGTGATGAGGATAAGACAATCAAATCACTGGTTTAATGAATACGCAATCAATTATATGGATATTAATTCCTAATCAAATTTAAGAAAAATACCCGTTCATAAATATTTAAATCTTATTTAATGTTTAAATTACTCATAAAAATATATATAAATAAATAAGAATATGTTTAAGAATAATTAAGTTTATAAAACTCATATATTAAATATTAATGATTATACTGGAAAGGCCTAATTTAAGCACTTTACTAAATCTTACTTTTTTTTTACAAATCACATCTTATGTGAGCAATTACAATCTCTTTATCTATTATTAGATTAATATTTTAAAAAATGACTTTATGTTTTGCCATTAATATTTTCAATCCTAATTATCTCTTATTCCTCAAAATCATTTGATTCTAAAAACTTAAGCGTTAATAATCTAAAATTAGAAAACTGGTTCTATTGTTCAAAGAACATTCCTTATTTTTTATATAAAAAATAAAAAATTATCTAATACCATTAAATTCATCAAATAGATCGCAAATTTTGATTACTCCTCTTAGTTAAACTCAATTTATTTGAAAAAAATAAAAAAAATAGGTATTATTTTTGCTTACAATATTTACAAACTTATTGAATTCAAATTAGAATTTTGGAATGATTCTCTTTTACCCTATTACAAAATTAGTAAAATTAAGCAATATGATTATAATCCTACCTAAAAATATATTTCCTTAAATTAATCCTCAAGAATTAGAAACTATTTTAAGATTAAATATCAAATTAAATAATAAGAACAATTTGGTCAATGCACAAATTCAATTAAAAACAACTGAGTTATATATAATATAATCTACTAATCAGTTTCTTTAATATTATGAATTAACTAATATTAGTATAATCTTTCAAAATTTAATTTCTTTAATAACAAATTATAAACTATCATTGTTTGACTGAGTTCTTTATATAATTACTTTAGATTGTTTTTATTTATTAATTTATTATGTTATTGATTCTGGATCTAAATGTGAAAGACTTAGGTGTTAGTTGATTTGCACTATTTTGATTTAATCCATTGATTCGAAGAGTGTTACAACATGAGTTAGTATTCAAGTTATTAACTCTATTAAGATTAAGTTTTGGAATTAAGCGTATATCCTTTTGAGTTTTGATATTGCTATCCTTCTTATATACCATTAGCTTTTTTAGGTTATCTTTTTATTTTTACTCTAAAAAATGTCTTTTTACTAGCTTAGAACCATCCTAATTAGATCTTGGAGTTTAAGTAGTATGAAAATTAATTGGGCTTTAATTAATTACATAATCATCTTATGTATTAACTTACTGAGATACTTTAATCGAATGAGTTGATGAACCTTTATAAGGATTCATATTGGATGAGTATGCAGGTGAGTGAACGGAAAAGATCATCTTTTGAATTTCTTTGTTATCTAGTGATGAGATACATTTAGTATTTTATTTATATTTTTCTATTTAGTTTAAACATGCTAAGATTCTTAATCCCAAAGATTTTATATTTGGAACTGACTTTTTGAATTCTTTTTTGATATCATTTGTGTTTTCCATTTTTATTCTTTTTCTTTAAGGACACTTATTAAATAGATGAGTAAAATTATTATCTAGTTTTTTTTCATGAGAAGAAGTTTTCAAATTTCTGCTTAGAGATGAAGATGGATGTCTTGTTGTTAAAGGAATTCGAACATTCTATTGGTATAAAGTATATTATTTTTGATTTGATTAAGTTAACATCTATTCATTTAATTTATGAAGTTGACTAAAAGAAGGACTACTATTTTTTTAAAAGGAATATTTTTGTATTTTCTTTTGGTTTCCTTGATTGAAAATATCAAGCATTAATTGGATTTCACTCTTTTAGTCATCCTATAATTTTGTAATTTAACTTATATCTTATTGAGAAATTTAATTTTAGTTCTTCTACTATATAAGGACATCCTAAAGAATGTTTTCTACATTATTGTTAATGGTAGAATCCCCATTAATATCTGATTGTGGAGTGCTTTAAGATTCAATAGGTTTATCTCCAACAATCCCTTTTTAGGGTTTATCTGGATTCTTTTAATTTTCATATTCTATCTATCTCTATATTTTATAGTACTCCAATTTTCTCTTTCTATCGTAATACAAATTCAAAATTTAAATAATTTCTTCTTCTACAGTAAAACGAGGCAAATCATGGTGATATTTGTAGAACTCAGCCAGCAATTAAATTTTCGATTAGTAATCATCAATATCATACACTCTGGACATGCATTCTTCATTCTCTAAATATTGAATATCATCCTGAATTATTCATGAATTGGTTACATAAAACTTTATTGTTGCGGAGGTTCTGTTTTTACTTAAAATATCATTAATTTCTTTTGTGAAGTAATAATTTTGAGAAGATGCATATTTATGATATAGTGTATGATTGATTATATTAGATGAACCAAAATCAGAGTGATAATTTCTGACATATCCTAAAGTATTTAATTTACTATTCCAGAATTAATTCATATATAAATAAATTAGTAAATTAATTATGAACTTTTGATCTTTATAATTATAAGAATCTTATTAAGGCAACAACCTGAATTTATGGTCCTTTCCTAATAATGAATTTAAAGATGCATTTTCTAATTATCTCTGATTATATATGAATTTTTATTAAAAGTTTGAAATCAAAAGTTATACTTCAAAAATAGATGGTTTTTTGTGATTTAGCAAACAAAAGAAAATTTATTAAAGTGGAATTCCTTAGTCATATTTTATAATTATTTATATAATAATGTTTATAATTTTTTTAATCTAAGCTATTTACTCGTTAAATGCTGAGAACTTTTTGTGTGGACTACGCCTATTTTATGAAGAATAAACATTCTTTTTGATTGATTAATAGAATTAGAAGTAATAAGTTTATTTAATTGCTGAGTACGATGCCTTATATACTAACTAGCCAATCACCTCATTTCGCATTAGATATCTAATAAAGTTATAAGTCCTCACCAAGTTTGAATAATAACTCATATTTCTTGGTGGGATTTACTGATGCTTACATTTTCGCAGGCAATGCTAGCGAAATTTAATGGTTATCAATCTAAGAGTTCAAAGTAAAGTAGAATAGAACCACTGCTTCTGTTCACCTCTATAATGGTTATAATGGATATTTTGTTGATAAAGAAGAGGATGGAGGCCATTTACTAATATCCAAAGAAAATTTGGTGAGAGAATTTTCTTTTGGTAAAACGGATGCTGTAGATAAATTCGAGAAAATGGGCTTTATATATATAGTATCATGGGGAGGTAAAGGGGATGCTATGTTGATTTTAAAGCGGTTTGTACATTTCATCAGTCAATCAGAAGACCAGGAATATTGCTAATAAAAGGTCGCTTCAATTTCATTAGAATAAATCAAATGTAATTTGGATAATAATTTTGAACGCTTAACTTTTCATACACCTGACCTATATCATCCTCCTATACACTATCATCTGGGTAATTAGATAATTAATGGATCTTTGGACAATGAGTATTTTACAAAAAACTATCCAGGACTTCAAGTTTTTGTTGCATAGAATTTGAATAACAAAGTCCTTGAGTTGAGAATACCTATTTAAAATATGGAAACTCATTAATAAACTATTGATTATCCTCAAAGTGGATTAATCGTGACTCTTTAATAAGAAAATAGAGGATTTATTCATATTCTAATTTTTGAAAGTGAGGAAGGGATTGTAATCAATTATAAAGAAGATGACAATTTAGCTTATATAACTATTGGTATGACTGATTCAAAAGTCTTCGTTTTTTCATTTGTTACTTCATAGTTTGCTAAATTTCCTTCAAGTGATTTGATTGAGCATGTATTTTAAGATTGCATATTCATAATTCATCAGAGAAACAATGTCTGTGAAAATCCTCAACAGCAATGTTCTGATGCTTCATTAGACTTTTTTAAATAATTACCATTTGATTTGCAATCTGATTAAATAATTAAATTCAAAACTAATGATTAATTTTAGGACACACCATTCGTTGAAATTTTTGATAATACAGCAGTTGTTTAGAATGATTTTACAGTGTTATTTTCTTCTGAAATTAATAATAGAGAAATGAATCATGGTGGATATATTGGGTCATATCTAAGAATTACATATAAGTAATAAAGCATTAATTCTTTAATAATTAATGAACAAAATGAAAATTTAGAAGCGTTTTACAGTATTAATGATAATGTTTGTAAGTTTATCCTATATACTTTAGATTCTCATTCAATTTAGAATATTATTGGAAGAACTTATGTTCTGGTATTTACGTCTTAAAATGAATTTACAGACATATAATGTTTATAATTGTTTAGAGAATTCATAGATCATATTTAAAAGACATTTATAATGGAATAGAGTAAATTATTAACTAATAAATATAGTTGAAAATCATTGTGAAGCTTCACAAAAATATTATGATGTCAAGCCTATATAGTATAAAGAAATACATAAATAATTAAAGTAGCCAACTGAGTTGATTCAAAAAGTTGAATAGAATTAATTTGATTAAAATGATTTAGAATATTCTACAGATGAGGATGAAAATATTCAAAAAGATGTCGATATTAATTCGGAATAATCAGGATCTTTTAGCGAAGCTTCTTTAATGCCAGAAGAAAGTCATCCGTAACCTTAATAAGATGTAGAGACAACAGATAAATAAAATACAATTATTTAGTAACCAATTTAAAAAGAAAAATCGGATAATGAAAAATCATAAGAATAAATATAAAAATTGTAATAGCATTAATAGTAATAGTAATAATTTTAATAATAGTAATAATAATAATTGTAATAATAGTAATAATAATAATAGTAATAATAATAATAATAATAATAATAATAATAATAATAATAATAATAATAATAATAATAATATTAACCAAAATAAATTTATTCTAGTAAAAAAGAATAATAAGATTAATAGGAAAGATAAAAAGAAATTTAATAAAGCAAATAATAAAAATAATAGTCGAATACTTAAGAGTCTTAAAATTTAAGAAAATAATAATAATTATAAAAAATTGATGAGGAAATTTTGAAAGAAGAGATTTATTAAAAGCTCTAAGCTTAAAATGATGAGTAATATCATCAAAAAGAGAAAGATAATTCCTAAAATGAGGAATATTATTAGGGCGGTGTTAGATATTTAAATACCGGGTATTATTAGAAAGACTATGGAAGAAGAGACGAGTATTAAGGAAGAGAAGATGATTATTCTGGAAGACACAGTGGTAGAAGAGGACCTCCCTTAACTGGTTAGAGTGTGACAATACCAAAAAACCCAAACGATTAAGAGTTGGGGAGGTTCTTAAGAGAAGTAATCAGCAAATTATAGTAAAATAAATTACATTTATTAAGTATTTATTCAGATCCATGTGATGCAAAATCCTCAAACTACAGTCCAGATAATTGTAATGCAGATAATTAGTATGGTTCTTCTTCAATAAAAAGAACAGAACCAAGACAAAGAGATTTTTATCGAAGTGCTTATAAATATGACAATAGATATGAATATAGAGGTACTTATTAACTTTCATATAGCCTGTATCACTGTATATAGTAAATGTCAATTTCAGGGAGAATCTTTATAACTTTGTGGACACTAAAGGAATATTCCAAAATCATAATTATATTTAGATATTTTATCAATAAGGGCTGATGAGAACTACATAGTTGAGTTTTATATGAAAGGAAGGGATGGAAGATCAGAATTATATACATTGAAAGGTACTTAAAAATGTTTAAAGTCTCCATTAAGAGTTGATTGGCTATTGCAATGAATTAAAATAAATAATTAATTCTTTTCAATTTTTATAATATTATATTAACTGCTACGAATATGTTAGATTAAAGTGAAGCCTATAAAATTGAAGATAAACTATTACTAACTAAATAAATCAATACTAATGGAAAGTATGATTACTTTGTTAAATTTATAGTGTTTTTTAATCAATGAGAGCTAAGTTTTATGGATTTAGGATGAAGAATAAAGCCATTCAAAACAAGAAACGATACCAATAACTTGCTCCAATTCATTATCACATCATAAAAGATGTTTCTCGAAAAGAATATTATTAGTATGAAATATTATGATTATTTTGAAAAGTGTCATAGAAAACTGGACAAGTATGGGGAAAAGTAAACAAATCTAAATTCGCCAGATTGAAGAGAAAATTGACCAGAAAATGGAGAGAAATTAAGAAATCAAAAATTGCATAGAAAATAAGTAAATCAATTAAACTGATTCCAATAATCAATCCAAACAATGAATTCAAATTAATATGGGATATCTTTCTTGCATTTATAAGATTCTACCTTTTGTTTGTTATTCCGTATGAAACAGCATTCAATAATAAACTGCTTTACAATTAACTCTTGTGGACATTGCAGGTGTCCACATCTTTATTGATCTTTGATATTTTATTAAACTTTATCACATCCTTTTATGAGAAAGGATATTTAATCACGAATCATTATTAAGTAGCTCGTAATTACATAAGGAATGGTTTCATATATGATATTTTTTGTGTTGTGACATTAGTTCTAGTTCTTGCACAAGAAATAAGTGAGTAAAACAGTTATATCGATTATAAAAACTAGTCACTTCGAGAGTATAACTATGTGAGGAGCGTGATTAGTATTTTAGGAATCATTATCCAATTATAAAATATAATTCGAGTCTTTTAGAGACTATAAAACAGCTAAGATTATTCAGAAACTACTTCATTACTATTAGATCTGGTAAACAATTAATTTATTATAGATAAAACTTGTGATGTTTCTATTCTTACTGGAGCATTTATTTAGTTGTATATGGTATTTCGTTGGAATTTAAGATATTGCTTAAGATTCATGGATAAAGTCAAATGGATTAACTGATGCCCCCTACACTGATTAATATATCACAGCATTTTATTTTTCGTCAGTTACAATGTTTACTGTAGGATATGGAGATGTTGTTCCAAAAAGTAATTAAATCTAAAATTGTATTAGATATCTATGAAAGATTAGTGACTATAGGATTTATGGTCTGTTCAACTTTATAATTGTCATATACAGTGTCGGCTATCTGGAATGTTTATTCGAAATTGAATGAAAAAAGTGAAGATCACATTCGCAAAATGAGAGCAATCAATACTTATATGAAGAGTGTGAATATTTCTAATCAACTAAAATATGAAATAAGGGAATATTTAACATTTTATTGGAAAGAACAAAAATTGGAGGAAAACTTAGAAGTTAAGGATATAATAGGTTAATTATCTCAAGATCTTTAGGAAAACCTCATCTTCGAGGCCAACTCAATAATAGTAAAAGGTTGTAAATTATTTAATGACTACTTTTCTCACGAATTTAAAGCCGAATGTTTGAAGCACGTTTAATCAATCACACTTACGCCTTGTAAAACTGTTCCATTTGATTAACCTTGTTTGTTCTTCATCGAAAGAGGATCTATAGGAACATACTTTAGAAATAATAGACTGAGATTAGCAACACTCTAGGCAGGTGATAATTTTGGATTAAGAGAGTTTATGTTTGATGATATTCCATCATTAAGATACACATCGGTTGCATTCAGTAAATTGGTTTTCATCACTAAAAAAGACTTTATGAAAGTCCTTTCACAATATTCGGAAGATCAAGAATAATATTGTTAATTGAAAGAAGAACTTACCTTTAACAAATCGTATTTTGCCATGGATTGTTACTCGTGTAAAAGTCTTTAACATACTATTTAATAATGTCCTTTGCTGACCTTTAATCCAGACAAAGACGCAGTCATCAAGAAACATCAATATCCTTAATAATAAAATAGAAAGTTTTATAAAAGAAGGCATGAAAGAAAAAGAAGAGCTATTTTTAAAGAACTTAAATAAAATGATAATTTGGATAAGATTTAGCTGACTATTCCAACAATAGAATCATCAGATTCTTCTGAATTTGAAATGAAAGAATCATGGAAAGCTACTCATTCAAATTACTTTTAATAAATGTAAAACATAACAAAAATATAACTTTCCAATAGGTAAGCCTTAAATATCAAGTAAATACGATAAAAATTACATCCTCCAAAATAGATTAATTAACCATTGGAATTACACAATCTGAGAGAATTTGATGATGATAATTTGAGAGAAAGTGATAAAATATTGTTAGAAGACTTAAAGTTAAAATTGAATTAAAGAGCTAATTTAGAAATAGATTGTATTAAAAATTTCAAGTATTATTATCCACAATTTAATTCTGCCTGGCTATTCAAAACCACAAAAATCAACTCAAAATTCTTTGAATAGTGGAAGTAGTTAAGTCTCTTTCTAACATACCCTTACGAATTTATAAAGTAACAATTTTATAATAATAATTAAGGAAATACCGCCAGTATATCCTCAGAGATAATCAAATGATAAGTCCGTAGAAAGAGGCCGAACACCATAAGAAAAAAAAGAGGGCAACTGCATTGTATTTTAAACCAGTCTCGGCGAAATGATTTTGAATAATTAATTTAATGCAATCTTCCTAAGAGAAACTGCCTTATTTATAAATAAATAATCGAAGGTCTTGTTCTATGGCCAATTCAAATCCTGCAATCAAGAAGTTAAAAGATACCTTGATTGTTGAGAATCAATCTAGTAGAAGCTATTTAAACAGGAAATAAGGAGACATATTAGATTCAATCTTAGAAGACGCAAATTTGATCATAAACAATAAATTACTCGAATAAAATGTCTATAAATTAAAAGAATTAGGTGTATTGAAATAATACGACCCCACGGTAGCTGTTTAATAAGGATTTAAAAAAAGCAATTATGTTTTGAATGATTATCATAGCAAAAGCACTACTAATGGATATTCTAGGAATTATGGAGGTCTATTCTACAATAGATGATAATATTATATACAAAATTCAGTATTTCTTAAATAATACTAATTCTAATTATATATATATAAAGAATTGCTAATATATATAATATATCATTCAACATCCTCTACTTTAGCTCTTTTATTTATTTATTCCATGAACTTTTCAAGAGGACTAACGTTCTTTAGTTGTTCTTCTAACTGTTTCTTCTTTTCACTCTCCTTTTAGGCCTTTTTACTCTTTTTTGTTTCATATTCTTTTTACAATTATTTCTCATATTGTTATTAAAAGTATTGCTCTTGTAATTATTTATCCCTTTCCTGCATTTCCTTTATTAATTTATCCTTTTGCTCTTTTTCTTAATTTAAAAGATGATCAATATCTTTCATATCCTTTTTGTGCCCCAAATTTGATATCTATTGCTATTATTCTTACGGAACAATAGGCTATAGCAAATTAGGTGAAGGAACAGGTGCTAATGGTTTTTTAAAAGTATTAAGAATGTCATTCAAATTTTGATCATCATTGATATTTGCTTATCTATAGATCTCCTTATTGAATGACCAATAGATTCTAGGTGGAGGTTTATTATATTTTCTTTTTCTCCCACTCACATCCTCTTCTTATCCATTCCCAACTAGTTGCATAGTGGATTCATTCTTAAAATATACTCCATCACCCAGGGGTTCAAGCATTTTCATATCGCAATCCACGAAATCGCTTGGATTCCTATGAAATAATTCAAAACAAGGGAAAGGACATAAAAAAATCTTATTGACATTCAATATTTTTTCACATAATTAACATCTATAATATGGTTTGGTCAAACCTTCAAATTTCATACAAACTAAACAATATTTGAAGGTATCTTCTTATTTCTAGGGTATTGGAGTATGAAATTGATCAGCATACAGTCTTTACAATCCAAAGGACAAATGATCTGTATTCGAGGAATTTTCTTTGTATGTGACATTTAGTTTTCGTTTGGCTTCATTACGATCTCTCTCAATCTGTTATCCCTTCTCATTCAGAAGAACTTTAGCTAGATCATGTCTGAATTAAGATGGAGATGTTTATTGAATTAGCAAAAAGGTATTATGAATCATAATTTCGAAATATTCCTCGAATTCAATTCTTAGTTAATGGAAACTCTCAGTATTATTTAATTATGATGATTAATAAAAGTTACTTCGAAATTATTAAAGATTTATAATATGTTCTTGCAATTACTCTTAGATTTTTTCATAGGAAGTCATATAGTGTCTATTTGATATCAGGCGTCTTTTAGGGAACACATCCACTTAAGTTGCTTATTTAACTAAAAATAATTAATCCAACTGGTAGTCTCCGTCCTGGAGCTATTGAATTAAATTATGGTTTATATTCTAATAACGAATAACTGGATAGATGGATTAATCCACTAACTGAATTATCCTTTCTAAACTTAAATCGAACATTATGTATGTAACATGATTTTGATTTGAATACTTGTAGAGCATCCTCATTACCCTATTAATTCTGTCCTCATTTTTCACATTGTTGCATACAACCAATAGATCTATAATTTAGGAACTATCATAGTCAAATATGTAGTATGCCTTGTATGCTTTTTGATTTTACTCTACCACTATTAACTCTTAATCAGGATTATAAAGTGCTTTTAATTTCTTAGAAAACTTTCTCACTTCCAATTATAATTTTGCTCTTTGTTATTCATCAAAGTATGAAAAAATATGAAGATCCACAAACTTAAATCTTCCTATTGGCATAGTAACTTCTACTCCTCCTTTTAACCAAGACTCAGCATTCCAATAGTCATCCAATTATGGGAATCTATAAACTCCAAATAAAATTTGTAACCCTAAATAAAATTAAATCTCAGCTTCTTTATATTTCTTCTTATGATAAATTTATTGCGTTTATTATTGTTATTGTTTTAGATCCTCCTATAACACCATTAATAGGTAATGATTGATCATTTCTGTAAGTGTGGATACAAAACTACTAGGCAAAAAATAGTTCAAAACATTTTAAGGACTCTATAAAGAAGTCATCTTCAGTTATGGTGTATCTAAATAGTTTAAGATCTCTGTTATTTGTGTAATATCAGCTTATTGAATATTAAGAGCTTTTCCAAAGTTTATTGTTGCAGCACAATCTCTTTCATCATCAGAAGCAATTTGAACAAACTATTCTTCACAATCACTCAGTATAATTTCCTACTTCCAATAACAATTATATTTTTCTATCTCTTCTACCATTTGAGTTGATTATGAATTTCCACTTATCAAAGCTATTGAATTGTTTAGAGCTTCCTATTTCATTTATACAATATTTTATAAATATATTTTTTAAGACTTTCGATCTCATATTTGCTTTTTATTTTTCTTGGAAATAAATAGATTAAATAAAAATTAATATCCTTTTATTATTTATAAATAAATAAATTAAGATTTTTTTTTGTCTTTTTCATAACAGTTCTTAAATGCATTTATTATTTGAATTGGCAAGAGATGCTAAATGAAGTGGTCTAATTTGTTTAAGAGGATGAATATCAAACTTTTATAATAAAACCAAATATACGAAATCACTCTTACCAAACTCCGATTGCAATTTGAACAAGGCATTATCAAGCCCATTTATAATGATATTACATTTATTCGCTTATGTAGTTATTTAGAGTGATCTGTTCTACATCTTTATCTGGCATAGCAAGTATATTGAATTCAGAAAGAAATTATTAAAATTTAATTACAACATACCAAAAAATAATTATTCTAACAAATTTTCTATAAAAATTCAAAAATTATCTACTAAATTTTTAATCTCTTTTTTTAAGATTACAGTAGTATAAATTAATAAACTATTCTCACTGATTTATGCAAAACTGATTAGTACATTCAAGAATTGGGAGTTCATTTTAAAAAAAATAATAATTATTTTTTATCTTAACTTTTGTTTATTTTAATATTTCATTAATCCCATATGGAAAATGGATCCTTCTCTGGTCGATAAGATAATTGTATCTCTTAACTTTCTTTATATTTTGAATAATGAAAAGGATCTCCTAAACTTTTTCCTATATAAATTCTCTTACTCATTATTTGGTATAAATGGAGGATGCATACTTTTTTGTTCTAATTTTTTCCAATCAATATTCTTAAACCAGATATGGTTTTTGATATCATTTACTCCTCCTTTAAGATTTCCAATTCTATTCCATGGTTTTGGTTACAACAGGCGGTAAATCAAATTTTTTGCATCACTTTTAAAAATTAATTAATAATTTACTCTGAAAAACATTGACGCATTTTGTATTATGCGTTTACAATTCTGTTGAGATAATCAAAATACTCCTCTTCTTTTCCCTATTTAAAAGGGATTTTACTAGACAACATTTCATAAATGAGCAATCCTAATTACCACCAATCAGAGCTGTATGAATGGCCTTATGTTACAGAATTATTTTACCTTCATTTTGAAGCATTTCTGGAGCACATTACTCTATAAAACCTGCCATCGAGTATGTTCTTTTTTTTTCAAGGAATTTTACAAAATACAAACAATTTATTCTTAGATAACCATCATATCCAATCAATAAATTCTTAGGAAACAAACTCCGATATATAAAACGTTTTGAATGCATTTACTCAAGAAAAAGAACAACTTAAGCAGCATAAAATCTGATTTAATATAATAATCTTACACTGCAGCATTATTATCCAACTATTTTAGTATATGGGTTGATAGATCCCCTCCTGGTATGTATTCCTAAAGGATATAGAAATTTCTTTCATCTTAATCAAAACCAAGCATTTTAACCTTATAAATAGATTAACTTACTAAAAAATTATTATTTAAAGTTCTTGACAATATGTATTCAGATTTTATTGATTTTACAAATCTTGAGTTATCACAAAAGACTTCACCGGATGACTTAACTAAAAATATTAATAATTTTACAAAATTCTAGTTTTTTAAAGATTTTCATAGCAAAATATTCCCCTGTTTACTTATTTCGAACCAATTTGAGTTTGCCATAATCTTCATATATCACAATTGTTTCTAAAATTTCATAATCTCCAATATTCACTCTTGTTTTTTAAATTTGATTCTGTTGCTAATTTTGATTTTGTTGTTGCTTTTTTATAAGAAATTGTTGTTGATTTTCTGCTTAATTTTAATTTTGCTGTTGATTTTATGTTTAATTTTAATTTTGCTGTTGATTTTGTATTTGATTTTATTGTTGATTTTAACTTTGCTGTTAATTTGGTTGCTGATTTTATTTTTGCTGTTAATTTGGTTGCTGATTTTTTCTTTGCTGTTAATTTGGTTGCTGATTTTATCTTTGCTGTTGGTTTTTTTGTTAATTTTATTTTTGTGGTTGATTTTATTTTTGCTGTCGATTTTGATTTTATTATAGTTGTGGTTATTGATTGTTATTTTTATTTTGATTTGGTTTTAGTTTTTGATTTTGCTTTTATTATTAATTTTGTTCTTAATTCTGCTTTCGTTATGTATTTTGATTTGGTTATTGTTTTGGAACTTCATTCTTCTATTAATTTTGATTTAGATCTTGATCTTCGTTTTGAGTTTTTTATTGAATTTGATCTGAATCTTGATGCTGTTTTTGAAATTGATCTGGATCTTGCTGCTGTTTTTGAAATTGATCTTGATTTTGTTATTGATTTTGATTTTGATCTAGAGTTTACTATTAATTCTGATTCGATTTTTGTTATTAATTAAGATTCGGTTTTTGTTGATTTTGATTTTTTTTGTTTTTGTTATTTTGTTTTACATTTTGCTTTTAATTTTGTTTTTGCTTCTGCAATTGATTTTGTTATTGATTTTGCTTTTAAGTTTGCTATTGATATTGCTTTTGAGTTTGCTATTGATTTTGCTTTTGAGGCTGTTATTGAATTTGCTTTTGAGACTGCTATTGAATTTGCTTTGGAGTCTGTTGTTGATTGTGCGTTTGAGTCTGCTATCGATTTTGCTCTTGATTCTATTGTTGATTTTGTTTTTGTTCCATTAAATATTAAAATTATTATTTATATTTTAAAAAGTTAGTTAATGAATTATATATTTCAGGATATCAACAACCATAAGTCATTATGATGAAAATTTTCATTTCATCCAAACACAATTCATCTTATCAATTGAGTTTAATTACTACCTATTTCTGTTTCTCCTTTAATTTAAGAGAACAATCGAGCAGAACGCAAATGAACCCACTTATAGAATTTCGATTATTTTGATCTATTAATTTTCTAATAGTTATTTTACCATCTTTAATGTTAGCATCCAATTTGAAGTTAATTAAGAATCCTGGTAATTATTGTTTAGACCAACACTAGTTTTTCATTACAATACTTGCAAGTAACTTTAAATTGATATTTATATATTATCTCAGAATTTCTAATCCATATAACATAAAATCTGAAATACTAAAACCAATATCAACTTTTCTTACTTAATTCTCATTGTTAGATATTTGAAACCCAATAAATATTAACTCTCTTTTTTTTCTTGGAATCTCAATTTAATTTTTTTTTGATAATCTATTTATTTATTAATAAAAACATACCACCTTAAACAGAATTTTCAATTTTAGCTTTATCTATTAATTTATTTATTACTTTATGCATTACTGTATTTACAATAAAAAATTCTTTTAAAAAACATAATATTAAGGTAAAGGTGAATTGTAACTGAAATCACCCTTACATATACTTTAAATATTATTGCTTCATTAAGTGGAACAATTCTAAGTATCGTATGGCTTATGCTACAAAATATTAAATAATCTTTAGAATTTTTACATTTCAATTGGCTCAAAATAAAAATAAAAGAATTTAATGACAAAGATGGAATATAAAGTTCTTCTTTTTTCCTTGTTTCAATCCATCTACAAAGTTTCCAGATATTACAATTCCATTTTTAGTAATTGTTCTTTGCCCTTAAAATTTTCAATCTAAAAAGCCTTCACTATCTTATTTAATATCCTTCACATTACTTTTACTATACCTTCAGTTTTCCTTATGAACTATAATTCTTATCATATAATTTTATAAAATCTATAATTTGTTAAGTCGTAGTAAGATTCCCATTTATTATTGTAAGGTGTTAATTTCTTTTGATTTTTAGAAATCAGATGATAATAGAAATAAAAGTAATTACTTTTTAAAATTAGTAGTAATTACAAGAATTCTTAATTTTTGTAGTTATGTTATTGAATTAAAAGAAAAGATTTCAGAAATCAGAAAAGAAATATTTAGACTCAGAAAATAGTGTCAAAATTGTAAAGGAATACTTGGAGATTTATTTGAAATTTATAAATCATTATAATTTCTTATTTGTGTTTTATCCTATTGTTCTATTTTTCAAAGAAGTCCATTCAATATTTTCTTTACTTGTTGGTCTATAATTTTTTAGTTTTTGTTGTTGATTTTTTAATAATTGACCATAAATAGATTCACTTGGATGACTACATAATTCTTTTAATATTTTATCTTTTAAAGTGTCTTCATTTTAAAGTAATGGCACTGAATTGACTCCAGCATTCATAATAAATTGTCTTTTACCATCTTATTCAATTGATTGAGGTTTAATTTACTTTGATTTAGACCTTAAATGTCCATCTTGGTGTCGATATAATTATACAGGGTCACTTTGTTATTACTAATGAGAAACTGATTTTAAATTCGGAACTGAACCATATTATTATTTATGGATATAATTTTATATCAAATTTTACTAAGCTAAACTTAATAAGAACATAAATACATTTTTAATTCGAATGATTTTTAATTTAATTATTATAGTTTTGACTATGCATGATCGATTTACTAGCATGAATCACTTTTTATTTTGGACTTAATTCTCGGTCTTCAAGACTGCCTCTTTCAGCTTCTTTTAGAAATTTTTATATTTGAACACAACTTAGATTGTTATTTAATATTTAACAGGATTTTTCACTTATTCTTTCGTATTCAGTTGTAGTTTTCTATTTTTCATTATATTAATAAGAGTATTTATCATTTAATTATTTTTATAGAGCCTTTTTTGAACTAACTTATTCCAAAACACGAGAACTATTTTAGTATGAGATTTTATCACTTGGTGTTATGTTATCTCTTCTCAAACTTGGCTTTTATTTCCAGCTTTCAGGCGTGTTTGCATTACTTCTGACAGGATTTGAATTTATTGTATCAAATTTATTAAACTATGAACGAATTGGAGATTAGAGTTGCATATTATTCATAATAGAGATAGGATGGTGAATATCCTCATTTTCATTTAAATCAAGATATTTTTAATTATGAGACAAATTACATTCGAAATTTTGTTAACTAGTTATCGTTTTTTAATTATATTCAATGGTGTCATTTTTAATTAGCAAATTATAACACATTTTATTCATAAAAGTTAGAATTTAATTTGAATCAATATTTAGTTACTTTAAAGATAGTAAATATTGATTATTAAATAATTGACATTTTATTTCATCTACTTTTTTTTAATATTTTAGCATAATCTCATCAAAAGGTTTCATTTCCATTTTTTTAACTATGTTATCATGATTTGTAAATATATCAATAGAAAATTGTTTCAATTATTATATTAATTGTTTTATGTTCTCTACTTACTCCTAAACTTGATTTTAAGAATTTGTATAGTCGTTTTGGAATTTTTGCTAGTATGTTTACCTTAACTAATTAGTTGTTTTTTGAACTACATTAAAAAATTCTTCACAATTAATATTCTATTCTACCCATTATCTTATTAATTTATCTTTAGTATCATTCAAGTTAACTAATTTTTATTCACATTATTAAAGAGCCTGATATAAATCTTTCTAAAAGTTATTGATTTTATCTTTCCTTTACATCTCCAATTCTCCCTCTTAAGTTTCTTCTATCTAAAGACCTTATAAAGCTAAATTTAAAGCGCATTTCGAACAAAACAATTAACAACTATTTTGTTAAACATAAAATTTTGCCTAAATATTAACAATAAATTACTTTTTTATTTGGATGCCTTTAACAACTCTTGCTTTCATTATTATCATTCTTTAATATGTTTGAATTTTTTAATATTCTTTCTTAATCAGTTTTTATGAAAGTCATTTCATCTGAATCTGATAAATCTGAAGATGAAATTGATTAAGAACTCATTCTATTCGTTAAAATAATTATTAATAAAATAAAGGCTGAACTAACATTATTTTCTAATTTCAAAATCTCAATCCATTTTATAATTCAGAGTAAAGAACTTATTCAAATCATAATAGATGTATAAATTTATTTATCAATATTCTATATTTTCTCCCAAAATATAATAATATTGTTGAATACTAAACTTTCAAGTTGAGCAAACATTATAAGCTTCATATAATAACCGATTTTACCTTTAGTTATATCGATAATACTGAATTCCATAATATTTTGTGAAAAAGCAAGTATAATACTTTTTGAAATAGAAATATTTTATGAATATATGAAAGCTCTTATTGATAACTAGATATAAATTTCCCAATTATATTAAATTTAAGAACTAGAATTTTTTCAATTCATATTTTTATATATTATCTAAACTCATAAATTGTAATTATATCTAATCTATTAATTTTTATTTATTTTTTAAATGAGATTCATAAGGTAGATGTAATTGGATTTACAACAAAAAATAGTTGTAATTTCCATATTATTTATATTACTACAGTTATTTTAATTATTTGTGAAATTTCTTGCTATCAGAATAAGGAGTAGTATGAAAGGACATTTAATTAATTTCAAATTGCTTTGATATCAGTCTTCAAAATAAAATTGTTTTACCTCAATAAAAGAATAAAAAATAGTAAATTTCCTAATATATGTTTGATTTCTTAATGAATCTTGATGAAATTTTACATCAGTTACCTCATTTTGCTAGATACGGTCTTAATTCTAACAAGAATAATTGGATTGATGCACTCTTCTAGAAAACATTTTAAGATTGGAAAATTAAATTAATATCAAATATAGGAAGAAACTATTAAGGCCAAAATAATCTATATGATTATAATCAATAATATTAAGATCCTATTTATATGCTAAGCATAAAAATATTCAAGCGACTGTGATATAAGTTTAAAATATTATTTCTATTTTATATTAAATTCTTTATGAAAAATATTTTAATTATTATTATGATTATTTTTGTTCAAATTTCTTATATTTGAAATGCATAAGCATTTATTAGGAGATATAATGCAGAATGGATAAATCGTAAATTATAATTAATTTTTATGTAAAATATAAGTAAAGAAAAAAAATAAAAAAACTTTGTATTATTTTTTGAAAATGTCTATATTTATTAAATTGTTCATATCCAAAAAAAAATTATTTCTTGAATATTCTTTTTCCTGTAGAATTAAATAACAAAGAGTTTTAAGGTGCTAATTTAAAATAAAAATAAAGTTTAAAATTGACAAGATGAAAAATTACTTAATTGGAATTGATGATGGAGATAGCGAATGTGCTAATGAATAATTTTATTGGAAAACGTAGTGTATAGACTCTGCGTATGGGTTTTCCTCATAAAAGAAATAAGTTAAATAGCATTTAAAATCTACATAACAAAATAATCGTTTTGAACTTGTAGAAAATGGATAATAGATTCTAAGGAGAAAAATTAAGAAGAATGGCAAAATGAAAAAATCAGTTCCTGAAGTAAACTTGCATCTTAAAGGGTTGCTCGAATAGTTTATAAATGAGTCTATTTAATAAGCAAATAAGGGGTTCATTTTTAGACAATTATAAAATTGCCAAGAAATAAAATCGACTATAGACAAGATGGAAAGGTTTTTAATCAGAATGAAATCACTACTGTTATCGTAAATGATAAATTGCTAATAATGAGATTGATTTTAATTGTTAACATTCTTTTTGAATTACATTATGATATTAATAAATATAGAAAATGTCTAAGGGTTTCAGTCTTAATTTTTAAAATGCAAATGTAATGACTTTTGAATAAGAAAATGATTTATTTGCTGGATAAAGCATCAAAGTATTATATATATTGGATAAGCTAGTTAAAATTTCAATTGGGGGAGACCTATTATGATTTAGAGGTAAAACTTATAATTTCATAATAAGTTAGTTTAAAGTTGGATAAGATGTTGAATGGGCTAAGAAATGCGTGGCTGAAAAAATAGACTGCGGAAGAAACGATTTTGTATAGCAATTAGGATTAAAATAATTTAGGACCTGTTTTTCTAAGGAAAGATAATGCCAGAATTCTTCTCTTTGAATGACATTCAAAATTTAAAGGATTAATCAATCATAGAAATTAGAATGAAGAAGTGATTTAATAAAAATAATGTATATACAATTATATGCAATTCCAGGGCAAATAATTTTGGGGATGTTTGCTTAATTCATCTATGAATAAGGAGTGCTCTATTTCTTATGCATTATGGCAATCATAAGCAGTCTTTATGCATGTATGTATACCAGTAGCAACCAACTATTTCCTCAAAGCTTATTGATGATCATTCCATTTTAGGTGGTTTTGACCATTTTGAATTTTGATATGGTGAGTGTGGGAATCATCCCGTATTTAATTCTAACAGATTTAATCAATAGCGATATTATCAAACGATTACCGAAAAAGCCAATTCCTCCTCCAAGAAGATCATATAATGCATAGATCGATAATCATCATAGCATTCACATTTAAAATGTTATCAAATAAAATGCGCAGAGCCTTAAAAAATATGAATATTTTCATATTGGCTGTATAACTTTGTGTTATATAGCAATACCAAAATACAATTGTACTAGAATGTTAACTATTCAAAAGACACTGCATAATTGTTAAATACTGCTTTCTTATAATATTATTATAAATCAGATTATAATACAACTCTGTTCAAAATAGTCATCTCATCAATCAAATTTTTGTTATGCTTATTGAATTTCGATGTCAGAGGAATGCTGACTGTAGCAATATTACCGAATTTCATAAATGAACAAAAGATCTATTCTTATAGTTTTTTGGCTGAATAATTCATCATCACGTACCTTGATTACAATTATGGAATCTATCATAATTTAATAATATTTTTAAGCTTTTACATTTTTGATTCGTAAAACCATAAGTACAACATAATAATTATTAAATTAGCACAAAATAATTAACACTTTTGTATATTCCATTATTGATATATGCATTTGAAGCCCAAACAGAAATTTACATCTATACATATATTGTTATTAGTTTAGTATATTTAGCATTACTTATAATTGAATAGGAGAAACAAGTTATATATTTAAGATATATATTAGTGGTTGTTGGACTGTTTATAACATAGAAGTGGTATAAAGTTTAAATATTTAGGTATTACAAATTGTTATTAATGCTATTTTTATTTGATACCGAAATGAATTTCAACATTAAAATTTATGTCTAAGCTTTTGCAGGAAAATAGATATTTGATTTGCTTGTATCATACTCACCTTTTCTTTTGTACCAGTTATTTCAATATAAGTACTTTCTAGAAAATTTCAATATTACAGTATGTCTATTAAGTATAGTTACATTGTTGATTACTTAACATATTCATCAGTAGAATTTAATATTCTCTCGTCTTTTGTAGATATATGTAAAAAGAATTAATAAATAATCAAGCTTCTATCTTTACCCATATGGCCAGTATTGTTATATTATGATAGATCAACAGATAGCCTAATTGTTGCATTCATAAATGTTATTCAAATAATAGCATAATTTTAAAAGTAAGAATGATATAAATAATATATGTGTAATTTAATTAATTTGTGATTGACAATTCAAATTGGTTGTGTAAAAATTATTATAATGTTGACTGTTTATGATCTATTAGGTAAGATTATAGAAAATAAAATATAGAAATGTTACCATCTCTCTCAAATTTGCATTTTTTCTTTGGTATTTTGATACTTTTTTTGTATTTTTTTCATTTTTTTATGAATTAATACCTTAAAAAACTTGTACTTTTCATTTTTGAAATTTAAATAATAAGATAATAATTATCAAACCTGAATATAAATGTAAATAAATTCACAATCTGCTTACAAACTCTTTTAATCTTGCGATCAATTCGATATAAACATCTTTAGTTGCTATGGTAAGCATTCTTTTTATATTTAATATTAATACCTTATTCCTTAATACTTATCAGTTCCATTCCAAGATAAAGGCAATAACATTACATTCTAATCTAGGAGTAATTTTTTAGCGAATTCAGCATCATTTTTAACTTTGAATACTTCCAAATCAATGAGAACAGCTAAATAAATTGTTCCTTAAGCAGGTATGCATTTGAAACCTCTTATTTGATTTAATTCTTATAGTAGAAAATCATGATTTTCTTTGAAATGGAGCATCCTATCTCTAGCATAAAATATTGTTAATTGATCTAGTATTTAAGGTAGGGAATTCATGACAAACACATTTGCATGTAATAACAATTGACATAAATTAAACATAGCTTATTTTATTGCATCTGCATAATGGTTTTTATCATAGAAAATCATCCATGATACTTACCAACCTGGAGTGAAGAATATTTTATCCATTCCTCCCAAACAAATAATAGGACCTTCATCTGCCAATTCACCAAACGAAACAAATTCTCCAAATGACATTCCATAATAAATTTCATCAGCAACTATTAATACATGATTCTAATTTGCCCAATTAATTATTCCTTAAACATGTTCCTTGGAGAATACAGAACCACAAGGATTGGAAGGGTTAATCACATATAAAAACTTTGTGTTGGCATCCAATTTGCTATTCAAGTCCTCAAAATCAATTTACCAATTATTATCTGATTATAATTTATATTTTCTGACCTAAAATAATACGTCATCTATTATACCTCAACTTAATATGCTTAGGCAATTCCATCAAAAAAGGGAAACCCTATTTCAGGAACAAGTATATTTTAACCAGGATCACATATACCCAACAAACAATAAAACAATCCTTAATTCACTCCTTGCGTTATAATTACATCATTCTCTGTAATATTCTTTCCATGACCGAAATGTTTAGCCACTGCTTATTTGGCAGGCTATTGTTAATTTAAACATTACTTGAGTTCCTGTTGAATGGCAATAAGAGTGATTTTAAGATTTAGGTATCTCAGATTTAACGATATCATAGCCTATCTAGCTCATCTTGCAATGCTCATGCCCAAATTCAGTTGGATCCCCTTTCATAAATTAGATCATTGGTTTGGCATGATTAGGGTCTGCTTTAAGCTCTGAAAAATTGGCCAACAATGCTTGATTTTAACTTAGCAAAAATTCTGAAGCTTTTATCATTTATTTTATCAAATATTACGAAATAACCAATATTAAACACCAAATTTGATTATATGTGAACACAAATAACGAGGTTTTGATATTCATGAATTATTACACATAGATTATATAAACTTAATGAAAATAAAGAATAATTTTAATATTTCCATGTTTAATGATCAAATGGTGTAAGAAGTGAATTGCTATTTTGATATTAATACAAAAATAATAATAATAATTAATATTTTGATTTATCCTTGTATTTAAATTACCATTAGAAAGACCTTTCAAGTTCTTTGATTTTCTCAATTCTTTTTTTCTTTAATTATTCTTTGAAATTCTCACTCAAATTAAATAACAAATTTTTTACTATCAGAATATTCCTTTTTGGTTAAAAGAATAATTATACAAAAACACATGGATTAAATATTATAAATGTTTGTGACATTCAAATTCGTAGAGTTAATATCTACCTTTAGAGACTAATTCAACAAATTCTCATGCTAATACTTTATATAAATTTATTCAAGTATTCAATAATAAATGCAATAAAGCCATTCAATCTGAAATATTGATATTTTTCTTTGAATTCTCATTTAAAAGTCAATTCAGGTTGCTGACAAAATTAATAAGGTCAGCTTTAATGTTTAATTATTATTAAATAACTAAATGGACTTGGATTTCATTTTCTTTCCTGCTCCTAAAGAAACATTAGATACTGGGTACTTTGATGAAGGTAGAATATTATGGATACCGAAACATTCAGCACTTTATCCAAATTTTTAGAACTATGTTAAAAGAAAAACAAAGAAAAATATGGTTGTTTTTGTGAAGCAGTCCACTCAACTAGCAGAAGAAGAATAATTAGCTTTGATTGATGATCAATAGTACAAATTTATAAATATGATAGAGATTTTCAAAAACAACCAATACCTTAATTCCCAAATATTCATAGAGGTCTGACTATTTAATAAAATTTGGTTGAAAATTTTGAGTTTTAAGAAAAGGAAGTAGGATCACCAGAATTTGATTTAGCTGATTATGAAGATGATTTACATGACAAATTATCAAAATTAAATTAGGAATCTGTTTACAACATTGGAAAAACAAAAATTAGCAGCATTTAATAAAATTAGTTCATGCGCGCTAAAAAAAGAGAAACTACAAGTAGAAGTTCTCCTCATTTCCTTCAATTCAATTAAAAATAAGATATAATCATATAATAGAAAAAAATATGCAAAAGAGAGGGTAGCATTATTGGATATATCCCTTGTTTGCTTATTAAATATGAGAATTCATCAAATATTGTTGTGTATTTTCACGGAAATGCAGAAGACATCACTTAATCATATGCATTTTTGATACATCTTCGTAATGTTTTGTAAGTATCACTATATCATAGTAAGAAAAGATTTCAGTTTTGGCAGTAGAATATCCAGGGTATGGAAAATACAATAAAGTTTAAACTTCTGCTGAAGCCATTTAAAATGATGCCGATTATGTCTATAACTATTTGACAAAAAAAATAGGATACGAAGAAAACTCTATTATGATTTTTGGAAGATCCATAGGTTCAGGCCCTGCAACTTATTTAGCAAGCAAACACAAGCCTGGTTGTTTGGTTTTAATGTCTCCATTTACCTCTTTGAAGGATGCTGTTAGGGATTATATTAAGTTTGTAGGAACATGGGTGTAGCATTTGATTAGGTAACGATTTAACAATTTACAAAATATAAATGATGTAACATCTCCGACTTTTATTTTACATGGGAAGAAAGACGATATGATACCATATTAATAAGCTTAAAGATTATAGGGTAAAATTGATGAGTATAATTAGAAAATTGCTCAGCTCAAATATGTGTATTACATTTGGCAGAAGACATGGATCATATTAGTTATAAGTTACATTCAGATTTAATTATTCCATTGATGCAATTCTTAAGAAAGATTAACTTCTATTAAGTCTATTTTAAAAGTCCTAAAATGCCAACAAATTTATATCAGAATCCAACAGGATGAGTGATTATAATTAATAAATAATATTAAACAAATACATAATAATCACAGTTATCATTCATTCTTTTTATTATTACTGTTATTGTCTATAAAGTTATTAGGCAAGAATGTATCGATTTATATCCATCTAATTCTTATTCTTGAATTTCATGCTTTATTTGGCTGCTCTTAATTTTTATAATAACGCTTCTCTTTCCTATAATTTTGAGCATATTAATACCTTATCAGTTTCGACATATGTTTCCTCTGAAATTTGTTAAGTTTACTATTCTGTTTTTTATTACTAATTGCGATTGGTGCCAAATTATCTTCTGCTGTCTATTGATTTATAAATGATACCAATACCTAAATTTGATTATTGAGTGTCCTTTCTTTTTTCATTCAAAGCCTTTTTTAAGTTGGCTAGTAGAGCTTCTGCTTCTTTTACTCTAGTGTCTTCTGGTTTGAGTGTCTAGTTTAAATATGTTTAATTACTCTCTTTAATAGATCAGAAGCTCTTTCTTAGAATTCAACTGCCTTTTAGAAGTCTCCAATTTCACCATGTTCCAAGGCAATAGCTGAATAATATCCAGATACTCTCAATTTGTATTATTAAGTTTCTGTCCCTTAAAAGGATTTAAATAATGATTCACACTTTTCGAGTCCTTCAAATAAACAGTTCAGAGCACTCTAATGTTAACCACTTTCTGAATAAAGCAAGGACAAATTTGTATATTGATTAAATACTTCTTAGCCTTCTCCTCCAATTAAATTGGCAAGGTACAAGGTATGCAACATATGATTGAATGCTTCTTTATAATTTTTAGTGGAAAAATAGTATAAAGACAAAGCTGTAATGGCTTAGACTGTCAAAGGGTGATCATAACCATAAATTGTGGTATAGATTTAAATGGCTTGCTTTTAGAAATGTATGGCAGCATCATATTCCTACTTTCTCAAATAGACCGCTGAAATTTTAGAATAACAGTTTGCTAATTCTTTATGCATCTAACCATGTAAATTTAATATTATTTGGGATGCAGTAAGATAGGATTCTAAAGCTTGATGAAGATTTTAATGTTCAAGCATATACTTTTGACCAATTTCTATATTATTTTTTGCATCTTCTGATACTTACTCTATAAATTTGATAATCGGCTGAATTCCCACTATATCAGAAGGTTAGAAGTCATGGTAGTCTCTAGCCACTAATTGTAATCCTATTTATTAACACAGTTCTCTTAAACAAGATAATTTATGGAATCCCTTCTTATTCAATATAGAGGAGTCTATTTTGTGTTGATATCTAGCTTCTGCTATCTTATTGATTTAATCCCAAACCTCTTAATATGAGGGATATTAATAATTGTTTGCTTGAATTAAACATCTAAAGTGAGGTTTATCACCATTTTAAGTACTTTTGTTTTTGTTTTTCTTCTTTTTCTTCTTGTCTTCTTATTTATTATTAGTGACAGAAGGATTTGAATTTGAGAATATAATATTTAAAAGGTGACACAAAACTTAAGATAATTGATTCTGTGGTGCTTTTCTCATAGATTCTCTAAAGATATGTTTCAATGTCTTAGCAAAGACCACTCTTTCCAAAGTAAGTCTTAAAGAGGGTTACTCTTCAGAACGAATAAAACTGATAACTTTTCCAAGATATCTCATATTTACTCCATGAGAATGAAAAATGTCTGAAATGCTGAGATCAGAGTGTCTAGATGTTTCTGGTTAAGATAATTCTTAGATTAATTATGGGATTGCTTAATTTAATAAGAATGTAGACAATTTTTTTAAATCCTCTTCTTATTATGTCAATTTCTCTGATGATTATAATATTGTCTTAGTACCCAAGGCTGGATTTAACTTTAATCCTTCCTTTGGATTGCCAATCAAGAGATTTTAGATGTTTTAATATGCCTCTTATTAAGTTTTTGGATCATCACTATTATTTTGTTTAATTTTTTAAATAGTATTAACAACCCAATAATTTTAAAGTAACTCATATCTTAAAACACAACATTAATTATTCTCCCCCTAATAGTTATAATCTCTAGGAGATAATCTTAGAAGATCTAGTAAATACATTCTTTTATCTGATCCCATGATACCTTTGACTTCAATGCTTCCAGCCATGGAGTATTTTTGTTGGTTGCCATCAAGAAATACAATATCAGTATCAAGATGGAAGAATTCACATGTTTTTGACATGACCTTGTGAAATTCTTCCGATTTTTGAATGGTCTTTCCATCATCAATTGAACCATATTAAGTGCAATTGCTATGATCACTATTGAGAATTCCTGGTATAATAGACTATGCAATAACTCTTCTTCCTTTATAATCAACTAAACAAGTATTCAAAACACTCAATCCAGGAATGTCTAATTTATGTAGAATCTACAAATTTCTAAAATCGCAATTAGTTGTTGAGACTGTTGGTGTAGCATCGGGACCACTTTCTTACTTTAATTTATATAATTTTAAATACTCTAAAATCTTCTGGTGTTTCCATGGCAAAACTAAAGAATATCTGATTATAAACGTAAACTTATTAGCATTCGATATCCATGGGATTCAGAGGCTAGATAATTTTATCAACAACAGCACAAGCTCCTCTTACTGCTGCTTCCACGAAGTCTCCATAAACCTTTGATAATGCTTTGTCTCTATTCAATTTTTGAATCAAATCGATCTTGGGCAATGAGCGAAAGACTTGCAATTCTTCATTCCAATCTCTCAAACTTGAGACATCAAATCCGTGTAAATCCAAAGCCCAACTCTCACTTCTTTAATGATCTAAAGTCAGAGGAACTTCTTGAATTGATAACCATTTATGATTGTATCTTATTGTAGCTGGTAATGCAGGTTGTTATTACTCTGGAATTGCATTTATTAATTCCTTTCTAAATTTATGTAAATGCATTGTTTTACTTAAATGAGGGACTGTGATCCACTATCAAATCTATTAGATTGTAGTAGCAATCACTTTTTTGAGTGGGCTCAAAGGTTCTCCCTTAGGAGCTATTGACATAAAACCCTAAATTAGAGGCTGTTATTATTAGTTCAACTGATTCAATGGTTTTAAGGACAATATAAAAGAGATCACCTAATTATTGTTGTCTCCATTACCCTTTAATTTTCGCGAAAGAGGAGGGGGATTGAAAGAGGACAACCCCAATTGTTACACGTTCTATTTAATAGCCTTATTGTCATCATTTAAGAGTAAGGTTGGTTTGATAGCTGGTTGGAGGATGTCGTTTAATTGCAAGTCCCCTATTTCTTTTAGTGATAATGAATCTTCATTCTGATTTTTGCCTTTGCATAGATATTGATAATGTGAGAGATTGGCAATGATTTCTTAGACTCTTCTTAAATGGAATCTGGCTGTTCTTTCATTAAACTCATCTACATGATTGTTGAAACCTGTACCTAATAAAACTTGCAACTTTCCTCCATCTGGAATGGAAAACTCACTGTACTCATTGATTCGCTATCCTTTATGAGAAAAATAGAAATTTTGAAAGAGGGACAATATTGTGGATTCTGTAAGATATTGTCTGACTTCTAGTAGAGTCTCAGCTATCTCTAGGGGCCAAGTATATTTGTCATAGAAGTCTAAATACAATTTTACACTTTCTTCTTTTGTTTGTTTCATCTCAAATCGACCGCAAATTAAATTAATATGCAAAAATCCTAACTTAAATATGCTAAAACACCGCAATATCTAAGAAGAAGCTCATTGAATTCATAAAATTCATAGAGCCCTAAAAAGAAAGCAAATTAAACCCAAGACCAGATGACTGGCAGCCAACTGCAATTAGAAATGTCGAAATCATAATAATCATTTCGTAGTTCTAATAGTCCTGTTGGTCATTGCCAGTCTGTGAGGTGAGATATGCGTCAATAATTAGCTCTAAAACATTTCCATATCCTCCTTCCCCAACTAGAACTTTGTAAAAAAGACCTTCTCAAATCATATCAAAGTAATAACTTCAATCTATGCATGAACGATCGATCATTAAAATGTTAGGACTCAAAATGGAAGCTATCTGTACCAAAAGTTCTCATGAGAAGAATAAGATGGTCTTCATTTGTTAATATCCAAACTGCGAAGCCGATAATAGATTAGGTTGTTCCTATTGTCAAATTGAATAACATGGCAATCATGCATCTCAAAATATGGAAATCTAAACATTTTGCAAAATATTTGATGACAGACGACAATAAGTAAATACAATATATGATCATATATTAGTTTGACGATCTCTGTAATTAAATCATGCGAGTTCCTGATAAAATTACTTAAGTAAAAACCTTTTTTGAAAAATTGAGAATAAATGTTTAAGAAAGACTATAATAGATAGAAGAAAATGTAATCAAATCAATTGATGAGGAATTATCTTGGCAACCCTTAGAAAGAGATCTTCAAAATAGAGTAAATTACTTGAGCAGCAAAAATATCTTTGACATGACCTAAGAAGAACTTACAGAGAGTTTAAGTTTTATTTAAGGTAAACATCTGTCTGAAGTTGAATACATTATTATCGAATCTGAAAAGTTCCTTACATCAAAAGGTGAATAAGTTCAACAATCTTGGAATGATTTCAGAGAACAACTGGAATTTGAATTAAACACAGCCTTAGGAGACAATAACAATATTTAAATTATTGATTCAAAATAAAGAAAAGAATATGCATAATAAAAACTCTAGATTTTAGCATAAAAACAGGAAAAGTATCTTGAACAATTCAAACCTTTTTAATTAATAATGAATGAAGTTTAAGAGGAAGAAAGAAAGATTGAAGTTCAGAAATAAGAGGAAGCTAAAAAATAGACTGAAATTTAGAAATAACAATTAATTCAAATGAAAAAAGAGTAAAAATAAAGAGAACTAGAATAAATCAAATTAAAAGAAGAGTAGAAGAAAAAAGAGAAAGAACTTGAAAGAGAAAAACAATTAAGAACGTTTCCACACACTTTATACACTTAAGATTGTCCTCACAGATTACCTTGCAACACCATTCCAATTTTCTCTTGTTGTAACAAAGCTTATCCTTGCACATAATGTCATGGTTATTAATTTCATCCCCCTAGAATCTCAATCCCAAGTTATAGATATTGCATGAATTGTTTAGAAATCTACTTGGTAGTTTTTCCAACAAATCAATCAGTTAATTGTCTTAAGTGTCAAATTTAATAATCATGATCATAATAAGATTAATTTATTATCTTAAAAATCAAAATTTGATCCATTTTCTAATCTTTATCCTAGGGTATGGTACCTTCTCTTTATCTTGTTGAAGTTTTGAGATGTTTTCTTTCCAAAATTATTAATTATAGTCCTTTGTGTATTAACATTGCTTATGATTGGAGCAGTTAACCCATTAATCTCACCAGCAATTGGACTTAATTATATATTTTAATAATACGTTATATTTTAAGAATTCATTTAGGTTGAAAATAATGTTATTGAAAACCTTTTATCAGCATTTAAAATGCTTTTTAATTGCTATTGTTTTTAATTATTTTGTAAATCTAATTTTACTTATGAATTGGTTCTGCAATCATTTATGTATTCTCTAAGGTCACTCATACTTTCTAATTTTCTCTTTTATAGACCCATTTTTCGATAATGGTTTTTAATCTTATTATCTAATGATTGATATTTTTATTTCTATTCCTCAATTGCTTCTCTTATCCTTTCATTCTCAAACTACTTTCTCTATTTTCTTTCTTCATCCAGTAATATTTGCGCTTCTAGTTTCCTTTTTGACATTAAAGCCTTCTTGGAATATGGTAGAGTTTCATCATAATCTTCAGCTTGATCGAATTTCTCCAATTTCTTGATGCTTTCTCGATACACCTTTTCTTCTTGTTTTAACTCCATTATCTACAATTTCTCCATAATCTATTGTAGTCTCTTTGATTTGTGCTTCATCTTTTGGAACTCATCTCTCTTAATAAAGTTGTTTAACTTACTTTTATATACAAATCAGCACAATCTTAATCGCCAATAATCTCCTCTTGCTTATCTTTAATCTAAATTTGTAGATTTTGTATCAAAGGTATCATTGCCTATTGTATCTTATTACAAGTTTATGAGTAATTGAAACTAAATTTACATAATTCAATACTTGCAATTAGGAACTTCATCCAATTTATATTGACATGAACAACGAACCATTTCCTTATCAATCTTGTTTTGAACTTCTTTAGATTTCGATAGAGATGCTAAAACCTTATTGACTTTTTTGATCTTTTGTTAATGAGAAATTGATTTATTGGGGCCATCTATTCCCTACTTTGAAGCAATCAATTTTTTTTATAATAACTCTAATTTTGGTTTGAATTGATTCGTTAGCTTTAAGAAGTCTTCACAATATTGTTTTCTTCTTTGAGTATAAAATTCAATATTTTCTCTTGTCAATAACATAAATTAATCAATTTATTTTTTAAAAATGAATAATAAACTTTTTAGTCGAAACGAACCAAGAAATAAACTATCAGCAATATCTCTAAATCGTTAAGTGATTTAGAAAAAAGAACATTCTGTAAATTTATTCCCTTGCAATTTACACTTCTTAGAAATTCAAATAAATCTAAATATCCTAAGCTAATATATTCAAATACCTTAGAATATATTAGAATTTTCAAAATAAATAATTTATAATATTAATAAATCAAAATTATCTAATTTGTCTTCATCCTTTAGAACTAGTTGATTTAATACACTTTTCAATTAAAAAAATGTTTCATTATTTTATATCCAATTTCAGTTTCTAAATTTCTTAATGTTTCACAGTATACAACATTTCTAACATTATGTAGAATGATGTTAATTTTATTTGCATATTAGAATTTTGATTTCAGAGAATATGTAAAAAGATAGGGTGTTATTAAAACGGTAGATGTCTTAAATAGTAATATTATTAATTATTTCAAATAGGAACAAAGCCAATATTTGGAGAATATTGTTAGGTATGCTTTAATAAATTAAAATTAAATTAGATTACATATAGAAATGTTTGAAATACAAGAGGACCAAAGTGACGTGAGTATTGCACAGATCCAAGATTCAAATTATCTTAAGCTATCCAAAAGGTAATCATTTAATTCAGACACAATTCTTCAATGGAATACCTTATAGGAGAATCTTTAATTGCAATATAATTTGCTAAATAAGGGTACTTTTGTGGCAATTGCAAATTAGAAAATGAAACTAAGAATGAGCGCATTTAGATTCTTTTGAATACAGTGGAGAAGTATTACAAGACATAGCTTCGGTATAAGGACTTGCGTAGATTGTACAATCAACAATAAGCAAATAATTATAATCAAATACAATGTGTATTGGGGTACAAATTTGAAAATGTTCATTCTGATGTACAAAAGTTTTTATTTTTGTTGATGGAAAACCAAGAACTTTTTGCATAATTGATTCACTCATCTTTGGATATTGGTGCTCATAATTTGGATGAGTTTATATTTGATATTCTAGCATTCCTTTATGATCCCATTGTAGGAGCTGGCCTTTAAGAAGGAGTTTTTAAATTATTAAGCGAACTCTTAAAATTAGAGTTAATTAATCTAAAAAATCCAATAGAGTTATTTCAAGATAAAAATAACCTAGTTTGCAAATTTCTTATAGGATTCAGCAAAGGACCATTATGTTAATCATATATACAATAGGTATGTGGATAGGCATTAAACTTACTTATGAATGTAAAAGAAGAGTTAGAATTAAATCCTAAGATGTATCATATATCAATTTGAATCATAGTATTTATGAACAGTAGTTGAAATTGAAAGAAAGCAAAGAGTCTGCGAAACTACTTAAATTAAAACAGGAGAATAAAGCAAGGAAAATAATGTTTAATATTCTTCCTATTTTAATGTAGGGAACACAGGAGAATAAAGATATTAATGTTTATGAGAATGTGAGAAGAACTAAAATTCCTGACTCTTTACTGAATGAAATAATTGAATAAATTACTCCATCAATTTAATCCTATTGCCAAACACCATTATAGAGGATAGTAGACCCTTAATTAGTAGAGGAAACAGCTAAAATATTATATGATAGACGCAAAGTGACTGAGATGATTGTTAACTCTATTTGTGACAATATCATAAATAGTTTACATAATCTACCTTTTATAATGAGAGCCTTATGTCGATTGTAATACCAAATCTTTAAAGTCGTTTATTAATCTTATAAATAAGAGGACCTATTTAGTTTGCTAATTTAATTTCTTATCAATAAATGGGTGTTACCTGAATTCACCGCAATGTTTCTTAATTAACAATCATTAGAATCATCTAAATACTAAACTAATAATATTGCAGTAGTAAGTAAAATCCTATTGGGTGTTTGGAAGGGAGAAGCTATTGAAGGTCTCAAAATTACATTAACAAGTCCAAATGTTTTAAGTTATTTCAAAGTTTTAATTGAACTCCCTCAAACCTAATTGAATTTTTATATCAAAGAAAAAACGGAAAAACCCTTTCTCTCCTATTTACTCTCCATATCAGATTTATAAATTTTATTAAATACAATAACAAAATCAAGGATTGAAGGCTCATTAGGAGGTAAACAATTAACCAGATACACAGATTTAAGGGAACTGGCAGAAAGTATTCTGCGATATAATTTGAAAATGGGAGGTGATTATATGAATAATGCTGTGTAATGGAAAGGATAGAAAGTATTAGCTAATAATATGCATTTTGCAGTACATAGACTATCTGATCTATATAATGTCAATTATATTGATATTGCTTTTAAATTCACAGAGAAGTTCAGTGCATAAGACAAGGAAGAGCTGTTGTTTATTTCAAAAGCCAAATAAGTTGTGGCTTAATTTTTAATTTCTATTGAAAGAATATCACTTTTGGCTAAATTAAGGAACAATATTATTTTAAGCTTTGACAACCTAATATATATGTACAAAGATGTAATTTAAGTGATATAATTTAGTCTTATGAAAATAAGGGATAAGTGATTAAACAGTATGAGAACATTTCGCCTTAATTATATGCGAATTATTTGCTATCTATTTATAAAATGATTCCGAATCAATATACTAGCAATAATCTATCACTTTTATGCCAAGAAATGATCTAAGAATTTGATTAGAAGGTTACTTATGCAAAAAATCGTAAGTACTCTTTGTTTCTTATATAGAACAAAAGGCAATGTTAGAAGCATTCTTGAAAATTATAACTCAACTTAAAACTGAGAGAAATGAAATTAAATCTTTGAACAAAATGTTAAAAACCATTGAATTAAAAAAAAAGTTAACCTATTTTTTAAAAAATATTAAGATTCCATGCTTGTTGAGTTTCAGATATGGATAAATCAATTTGAATTCAATTTAAGACTCATCTAAAACTAAATCATTAGATCCAAAGGATAACGAAAAATAATAATTTTTATAGATTGTGAATGGAACAGATCTGAATTCACTATAGTTGGAATTGCCATTTTAGAGCATCAGAGACTTTATCGATATATTGAGTGGATTGAAGCATTTGCAACTTGCCTTAGAGGGAGATTAGGTTTATATAGAGATGTAATATATATTCTAACCTTTTAGAGTCTCGAAACTGTTTTAGAACTATATGAAATTAGTGGAAGAAAAGTTATAATAATAATCATTTTTCCCATAAAATTAGAACTTAAAAAAAAATAATCAATATATTGATTTATGTTTTGAAACAGCAGAAAAGTCTATTGTACGCAGAATTATGATGAAGTATTGTACCATTAATGAAATCAAAGAAGACAAAAATTTTATCGAATAATGTCAATAAAAATTGAAACACCTTGAAGAATAGTAAGAAGTTAAGATTTGCTTATCAGAATTGCCTATGTTATAGAAAATGAGTGAATGTATTTAGTGATATTATGAGATTAGCTTTTAGATAGATTGATTAAGTAATGACTCCCATTGAGAAATTACAAATGATTTCTGATTGTTTGAGTAACACATCTTAGTTATTGAAGATATCTGGAATCGATGATAATCCTGGTTAAGATGGAACACTGCCAGTTTTTATTTATTTAGTTGCTTAAGCATGTCCAAAATTTATGAAGACAAATTTGAATATAATCTAATCTTTATTCAACTTTGATCGTTGGAAGAATTCAACTTACCCATTTTCATCAACTTAATTATAAGGAGCATATGAAAATATTATAAGTTGACATTATAAAATATATTTCATAATTAATTTGACTCTCAAATATTATCTTATCTAACTATTACTCTACATCTACAAATGAAAAAATAAGGGGTTCTATTTTAGTTACTAATAAGTTTAATTAAATTAGTTTAAATTTATAGAATATACTACAATAGTTATTAAAATTAGTCTCATAGGTCATTAAATAGAATTTTGGAACTATATATATTTACATCACATGATATGTGTTTTGCATTATTTATGTTTAAAGGAGCAATTACAAGAGTTCTTCTGTCTTATTTTATGAATATAAGATGATTCTTGAAATAATATGAAGAAATCCCTGAGTCTAGGTAATGTTTGAAATTAAAATTATGATCAATCGTTCTATTATCAGTAAAAATACATTTAATGCATTACTAAATGATAATATTTGCTATATTTAGATTTAGATTATTGGTGCTTTAATTCTTTACCTGGAGTTGGGTGAGCTATTTAATTTAGAGATCATAAACTTGAGTTTTCACTAATCAGAATCTATATTAAATGGAAGTGACAAAACATTCACCTTCACTTTGGGAATCCTATTTCTAAAGCATAAAATAATTAAAATATCTTTTTAATTTCATGTTTGCCATCACGAAGTAGGCATTGTTTAGGCAATAAGCAATGAAACTCATGAACCGATTTGCTGTAGTTGCCAACAATAAACCAGAAAAAGGGCCATCACAAGTAATAATAAATATTAAAGATTAAGGGTCATTTGACAGATAAATACACAGTCATAGATCATACTTATGACGCAGTAGTTGTAGGAGCTGGTGGTGCTGGATTAAGAGCAGCCTTTGGATTAGTTGAATTAGGTTTTAAGACTGCATGCATATCTAAGCTATTTCCAACCAGATCCCATACTGTTGCAGCATAAGGAGGTATTAATGCAGCCTTAGGTAATATGACAGAAGATGACTGGAGATGGTAATAAAGATCAAAATTAACATAGGCATGCATATGATACTATTAAAGGATCAGATTGGTTGGGAGATTAAGATGCTATTACATATATGTGCAAGGAAGCACCGAAGGCAGTTTATGAATTGGAAAGTTATGGTTTGCCATTCTCTCGTACTCCTGAAGGCAAAATTTATTAGAGAGCATTTGGAGGTTAGAGTTTGAAGTTTGGAACAGGAGGATAAGCATATAGATGTTGTGCAGTGGCTGATCGTACTGGACATGCTATGTTACATACACTTTTTGGCAGAGCTTTAGGTTACGATTGCATTTTCTTTGTTGAATATTTTGCACTTGATTTAATGATGGATGAATAAGGGTAATTTTATATTTATTATAAATTTGTAGAGCTTGCAGAGGAGTTGTCTGCATGTCAATGGCAGATGGATCAATCCATAGAATCAGAGCTGGATATACAGTTATTGCAACTGGAGGGTACGGAAGAGCATTCTAATCATGCACATCAGCACATACATGCACTGGTGATGGTGGTGGTATGACTATCAGAGCTGGTTTACCCATGGAAGACTTAGAATTTGTATAATTCCACCCTACTGGTATTTATGGATCTGGATGTCTTATGACTGAAGGATGTAGAGGAGAAGGAGGTATTCTTAGAAATTCATTGGGTGAGAGATTTATGGAAAGATATGCTCCTACTGCTAAAGATTTAGCTAGTAGAGATGTTGTCTCTAGAGCTATGACTAAAGAGATATTAGAAGGAAGAGGGTAATCATTATTATATTATTATCATTTTTAGAGTTGGACCAGAAAAAGACCATATTTATTTACATTTAAATCATTTACCTGCTGAATTATTACATGAAAGATTACCAGGTATCAGTGAAGCAGCTAAGATTTTTGCTGGAGTTGATGTTACCAAAGAACCAGCACCAGTATTGCCAACTGTTCATTACAATATGGGTGGAATACCTACAAATTTCAAAACAGAAGTGTTAAATCAAGTGAATGGAAAAGATTCAATTGTTCCAGGACTATTAGCTGCAGGTGAGGCTGCTTGTGCTTCAGTTCATGGTGCAAATAGATTAGGAGCCAATTCATTATTAGATATTGTTGTCTTTGGAAGATAGGCTGCCAATTTAGTAGGTGAAAAATGGAAGCCAGGATAGAAACAACCAGATCTCCCCAAGAATGCTGGAGAAGCTGCAATTGCTAGAATTGATAGACTTAGACATCATGAAGGATCATAAACTATTGCTTAAGTCAGAAAGGATTTATAGAGAACCATGTAGAAACATGCAGCTGTGTTCAGAATTGAAAAGACTCTATAAGAAGGTGTGGAAAAGGTGAAGGAAATCTATTCAAGAAAGGATGATGTTAGAATCAAAGATAAGGGATTGGTTTGGAATTCTGATCTTATTGAAGGATTAGAATTGGAGAACTTATTATGTACTTATCATTTTATATCTAATAATAGTATAAGGAAAAATGACCATTGAAGGAGCACTTAATAGAAAGGAATCCAGAGGTGCTCATGCAAGAGATGACTTTCCAGATAGAGATGACAAAAATTGGATGAAACACACTCTCGCCAGAATTCAAGACACTAAGTCAGGAGATGTTCAATTGACTTACAGAGATGTATCTATCTATTCATTACTTTTATCTTAGGTCATCACAAAAACCCAGGATCCCAAAGAATTCGACACTGTGCCACCTAAGAAGAGAGTCTATTGATAATTATAAAATAAAATATATATAATACAAAATTTTATGACAGACGTTGAAATTACACCAAAACATTTGAAATTTTAAAAAATTGGATAAGAAAAGACAGTATACAAAAATATAATTATTAGATTACTGTCAAGAACAATAGGAAGGTTGTGCTTAATTTTGCATTCAGACTTTTCAAAAATTACGAAATAGCACCAACTGCCCTTTAACTACTTCCTGGAGAAGCCACTGTAGTAACTGTTAAATTAAAGAATGTTGAAGCCCAAGAGGACTTTATTTACATAAAAGGAGATAATTTGGATTGCAGAATTGCTGTTACTTTTGAATGTGATTCTGACCGTTTGGATTAATACATTGATTAAGATATTCAAAATAGGACAATCACATCGCCAGGATTTGGAAATTTGGAGACATTTGGCAATGTTAGAAGTGAATAGTTTAATGCTGAAGAAAATAAAATACTTCAATAAAGAGTCAACTATCTAACTTAGTAAAACCAGTTGCTTAATGATGCATTAGAACAATTTATGAACTAAGAGATGGATGGCAATTCCATCAAGGAGTTATTGAATCATTTGATCGAATAGGAAAGATAGGATAATGAATTCAGGAGTCAAAGGGTCTTATTAATGATAGAAGAAAAAGATAGAGAAATTGAAAACTTAAGATTGCAATTATAGAAGCAACAATTCAACAGCAATACCAAAGATCAGCTCAAAGAACTAGTCAAGGAGAATGAAAAGTTATAGATGAAAATCTAAGACTATCAAGCCAGAGAGTAATATTTCAATCAGCATTAACCTGAGAGGGAAAGTTATGTGATGTTGTATAGGAAATATGAATCTGTAGTTGATTAAAATAAGAAGCTAGATTTGATTAATAGATAAATGAATGAAGAAATCGAAGTTATTGCAAAAAGATTGAATGATAGTGGATTACAGAATTCAAATATCAGAGTTGAAGAAACTAGAGATGAATTAGTCAATCGATTGAATGCTCGTATTACTCAACTTAAATTGAGAGAAGAGAAGTTACTTGAAGAAAATGCTCATTTAGAGGAAATGCTTATTCAGTAACAAGGATCAAGTTAAAATTATTCATCAAATCAATCTAAAAATCTAACAGATGACCTCTTAAAAAAAGAGTATTAAATATTAGAAAAGTCAAAGAAAGAGTTAGAAAAAAGATGCAATGATTCTATATCCAAATCTTAAATACTGGAAAAGTAAGTAGATGAATAAACCAAATAAGCTGGATATTTGGGAGATGAATTATGGAAAAGTCAAAGGGAAAATGAGAAATTAAAATAAGAAATCAAGAAATTAAAAGAGCAGGACGAATTAATTAAAAAAGAAAGATTAGAATATGAATCTTAAATTTATGCTCTGGAATAAACACTAAAATAAGCTAGTAGTTTATAGGATGTAAAAGAAGAGGCCAGGAAAAGATGGGAGAAAGAAATAGGCAAATTGTAAAGTAGTTATGAAAATGAAATTGTGGCTTATTAGGATGATGCATAAAAATTAAAAAAAATAATCAATGATTTAAAAAAAGAAAACGAACTTACAAATACTCAATTAAAAGAAACTCAATTTAAACTTGATTAAAAAATACAATAATTATCTCAATAAGAAGAATAAATGTAAGAATTACAATTCAAAAATCAAAAACTTTAAAAGGTTAATCAATAAAATTAAATCGACATTGAAAAAACAAAAAGCGAATTCATTATTCTCAAAGAAAAAACTGACGTTGAATTCTAAAGAAGAGATAACCTTGAAAAGTAGTTGCAAGATAGATAGTTATGTCTCTAGGATTAAATTAATAATATTATGAAGGAGAAATCAATTACATAAAGTGAATTACAATTAGAAATGAATAAATTGTGTCAACAGCATAAAGCATCTATTGATTAATTACTGATGGATAACAAATCATTAGAATAATAGTATTTATTGGCACAAGATTAACTCAAAGTCTAAAGAGATTAGTATGCTTAAAGAGAAGAAGCCTTAATTAGGGAGGTTAGGAGTATGTAAGATAAAATAGAAAAATTAGTCTAAAATTAAAAGTAAAAGGATAAATAGAGAAAAAACAGTAGAAGCAATAATTCTTCAGTAGATAAAACAGTAGCACCTACTCTAAATAATATTGAGGAAGAAAGGAAAATCTCCGATTTATATATGTAGAAAATTAGGGAATTGGAATCAGAGTTAAATAAAACTAGACAATAAAAAATGTAAATTGAGTTTGATTTTAATCAACTAAAAGCCAAAAGCACATATTTACAATAAGGATAAACGAAAGACTTTTTCG